TTTTTTTGATTATCATGTATTATTATTTTGTGTTAATATTAGTTAACCATCTAACTATTGGCTTCCTTCTGCATCCGTTTGACTTCGCTTCTTAAAATAGAGCTTCGTCTACTAATTATAAACTACGAGAAGACGAAACTCTCATTAGAGAAGTGAAGTCGAACAAATGCAAAGGGTAGGGTACTATAGAAGGGGATCATATAAAAGCACGATCTATTTCACAACGCCTTTAACTTTTGTTCTTCAACTGTTGCCCTTTGTGCATTTCAAAAATAAAATATCTTAATCTGATTTGTTCCACCTTTCTTTTCGCTCAGTTCTGCAATATTATGTTGTTTAGGATTATGTCATTTGCGAAATAGCTGTAAGACATTATGTGAATGAATATGGGAGTTTCCACGAAAAAATGAGAATCTAACATTTAATGATAACAAAAGGATTAATTGCTTAGTTCTCTTTGTTTTAGTCTTTGTTTTCTTAAATGCGGAAGTGTACCAACATCACCTAGATTACATAAGAGATCATCTAACAGTCTAAAATTGCTTTTAATTGCAAGTTAATGCATTCCAACCTAAATTTGTATACCTGTAATTGGGGGGGGGGGGCGATGTTACATCACATAACTACAACGTTCATATAGAAATATACAATAAGCATGTCCGTATAAAAGCTAAAATTATAAAAACTCATTTCAAAGTCATTCTGTTCATGGAAGCGTCAAGTTATGAAAAACAATGCTAAACACTCAAACAAATCGACTTGATTACCTTTGAAAACTTCTTGAGAGGAAATGGACAAATGTATTTTTCTAACTCATTAGAACGTCTGTCTGATTGAAATACTATTTTTAAATACAAACATAAATGATTTAATCTTAGTCAGAAGTCTGAACATTGTCCAACAAAATAATAAGAATCTAACATTTAATGATTACAAAAGGATTAATTGCTATAGTCTTTGTCTTAGTCTTTGTTTTTCTAACGGCGGAAGTGTACCAACATCACCTTGATTACAGAAGAGATCATCTAACAGTCTAAAATTGCTTTTAATTCCCGGGTTTTAATTACATTTTATGTATAGACTTTTTTTGCCTCTATTCTCATTTTTAAACTTGTTTCTGTTTGTTTATTTAACAATTGTGATAAATTATTCAGTTAGTGTCGAAATCAAAACAATTTTCTACATTATAGTCCCCTCCTCTTGCACTGACTAAATATTAAAATAAGCTAGTCTGATTGCGAATTTACAAATCCTGTAAAAGTAGCTTCAAACCGCCTTTTGATCGAAGAAAACAATAAGTTAATTCATCTGATTGCGAAAATACGAATCAATCTGATTATCTGATCTCCATGCTATTTGATTCGTGCATTATCTACAAGTCAGTCGGGCAAGGGTGAAATTATTTCATTTGAAAACAGAAATAAATATCAGAACCCCTCTAGCATAACTATTCGGAAGAAATTCATACAAAAAATAAGGTACACAACTGATGAAGGGTCGCACACAATGCACGCACGCCTCTCCTCCTCCTCCGCCCACACACGACCATATTTGACAATTTTTCTAAAAGCGTTTTCCCCGGGAATATAGGTGTAGCGGTTACCAGAAGTCGCACAGCTTGGGAGTCAGGGTATCCTGATCCATGCCTCAACGCCTGACGGGTCTGATATTTAAAGGGGGCGCAAGAATTATTAGGGGGCGGGGTAAACGTGAAAGTTGCCAAAATATCCATAGGCGTAGCCAGGAGGGGGGGGGGGGTGCGATGGGTGCGATAACAATAGGCTTTATATATGCTTTAATGTTTTATTTATCATGATGCTTTTATGTAGGCTATTAATTACAGTTCTTTTTGCAATATAAAACTGGTATGTTTATGCAAATTCCGATTGGACTAATATAAAGGGATATTGTTTCATTATGTGGACTTGAGAAAGTCCGACATACTCATTGCTTTCAACCCAAAACTTAAAATAGGAAGTTATCAAGATCCCAAGAACACGATCGATACTTAAACAATACGTTTGTAAAATCCCGGCGATCGAAATGCAATCAAACTTTCGCAATCAGGTGCCTAATTAGTCTTTTGATCTCTAAAGTTTTACGACTGAACGTTTCAATGAACTCGTGAGAAGCAAACGCAATCATCATATAAAAATTTTTCTAGTAAATCTAAAATAGAGTAAAACCCAGGGAAAAAGATCGCGTGTTCATAGGAATTAGGCATATTTCAATTTTGAAATAACAAAAGTCAGTCTCGGAAGAATTTTCCAAGCATTCCCTGCTTCGATGCGTTTTTATTGCAAGGGCCGTTTAGCGCCGATATGAATTCATTATAGGGCATTAGGGTTGTGCTTTATTTGTTTTATTTATATAAATGTTATAAAATGTGTACGACACTTTAATGAATTATTTTTAGGGTATCAATGCATATTTGACTTTTCCCTCTAAACGTTTAAAATTCATCTTTTCTTAGTTTGCTTCAATAAAATTAACATTGGATCCCAGACAGTTATCAAATTCTCAGACATTTGATTAATATAGATATTTGTACTTCCTTTGACCAGTGGTGCTGGTGTGACTGAGATTCGAATCTAATCTGTTTCATTTTTATGTAAATTGAGAGGAATCAAGTTTTATTTTCAGCGTTTTAACAATCTTAACCTGCGGTTAGGTACCATATCTTGATTACGGTAAAGACAGGCCATCTCATTCTGGTATGCCAGAGCCACTCTTATCTGCCGATTGTGGAAGGATAAAGACAAAGGGGTCGCGGCTATCGCGATTAGGCCATCTTATTTCTAGGAATTATTTCTGCCTCTCATTCCTTAAACCGGCTTCGTTAAACAGTGCCAAAATATATAAGTCGGAGCCAAAAACAAGACTTTTTTATATTTAAATCCCCTCACCTTGTCAATGTCTATGCCTGCATCTGGTTTTCCCACCTTTGGGAGGGAGCCAATATACACATAGATTACTTACTGGCCATGGACAGGGGGGGGGGCACAGAAACGAACATTCTGGGGTCATAAGGGATACTTGGGGAAGGGGAGAGGTGGTGGTGAATAGTGAAGTCCGGGAGTGAAGTTAGTGGGTACTGAAATCTTTCTTTTGATATTTAGTGCTTGAATGGAGACTTGTTTCCACTCCCCGCATTCTAGTAGAATTTAAATATTTGATCCAAAGGAGTTATTTTAAATCAAACTTGCATTCCGATTAATTAACACTCCAATGATTGTACCGCTTCACTATTGTCTAAGATAATTATAATGAATTCACGGGACACTATAGTCATCCTTTTAAACTTTAGTGGTTGGATGGAGACTTGTTTCCCCACCCCGTACACTAGTAAATTTGTAAATTTTAAATATTTGATTTAGGGAGGTATTTGCAATCCAACTCTGATGATGCAAGACTAGTCAGCCAAGACTAAATTATGAACTTATTATCATTTAGACTATTGAGTTCATTAAATTATAATTCCATAGATATCATATTTAATCCTGTCAACACAATAATGGTATTAATTGGCATGATATGTAGTCAGAGACGGTTTAAAAAGTTGTTTAGTATAGATAGTATTAGGAAAAATCCTAACTCAAAGTTTTTGTTCTCTCGCAATCCAGAGCAAACCACTCGCCGGGCAAGCATTCTTTAAAAACGTGAAGTTTTCACCATGTTGAGCAGTTTTGAAAATTGTCCAATTTGAACCATCGCCTTGTATATTTCTGTAACTGCCCCCCCCCCCCTTGACACTCGAGTGTAAGAATCCTTTCCACACTGTCAATGGTTTTACAAAATAGTTCATGTCAGGAAGGGGAGGGGTGAGTGTGGAGAACAATCACTGACTGCGATTTGTATGATTGAACATTATACACTTATCATAGATTCGTAAAGAATAGTTTTAAAATAAACAGCTTGTTTTATGTTATGATTGGAGTGATGTATGCATAGAAGAATGACACTGGTTTTGAAATATCTTAATCATCCCATTGAATGAAGACATCCGTCCCTCTGTCCATTCTAAACTCATACTAGTGGACTGATTTGATTTAAAGGAGAAGTCTCGGTGTAGAACGTGTACACACTAATGGGAACGAATTTTACTCATTTCTATTTAGGATTCGTTCGTATACTAGCGGGGCTTTAGAGCATTTACAAACGCACGAATTGTATTGTTTTAAGGCAACTTTTATGACATATAATGTATTTAAAGCTGATTAATTTTAGATTATACTCGGTTCAATTTTACAAATAATGAATAGTATTACAGTATATCGAAAAATATACAATCATTTACATTAAATTGCTCAGACTGCAAACAATGTACATGGTTGGCGAATTTGCATGCGCGTTCTTGATAATAAGAATTAAAGGTTGAACTTAAAAATCAAACATTTTCTTTTTTAAACATAATAAATCTTTAAATCAAGAAAATAAAAATAAGATTGATGATTGAGCTTTTCATAGTCAACTGCGACTGCGTCGACGCATGTTTATTTACTTAGCTAATTAGATATGTAAAATTGTTAATCGCCGCAACGGATAATACGTACATGTAAGCTGTTCGGATAAGACATTTCTATATGATTAATAACAAATCCCAGGCAGAATGTTATTCAACAGTAACTGATCTTATTAGTTATTATTCAATTTGGATAATAAATCTATTATCTCGTCGTATTGACGTTTATTATATAGTGTTTCTCGTTGTGTTTAGTATTATGAAACCGAATGCTCTTCATTGTGCGACTTAATTAATTGCAGGATAGCACTGTCATTGCTTATTTAATCACAATCCAATTGAAATGATCATGAATATATGAAGTATTATTAAATTCACAAAACATTTATTATTAAAATCTAATCGGAATGTACATATGCCCGGCACCAAAATCAAAATCAAATTGCAATCATTAAATGTTCCCAATATGCCCCAAGCTGATTGCCAAAATAGATCTGGGATTGGTTCATCATATAAGTGATCAAAAGCTTTTTCGGGTGAGTCTCTGAAAGTTGAAAAAGCATCACGATGAGAGGCTGGTTAGCGTCAGCTTTGCTGGCCATATTTGCCTTAGCGCAAGCTGGGGATATCAACGACAAAGCAAATGAATACCAAGATGCGGAAATCAACGCTGTTGCCACATATTCTAGAGCACTTCCAGTGTCTCAAGCAAGGCATTCTAATGTTATACCATCCCAGGGTGCTAACTCTCTGCAACCAGTGAACGATTACGGACATCATCACGGACACGGTGGACATCACGGACACGGTGGACACGGTGGACATCACGGTGGACATCACGGACACGGTGGACATCACGGACATAGTGGACATCATGGACACGGTGGACATCACGGACACGGTGGACATCATGGACACAGTGGACATCACGGACACGGTGGACATCACGGACACGGTGGACATCACGGACACGGTGGGCATCATGGACACGGACATGGACACGGTTATCACCACCATGGTGTTGGTGGATACGGTAAATACTATATCTTCATGGACTTTATTAAGAATGCTTCCCTGTTCATATATCAAAGTTCTATAGTTTTATTCTCAATAGTGAATTTGGAAATTGTAGTGTGACACTGCTTAAATTGTTTTATATAAATTAATTGTATAGATGCGTTTTGTGGTTACTCAGTTTATTTATGTGTACTTTCCATTTCAGAAATCTACAGCCATTACTGCGACGAACTCTATGATGGTGACTATGCCAACACTGGCCTCACCCATGATGCTGATCCCAAGTGCACCTTTGTGAAATGTTCCAACCACCGCACTTTTATCTTTAACTGCGCCGAGGGTTCTTACAACGGTCATAGTAACCACGGACATGGACATGGGCACGGGCACCATTACTCAGGAGGATATGGAGTTGACTTTTGTCACGTAAATGACCACCATGGCGCTTATCACGTCTGTGGTCACCATGATAGTCATGGTGGGCATCACGGCGGCCACGGTCATAGCGGACATCACAGCGGCCACGGTCATGGCGGACATCACAGCGGCCACGGTCATAGCGGACATCACAGCGGTCACGGTCATGGCGGACATCATGGCGGCCACGGTCATGGTGGACATCATGGCGGCCACGGTCATGGTGGACATCACGGCGGCTATGGTCATGTCGGAAACCATGGGGGACATCACAGCAGTCACAGTCATGGCGGACATCACGGCGGCCACGGTCATGGCGGACACCATGGCGGACATCATGGTGGACACCACGGCGGACATCACGGCGGACACCACGGTGGTCACCACGGCGGTCACCATAGTGGTCACAGCGGACATCACGGCAGTCACCATGGCCATCACAGCAGTCACCATGGACATCACGGTGGTCACCATGGACATCACGGCAGTCACCATGGACATCACGGTGGTCACCATGGATCTTACGGCGGTCACCATGGACATCATGGCGGACACCACGGTGGGCATCATGGCGGCTACGGACACCACGGAAAATAGTTTCTAGGTATTCATCTTATAGAAAAATGTATGTTGAATCGTCGTTGTAGTGGAACTGTGGAAATAATTATCGGTAAAGAACTCAAAATGCGATGAGTACGAATCAATTTGAGAAACACGTAATAATTTACATACTAGCAGATATGTATCATTATGTCATAGTTGATAACAAATTCATAGGTCATTCATAATAGCATTTTTGTCTTCTGTTTATCCGTATATCTATATATCCGTATAAGCAGCAGGTCATAATTATTTTTTGCTTACTTTGAAGGTGTTTTCTGAACAAGGTAGACTTGAATAGGAAACTGGCTACGAACACGGAACTTGACCTGTCTTATATTCCAAGTCAACATGACATCATGTGCTTATATATCACACAATAGGGGAAAGATAGAAAATAATATAATTTATGTGATTGACATATCGAAGTGGCGACAATATTTTAAGTCCTTGATTTACACATATCTGTTATGCCTTGGTCACATTTGCTCCGATTTTCACTACGGCACCCGGCCGATTGAGTATTTTGTTCAGAAATGTATTCAATTTTGAACAAAATACTCAACTGGTCGGGCACCGGCCGATGAATCGTAGCAAATGTGACCCAGGCATTACTGATCAAGGAGGATTGACTCCCAGAGTTCCAACTCATATTCTGCCTTAGCCTTATATGGAGATGTCGGGATTACAAGAATTCAAACAGCCGCCATTTTGTTCACTTCGAAAATTTGAATCATGAGTTTTGGTCTTATTTCCAAATAAAAAACTCCACACACAAGAACACATGTGTACTTCTTGTAAGAAGTGACCGAGATATTGATTCGAATCTTTTAGACTGTTGATTGACTGTTGGCAATTTCATTGTTGGAAAATATCGAGTTACGTCCCTGGTAGCCAATCCTCATTGCTTACTGATTACTTGGCATGATATATCATATTCTGGCCAATCAGAACGCAGTCTTTCAATATTTTACAACAAATTGATGGTGAACAATAAAAGAAAACTGATCAAAATGTTATCGTATCAACTGTAAAATGAAGCCATTTGATTGGTCAGTTCTTGTGCTGTGCCAATCTGTAATTGCTTAATTCTAAGATTGTCCCCATTGATCATCTCCGGAGCAATACAGAAATTGCTCCGTATGGGCATCTCATTAGCAAAACAGGGGATACAGAATATTTCCTAGGGATTATCTCCTAAGTAAAATGTTTTGGCCTAAGATCACACGATTAAAACGTTATAGAACCATTTGAATTGCGATACAGAATTTTTCGAGCATAATATAACCTGTATTGCACTTCAAATCATTCAATAACTTATAGTATTATAAACTATGTATTTAGTATTATAGTTACAGGTGCTCACGCAGGTCAAAATGTTGACCTTGCAAAATGTTCAGGTTGAATTTCATCCTTTTTGATGATATCGTTAAGAAATGTTCGCTATTTGTGAAAATGATTTGGGAGTAAGACTCGATGAATTATGGGTGAATAAATGTACCCTAAGGTTTAAGTCTCATTAAAGAACCGCTCATGCTAAATCATCTACATTACTATCCAGCCCTGGGCTAAATTCTAATAAAATACCATCATGATATATTTTCAGAAACGTTTAATAATAATAATACATATTCATAGACATACGTAGATATATTGATAGTTATATACAGGGTGTCAAAAAAACAACGGCATCCCCTCTACAGTAAAAAGTACTCAATGTTATATATCCTGTTATACCTTATTTGAAAGATAATTTAATTCTGGAGTTACTAATTTAATAAAGCTTTATATTTAAAAAGCTACATGGTTTCAAAGTTTGGTACTTTAGTACTTTGTTTGGTGCGCTGTTACTAGTTAGAGGAATATGAAATAATTAGCCCAGATTTCAACTGCACTGAACATATGCGCTCAGTTCTGAAAAAGAGGGTTTAGGAATTGATGGACAAATATACTCTTGAAAATAGATACAGTAAGGATGTAATTCTGAAGAATGTGAGGAAAGCGCAATGCAATACCTTTATCTGAATTTGACACACCATGTAGCATTAAGTACTTTTTGCTGTAGAGGGGGTGCCGTTGTTTTTTGACACCCTGTACAGAGAGATACATATTTAAATATTTCGATGTAGTTATATATGAAGAATATATAAGAGTGGAATATTCATATTGTTGTTTTGCTTTATTTATTTATTTATTACTTGAAAGGTGATTTGTAAAAATGGGAAACAATTTGACCCAAACGTTGAATTTAGGATTAAAAAGAGAAATGTGTGGGCAAAACGTAACAAATATGGAATTAAGGAACTAGGAGCAATTTAGATCTAAAATGTTTGTCGCAACTTGATTGCCGTAATTAATCCATGTTTGTATACCCACTTCGATCCACTTTGTATATGCAAACAAAAGTATTTACTTTACCTACTTTTATTTTTTGCCGATCGTAAATACCTACTTCGATTGAATTCTTCCACTTTGCATAAACATACAGAAGTGTATCGGCCTATTTTTGCCGATTGCATCATTTGGAATATCTACAATGGTAGAATGGTCAATGGAGAAGTTTCCACACCCTATACAGCAGCGCTGATATCATGTGCGCAAGTTGCGGATATCAACAGTCATTTTTAAATTTTGAATTTATGTTTATAAATTCAGGCATGTTGGGTACTAAGTCATAGTGTTCCATTTGTAGAGGATACCTAATAATAGGGGCATCGTCACTTTACGGATATTCGCGGATATCAGCACCGCTTCTTTAAAGGTAGCACTTTTTGTAATGTTTCCCATTTTGTATAAAATCACACAGAAACCGTTCAACTTTCAAAGTGCAAATATAATTTGTATTGATAGGTCATCTCGATCACTTCTATTGAATAAATGCTGTCTACGCTGTGAAATAGCTGCAATTTCAAATTATTTGCTTTGGAGAGAGTATCATTGATTGCTTGATGTGTCGCTATAGAACGAACTTCACGCCGATGTACATAATTTCCTTTTTATTAGGGAGCCTGTACACATGTATGAATATAAGTGAAGACCCAACATGCTGGTGAAATAGTTGGTGAAATATCACGAAATCAAATTCAAAAATGACCGTTAATATCTGCACCTTGCGCACATGATATCCGCACCGCTTGTTTTCGTATAGCACAGTCTGCATAGATTGTTCCATATAGCTTATTCTAGTTTACCATGCATGAAATTTAAGAGATTTGCACTTTTAACCTGAACGACTATAACTTTTCTTTCTTTTTAATAGCATATTTGAAAAGTTTTCCACAATAATAACTTTGATTTTTACAATTGTCATTTTAATCATTTCCCATGACTTTTAAAAAAAACTTGGGCCAAATCTCTATTGATGTAATGCTAAGATTCTTTAAAACCTTGCAATTGATGATTTGCGATCACCGAATGGATTCTATCTTGTAGTGACGTCATATGCCCAAAAGGCCCATTTTTGAGGCCCTACAAAATGTTTCGGCCCTAAAAATTGTTTTCTAAACTTCATCCATGGGACTCTACACTGGCGGGGCCAGAAGCTAACAAGGGGGAGGGCAAATTTAAAGTCTGGAAAAAATTTGGGGCCCCTAAAATCCAAAATCTTGAAAATTCAGTGACATTTTTGGCCCAAAAAGAAGGTCTAAGAAGGTCAAATTATGCCCAAAAGAGCCCATTTTTCTAACGTTTTTTGGGGGACCCCACAGATGCGCCAGTGCTCTATTCCCACGGGCCTCTATAAATAGCGTCAAAGGTCCAAGGGGAGAGAGTGCATTGCCTTAGCTTTGGTAGACTTACCTTGTGATTTAGTACATGTCTCATCCGTTATTTCTTTTATTTTGTCCTTCAAATTCCTATTTTGCCTCTTCATTAACGAAGTCAATGTTGCTATCTTTGAATCTACTCCTTCCAAAATCTCCTTCTTGAGCATATTTATGTCTTGTTTTTCACACTGCTGGCCCTGCGATAAAGAGAACAGAATTATAAAAATACAAAGAGATGAATATTGAATCATATTGAAGATATGCATCGTTAAGTAAGTGTATATATAAATGACTTAACATCACTGGCAATTATTGCTTAATGTACGATAGAAATAGTGGAGTGACATGTATGTTTACTATCAGTTATTGCTCATAAAAAGGTATTCAAACATAAACTTGATTAATTGCTACAATCGGTTGTCTTCTTGTGCTCATGTGATGCTCATGTGCTCACGAAGCATTTCAATCAAAGAAAGGTGAATAGATGCCGCTGTTTTCAGAGGTATAAAGTCGGTTATAAGGATACAAAGTCCAAGCATCCTTAACAACGATCTAATAGAGTCAAATGTCGCCCCCTCTCCCCAACCATTCAGAGACCATTATTTCAATCGCTATCCACATTGGTGATATCGCTTTTTGAAATATAAAACGGCTGGTTTTAGCGTGGTTCTAATTGAAAGCCCATGATTTTAGACTCCAAATGATGGTGCTTTTAATATTTTCTTGGAATATGAACTTTATGATAGGTTCTTTCATAATGACACTATACCGTAATATGCATGAACCAATTATTTGATGGATACTGAAAATGCGTCTTAATGGTATATGAAAGGAAAATTTATTAAATATTTCAAAGAATTACCCAGAGAGCTATAAAAGATACATTGATTAAACAATTTGCTCTTTTCTTTATATCTGTTACAAATGACAGCCATAAAAAATCCATAACGCTTACAAATTAGGGTAATATAATGGTGACTTTCAAACATAAGCTCAAAAATTATTATGTTTTTTAGTTCTTCAAAGAAATCTACAAATGTTTCGTTGCGGTTTTATCTTTACATCGTTTTTTCAATCACCGCCATCACTTTTCTAACGACGTTACCTTGAAATATCAAGACATCATGCTATTCTCATACTTATAAAACGCATTTTATAGAGCTATATAGAAACTTTACAATTGAACAAAATTCAATTTAAGACTCCAGATTTTAAATGAAATAATTGCAAGGTTTGTGAAAAATCATTCCTGGTATCTGTTATCTTTTAAAAGAATTGAACTCAAGCTATTCAAAATTTTAATAAGCCCAGCTACGAGGGATGGATAAAGATTAAAAACCTTAGATAAAGATACAAGTGCAGTTTTATGCATAGCCACAAGGTCTTGGGACAAAAGGACAACGCATCATTGTATTCATTATGACGTTAGAAAGGTTGCTATTTAAGGTTTCTATTTAACTGATACCACGACAACGCATAATTACTAAATTGTAATGATACAAAGAAACTAGATTGAATAAAATAATTTGATTTGTCGGAAAATGGATGATATAAAACCACCCATTCCTCCTCGTGACACACTTACTGAATACATGAAGACATATTTTCCGGGAGTAACACTTGATTGTGAACAGCGGATAAGAGACAGAGGCAAATCGACGTCGAATTCAAGAAAACCAAAGGACAAAGTAGACATTGGAAACCGCGATAAGTCAGGCAGTAAGCCATCCTCAGCTCGAGAGAATAAAAGCGGTGAACTTACATTTGATAATTTGGTTCTCACATCCGAATATAAAACAGACAGTCCAGAGAAAAAGAGTGACGTAGAAAAAACATCCTCAGTCTCGACCTCCGAAGAAATTGGTTGGCCCATTATTCAACGGAGCTCAATTCAGCCCCTAACGTGTCACTCTCAAACACCTCACCCGCTAACCATATCCCGTGGTACCAGATGGGATAAGTTTAACACGGTTGTTGAACGAACATATGGCCTTGAAGATGTCGATATATTGAACAGCTCTGAGATAGAATTTGTGAAGGATGGTAATGGTAACCCGGCCATCCTTCACGATTGTGCAAAACATCGCATTTATTTAGGATCGTATGCTCATTTAGTTGACAAGGGTTGGATGTGTCGGAATCAAAGAAATATAGCCTCTACATTTTATAAAGATAAAGTAGATAGAGTAGTCGAAACAGTTGTCATCGAAAGCAAGAAACGAGAACATGCTGACACTCTAAATTCCACGTTTATACACCTATCTGTATTGGCAAAAATCAGAAAAGCAAAAATAAAACAGGTGCCGTTATTATTAGGGGCAATAAGGTTGGAACACACGACTGCCCTATATCTTGATTATGCAACTGTCACTCGTTTTATTGGTGATGTAAATCAGGAAACTGTTACTCGTTCTGGAGGTGAAGTAAATCATGACTGTTTCACAACGTGTACAGATATTGAAGCTTTCCTTAGAATAAGAAGAAAAGAGGGCGCTATAACTGATGTATTCTGCTATCGTTTGCTCTCTTTATTAACCTCAGTTATCGCAAGAGTTCATAATCTCGGAATTGTCCATAATAGCATCTGTCCATCGAACATCATTGTTAAATACGGTGTTCACGACAATGACAATTTTGCCGTTTTTGTAACTGGATGGGGAAATGCCACTACTGTTGAACAAAGTTGTTTCACCCATTCATGCCGTGTATCAACATCTTCTGATAATGATTTATACATCGCCCCAGAACTAACACGGGGAGATACTCCGACTCTATCCTCAGATGTATTCAGTTTAGGAAAGGTTTTCAAACAAATAGCAAAAAGTTACTGGATCTTGGAAGAAATCATTGTAGACTGTTTTGATATTGAACGTTTCTTAGACGAAGACCCAAATTACAGACCATCAGCGGAAGAAGTTAATATTGCATTACATTTAAGGAAATCTTCCAGAGGCTTAACGATCCCTACATGTCCTAATGAAGTAAGTCGGTCAATTTGGAGCAAAGCGTGGGAAGACAGACGGACGGATTATGACGATGAAGATGTTTGTAAATATATCAAATCTAGAATTGACCAAAAGAAAATCCTATGCGAACAAAAAGAAAAATGGGCGGATGAGATCATGAAATGGACATTTGTTACCATGGAAATTAAGCATTGGAAGAAACAATGCGAAAGGGTTGCCATTGACTTCGATACTAAAACAGTTATACAGGACATAAAAGAGAAAAGTGACATTTAATTATGAAGAATTAATCGATACACTATTTGCAATAATGATCGTATTTGATTGAGCTTGAAAAACATATATCCGGTTAATATGCCATCTCTAATTGCTGAGGTCGATTTTGTGAATTGTTCCATATTACATACATTTTAGACAGCCCTATTTCAATGTCCCAATATATGACAAATGGGCTGTTTTCTAAAAAAGGTTATTTTCAACTGCAGCATTGTAATGCCAATTTTACGTTCGTTCATGGTTAAAGGTGCAACAATTAGTGGGGGGGGGGGGCATTCAACGATCATCGACCAGTGTCAAAATATATTTAAGTTTGGATATTTCATCAAGACTAACATATATTTTCATTATCTACAAAGAAACCCCCTGGATGAACATTACATCAGCTGATATTCCTCTTGAAACGTGGCGGATCTTAAAATCTATAAGTGGGACTCCCTTTATAGAAGCTTTGAACTGAATTTACACTTCTTAATGCTGAAATTGATAGTTTATACATACATTTTAAGAAAATAGGTATGTCAAAGAAGGTGTTAAGCCAAATATTGACCTGATAGGTCAGAAAAATTCGAATTTTCTCTATACAGTCCTTGTTGCCCCTTTAAGTATCTATAAACTGAGATGCGCATACTAAACACACATCTGGAATAAATATGCAACATTCGTCCGCGAATGGCTGCCATATTGCCAAATTGGAGCCGTTAGTCTCTGGTTCAAATGTATCGATTGTACCTTCAGTATGTCAGAAACACATGATATCAAAATAAAAATTCATTTTGCTATTCAGGGATATTTCTCATTTAATGGTGCATCAAATTCATGTAATCAATGTTTTACTTGTTTTATATATAATGAACCGTGTGATATAATAAATAAAACCTGCCCCCCCCCTAATCCGTGTTGCTACAGCAACCATATCACGCAAGGTATCTGAAGCATGCATTATCATGATATTTTGTTAATGAAACATAAATAAGGGCATAAAGTACATATGGTATGACGTTTCAGCAAAAATTGGTAAAATTTTTGATGAAAATGAAAGCAAAGATTTCAAGACTTTTTCGACAACCCTCGAAAATAATAATGTTCTAAATCACATTTTGGTGAAACTGTAAAATCAGGTTTTGAAAGATTGGACATCTGTAACTTCAAAAGTATTCAACTGCTATGCTTGTTAAATGTTCACAATATTTAACATATAGTAATATAGAAAATCTATATATTTTAAGATTGTCTCAAACAGTTTTTGAGCAAATTGAAAATAAAGATATGACCAGTTTCAACGTTCAATGCTTTCGTAACACTGAAATAGTAAGTGTGTTCTATGTTCATTTTCCTATGTATTTGCAATTGGCATATACTTCTTTTCTCAATATTGAAAAAACAAAATAAAATCTCATCTCATAAATTAAAATCTCAGTTCAACTCGTTCTGAAACGTAAACATCGCGTCACATATACGTGCAGAACGTATAAGTAGAGAGGTTTCGCAAAACGAATTAGCTAAAACGTATCCGCATCCGTATCTCGTTACGTTTACGGATACGTATTTCGATAATTTTCGTTTCGCAGTTCGTTTTTTGAAGTACGTAAATATAAACGCACCTCAATCCGCGTTTAATAGTAGTGAAAACTAGGGTCAAATAAAAGGCTTAATCTGCACTAAGATTTCAAAACACCATTGGGAGTGTCAGCTTTCAGAATCACAACTCCAAAAGTATTTTTGGTGAGTGCAAAAATACATCTTAACCCTTTCATCCCTAAGGTGTCATTTATTAATTTCATGACATCAAGAATATCCTTTAGGCCAGAAAAGATTATTTCCAGGTTTACAATAACCAATTCAGTGTCAAATTATACTTTTGGGAAAATTTAAGGGTTTGAAAACAGATAGGCTGAATAGTGGTTATTAAGTGACGTGCAGTGACTGCATAATGCCACAAAATGCGTAAACATTTCTAAAATCACTTGCCATGCTGCACATGGACCTTTAATTTCATGTTTTTGCAGCTGTATATTTTGGTAATAATTCAAGATCAAATAAGTAAAAAAAATAGCGACTTGGGCAAGGCCAGGGCATTCGGAAACAATACGTTTTCACATAAGCCACCCACCTTTCCTCATACATGGGCTTTAATTAGTTGAAAACCCATGCCTCATATAAACTAAGGAGGGGAGCAAAGTAACATATTTGATCATAGAAAGCGACACAAGCATAGGAAATTATCCTATGTTTCAAGAAACATTTATGCAATAAAAGTATGTTTTGTATGAGAAATCAACAAAAAATATATTATGTAAAAAGATAAATTAGCATTGTTTTTCTTGAATTGCTCATCAGAGAACGACGCGAAGCTAACGCCTACCATACCAGTTGAATATCTCACCATCATAATACCCTATTTCCCCTTTGGGGTCTACACAGAATCAACTGATAAACCAACAACATAATACCCTAAACCGGCCATTTGTTTCTTAACCCAATAAACACCACAACCTGATCGGACACAGCCCACATCTCAACATATATAACCTATTACAACCAAACACAATCTTGATCACCAATCATGCAACATTACAATAGAACATAACCCAGTGTCAAAATACGCAGAACGCAATAGAGCATAACCCAGCACCAAAGCCAGCATAGCGCAACCTGACTTACAACTACTAAAAACACAACCAATTATCAGATTAACACAATATGTCACAACGCAATAATAAGACAACAAAGACAAACACAACCAATTGTTGAATTAACTCAACACAATTGTGCACAATCCAACAATAAACAATAAAAACACAATCAGGCACAACCAGTAAAATACAACTAAACTAACAACCATGAGAACACATCGAACTGTGAAATTATCACCAACAATTTGGCACAACCCAATGGTAAACCAACAAAAGCAAACACAGCCCATTGTTCAAGTAACACAACACAATTTTTCAAAACCCAAAACCAAACAATCAAAACAAAATCAGGCACAGGCAAAAAACACATTAAAATTGTAATACCGAGATACACACCATTAACTTAACCCAATTGGAGACAACGCAAATCACACAACACAATCAGACACAACAAGATACCTCACCCGACTAGCCACAACCAGCTAGCCAACCAACCAACAACCATCAAAAGAGAACAGAGTCTCAAACGTACACAACACAATTCGGCAAAACCTATACCTACTTGACACTAACCCACCATTACACAACCAGGCTTAACAAAATACTCAATCGATTTACTCAGCCCATCAAAACACAATTAGGCACAACCAATAAACCACAACGAAACGAGATGATACCGATTTACTCAACTAAGTTATTCCAACTGGAGACAATCGCACAAAACAATCGGGGACAACCCGATATCTACTGATTTGTACTTGAATTACAACCCCCCCCCCCCTTTCCCTATCATCACAAGGCTGCTAATGAAGAACACATCATGGACCACTACCAAAGAGTTAGGAACATCTGGGGGCCCTACTGTGACTCATGTGTACTGTAAGAGAGAAGATCTGATACAGGATCTGGATGTCAGGCCTGTCTTTACAAAAATGAAAATAGGAAATGATACGCCAGTATTATCATCCTAGGATCAAAGAAATATACTCTACCTGTTACATAATCACTGACGTTGGTTCGGGGAAGCTTGGGCACTACTAAGCTTTAGGGCACTAGTCTCCCTGGACCCCCAAACGAGGCCGCTTACTATTTGACATAGATCGCATGACTTGATGCGTGTTCAAGTCTTACCACGGGAAGAAGCTACCTGGCTAGAAATTTCATCATACTGAGCACTTTTCGGGAGTTTTAAGCCAAAAAGTTCCCCCTTGCCATTCATTGTCGAGGTCAGGACCAAGCTACTTTACTCAAACTAAGCCCAAGACCCTGCTCTATATGAATTCGGAGCGTGACTTAGGCACAAAATAAATATTCAGGTGGCCAACAGGCCATGGCCAGTAAGACACTTTTCTCAAAGGGGGTGCGGTTTTTAAGAAAAAATAAAATTGTCATTTTCCGTGTAAATCAAATCGCGTAAGTCAGAAGGGGGGGTCAGTTACTCTCTATATTAAGGCCACTCAGCCTATATTGTAGTATTTTATTGTTTTCATATTGTTTTTAGACTAAATATTGTATGAGCAATTTGGAGAAACATTGGAATAGGGGGAGGGTGTGCTAGAAGGCAATAGAATCAATTTAAAGAAATTCTGATTTTCTTCTAAGATGAACGAGTGGGCAGCACAGAAAAATTTTACAAATTCAAGATGCTGTCTCGTTAATTCTGACCACTTTTAATGTGTTTGAGTAAATGAATGCTTTAGTTTTTGGGATGCGGTGTCAGAATTACTTATGATTTCATTATGTCACTTGGTGATCTCTGGGCACTTTTAAAGTGTTTAAAATTAATAAATGCAACTTCGTAACATTCCCAATTTTTGGTGGGGGTGTGAGGAGTGCCCCCCTCTAGAAAATTTTACACTTTTGAGATGTTATTTGGTGCTTTCTGGGCACTTTCAAAGTGTATGAGTCAATAGAAAATGTGTTTCAATTTTTGGGGGGTATCAAAGAGGATAAAAGGGTGAGGTGGGGTGGGGATGCCAGAGGGAGAGCAAGGGGTTTCCCCTCAGAAACATTGACCATTTCAAGGAGCTATTTGATGATGTCTGGGCACTTTTAAAAGTGTCTGAGATAATACATGATATTCATATTTTTTCAATTGTTTTGTGGGGGATGTGATAGGTGACCAACTCTCCTAGAAAATTTTACAATTTTAAGATGATATTTTGTGCTTTCTGGGCACCTTTAAAGTGTATTAGCCAATAAAAGAAATGATCAACAATCACATTTTTTCAAATTTTGGGGATGTCAAGGGGGAGTGCCAAAGGGGGAGGTAGGGTTGGGGTACCAGAGGGGGAGCAAGTGTTTGTCCCCCATATCTGTCCCCCAGAAACATTGACCATATAAAGTTGCAATTTGATGAAGTCTGTTTCTGAGACAATACATGAAATAAATTCAGAATTTTTGCCAATTGTTTTGTGGGGGATGTGAGGGGTGGCCTACTTCCTTAGAAAATTTTACAATTTTAGGATGCTATCTTTAAATGATGCTATTTGGTGCTTTCTTTTTTATGAGTCAATTAAAAAGATTAAATCATAATTTTTTGCAATTTTTTTTGGGAGGGGGGTGTCCAAGGGGGTGAGGATGCCAGAGGGGGAGCAAGTGTTAGTCCCCCAGAAACATTGACTATATCAAGGAGCTATTTGATGATGTCTAGGCACTTTAAAAGTGTCTGAGACAATACATATAATAAATTCAGAACTTTTCAATTGTTTTGTGGGGGGGGCTGAGGGATGGCCCACTCCCCTGGAAAATTTTACAATTGAATTGTAAGATGCTATTTGGTGCTTTCTGGGCACTTTCAAAGTGTATGAGTCAATGGAAAAAATTAGAAAAAAAAAAATTTTCACAAAAAAAATTTTCACAATTTTTTTTGGGGGGGGGGGTGTCAGAGGGGGGTGCGCACCCATCGCACCCCCCTCCCATCTGACGGCCATGGCCTAGCTGCTAACCATTGGTTTGATGTCCCTAAGAAATTGACTACGGTATTACTATTGACCCCAGAAACGATAGACCTTACATCTGCCTATTAGCAAATGTGACTAAAGCTTTATTCGTAAAAAATGGCAGGCCCCTCGCTTAAAATCAAATTTATCGGCAGATAAGGCTATTACTTCATCAAAATTAGCACGATACACATGATTACATATGTTGGTTACTAAAATTATACATTTAGGGAAAATTTTATCAAGATTTGAAGGACAAAATAGATACGGAGACAAAACGCACAGAAAGTGTTAGTTTACGTACTTTCGGTATTGCTGTTGGTATCACAAACGTATTGAGTACACTTTTGCTCCATCGATACGTTACGGAGCTTGATACGGGAAGCTTAAACGTTGTGCGAAACATGTACACTGTAATTATTGCAACCATTCAATACAGTGTAAAATGAATTGAACATACCATTTGAAAAACTCGATTTATTTCAAACAATAAACAAACTCACTCACCAAATTTTAGTCAAATTATGCACAGCACACTGTGCTTGTTCATATAGTGATACCTTTAGAACTAAAAACAATAAAATCGAAGGGTAAAATCGGATACGTAAATGACCAACGTACAAAAGCCTCATTTTTCGTGTTTTTCGTATCATTTCACGTATAAATTGAACTGACTACACATAAATCTGGTAAATACGTTACGGATACGGATCCGTGGAGCTAAAAAACGTTTTGCGAAACCTCTCTAGTAATTCCCTCATGCGTACGCTAATTCCATGCAATGCTTTAACTTCTAGATGGCCTATCCGTACGAGTACATTCATGAAGTTTGTAAATAGTCCCCCAAATGGTTCTTAGTACGTTCAATCTGTTCGTTAACAGTTGTTTTCGAGAACGTAATAAAATATTTGGTGTGATAGTATGGTAAGTTAAAAAGGACAAACATGCCTTTTTATCCACATAGTTTTGGGGTCATATAGAAGCTAACGTATAATTACTAAAACGTTACCATACCGACGATAGAAATCTATTAACAGAAATTACTTGTGCTAAACATGTGTTTACTTGCACTGGATGGACCCATGTAGATTAGAGTCCTAATATCAGAGCTTTATACGTTAGATTAATAAACAATTATTATTTGTCAGTGGAAGTTTGTATCTTAATTTGATAACCTACTACTGTATAAGTAACTGCCATTTGCAATTGGCCCTTTATATTAATCCGACATTAGCTAGGTTTTAAGCTTCAAAATCTGCAATACATTATAAGCATCGTCTGTTGGTGGACTTTTGCCGCGCGAAGCGTAACGTGACGTTGAATGACGTAATATAATACAGAGATTTTATTGGAAGGCACAAGTGTTTGTAGGATATGCTCATTAAATATATCCTGATTGTATTGGTGTGTTTTGTAGCAATTTGTGACACAAAGGGTAAGCCATTTTATATCTCTTATAACTGTAACTTTTAAGTACCTAAAAGCGCAATAATGTAACTAGACGGCACAAAAATAATTTTGATAAAATACTTTAATTTGTGAGTTATAATATCCATTGGGATATACTTGTATAACGAAAAACAAAAAATAACGAAGATTTAATAATGTACACAATTGAATAAAAAGTTGGCTGTCATATCAAAATGGTACAGCTATTTTTTATTTCAACATTGTATTGATTTGTAATAGCCAAAGTGGCCTTCATTTAAATATTAAAAGAATCTCGCCATGGCCATATGTTATCGTGCATACATTAAACATACCATTGTGTTATCTTAACTTACGACCTTATACTCAATTCATTAATCATTGAAAAATGTCAGAACAAATATATATATAAATATATTAAAGAGAGAATCAGAGATAGCGAGCAGGCTAAACAAAAAATTGTTTCAATTTTAGAATATTTTTGGCTCATGTCATTCCTTGTGATGTCTATTTTCTAAAAATCACAAAAGTGCATACTTTATTCAAGGAAAACAAAAGATTTTTACAATAATGTATTATTTTTTTATAAGAATGGTTACCATTCTTATTATTTGGGAGAATTTAAACATATTTCACCCATTTTCGCACTTTGCATCATTAATAACTTCACCAATTTATAACATATCGTGAATCTTTTGGGAGATATTGTATTTGATATTGTAAGGAATAGATTGGTAGGTCAATTATGCATGTTGCCTGTAATTTTGTCACCCCCTATAGATCTGATTCTGCCTTTAAACTGTCGTTTACTTTTAAGACTTGCTATTCGTTGACGGATGTCTTATTAGGCCTACCCAAAAATTGCTCGACCAGAAATTAGGTGTATTTCAGTGGAAGTATCTCCTATCTGCAATTTCCCCCCAAAAATTAGTTCTTGTGTGCTCTAAGTGAAAACATCAAATAGAATGCTTCTATTTAGTCATGTGACTATGACGCAACAAGTCTGTTTTTCCTATCAATTTATGAATTGATTAATTTGATGCCATGAATTGATTAACTTGATGCCATGAGGTTTATTACATTATGATCATTTTTAAAAAACGATTAAATTTATACTAAAATTTCTTACCTGGTATAATAATAATCAAAAAATGATTAAAATGGGTTATTTAAAATTTCTCACTTGGTAAGAAATATTTTACCATGTAAGAAATGTAAGCATATTTTTAATCATTATTATGATCTGTATTAGATGTTCAAAATATAATATCCCCGTTTACCCCCCTATCACACCAAACTAGTTCTTATCCGTTCTTGCCAGTCCTACGAAAACGTCGTAAAACGGGCTCAATCTGGCTGTGGTCGGGAAATATGTCTGAAATAATTAGCTTCTTCGTTCTTAAACAGTCTTCAGTACGTCCATCTCGTTTGCAGTTCGTTCAGGTCGCACCACGTCGGTGTGCAACGTAGTAGAACGCGTCCCTTAGTCTAGAAGGTCAACATGACCTGATTACAGAACGGTATGGTCGCCATCGAATTTTGAATCGATTCAAAATTCTAAAATCACATTCCCGTCTGAGAACGTTCATAAAGTTCGTAAATAGACCTTAGAAAAATGCAGCTACGTTCATTCCGTTCGCACAAAGTTTAAAACCAGTTTTGAAGAACGCAGTGGCAACTTGTTTGGTGTGATAGCTATATTTTTGCTAACTCGTTCATAAGCAGTGTTAAATACGTTCTAAATCAGTTTAAACCCGTTTGCAATTAGTTCTACCTCGTTCTCAACACGTCCTCAGACAGTTCAACTCGTTGTTAAAACGTCCCTAGTAGGATTGAAGTACGACGGTTCCGTTCGTAGTACGTGCAGCTCGTCGATAGTACGTTGTCACTCGTTCTAATTGTAGAACGTGACGACCACGAGAACATTTTGAGCATTGTCTAAGTTCTAGAGGACCTATCCGTTCGAGTACGTTCGATGAAGTTTGTAAATAGATCCCAAACGGTTCTTAGTAGGTCCAGTCCGTTCGTACACAGTTGAAGCCCGTTTTCGAGAACGTAGTGAGAACTAGTTTGGTGTGATAGTAGGGTAAGAACAAAAGAGAAGTCCACTGTCAAAGAAAATTCTTTATATGAAGCAAAAGAGAAGTTTGCTGGCAAAGAAAGCTCAACTCATGATTCCAAGGAAAATACTTTCATCATAAAATACTCAACTTATAAAACTAAAGAGAGGTCCATTGTCAAACAAAGTTCAATTCATAAGACAAAAGAGCATTCCATGGCAAAAGAAACCTCCCTACATGTACATGCTGAAGGTAAAGAGAAATCTACCACGATAGGAAATTCTTCTCTTAAAACAAAAGAGAAGTCTCCTGTCGTTAGAAGCAAAATATAGTTAGAAAAACGAACATCACAGAACAATACTGACAAATCAAAAGATCAAATATCAGTGAATGAAAGTATATCAACAATAGGCAGAGAAGAGACATTTCACTTTTCTTACATAAAGTCACCAATGAAAGGAGCAACACAGAACCCCAACCTAAGATCATATTCTAAAGAAGATACATTATACAAATTCAACCTGGTACCTCAAGTGAGATACCCAGCTAAAGGCAAGAGAGATCTGAAACACTGCACGAAACGGAAACACGAGGCAAAAATAATGAGCAAAGTTAAAACTGTTTAATTCCCATCTCTTCACAACATGTTTAAGAAACCATGCAAAGACATTAGACACTTTTTAAATAGAAGCTCTGGGAAATGCAGTGGGAGAGAATCTCAAAACAGAATCCCAAACCACTTTCATTGTGCTACTTTTACAATAGCACAATAGTCTTCAAAATCATATAGATGCCTACAGTACTAGTTTTATAATATACGACAGAGTTAATTGGCTTAATAATTCAATAGCTCATATCCAAGTCTTATAGAAGGTTTCTTGTATCATTTAAATTTGCAATGTTCTGTTCATCTTTGATTTTATATTTTATGATTTCCTTTACTTGGATAAAGCTGATTTTAGTTTTAATCAGTCTCGATTTATGTATTAGGCTTTTCGTATTAGATACAAAAATTTATGGCTTTAGTTTTATACTCGTTTTCTTCATTTAATTTTCCTACAATTATATCAGAGTTTGGGCACACAATATAAAAGTGTATGGTTTCATCGATTTTGTTATTATTGCATAAATAGCACAATTTTGAATTTTTGATCTTTTGAGTAAAAAAGTTATTGTTCAGCGTTAGATTTAAGATGAGTTAGTATTGAAGACATTGTATTCTTGGTTCTCGCACACAAAAGTGTTAGTTAGGAAACATTGGTTCTCTTCTCACGCGACGAAATATATCGGCCACTTTTTGACAAGTATTATCTCGACAACTGATTAACCAAATTCACTGAAAATGTGTATAAAGTAGCCCAAGAGTATCCGTAGCAAGGTACAAAAATATGAAAAGGATCAAGTAAATGTTATATGTGAGTACTAGGAAATTCAAGATAGCGTGTTGATAATAGCCAATACCGGAGAAACGCAATGGGAACTCTAATAGCGTTTCTCCTCAAAAATGGGAAGCAATTTGAATGGGAAGTAATTTCTCAGCAATGGATACGCCAAATTTTTGGAAAACTTTGCCAAAGGCACTTTATGGTATCTTCTGCTAGTGCCATGAATATGTAAGAGATTGGTTCATATTATATGTGTATATTAAAGCCAGTATGTCAAAATGAATTGAAAACAAAAAGCAAAAATACTTTTCCGTATTTATTCTAGCATACCCTTTGCATTCGTTTGACTTCACTTCTTAAAAGAGAGCTTCGTCTTCAAGACTCTGCACGCAGGGTAATTCTAGCAATATCACCTCCAATGAATTTGAGGATGAATTGAATTTGGGATATTTGGGATGAACGAAAAGAATTAATCAGACATCACTCGGCTCCCATCGAACGCAGTGAAGACCGAGCGTGCGAAGATGATAGCTGGTACAAACACTATAATGTAGACGTCTCATATCAGAGCTCCGGTATATGGGAATTTTTGACATGCTATTTTTAATTTCCTATTACTCACAGAATATTTACTTGATTTTTTTTATATTAGTACAAATTTTCTGTGAATTTGGTTTATCAGTTGCCGAGATAATATTTGTCAAAAAGTGTCTCATTTTGGAACACCTGATATATATTACAACCCTCCTTCTCAATTTACACATTCACCACCTCTCGACTTTAAGCGTTTTCTTGTGGACACTTGCATCAAACCAATATGTTCCCCGATCTGTGAGATAAAAAGTGAAACACAAAGCTTTATTTGTATATAACTATAATATTATAGATGCTGTGACACATTCACGGCGCAAACGACTGATTGGAGGCGATGAGATCGACGAGGCTGAATGGCCGTGGTTGGTTTCTCTGCAGGGCAAGATTCCCACCACAAGGTTTTTTGGTCTTCCAGTTATGTTCACGACGGTCTACTGTGGAGGCTCAGTTCTTAATGATAACTGGATAATGACAGCCGCCCATTGTTTTGATGGACATAGGTAAAATAACTGTTATATCAAGGGGTATTGAGACCTATATGATTTATATTTATATTAAGTATTATTTTTCTATTTTAGATATTTTCGATTATTCTAAATAATATAGTCATTTTATATTTTACAACAACCAATCAGAGCACAGCATTTCAATTGCATTCTGTCCTACTATATGATGCTTATGCTGTATTTTTGTTGCAGGGGGCAAGCTAAAATCCCTGGGAATTGGGAAGTGAGACTCGCCAGTGTAAAGATAAAGGTAAATCATCCGATGTATATTTCTGGGTCGCAATCATTGCTAGTTGGTTTAAAATTTATAAATAATGTTATGAATCAGAGGTCATAGAATTGCATGTTTCAGTATATGCTACCGATATAACACGAGTTCTAGCAATAATGTTCCTCACAAATTGTAAATGTGATCAGGGTCGAAGTAAAGTTAACCTTCGGACGTTGTGATCAAAGCGAATAAAGTATTTGCATTATTGAAACGTGAATAGTTATTAAATCTTCATCATTGTGTAAATTACAAAAGCATATTTTTTTATAGAAATAATAGACACAATGAAAATGTGGATATAACCAACATTTTTCAATCGGTCAATTATGTGGGTGGAATTACCGAGAAAAAAACTCAAGCACTACTCGAGAATCTGTTATTATTAATTATAAAGTTAAAAATCTTGCCAAGAGCATGCACAAGAAATTATCAATGAAATGCTGAACATCATATTCCTCAAATAAATCTCTTAAAATCTACTGTTTTTTCTTCAAATCGTTAATATATGACAAGGTACATCTAAAGTGTACACCCATATATTTTGTCACTGTACGTTGTCGATGATTAGGCGTGTTATAGTGACTTGTGTGATGTATGAATAGATATTCTCTGAACATGTTCGATAATAATGTTCGACATGTTCGATGTTCCCAATTAAATAATCGTTTGGGATGTTTTGGAATTTGCTTCCTTACGGTAAGTTATTTATGTTCTCAAATGTTTCTTTCCTCCTACCCTTTGCATTCGTTCGACTTCCGTTTATACCTAGACTGTGCGCGAAGGGTACGTTCCACCGTGTGTGTTTTCTATACGTTTGGCATTTTTCTTTATGTCACTTCTACTTAAATGTATTTAAAAGAAATGTATATGCACCTTTGAACTTCAGCCTTCAGCTGCTGACTGGCTCATGCACGTGCTTGGCAAAATATTTGACAAAGAAGAATGGCAGCAATGGAACATTGATGTAGACAAGATACTCATTCATCCACAATATGAAAGAACTAGTAAGTATACGTTCATTACTGGTGAAAATCCCTTATTCTGGCACAATACATTTGTGTCTTTCTTTCCTGAAAACGTACGTGTTTGTCGTGAAGCAACATGTGACTGTGATCACGTGTTTGTAAACTTAATCGTTCTCTTTCATTTAGTTCTACTGTTCTACCTAGGGTGTAATAAACGCACCTCTTGTCTTGACTCGGCATCCCTCACGGAAATCTTAAATTCAACTACTCAATTTGAAAGCACTAGCACCTTTCAATTACATTCCTAAATTAATCAAATATCAAAATAAAATCAGCAATATATCTTTTTTCTCAAGGTCATTGGAATAATGACATTGCATTGGTGAAGCTGAAAAAGTCAGTCCCATCTGGTGAGCAATTTAACGAAATTAAGAAGGTTAAGTTACCTCGACAAGGCGACAATAGCTTCCCGAGAGATGGCCAAGACTGCATCATGAAAGGATGGGGATGTACAGCCAAAGGTAAAAGATGTTTTATAAACTAACTTGGCAATCACTTCTTTAATTCTAAATTCTCTCTCGCATTGTACAAACGGACAAGTACGATCAGACGTGATTTCAGTCCATACCAGTTGGCGACATATTTGTACAATTCATGTCATTGATTTGATATAAGATGGCGTTAATAATAAAACAAGTTTTGAAGGCGTTCAAAATAATTCCAGACGGCATATATGTCAAAGTGAATATTGACGACGACCTAAAAAGTATGTTTTAAAAGCGTTAAAAGTATTTCAATGAAGTGGTCCAGATGGCCATCCATAGAACACGTTATATTACGATACTTGTGGTTATGTATACCCAGCTTTGCAAATTAAAGTCCATAATTTTTTTTATAACTGGAAGTGACATTTGATTTGTTCTTTTTCAGGATCTAGTGTATCTTCACGGGCTAAAGCTGTTGAACTTCCGAAAGTGAACGATCAAACTTGTCACCGTATATACGGCACACCTATGGTTAATAGGGTATGTGCCGGATACAATCTCGCTTCAAAGGGTAAAGGGTTTTTAAATAACAAAGGAGCACGTAGGTTATCGCAAACAATTTCAAACAATTCAAACTTGAATTATGAATATTTTCTGATCATGAACATGGGTGTATCTTTTAGATCCATTCATTATCTTCAAGAAAAGTATATATATTGATAATTTAGTTAATGAGACCTAAGTGATATTGAAGGGGCAATGGACCAATCAGCATACTTTTTCAAAAATGTTGACATAATTTTCACCAAAAATGCAACCTTTTATTATATTTCTGAATGCATAATTAGAATGTGCTTTGAGACATGTTCGATTTCCTAAAAGGAAAAGTTGATTGCTCCAGGGACTTTCAAGAACTATTTGATACATCAAAATAGAGAATAGTAATTGCATTAAACATTGAAAAAATGATTGCATTTTTGGTGAAAATGGGGTCAACATCTTTGAAAAAGTGTGTTGATGGGTTGATTGCTGGTTAAATATCTCCGAGTTTGTTTGACTCTATTATTACTGTGTATAATTTTCTTTGAGATAATGAATTGATCTCAAAGATAAACTTGTGTTCATTGTCAGAAAATAGTCATGATCCTAGATATAACCTTCTGAAATTGTCTGCGATAACCTACGTGCTCCTTTAATGTTTTCTCCATTACCTCGTCTAATCCTAATGTACCTATCGGAACACTGTTGAGCACTGCTAGCTGTAACCATGATTGATGATACCTTAAACAGTAATTAAACAAATGATTCTAACTGATGTTGAATATTTTAAATATAAATAGTGTGATAACGTATTTCATTTGATTTTAATTTACATTACAATGTAAACCTTATTGAAATCAAAATATTATTATCACGTCCGCATATAATTTCAAGGTATCTGTTCGGGAGACAGTGGTGGTCCCCTAGTGTGTAAGCAGAATGGACAATGGGTTCAGGCCGGGATAGCATCATTCACGAGCTCTGATAGACCAGGGGGTTACCCTGGGGCCTTCACACGCGTTACCAGCTATGTGAACTGGATCAAAGAGACCATGAGGAGAAACTAAATATTCGCATGCATTCTGGGTCAAGAGTGTGACTTACCATGCAAATGCTTTATGATATGGAATTTTTTTGAAAATGTGTTAACAAACAATTAGATTTCAGTTTATCAATCCAACACGATGTTTAAGAACCGCAAACGTACGCTTTGGAAGACTAAGGCGTTAATCGCAGTACGCCAACACAATTTTTCGAATGTTACAAGTACCAAGCAAATAAAAATTATTTCAAAATAATGAAATCGATACTGTTTATTTGAAACAAAGGATGGTTTTGCATGGACCCAGTGATGCTTGTAATGTTTCCTTCCTAAAAATGTGTTCCAAAAAATCTATATATTCTGAAAATATATTGATCTAAATGTACAATAAATATTATTCGAATTCATTTAAAATCAAAGAGAATTTATAGTTTGTTAATAATGATTAATTTGTCTCGGTTCAAATTTATATGATTTGAAGTCATAATAAATGCTTTACTGATTTTTCTGGACAACATATCTAAATGTTATAGTTCAGATTATAGGAGTTGGGCACACATGGTGCGTTGGATACGACGATGATGGATTTTTCAATGCCAAGACTATTAATTCACCTAATTTTCATTATCAGAAACTAGACGGGAAAATATATGTGTAAATAAGACTGTACAAGTACGAAGAACTTTTACAAGAACAAAATGGACACCAATGTTAGGTACTCGAGGATTATCGAACAAGTATTACATGAAGCATTTTGAGGTGGTTACAATAAAATAAAACTTAAGTTATGAAATGATCTACGGTTATAACAGAGAAGAATATAAACATTATATTAACTTTATTTTGAAAGGATCTATTCGAGGGTTGCCACAGAAGTAATGCATTATTATGCTCTAACTTTCTTGAATATTTTGAAATTCAACTTTTGTGTATTTTACAATAAAAGTGTTTAGTCTTAAAATGGTGGCTATAGCTACGCGGGGTAGGGATAGGCAGTTCAGGTACCAGGCAGGACAGTTTGGATGGCCAGTATTGCGCCAGGTTTTTAGCATACTTATTATTGAGATGCAAAATGGTATTTGTTCATTAATTTTTCTATATATTCATTTTTCATTCTTTTTGAAACGACAAAAAATCTGCCCCGCCATACCCAAACTCACCAACTAGATTTTATATATAATATGTTTATTTATTTAAACTAATACTTTTATATATCTCATGTAAAATACCAAGTTTTGATGTAGAGCAAATGGCGCATTACTTCTGGGACAATCCTCGAAAAATATAAATAAAAAGCGTATAAAAGGCCAGGATGACATAACAATGAATTCAATTTTAGACAAATTGATTTTTAACGTGTGGTTATATAAGCCTGGTAATCGAGGAACACATGCCGATTACTCAACTAAATATATGGCAGATAACGTAATGGATATCAATTTCATCATTCTTATCGTTAGTATAATAAACATATTAGGTAAGTTTTCGTTGGTATCTGTTTTAGATACTATCATTTAAATTATAAATACACTTTGGAATTGTAGATATTTCTTTTATCAGAAACCGTTTATTTTATGGGTGGTTTTTTAAAAATGTTTAAGGTAAACAATTCTATAATGGTAATAACCCTACTATCACACCAAACTACATGTAGTTTTCACTACGTTCTCGAAAACGGGCTTCAACTGTGTACGAACGGACTGTGTACGACGTACCTAGAACCGTTTGGGGTTATTTACTAACTCCATCGAACGTACTCGAACGGGCAGGTCCTCTAGAACTTAGAACATGCTCAAAATGTTCTCGTGGTCGATACGTTCTACAATTAGAACGAGTGACAACGTACTAACAACGACTTGGACGTACTTCAATCCTACTAGGGACGTTTTAACAACGAGTTGCACTGTCTGAGGACTTATTGAGAACGAGGAAGAACTAATTGCAAACGGGTTTAAACTGATTAAGAACGTATTTAAGACTGCTTATGAACGAGTTAGCAAAAATATAGCTATAACACCAAACAAGCTGCCATTGTGTTCTTCAAAACTGGTTTTAAACTGTGTGCGAACGGAATGAACGTAACTACAACGTTCTAGGGTCTGTTTACGAACTTCATGGACTTTCTCGGACTGGGAATGTGATTTAGAATTTTGAATCGATTCAAAATTCGATGGCGACAATACCGTTCTGTAATCAGGTCATGAGGAACTTCTAGACTAAGGGACGTGATATACGACGTTGCACACCGACTTGGTGCGACCTGAACGAACTGCGAATGAGATGGACGTATTGAAGACTGTTTATGAACGGAGTAGCTAATTATTTTAGACATATTTCCCGACCGCAGCCAGATTGATCCCGTTTTACGACGTTTTCGTAGGACTGTCAAGAACGGGTAAGAACTAGTTTGGTGTGATAGGGGGGTAACATCGGTTTGAATCAAGATAATTTATTATCTACCATTCACCGCTGTTTGTTAGTAAATAATAGGTACATGCACAGTGTATATGTTGTTTTGTGTCCATTTTTTCCGGTAGATTGACGAGCTAATGATTGGAAAAGACAACAATGAATACAAGCATACTAGATAGAGTCTAATTATATTATCCTATTTCATTTATCCTTCCCTTGTACCATCTCGAAGCTCTTATTTTCATCACTCTATTTAGTGCCCGTTGGTTCATCTTCATTGTGCACAGAGGGAATGCCAATTTGCCTAAATAAAGCTAGTTGTTGCGGATGTCCAACGATGTTCCGAGACCCAACGTTGTCTTCGGTTAGTGGATATTCGTTGTACATGTATCTAGCCAACAAAAAGTTCTAAAAAGCAAGCCCAGTGTCTTGTTTAAGAACCCCTATTCTTACGATTGAAAATGTGTTCTAGCAATTCTATCCCACATGTACTTGTTCAAACTCGTTCAACTTGAGTTCTTCTGAGAAAATGATGATTTCAGCAAGGGTCCATTGGCCCTAACACAAAGCTATACACTAGACTTAGCATCGGTATACCGATGTATGTCACCATGAGTATATACAAAACCCTCATTTTCCCAAGAGAGTTCAAATTGATCGTATCAACAAGTAAATTCTTGTGGGATAGTATTACTAGAATCCATTTTCAATAGTAAGAACAATTCTTAAACAGGACATTAAATCATTTTTGAATTTTTTGGTCGGTAAAATATCGTTTGAAATAGTTTTGACAATTAAATTGACATTTTGAAGTTGTACACACTCGATTGAACATTATTCTATGATGCAATTAATGTTTTAGGTGGTCAATTTTCCGAAGAATGTGATTAAAAAAGGCCACTGTTTGGATGAGAAATGTTTGAATAAGAAATGTCGAAAAATAGCAGCATTGGTGTCATCGGGTGCGTGATATATTATTCCATAGTTACATGATAGGGTTGTATTGCCAAAGGCTTGTAAGCTAATAAAGTTATTTCTCATTTTCTTTTCATTAATATTTCGTCAGTCAGAAACCGTTCAAACTACTCAAAAATTCTTTCTCCAGTTGCTCTCACACTTTTTGCTGGAAGAAATGTTTTGCCCTGACTGCAAAAGTACGATCTCACACACAAACTCAAGACACAATGCTATCATACTATGTTTTACACCCCGACACACATCACAGGCAAATAAGCCCCAATGTCACATCGATGAGACTTTTGAAGTCAAAGTATATCACAATGAGGCTTTTCAGCTCTATAAAACGAAATATGCAATCCAAAAAGAATAAATCGTATGTGATAAGGCCCTTTTTAGTTACTGGGTATGTAATCTTTGGCCTCTATGTCGTACATTTGTCTAGATGCCGGTCAAGCACTAATGTGTCTGGAAGACCAAGATTGTCCAATGGGGTACTATTGTGCGGCCCTGCATTGTGCTGTAAAATTGGAGAATGGATATGCCTGTATCAGAAATGAAGTAAGAATACATTTTGGGAGTTTTTACTTATTCACAATTATTTCCAATGTACATTTATTGTACTATTCTCATTTGCACACATACGTCAATTATGATCCCCCACGGCATGTGGTAGTTGAAGTTTGCTGAAATTAAACGTTAAATCAATGCGATACTTTGAAATTTTTACATTCTTAACTTTAAGATGTGTGAGGAAGGGTATTGTGACGAAACATGTGGAAGTTGTCTTACTCATGAGCATTGTAACAAGGACCAACGATGCAAGAGAGCCTATAGTAAGGATAAAGGCAATAGATGCGCACCAAGAAAACGGAACGGCCAGTCCTGTAAAGAAAACGAGGTAAAAGAAAACAGTTCAATTAATATCTAAGGGTTTGCTTTTCCAAATATTGTCCTTTGCGGGATGTCCTCTAGTTCCGAAATTCTATTCAAACAATGGGTATTTTTGCAAATAATCAGAATATGAATACAGGGTGTCCCAAAAAAGGAAACCAGCAATAGATTGCTTATTTCTCAAATATGAATAATGATAGGAAAATTTCACAGCTACCATTTGATAGATTATGATGTCTTCTTTCTTATGATACCAATGTTGTCTATTTTCCTTCACGGATGACTGAGTTATAAGGGATTTAAGTGATCATGTCAGAAATGAATTTGTACCACTTTCAGCCAAGTCAGTTTCACCATCATAACAAAGTGATAAATAACAACAAACATCAGGATATCACTCTTATACTCATTTATTCCAATTAAAATTACACATATCACCCCTTTTAAATCCCAATGTCCATTCAAAGTTGTTTTAACCCCAGTGTCATCATCAGTGTCACTCCAGTGTCATCATCAGGGATGCAGTACGTGCGATGAGATCAAGGGCAGATATTTGCATTGAAAGGAATGGGGGTCATGTTGAAGGACACTGGGGTTAAAACAACTTTGAATGGACATTGGGATTTAAAAGGGGTGTTAAATATGATATGTGTAATTTTAATTGGAATAAATGAGTAAAAGAGTGATATCCTGATGTTTGTTGTTACTTATCACTTTGTTATGATGGTGAAATTGACTTGGCTGAAAGTGATACAAACTCATTTCTGACATGGTCACTTAAATCCCTTATAAATCAGACATTCGTAAAGGAATATAGACAACTTTGGTATCATAAGAAAGAGGACATCATAACCTATCAGATGGTAGCTTTAATAAGTAATTTTCCTATTATTATTTATATTTGAGAAATAAGCAATCTATTGATGGTTTCCTTTTTTGGGACACACTGTATGACAAAGGGATGTTATCCTAATTTAGGAGTGCAAGAGTAGTCACTGCTTTGATGGTAGATGTAGAGTGTGCTCAACAGATGATGTATGTCCACCTGGCTTTTATTGCGAAATAAATGATCTGAAAGAGGGCGATAATATATGTAGACGTAAAGAAGAGCTTCGTTCAAAGTGTACAGTAGATAAAGTATGATTTAGCACTTAATCAGCATATAATAATAATTAGGACAAAAACAATATCGATTAACATTACATTGCCAATCGCAAAAAATTATAATTTCAAAACGATATCGGATGTTGAATAGACTGAATACAAGTAACTTGCTTTGTAATTGTCTGATGAAAAGAGCAATTGACCTTGCAATTAAAGTCTTATAAACGGTGTATTTTGGTATGAGATATATTGTTTTAGTTGAAAAGAATGCCTCGGTGATTTTATAGTTGGTTGGTGACCACATGTGCATTTTTATGGATAGGGATAATTCAATTTGAATCAACCTCTGTGGATGACAAATTTCTACAGTATCGATTTTGTTTATTCTGTTAATTTCATTATCTGTTTTAGAATTGCATCAGCAACATTTGTGTTGGTGGATTCTGCAGCACTTGCAGGGACAATGATGGCTGTCCAGATAATATGACATGTAAACATGACCCTGGTTCAGCCCATATTTGTAAACTGAGTATTGTTGGAAGCATTTGCTCAGACCACAACGTAAGTTAGTCATTTTGCCAGATGATGAACTCATGTCAGTAAATACGTTCATTCCATACAAAGTATAGACATTGTCCATCCATCGATATTCATGATCATAACCATAGCTTTTGATAGCATATGAATTAAAATGGTTTTATTTTGCTTCAGGATTGTCTAAGTGGTGCATGTCAGGACAACTTATGTGTGGAGTGTGGTACCTCATCCGGATGTTCAAACGATGAGTTCTGTAGCAATAGCTGGGAATGTCTCCCTAAGCTTCATCTCAACCAGATATGTTATGAGAATGTGCAGTGTCTCTCTGGCCTCTGTAATCGAAATATATGTGTAGAGTGCGAGAAACACCATGACTGCCAAAACGGATATTTGTGCATAAACACTAACACTGAAACATTACCGAATTCATGTTCGATTGGAAAAGAAATTGGGGAACCTTGTTCTGTGTATGACGAATGTTTTTCGATGGTATGTGAAAAAGAAAAGTGTGTAGAATGTTGGTTTAAATGGGACTGCCCAGATGGACATTATTGTGCAAATGTATTCACCAATTTAGAGAGTTTCTGCGACCCACAACTTAAATACGGTGATTCATGCCTTGAAGATGAATGGTGTGAGAGTTCCATATGCTACGAGGGTTTCTGTGCTGATTGTCACAATGACCCCGATTGCAATACAGGGGAGTACTGTGAACAATCAGGAGATTTCACAGAACCAAACAAGTGCGTTTTAAGAGACGTTGGGATGATCGGCTCCTCTTGTGAAAACGACTCGGTCTGTTTGTCTGATATTTGTGTAGATGGGTTGTGCTCAGATTGCACTTCGGACACTGATTGTGACAATGGGGAATACTGCACTAACACTGATAACCCGAACATTGCTAATGAATGCAGCACGTTACAACCACTAGGCGCGAAATGCAACTCTGACAACGTTTGCTTGTCTACACTTTGTGTTGCCAATTTGTGTAGTGAGTGTAACGATATTATGGATTGCCCGCCAAATCAATATTGTAAAAACTCAAAAGTATTCTCTAAAGCTAATGAGTGTACGAATATAAGTAAAATCGGCGAACCGTGTGATATTGATGAAGCTTGTGCAACTGATAAGTGCATCAACAACACTTGTATCGAATGTATTAGTCACGAGGATTGCGACTCTGATGAATTTTGCGCAAATATTGACACACTATCCCAAGTAAAACAATGCACCGAGCTTTTAGAGATAGGTGGACAATGTTTAGATGATAGAGAGTGTGCATCTGAAAAATGTATCAATAGCACGTGCAGTGAGTGTAGTGTATCGGCTGACTGTTTGGATGGCCAGTATTGCACCATACACAACACTGGAACAAGATGCACATATCTAGCTGCAATAGGCACACCATGTAAAACCAATACGGAATGTCTTTCGGAAATATGTGCTGAATCGTTGTGTGCTGAGTGCATTAGTAGGCATAATTGCTCAGAAAAGCAGTATTGCGATAAAACTAAACAATTGGGTCCATATGCATGCGCTGACCTTAAACTACCCAATGCAAAATGTAAATCAAACAGAGAATGCAAATCTGGGAAATGCATTCGAAAAGTATGCAGAGAATGTCGTAAATCATCCGATTGTGAAAACAAAAAGCACTGTAATAGTGAAAATGTCTGTGTGTCGTTGAAAACTAATGGAAGTCCTTGTAAAAGTGAGACAGAATGTGATTTGGGCAAATGTACGGAGGGTATCTGCGGTGAATGCAAAGACTCCACTAAATGTGGATCTAATCAGTTTTGTAATGAAACATTTTCATGTTCTCATGTGAGGCTTGATGGTGATTTCTGCAATCAAAACAATGAGTGTGATTCAGATATATGTGTTGTAAATCGATGTGTGCCATGCCTTAATAGCTCTACATGCACGGGCATTGCATTTTGCAACTCAGAAAGCTACACGTGTGAAGAGCCTAAACAATTGGAATTATTTTGTAATAAGCCCGAGGAGTGTTTGTCTGGAAAATGTATTGACCAGGCATGTGGAGAGTGCACCACGTCATCTGATTGTGATTTAAACCATTTTTGTGATCTTTCCAACATATGTCAATCTTTAAAACAACTCGATTCTTATTGCAAAAATGCTGATGAGTGCATATCAGGGAAATGTATTAACGGAACCTGTGGAGAATGCCACGAGTCAAGTGATTGTAGGCCTGACAGATATTGCAATCGCAATGTGTCAAATGAATCAGGAACTAGTTGTGAAGAGGCCAAGCTTATTGGACGTGAGTGTACTTCTAATGACCAATGTTCATCATCTAAGTGTGTTGAAAATATTTGTTCAGAGTGTGCTAAGACACAAGATTGCGAATCTGGCTACTATTGTGCCTTCAAAGAAACATTAAATACGTGTTCACCAATCGAGAGACTTGGTACAACATGTGAGTTCGATGAGCAATGTAGCACATCAAAATGCATCGACTCAATTTGTGGTGAATGTGAAAACAGTGAAGAATGTGAGGAGGATAATTATTGCACAAATGATTTAGAACCTGGACTTCCAAATGAGTGTGTTCCATTAAAAGAACTCGGTGTAGAATGTTCATCTGACAAAGAGTGTGAAATTAAATGTATACAAAACATTTGTGGCGAATGTGAAAGCGATTCAGACTGCCCAACAGAACAATATTGTGGTAATGTCAACAAATCTTCACGAGCAAATGAATGTAAACAAGTTACCAGATTTGGTATTACGTGTAAAAAGAATGAAGAATGTGAAACGGGTTTGTGTCACAATAGCATTTGTGGACAGTGTATCACACATAGCGATTGCATGCCCGGTTCATTTTGCACAAACACAAACAGTATCACTCTCCCTACCATGTGCACATCTTCAGTTTCTAACATTGGTTCAAGTTGTAACGAAGATAGGTTATGCTCAACCGGGAAATGTATCTCACAAGTCTGCGCCGAGTGCAGAATGACTTCCGACTGCCCAAGCGATGAATATTGCAAAATAGTTCCCAACGGTGGTCACACGTGTGAACCTAAAGTTGGCATTGGTCAACAATGTGACGGAGACTTAGTTTGTCAGGAAATATACAAATGCGTTGATAATATATGCACTGGATGCAGTAACGACTCCGATTGTAAAATGACCCAGTATTGTGAGCACACTGACGATCCGACAGTTTCAAATATTTGTGTGGGTAAAAAGAAAAGCTCAAGTCCTTGTATCAATGATAGAGAATGCACGTCTGACATATGCAAAGATAATGTGTGCAAAGAATGCATTTCATCTGATGAATGCGATGACGACCATATGTGCAACAAAAGCAACATGTGCCAGCCTTTGTGGCAAAATGGAGCATCTTGTATAACAGATCAAGAATGCAAATCAGAAAAATGTGGCAATGGAATATGCAGTGAATGTAAAGATTCGAGTCATTGTGGACCACAGGAGTACTGCAATACAACAGACGTCCAAGCTGCATATAGTTGCCAGCCTCAAATGGATATAGGTTCAGCATGTCAAGCTGACAGTGAATGCAGGGGCATATGTATAGAAAACATTTGTGGCAACTGCAAAGCTCATACTGACTGTGGCAAAAGGCACTTTTGTAAAAACATCAATTCACCTAGTCTTCCAAACATTTGCACACCAACTGTGAAATTCGGACATGCATGTGCCATCAATGAGGAATGTCGAGGTGGACAATGTCACAATGGCCTCTGTGGGAAGTGTAGTTCTGATTTAGATTGTGAGCCTGGTTCAGTGTGTAGAAACATAAATAGTCAAACATTGCCAACAGTCTGTTTATCAGCCATTGCAATTGCTTCCAACTGCGTAAACGACAGACCATGTATAACTAAAAGGTGTATATCGAATGTTTGCGTAGAATGTAGCAAATCGAGTGATTGTTCTGGCGGGGAATATTGTGATATTACACCAAAGGGTGGAAATAATTGTAAACCAAAACGAACATTGGGACAAACATGTACTACGGATAACGCATGTAATGGTGGTTTATCATGTATAGATCAGATTTGTTCACAATGCAGAGATGATTCAAACTGTCCAAGTAACCAATTCTGTGAAAATCAAAGAGATATACTTGTCCCTAATATCTGCTCGGATAAGCTTGCTAATTCCCTACAATGTGTCGGTGATAATGAATGCATATCTGGACGATGTATAGGAGATATCTGCATACAGTGCCTGACATCAGAAGAATGTGACCTTGGGCAACTGTGTGATGCAAAAGGTGTATGTCAATCTATTAAACCAAATGGAGGTTCGTGTAACATTGACATTGACTGTATTTCCAAAAGGTGTATTCAAAACATTTGCCGTGAATGCAATGATTCGTCCGATTGTGACACAAATGAATTTTGTGACACAACACTTACCTATACTTGCGAAACTATGAAGGAAATAGGATCAGTATGTGAATTGAACTATGAGTGTAAGGACAGATGTATTAATAATCAATGTGGAAACTGTCAATACCATTCTGACTGTGGAAGGGGACAATTTTGTAAAAACTTCCCAAATGTATGTACTCAAAAAATAGGATTTGGTTCTTCATGTTCATTTAATGAAGAATGTGTAACGACATTCTGCCACAATGAATTGTGCGGTCAATGTGATTCTGATATCAACTGCAGGACTGGATCATATTGCAAGAATTTAGGAAGCACTAGGATTCCAACTATGTGTGTTCCGAAAGCCTCGATGGGATCAAGTTGCAATGAAGAAACTGTGTGCGTATCAGGTTCGTGCGTTTCAAATGTATGTACCGAGTGTTTGGATTCACAGGACTGTCCAACAGGTGAATATTGTATGGTCAATATAGATGGTGTTAACACATGTGAAGTAGCAACTGGTGTGGGAAAACCATGTGAGACTAACGAAGCATGCCTTGGTCTATATTGCGTCGATAATTTGTGTGCCGAATGTAGGACTCATTCTGATTGCACACCAGAAAGCTATTGTAGAAGTGTTGGAGAGAATATAACACACAATGAATGTTTTAAAAGAAAGGATAATGGTAGTGATTGTGAATCTGAATCTGAATGTTTAAGTAACATATGTGTGAGGCAAATCTGTGTTGAATGTCAAAACACATCTGACTGTGGCATAGATGAATATTGTGATCTTGTCCCATCTTCTCCAAACATAAACACCTGCAAAACAACAAAACCATTCGGAAATGGATGTAAATTTGATTACGAATGCAGCAATGGATTGCATTGTGTTGTTGGACTGTGTTCCAGCTGTAGTACACATTTGGATTGCCCCGATGAACACTATTGTAAAAGTCTTGCTGATACAGCTCAGCCAAGCAAATGTGAACCAAAACTACCCTTTGGAGAATTGTGTTCTACGAATGACAATTGCTTGTCGGAGGCATGTGTGAATGACTTATGTAGTGATTGCAGAAATCATAATGATTGTGCCACTGGATATTTCTGTTCATTTATAAACGTTGCTGAACGGCCCAACACATGTCAACGAGTCAAGTCGTTGGGCATGACTTGCTATGAGAACTCCGAGTGTTCAACTGATATGTGTGTAGGACGCACTTGTAGTGAATGCATTAATGATGCTGACTGTCAAACTGATCAGTACTGTAATGCATCAATTTATTGTAAACCACGTAAGGAAATAGGAGCCAAGTGTAGCAAAGAATCCGTAAGTAATTGTTGTTAGGTTTATTTTATATGTGTCTCGTTTTGACAGTTCTGCACATTTTTTAACCCCATTTACATTGACGTTGACTTTTGGTTTCCACTTGCCATGGCGTCTGTTTACACTTTTAATATTGCTAGTGGCTGACGATTCATATTCGTCCAAATAGCAAGTGAAAGAACCTCTAAAATACCTAATATGCATAGAACCATGTTTGGTTTCAATGAAATAATGTATTGATAAGTGTTTTATTGGATTGTACTATGGGATTATGCAGATTGGTGATTATTCTCTATTATTGTTTCCGTTACATTGCATATAATGATGTTAGCTTATGCTTCTTTCTAACAGGTGTGCAAAAGCAGCGTATGTGACAACAATTTATGTTCGGAATGTTCTCTTGAGATTGGTTGTCAAGCAGGACACTTTTGTGATTTTATTAGTGATCCCTTTACTGCCAACAAGTGCACGAAGATGGCTGACCAAGGTGGGTCATGTAGTGAAGATCAGGTACGATATATATTGTACTGACTCCATATTTCCAATTGGCGTTCATACATGTATAACATATTCATATAACTTATTTCCGACACTTTCTCCTTTAACAGGATCTTAAGAGGTTCTGGACAAATCATTTGATTCTGGACTTGTCATATTTTTTTTTCAACGAAATCACATCCAAGGGTTGAATTTTTATTAGCTTTTTAGAGAGTGAGTCCTGCCTAGTATTAATTTCAATAAAAAAAGTTAAAATAGAACCCTATTTGAGAGTCAATCTAATACTTACATTACATTGATAAATTAAGGCAAATCCTGAAATATTTTTAAAGTGCGTTTTTTAATGAAATATTATCCAGCAAGTATTTAAATGAAACGGTCTTATTTAAATACAAATCATAACATGATATTTTTCATGAAACATTTTTCAATGAAATTCAATTGAAGGGTCAAGATAAAACGAGCTAATTTAGGTGAAAACCCTTACATGATGATGTGTTTTCATAACTTCTTTCATAAAATTCCATCAAGGGGTGAAGATAAAATGATCGAATTTAAGTGATTTAAGGATCACGAGAATATGTTTTCTTTGATATTTTCTATGAAATCCCATCCAATGGTCAAGGTAAAATTTTGATTTTGATTTTGATTTGGTCACTTGTTCGAAAGATCCATATAAGGCCCATAGAACCATATAGGAACGTCATTTTGAATGTCACGTGATAGATCCATATAAGGCTTTTAGAACCATTTATGGAAAGATGAGGGAAGCCCCTGACACCTGTTTCACGATTTTTATGCACTTCATTATTGTACCGAAGTTTGCCGATTCGATTCGTCGTATTTCGGAATCCTGGTGACAATTTTATACTCCATTGGAGTATTTTTGACCTACTTCTTATGACGGAAATTCCCGAACCTTGTTCGGATTAATCCGGATTTTCTGACCTACTTTATCTACCGAGATTTCACGAGTTAACATTCGTCTCATTCCGGAATCTTATATTTTATACTCCATTGGAGTATTTTTGATCTACTTTTTCTGGATTTTGCCCTACTTATTATATCTTGACAACAAGCAAATCAAAAAGTTCGACATGAACGGGTCTCGATCAACTAACCTAGACTATGGAAGCCAGGCACGCTAACCATGAGGCCAACGAGCCACCGATATGAAAGAACAAAAGTATTATATATTTATACCGAGCGTCAATTCAAAATGATCCTCACTTTTGTCTCCACTTAAATACGACTCGTCAGTTGTATCCAGAATAGTAGAACGCCTATGGCGCTAGTGAATAACCAAGTCCCATGTGAGTGGTTCGTATCCCTCCGTGATATACTATTTTTGTTTTATTAAATACGACAGAAAGGAGCAAGGTGTAGGTTGAAAACAAGACGTTAGTTTGTTTCAAAACAGTTTGGAAACATTAATCTCTGGAACATTATTTTTTCAACACTGATACAAATTTCCCTGACATTTCCCTGACATGTCTACCGTTTCAAAATTCCCGGTCATCTTTGGCCCTTTTGACCTAATTTTAAAATTACCTGACATTTCCAGCACTTGGAAAATCAAGTCAATTTCCCTGACATTTCCAGGTGTGTATGAACCCTGGAAATATCCCACTGGCTCGCCCTATGAATCGCTAGCACAGATTGGATTGATTAGTGTTTCAAAATGGTGGACGAAGTGTTTGATTAGATAATTTACATATTAAGCTTCTTAAAGGGGCAACAAGGCCTGTACATAGAAAATTCGAAATTTTTTACATTTTCTGAATTTTTAGGGCAACATTTGGCTTTAACATCTTTTTTTATACATTTTTTCTTAAAATGTATGGATAAACAATAAAGTTTCAGCATTAAGCAGTGCAAATTCAGTTCAAAGCTTCTATAAAGGGAGTCCAACTTATAGATTTTGAAAATCCAACTCGTTTAAAGAAGAATATCAGCAGCTTAAATCACGCCTTGTGATCATACAAAATGGATGGAGGGGGGGGTAGGCGATTTCTGCAAGAAAACTCAAAAAATTTGGAAGATTTATTTTTTTCAAGATAAAATTTACAACTGAATTGCCAAATGAATAGGCGCAGTGCATGGCAAAATATGTAAGGTCTTCTAGTATTTTTTGAACTGATACGCTTCTAAGATATGAGATCTATTATAAAAGGCGCATCATCATCATCATCATCATCATCAACGTGCAAAAGTCAATGTTTTTGCTATAAATCAGGCAACAATGGTCTACACGACCTGTAATAAATAGGTATGAGGGGCGTTATTAGAGAATTTTCGTTATAAGTTTTTTAAAAACTTATACGTATACTTATACTTATAAACCCAATAAACAAGGTGTTTCATAATTTCCTAATTCGTCGGGAAATATCTCCTAGGAAGGTAATAAAAAGGGCCAATGGCATACCATCCGTACCCCCTTGATGTAAAGCATGTTTAGTTGTGTCATATGTGTTTTCTAGAATCAAATAGGCTGATATAGCACACGGGTTTTACAGATTTATCTACTCTCAAATATATTTTTTGTAGATGATCGTTTTGAATCACCTTGTAGAAATAACGAAGGGAGAATTAGTTCAGCTAATGAATGAGTCGAGCTATTTGATTGGATACTATGCCTATTCAGCCGATTAATTTTAATAAGCCATTCTGGTCAGTAGGTCCACACATATACTATGCGGAGATCCAACTCTGTAAGTTTATAATCTGCGTATAAAGGCCCTTTTATACGTAAAAACTTAAAAATTGACCTTATAATTTCATGAGAACTTTGTAATGATCGACTCGTTCGTGTAGTGATTCACTTTAAAGGGTCTTGTTTATCGTACACTACAAGGACCCGTCAACTAGAATTTAGTTTATCGTGTTCATAATTGACACTAGCAAAGGACATTGTATTCGCAGTCCCTAGTTGATGATGAAGCTTGACTATATCGGGAATAGTTATGCCCCACTTGGTACAGATTATGAAAATCAATTTGAATTGATTTTAGTTCGACAAGACCCTTTAAACTATAAGTATACGTATAAGTTTTTGAAACAACTTATAACGAAAATTCTCTATTATCACAACACTGACATTGCTCACTTTTTAAAGTTGTTTCAAAGCGTTATATGTAAATGGGCGTGTGGAAGGCCCGTGGGTGGCAATAAAAAAACTCGAACTTCAAATTAAAATATATATAAAATAGTATATTTCAAACTTCAATGTTTAAAATACAATGCTCTGTAATGTACAACATGAACTCTTACAGCAACTACTGACAAGCCAACACCCAATGCAAACTCAGCTACATGTGAGTGAGAAAGACCATATAGGGGAACAATAGATATATAAAACTGACACAGTTTGCATAGTTGAATAACTCAAGGTGAAAAGTGAACATGGTATTAAAAGAGTAAAACTGCAAACAACCTACTTAGGGACCTGTTATATTGAGATGAATAGGGATTGATTAATATGAACAGTAATAATATAAAATGTGAAAATGACCATGTTACATATACAAAAAATAACCCCATTGTTACAAAATCACAAAAAGTGAAATATCTATTCTTGTATTGCATTTTCGTTCACTGGACATATTTTAATTGCATTGCTATTAGATACATTTTAAGGGTGATATGAAAATTGAACCACGAAAACAGATGTACTTTAAGTTAAAGGGAACTTTCTACCATACCCGCCATGCTATCTGACCCGAACGAGCCACCTTGTGGTGAGATTGGTAACTACCTGCTCGCATCTGCGTTATTACGCAGAGACATAAACGTATACACAAGGAAACGATAGGAGATAACCTATTTTATTCCATAGTTAGCATGATATTCATAGGATAACATGTGGAAATAAAAACGGTATTTTTGTAATCAGTGGTAAAATATGATATTTTTGACAAATTTTCACTTAACCATAGCATACGGTTTTTTAGCCATGACATACGACGTCGTATGCGATGGTTTATGGATTTTTGCTACTTCAGACTCAAAACGAGGCTTAGTGTCAACATCGCCGGATCGTTTGGAAAATTCGAAATATATCACTTAATTTCCGACGATTCTGATGATGACTTTAACGATGGAATAAAAAGAACATCCTATGATTTACTCGTGATATGATTTTAATCCACTCATGGATATTGATATCTGCACTCTCTCGCTACGCTCGCTCGTGCAGATATCATATCCATTCGTGGATAAAAATCATATCACTCATAAATCATAGGATATCCTCTATTTATCTCTGTATACATTTTAACTTTAATACATCGTTGAATCGAATTTGTCCAAAGGTCTTGAAACGTAAAATACCTAAATATTTATCTTAGACCTTGGGATGACCTTGTACAAGAAACATTAATGTTGACCTCGGTTCATCTAATCATAATTCGCCAAGGGCCATAGTATCATCAAACGCCAAATACCTAGACATTGATCGTTTACTTGGATTTAAATAAGGAGTATGATTTTAAAATTGGCTAGGTCGTGGTTAAGCAACAATAGTATGTTCGAAATACCGCTGTGTAATGCCTGGATCACATTTGCTGCGAGTATTTTGTTCAAAATTGAATACATTTCTGAACACAATACTCAATCGGCCGGGCGCCGTAGTGAAAATCGGAGCAAATGTGACCAAGACATAAAACAATTGAATAATACTGTATCAGTTTCACATTTACAGCGGTCAAAAGCATTTACAAAAAAAAACCGCCAGAGTTGGCAATCATATAAAATGAAACCAATCCCGCTGTGATTCATAGAAATAACTAATTTACTGCATTGAGTTCAATGTTATAACCATGTCGATTTACATGAGTGTCCGATTCATTGTACCAAATTTAAACCTTGACTGTTCTCCAGAAAGCAATAAGCTGACATATATCATATTTTACATTTTAATACAACTGAAAAGATAATAAATGTTTTAATATAAAGTTGACGTAGTTATAAATGTTTTCAGCGTAAAATCAAAGCACAACCATATAATTAAAAACATTACGCTGGGATTCCAACTGGATACAACTCACTCAGTAAAATTACGATTTCTCTCAACCCTGATGTTCAATCAACATCATTCGAGTATCTATATGTTCCTGACACGTTCGGGCATCCGGTTATGACAACGTCTACCCAATGTTTGCACGAGAAATTGACGTAATTCATGACTGAAATCGGGAAGACAAAAATATGTGATATTCTTTCAGAATTGTTTATAATAACTATTTACAAAAACGTTCCCGAGACACAATCCATTTAGGTAGGGTTTGTTTTAAAGTCGAAAAGCCCCAATAAGACAATACAAACCCAGATTAAACCCAGAAGAATGCAGATTTCATGTAATGATTTACGTTCATGTAAACAAGGAAAGTACATATAATCCTCATATAAAATACTGGCCTATGTGACATGTAAACACAGGTTCAAATTGAAATATAGAAAATTTTCAACATAGCATTTGCTTCTGTGTTCTGTATGCCCCTCTACCTGCTAATAAGGCAATGTATCTTCAAATAAAACCTTAGCCAAGTAGATAAGGGTCTCTGGAACACTTTTGTAAATAGTTTTCACAAGCAATTTTATTCCCGGACGCCCAAACGTGTCAGGAAGACATATATATTTGAATGATCTTGATTGGACATCAGGTTGCAGAGAAATCGTATTTTTACTGAGTGGATTATTGAATTTCATAGATCTAGAGGCCCTTCAGGAGTGGAAAACCTTAAATTATCAGAGATTAATGTTTCCAAACTGTTTTGAAACAAACTAACGTCTTGTTTTCAACCTACACCTTGCTCCTTTCTGTCGTATTTAATAAAACAAAAATAGTTTATCACGGAGGGATACGAACCACTCACATGGGACTTGGTTATTCACTAGCGCCATAGGCGTTCTACTATTCTGGATACAACTGAAGAGTCGTATTTAAGTGGAGACAAAAGTGAGGATCATTTTGAATTGACGCTCGGTATAAATATATAATACTTTTGTTCTTTCATATCGGTGGCTCGTTGGCCTCATGGTTAGCGTGCCTGGCTTCCATAGTCTAGGTTAGTTGATCGAGACCCGTTCATGTCGAACTTTTTGATTTGCTTGTTGTCAAGATATAATAAGTAGGGCAAAATCCAGAAAAAGTAGATCAAAAATACTCCAATGGAGTATAAAATTGTCACCAGGATTCCGGAATGAGACGAATGTTAACTCGTGAAATCTCGGTAGATAAAGAAGGTCAGAAAATCCGGATTAATCCGAACAAGGTTCGGGAATTTCCGTCATAAGAAGTAGGTCAAAAATACTCCAATGGAGTATAAAATTGTCACCAGGATTCCGAAATACGACGAATCGAATCGGCAAACTTCGGTACAATAATGAAGTGCATAAAAATCGTGAAACAGGTGTCAGGGGCTTCCCTCATCTTTCCATAAATGGTTCTAAAAGCCTTATATGGATCTATCACGTGACATTCAAAATGACGTTCCTATATGGTTCTATGGGCCTTATATGGATCTTTCGAACAAGTGACCAAATCAAAATCAAAATCAAAATTTTACCTTGACCATTGGATGGGATTTCATAGAAAATATCAAAGAAAACATATTCTCGTGATCCTTAAATCACTTAAATTCGATCATTTTATCTTCACCCCTTGATGGAATTTTATGAAAGAAGTTATGAAAACACATCATCATGTAAGGGTTTTCACCTAAATTAGCTCGTTTTATCTTGACCCTTCAATTGAATTTCATTGAAAAATGTTTCATGAAAAATATCATGTTATGATTTGTATTTAAATAAGACCGTTTCATTTAAATACTTGCTGGATAATATTTCATAAAAAAATGCACTTTAAAAATATTTCAGGATTTGCCTTAATTTATCAATGTAATGTAAGTATTAGATTGACTCTCAAATAGGGTTCTATTTTAACTTTTTTATTGAAATTAATACTAGGCAGGACTCACTCTCTAAATAGCTAATAAAAATTCAACCCTTGGATGTGATTTCGTTGAAAAAAAAATATGACAAGTCCAGAATCAAATGATTTGTCCAGAACCTCTTAAGATCCTGTTCTTTGTAATTGTATATTTAAACCATTGCTCGTCTTAAGATGGTGATCGTGTTGAAGCTGTAACTCAAATGATTTTATGTTTTATCTTTAGCATTGCCTTGGTGGATTTTGCATCGTTGAAGAACAAAAATGCGCTCAGTGCAGAGTAGACAGTGACTGTGACCCGACTGACTACTGCAACCGTTTGAAAGGAAACGCATGCATCAACAAAGTTGCGAATGGGGGACTGTGTAATGATGATAACGTTAGTAGTCAAGATTATTTTGATGAAATGATCAAAAACTAAATGGAAGGACTAGCAATATATCCTCTTCAATGCTTTCAGGAATGCTTGGACAACATATGCATCGATTCACGATGTGCGAGTTGTTTTGGTAACAGTGAATGTCCTTCGGAGCAGTACTGTGAAGGAAATCAATGCACATATAAGAAAGAGCGGGGTGCAGCATGTTCTTCAGATAGTGTTGGTATTTGTATTCACTAACACATACTATTATTTAAATAATGACATAATTAGATAATGACAAATTTGGTATGTTTTTATTCACCCTTTCTCATCAATAATGCCTACATTGTATGTAGCACCATTTAGTAGACTCAAACAGACAAAAAATTGCTAAAATGTAAGAAAGTCTTTGAAATTCACCTCGCAATGTACCTGAGTACCATTTTTAGTTAAAATAGAAAGGGTTGGCCTCGCGTTAAATCATAAATGAAGGCAGCGTAACACTAACGGGCAGCAGGGAGGGGTCAGACCCCCGTAAAATGAACACAGCAAAACAATCCATTCAAAGGTGGATAAATCTCGCATGACCAAAACTTATATACTGTCTCTGTGCTCAACAAGTCCTTCTTTTGGTGCAACTTAAGGTCTCCATTGCATAATATATATTGTGCATGTATAATTGGTTATCAAGGAATTTTATTTCTTATCTGACCTAACATTATAACATACAAAGTACCAGTACGCCAGCATCATTGATCGGTAATCATTGAGGACCTAAATAACAGTAGGCCATGATTTTGAAAAATATTCTGTTCTGCTGTTTGCTAAATAATAGTTTCACTGACAGTTATTGTTTATGTTAATATGATGCGTATTGATTTGTTTAATATTAGGAATGTGTTTCATCTATCTGTGATGGTCTTTGCGGATCTTGTAAATATGACGAACAGTGTCCCAGTACACAATATTGCAATGGTATCGAAGATCAATCCGTGGCTAACGAGTGTATTGTAAAATTAGAAGTCGGAGTCGTATGCAGTCGCAAACAGGTATAGCAAAAACCAAATATGGATAGAGACCAAAAGTGAAAACACAAATAGAAAAAGAACAAGCAAGGGTATTGTCATTCATAATTGATCGGAAAAATAAATCCCCATCATCCCAAACAATGATCTGACGTAAATATGTCTAACATTCCCTCCCTCATCATTAAGATACGGTTACGACTTTGGAAAATAGAATAAATACTTATATCATAAACTCAATGATACAACTTCCTACATTGCACCAAGTTATAACCTATCCAATGATAAGCTCGTTTCAATGAGTCGATTTATTGTTGGTTTAGGCATGTGCCGATGGACACTGTAATGGTGTATGTGGACAATGTACTGATAGCTTCAACTGTAGATATGATGAGTATTGTCATGGGCAAAACTCCCCTGATGTTCCGCGAGTGTGTAAAAGATTATTGGAAAATGGCAAAAAGTGTACAGATGATGAGGTATCAAAAATTAATATATTCTGTACGAAATCTAAGAAAAACTATTCAAATGAAAAAAATGATATTTATGGATGTTTGTATCATTTAATACTATACTATACATCATACTATACACACATACAGTATGTAAATGAATCAAATCTTGATGCATGCTATCATGATTTATCATACCTTTTAGCAATGCATGGAGAATGTGTGTATATCCACAACTGGGGTCTGTGGAGGATGCGAAGAGGATAAAGACTGTGGCCTGTGGTCTTTCTGTGAGAACGTACAGGACAAGTTCAAAGACTGCAAAAATAAATTAGCAAACGGAAATAAATGTGAACGAGATACCGTGAGATTCTTTATTATCTATTCACACATAGCTAGGCAAGGTGTGTCCTCTTCCAACCAATCCGAACAGAGGATTCACATAATGAACAGTGTGTGAAATATCAATAACACATGCAAGGTCACTAGTTAAACAGTAAACAGCAAAATATTTCATTAAAAATGTGTTCTTTTAGTGAGTTCGTTCCTTTTAGATGATTTTATAGATAAAATGCAATTTGTGAAAAGAATTTAAGCCTAAGACTCAATGCATTGTAGCTGCTCCATTCCACTCAGGCGTTGTTTCCTAAACTTTGGAAACAACACCTTCAACACCTTCACACCTTTAAATCCTTTAATCACAACTGTTTAGAAACAAAATAAAAACATTCTACTTCCTTGCTATCTCATGCGAATTATCTGCGTCTCTATCTCCACACACATCTAATATGCCATTGAGTAATAGTTTGGAAGAGCCATACTGTAGTTGATAATTTCAAAATGCTATATATTAAACCACATCAATAAGCTAGCTGCAAGGAATGTAGTTAATGCCAGAAATGATTGCGCCAAAGGATTATACGGCGACGGTAGACCCCCCCCCCCCTATTTTACTTATCTGCACATCAATTATAGCACATGAAAGAAGAATATAAGAATACGTGGAAGCTAAGAATATGCAATATGCAGATTTAGAGCCTTCACAAAATGTATATTTTGGGGACTGTTATACTATTGTATTGTATACCTTATATTGTATTGTATTGTTTACTTTATATTGTATTGTATTGTATTGTATTGTATTACATATGATGGCTTCTTTTTATTCTAGCAATGTCGAACAGGCCATTGTGACTTTGTTTGTGGTCAGTGTAATGCTGATAACGACTGCTTACCTGAGGAATACTGCTCTGGGATGGGTGATCCTGATACGGCAAACACCTGCGAATACAGAGTGCATCTTGGAGAATCCTGTTCCCGAGTTCAGGTATATCAAATGTAGGAACTCCTAAATGACTTCCACTTGTCTGTTCGAGACAAAATACATATTTGTCATAACTGATCGTAACACAACTGGTGATTTCCATCCCTTTCTTGTTTTCATTGTTTCTATGAAACCCTACTTTTTTTAAATCCATAATGTTTAGGCTTAGGAATTTTGAAATATTTCATTTTGAGACTCTTTGAAACTTATTGATCCTTATATATTTAATTAATACTTAAATATACTTTCAGGAATGTATGGCTCCTCTCTGCGTGGATAATATTTGCACAGAGTGTACCAGCAATAGTGACTGCGATGACATCAGTTACTGTGAATTCCGAACATTAGCCCCTAAATATGCAACATGCGTTCCGAAGAAACGCTTTAATAATGCATGTAAGCAGGACTCTATGTGCCTATCAGGAATGTGTCTCCGAGGAGTTTGTAAAGACTGTGTGGTCGGATCGGATTGTCCCCAATTCATAAGTGCACAATTTTGTTCAAGGGACAACAGATGTGTAACTAAAATACAAACTGGTTCTAGTGTTATTTGCTTTTCACACAGTGAATGCGCCTCTGATAATTGCTGTAGGAATAGATGTAGCAGAACGTGGTGTTGAACACAAACGTTGAAAAGCACTCAAGTTCAACAAATAATAGAGACACTTAGCCAAGTGGATGATCATTGAAGTATGGGCTTAAAACAAAACATACAGCTCATCGATCAAACGTATGTGTATTTGATCTTTGTTCATCAAATATATGTATCTACATATATAAGATAAGATTAAAATAAATTACATTAAAATAATGATACCGTGACAGATGTAGAAGTAGTGGGGTCTTTTTGAGTTCTCGTTTAAGCCTTAACAACTGAAATACTACTCTCAATATCACTTCCCAAACTTAGTATAGAGGTAGTGAAACATGAGCAATGGGACAAATCTACGCTGAATACGTATACTGTTATTTTGTGTGTAATATGGTTTCTGACGTTAATGAATAAATGAATAAAAATACTTTTATAAATCAAATGTGTGTGTTATTTAATTACCAATTGCGATATGTATCAGAAAGGCTACTTATTATGGTCCCTTAGTATGATGTTACAATGGCCCGCGTTAGACTAATCTTAATACATAACTCTGTGTAGCGTTCAGTTCGACTCCCGCTGGGTACGTACTTTTATTTCCGTAAATGTGTAAGCACTTGTGCCGAAAAGAGATGAATCAAAGTGTTTTTAAACACCAACTTGACTTGATACGAACATTTCAAGTTCAATTGGTGTAAAATGAAAATTGTCCCATTTTGTGGCAGGGCAAGCTCTGGCTTAAAGCATCATGTTTTACAGACAATTATTTTTTCAGAATCAAACAGCCATTGTCACTTTTAGGATAATTGGGTCACCCATAGTATATAAGGTTATTCTTAATCGTTAGATAAATTTGATTTAAAACCAAAGCTGTATCAAGCATCATACCATGATGTTTTCTTTATGATTTTGATACATCATAAATATACCGATGTTATGGTATGTACAACTACTGTTTAATTGTATTCAAATTACCTATCTACGATATGTATATAAATTATGATATCTTGAATGTTTAATAAAATAGACTCGCTATTATAAGTAAACGAAAAGCATCTGGATATAAGTATGTCAATTAGTTTTTTACTGGATCTTGCATACCTCTTGTTAAGTAGAAGATAATATTAGAAGCAAGGAAAAGATATGTTATAAAACACGAGCTTTTTAGACTGCTTTAATTTTAAAACGATACTCGAGAATGAAAAAACAACATTATGGCTGTGTATATTGTATTTCAAGTCACATGTTGTACGCATATCTACATTTTATTTCTATTTCTTAATTTGTTTAATTAAAATTGTGAACTAGAGGAATGAGAGTAATGAACCTTTAATATGCTTATTCACTGACCACATCAACACATACATACTGGTTTAATTATCTTTTGTGGTCAGTGACAATAACTATAAAACGCTATAATAGTTCACGATTGATGGTTACTCTTGACCATACATGCTTTTATATGTACACACAGTTTTCATAATAGTATTCTACCATCCGCGGATTTGCAGGATACCGCAGTCTCTACCAAGTTTTAAATTATTACATATCATTAACACATGGTACAATGATCTTGTTTGTTTGTATAACTAAGTATATGCCATTTAGAGCGGTTGCAATCAGAGCAAAAAGAGAATCTTAAATAATCCCATTTTATTACTCTAAATCTATTTCAATGTGTATTTTAGCAATGTTATGTACAGCATTATCACACCCAATGATCGGAAGAAATGAACGGAGGGGGAGGTAGCTGAATTCCGCTGGAAAATTCAATAAATCTGGAAAAATATTCAAGAGAAAGTTTACAATTAAATTGCTAAATGAATAGACGCACGACACGGGGAAATATGTTAAGTCTCTAGGATTTTTTAACCGATAGGCTTGTAAGATTGCAAAGTCAATGCTATAAATCAAGCAACAATGGTCTACACGACCTGTAATAAATACTTATTAGTGACGTTTTTCATCACAAAATTAATGTTATTGTTTGTTTTTAAAAATAAGTGAGAAAAATCGGTGAAAAAATAATCGGAAATAATTATAATTGAACGGGGGGGGGGTGAACGGAAGAGGAGTGTTATATGTCTTTAAGGTGGAAGAAATTTGTGTACAAAACATCAAATAACTTACCCTGCGTGCAGAGTCTAGTTAAACTAGAAGACGAAGCTCTCTTTTAAGAAGTGAAGTCAAACGAATGCAAAGGGTACAAATAACTGCATGTTCAGATTTCCTCAAATCCCCTCTTATCGTTCATGTAATTTTAACGATATGCCATTCAACTTTATTAGCATGTTAATTAAACTATCTATTATAACTGGTAATAAACAACATGTTTATTTGAATTACGATGATATTCCCACCTAAGACAGTAATTACGTTCAACAGTAGTTGGAATAATACGATTCTTGGCTCTGCACTGCTAGATTAGACAAGACAGAGAAAAACAATGCACTGTTGATGGATTTATAACAAAGTATACTCTTTCATCAGGTATGTTTTATGTTCATTTTATGTATCTAATAAAATTAACTAGAACAATAAGTGTTTAAGTACATTCTTTATTGATGGGAGATATGTCAAACATATTTGTATCGTATTTTCAGAGACACAAACTAATTTCTACCAGTATGCATCTTTCAAGTTTAATATACATAGTGTTTGTGGCGGTAACTACATGGATACAAGAAGCGCAGGCACAAGGTAAAATGAAGAAATATAGACCAAAGAGCAGGTGTTATACCGACGAATACATACCGCAGGTCTTGACACAATAACACCTGCTCTCAGATCTTTATTGCTAATAAAAAAACTCACCAGATTTTTTTCGAATATTCATTATGGCCCGCCATTACTAAGGGCCGTTGTTATGACGTCACACATTACTCGTATTACCAGGTGCAGTGTCGACGAATACATACCGGGTGAAATATTGACTTTGTTCACAGTTTATAGAAGGCGTGCATACAGTCATGTTTGAATATTTAATAGATTATATGAATATATATTTATTACGCCGCAGTATCCATTCATAAGGAGCCACCAAGGTTGTTTATAAGTGAGTAAATGCTTCTCGTTGAGACGTGGTCTAGTTGGTAGGAATATAGTGACACTTGGCATGAAACCACAATACTATCCAATCCACCTTATAAACAACGAATTTAGAGTAGAAAAGAATCATTCTTGGTGAAAAGAACATTTAGAAATAATGGATGAAATATACATTTTTTTACTTATAAGAAAATTTTGCGAAACGCCAAATTTCAATTCCCTTATACTAATTACTTATAGCTCTACACATAAACATAAGTTTTGCTTTTACTATGAACAAAAACTCTCTATTTAGTTCAGAATATTGTCACATGCTATCATTTACTGAAACAAGTCAGTGTGGGAGAAGTTATCGTTAACTCTGATTTATTCATTGAATTAAAGTTGCAGTTGTAGTTAACAGGTAATATTTTTAAACATTAGCATTATATTTTAGTGTATGCATCATTGATTTAAATGGATCGTTGCGTTTCTACAATTATTCTAATGAAAGGTCGACATATTCTGAAGCAATGTCATGTTTAGTTGTAAGTTTTATTAAGGTACTTCTTCGCTAAAAATACTTAGAACATATGGCTCTCATTTCATATATGGTGAATGGTTGTAGCTATTATTTATCATTTTTTATAGAATAATTTCTTCCTTGAAAACTGCATGTATGATTTTGTTGATATAGTATAAAAATAAACCATTTTAGTCATAGATCATTGATTAACGTATTAACCAAGTAGTCGATTACGGTCTTGATCTTACTAAAGTGTAAGGAACTTTCGTACTTCAACAGAAAACAACCTGTTTGTATACATTTTAAAAGTTCCACTATTTATGTCAAAAATATGTTTTCATTGATAAGCATAATGTACACATATATTTATGATTATAGCCAATTATATAAACCCCTTTTGTATAATATCAATTCGTTTTCAAAAGTTTTAATATCGTGTCTCTAAAGGATCTATATTTCGGACAATATTGAAAGGGACATACAATCGTTTTATCGACATTCTATTTAAACCCTCGAAAGTAATCAATATGACTAGGTATCATACATAAAGAAATCAAGAAGATGTATTTAGGTTTAACAATGAAGAAAACACATTTTTCAAAAACTTACAATCACTACCTTACAATTATTGGGAAATGGTCGATAATCCGACCAATAATGCTAAAAGGCATGTGTGAGTACCAAGCATTCTTAGCCTTTAGAATAAACTACATGTATGTTTCATTCAGTTTTCATTTTCGATTTTTTATGTCATAGATAGTTGAATATGAAGGGGCTGGAATTTTTTGTTTTGGGGTTTTTATTTTCAAAATAATATCCATTGATTTCCTATTTTTGGGATCTGAAACCATCTAGAAAGGTGAGACTAATAAAGTTTGAGACATATTGCTTGAAATCTCTCAATTTCTCCTCTAAAGTGCTTGAAAGTATCTTTAAGTAATGGTTGGGGAACGGAGAAACAGAGTTTTCTCCTAAATACAATACAAACATATGAATAACACACTGAGTAATTATCAATTCATATTTGATTTTCAAATGTTTTTTAAATGTTTTTTGCTATGATTTTGATCAGTTCTAACTTTTAAAACGGTAACGGATATTACATGAACAATGATTTTATTATGACATAATAATTATATAACACAGTCTTAATTCTGATAATTAATTATCATGTTTTAAACAATATTTTATTACATAATATATATATTATATTATCCTATATTAGGATTACTATATTATATCATTTTGAACTTAAAATTAAAACCAATCACAATTTTCATTATAGGTGTAATGCATCCCATATAATCTTACTCAAATTTGCTTTCATATTAATGTTGCTCAAGCTGCCATGATTTCAAAATGACAAACTAAATTAACCTCAATTCAAAAATATGTGTCGATATTCGAATTAATAATCATAACACCTGGATCATCTTATATTACGTCAGTGTAATGTTTATCCCTTCATTTCATAATTAATTACAACATTTGAATAATCTCATTACAGTTTGACAAACGTATGTCTGTCACTTTCATGTTAAATCCATTGTTTATAAAGTTATTACAATGTATTATCTTACCTATCCAGTAGAATATAAATGACACGAAGTTATAATTTTACGTTGCTAAAATGTAAGGAAACGAACACAACGATTCTTAGAACTTTGGCTCTTACATCAAAAATTTACTGTACTTTCATTTTCTAATTAATTTCATTATTTAAGAAATAGTTAACAATAATATTTCAAATGATTCAAGATGTATTATTATTAAGATGCAGATGCAGATCGATTCCTTTCTAGTAATACCTTAGACCTAAGCATTATGTGGTAAACATGGTGTAAAGCAAGGATGAGTTATCCAGTTGTTGGGTTGTCTAGGGGGATGAGTTGTCCAGGAAATACGTTTTAGGCGTATGAGTTGTCGAGGGGATGAGTTGTCGGGTTACAATTTCAATCATTTGTTTAACGTACAATATAGTTACATAGTCAACAGTTTTTGCCTGTATTTATTTATCTTATATTCATTAGATCATATTTATGCAAACATTTTGTCATATTTATTTATTTTTCTAGCGTTATGCATTACTAGTAATATGGTAGATGAGCTTCCAAGTTGCAATACTGCTTCACGATATTGCTGCGGTTGCAAGACGCTGTTTCCAGATCCAAACGGGGTTGGTTTGTAAACACTTTATAAAGTTGTTAATTTACCTTTAAATATAAATAGAATGAATTATATATAAAAGAACAACCTTCAGTTTTGAAAAGTTTTGTATTAATGCTGTTCATTGCTTTAATATCATGGCTGTATTTAAATAGTATATCTACATCTGAGACAGTTTTACATAACACATTTATTATGTTATGTCTTGTTCGTATTAAATCGATTCTTTGTTGTCTGTGTCTAATTCACTAACAAAACAGAATCAATGTCATTCACTCAATGTGAATCTTTAGAATAAATCAACTTAGAAAAGATGCAAATGGAATAATGCCAGTATCCTCATTTATTTATTTCACAATGTTGACAATGCTAAATATATAAGAATCCCACACTGAGGTCGATACAACATTTACTTGACATGATTTGCATTCCTCTATTAATGCTTCATTTTGTTTCACATGTTAAAATACAAACGATTATAAAACTATTATTATTAGTCATACATTGAAAATGGAGTTCAATAGGATGATTTGCGTATATACATAGTATACAGTATGCACTATGCATCGTCAATATACAATGGGGGATACACTATAATGTGAATGCCTATTAGAAATAATTGAACAATGTCTTGGCTCAAGACAGAATAGACAACGCCTTATATCTTAAATAGAAACATATATTTAAACTAAGAATCAGAGTTAAAAAACAACCTCTTTAAAATAGTTATTTCAGAATCATCTTGAATTAATCATAGTACATATATCCGTTATCACTTCGTTTATTAGAATGAATTCAACTCAGACATACTCTTCTTTCCTTCATCATGAAAGGGTTTTCTAAATAATCTTTATTAACACACAACAAACGATATCAGTAAACACAAATTTAGCCGAATTCATTCTGTCCTACCATCAAAGTATTCCTGAAGCAATACCTTGATAAATCAGGCTAGTATATGAACGTGTCTTATTAATTTTTCAAAACGGATTTAATAGGAAAATGAAATGTGAACGATGTTATGATTCAGTTAATAATGAATGGACAACAATTCATAAACAAACCTATAATTGTCAGACCAATCCAAAAAGGATATTTATGAATTTTTGGGAAATCAGTATACCTTCTAAATACGATGGTTGTTTCAGAAGCAATGCACTATCTGTACAGTTATGAAATGGTATTATAGTGTATTGTAGTGTTATGTATTGTATGGTACTATTCTGTACAGTTTTTCTTGTTTTTAGGGTTTCATCTTACCATTTGCTAGAATTAAGAAAGGCGAGTGTATGGACGAGCCGTGTATTTCCACTGGATTTTGTAAAGCAAAGATAAAAAGAGAAAAAGAAAAAGCAGGTAATTGTCAATTCAGTTGTAAAAAGGTATGTATGACGTGCACGGACCTGGGGACAATGCGAGAAATGCGGGCTAATCTCAGCTTTGAGCGTTAATCTATGCCTTATTTAAAAAGCTAACTATGTGTTTAATATACCATTTTGAAGTATTTTTTATTCGCATTTCAGTGATATCATTTTTCCTTCAAGATTTTGATGGGATCTAACATATTTTTAAAGTTAAATATACCCCGACATCGTCAAATACGCTGTAAGACGTAACACTTTACGCTTACACGGTTCGTTGATATTGGGATAACTTTCGAAATAATGATCGGAATCCAACTAAAATTTCACAATTTATTCAATGGAAGGTATGCATTTATGACGTCACAATTGTGTAACGGCTACAGTTCAAATTTTCTTATATGAACGCTTTTAAAATTTTCAAAATTGTGTAAGGTTTTGAAGGCGAAGGGGGCGGGCAATAAGTTTACCTTCATTTAACCTTCTAATTTAAGTCTGATTTGAAAGAAAAATTAACTGCACAATAATGTCACGGCGAAATTAACAAAACAATAACCGATTTGTTTATTTTACAAATAATATTAAAATAAGAGCTGATTTTCGAGACTTGAAAAAAATGTGACGCATCGATTTTTTACCACAAATTCAATACATATCAATTTTTACTAACGTCCAAAGTGGATTTCCTGACCGTTTTTCAAAATTCAAAAACATTTTAGAAATATTGTCCTCGAGATCTTGCTACCCTGTGAATTTTATCTTGATTAAATAAGGATAAAGTATTTTATTTTTAGGTTGACTAAACTTGATAAAAATGTGACGCTTGTCGTTTTTGACGTCGTAAGGCTCTTTGCGCCCTGTGCTGCTCATTGTTTTGTTTTGGTATTTTGACGCCATATAATGTTACGCTAATTGTCCCCAGTTTCGTGCGACGTGTAATGGTGCAACATCAGAACAAACGTACAAATAAGCATATCAAATAATAAAGCTGTACCTGACATTGGTGCGCGCATCTATGGAGGTTTCATAAAAACTATGTTTCTTTTTCTATATATTAATATAGAGAAAAAGGAACAAATCATTCTTTTGAAAGAACATGCACATGAATTATTATTGTAGCGTCAACGCAACATCGTTTATATCTACTTTCAAACAATAATATGTTCTTCATATTTCCAATTTCCTGTAAGATATTGGGACTTGGAAATTGATATGAGAATACGCATTTATATCAATACTTCCTAAATAGCATTTGAGTACTTCTGTATAAATGTCTTTGCTTTAAGCTTTAGACAGTGCACAGTCAGACCCCAGGATGATGGGATGCACGTCAAACGACGATTGTCCGGGAATTTTGATTTGCCTACAAGGACTTGGAATGTGTATAGCGCCAGGTCCCCACGGCAGCCCTTGTGATCGAGATGATGTGAGTACTCTCTCAATCAGAATTATAGAAGCTATATACACGTGTGTGATTTTAACACAGACTACTTCAAACGAGAATATATCTTGCATACATGTTAACTATGTCATCATTGTCCAGCGAAATTAGGATTTAACTATCTGCAGATGTGTAGTAGTGGTGTATGTGATACAGAAGAAGAAGAATGTGTAGACTGTCTCGACGATTCAACGTGTGGCGAAAATGGGAGATGTGATGATGACCACCAATGTGTTGAAAGAGCTAGATATGGAGACGTATGTGAGGGTGATGGACAGGTACTACTTATTGATGTTTTTAATCAAGGTTATACACGGTTGGAAAATAAATACATTAATAGCATGAAATGCATTCGAATGTTGCTAGACGTTTTCTATTTATGTAGTGTGAAAGTGGACTGTATTGTAACACTGGTGCATGTAGCAACTGTCAGAAGGACACTTGCCCAAGTGGGCAATTCTGTGATGGAAGTTCAGACGTAGGATTCACATGTAAACCACAGCAACAAAAAGGGGGACCATGTAAATTCGACACAGTGAGTCAATGCTAAAATGAAATAATAAATTATGGAGATGGAGATAGTTTTATCACCAGTCGTACAAAATAGTATAGATTACTATCAAGACTACAGGGCAGACCGAAAGGGTGTAGCTCTTCATATTTGCTAACATAACATTTGCAAAGCATAATATGACTGTATATGTATGTGTCAAAGGGAAAAAATGAAAAAATGTTGCAGTGCACAGCAAGAACAAGAAACTATCTAAGAGGGAACCAGTCATAAGAAAAACAAACGTCTTAACTTTCCCAAACAATGAAATAAGGTGAAACACCCTCTCCCCACCATCCAAGTTCAACAAATCAAGACCCTAACAAAATAAGGGACATTTCATTCATACGGAAGATATTGCAATACATGTTGAAGAATAGTTTATATTTTAATGATATTTGAACTGCATTTAGGGATGTTTAGTCGGACACTGCAATAACAATAAATGTGTTGACTGCATTCATAATACTGACTGTGCAGAGAACAAAATGTGTAGTGACACGTATGATTGTGTTGGCGCCATTGTAATTGGAGGAACCTGTAAAGAAGACGGAGTAAGAAATTTGACAATTTAAATAATCTGATTTTCAAGAAAGAATGATGACAATCTTTGATTTAATCGTCCAATTCTCTGAAATAGGATTGTCAGCCAGGTTTGTTCTGTCAAAGTGGTGTGTGTAGCAAGTGTAAAGATGATGGTGATTGTAACATGGGACAGTTTTGTGGGACCGGCGCTACGGCTGGAAATGAATGTATCGTTAAGAATGGTCCCGGAGCCACGTGTAACGCTAATAATGTGTGTAATTGAACTATTTGTAAAATTAATTACACGAATCTAATGATTTTGCGATATATGACATGATATTCATTCAAATTATGGGGGCTAATCTGATCATAATTGCTCACAATACATTGTATATTACATTTTAACAGAATCTTTATGCGTACTTTATTTCGACATTAGTACATGTTTTTTTAGGAATGTGACAGTGGGCATTGTGTTGCTGATGTTTGTGTGGCATGCGCGGATGATTTACATTGCACTGGACAAGTGTGCAGAGAAAATATGTGTATCACATTAGCCAGCTTTGGCAACACTTGCACTGAAAATGTAAGCCTCATCGGTATCTTATAAGAATACAACACCATCCGATTTGCGTTATGTTAAAGAGTTTTCACATTATAGCGGTGTTAATATTTTACAGACGTGTGAGGCAGGTCTTGTCTGTCACGCGAATGTTTGCAGTAAATGTGGAAGCGACAGTGACTGTACCTTAGGAGAATTCTGTGGAGGAGATCCTAGTTCAGGACGCCAGTGTTCCGCAAAGAAAATCACTGGATCAAAATGCAACGCTGATACTGTACGTAGTACTTGAAGATTATGTCTGTGCTTCTTGGTGATACAATATAATCTTCACCAAGGCGATTATAATCTTATATTTGGTTTATAATATATTTTAGGAATGCGACAGTGGGCATTGTATTGTTGATGCTTGTATGGAATGCGCGGATGATTTACATTGCACTGGACAAGTGTGCAGAGAAAATATGTGTATCACATTAGCCAGCTTTGGCAACACTTGCACTGAAAATGTAAGCCTCATCACCGGTACCTTAAAAGAATTCAACACCATTCAATTTGAGTTATGTTAAGAGCCCGGTTAAGAGTTTCCATAATAATGGTGTTAATATTTTACAGACATGTGAGGCAGATCTTGTCTGTCATGCGAATGTTTGCAGTAAATGTGGAAGCGACAGTGACTGTACCTTAGGAGAATTCTGTGGAGGAGATCCTAGTTCAGGGCGCGAGTGCTTCGCTCGGAAAACCACTGGAGTCAACTGTAATACTGACACTGTACGTATTCCTAAGATGTTCAATTCAATTCAAATCGGTTGGCTCCATCTGTCTTAAACATAGTGATTGCTTCTTGAAACACCATTTTGAATGGAGAAAGAAATATTTTATGAACATAAAGTTTCGTTTGGGAGAAGTGAATACAGTTGTTCAACAAAGTATCAACCTAAAATGTTTTGAAATGTACCATAATACTTACTAATTTGGTTTATACTTTATTCCAGGAATGCGACAGTGGGCATTGTGTTGCTGATGTTTGTGTGGCATGCACGGATGATTTACATTGCACTGGACAAGTGTGCAGAGAAAATATATGTATCACATTAGCCAGCTTTGGCAACACTTGCACTGAAAATGTAAGCCTCATCGGTATCTTATAAGAATACAACACCATCCGATTTGAGTTATGTTAAAGAGTTTTCACATTATAACGGTGTTAATATTTTACAGACGTGTGAGGCAGGTCTTGTCTGTCACGCGAACGTTTGCAGTAAATGTGGAAGCGACAGCGACTGTAACTTAGGAGAATTCTGTGGAGGAGATCCTAGTTCAGGGCGCGAGTGCTCTGCTCAGAAAACCACTGGGTTAAAATGCAATGCTGATTCTGTAAGTAACCATGAGCATTTATGCTTATGTTTTATATCCCGTTGTCAGAGGCCACCTTCATATGTACGTCTATTTATCTAATGATACCATGTGATGTGTAGATCAAGTTATTCAGTGACTATACTTTTAGAAAACCTTATTGAATCACCATATGAGATCTATAAGACTTTAAAGTCCCCGATAAATCGGGCTACGTATACCGCCGTGTTTACATTAGGGGATTAGAAGAGTTTATTTTTTATTTAGGTATGCAAGCTACGTATATCAATATTAGGCCTTCATTCATGTACTCGTGTGCATGTAATCAGCATGCCCTTCAATATTATGTAAACCAGGCTATTCAAGTACTGTATAATGTACACTATTTATGTGTGTACTACATACATACAATACAATTCCCTGGGAAACAAAACACAAATGCTTTTTATATGTTCAAAATGAGCCATTTGATTGATGCAAACACTAAATAGCTTCATAAATAACATCTACAAAGTATATCTACTAGTAATTTTTAATTTCAATGGTGAAACTTCCCTGGTTACGATTATATGGGAAATCATCACGAGACGAAGATCGTTCGCCTTCCTGGCTTACCTCTGAATCGTGTACCCGGTAATCTCTTTATATAGTTTAGCGAGAGCGGTGCGCCTGCGCAGTTTTTAACTTTGGCGAACACTTTAAACGCAAGGATACTTATTTGATTGTCACAGTCCAGATATTTAACAGTACATCGATTGATAAAACCTATTCATGAAAAACTATTTGTCAGAATCAATATTATACACCCTTGGTATACGCAGCTAACGAAAATTGACCGGTACGGGTCAAAAGCTGGACCGGTACGGGTTAACGGTTTTATTTGAATTTAAAATAGCCATAACTTGCTCAATATTGACTTCCTCGTGTCTAATTTGAAATATATGATGCCTCCCGATGCTTTTAAGTACCCCAATTTTTTACAGATTTTTAAACGGACCACAACTCTCTAAATGCGCATTTATGCTCTTTTCTCTCGAGAACGACTGTCTCATTTTCACGATAACTTTTATTTAGTACCTCTAACATATAAGATCTATTTTCCCCATCAAGGTATGATGTAAATGACATGCTATTTACATCTTGTGAGTTTCAATGACGCGCGTTTGATTTTATAAAAAATGCCAAACTTTGTGACAAAGAATTTCATCAGCTATTGCCCCGAACCGGTCCGTCTTCTCGCTACAAGCAGATTGCCCCGAACCGGTCCGTCTTCTCGCTGCAAGCAGGATGAAATTCTTTGTCACAAAGTTTGGCATTTTTTATAAAATCAAACGCGCGTCATTGAAACTCACAAGATGTAAATAGCATGTCATTTACATCATACCTTGATGGGGAAAAATAGATCTTATATGTTAGAAGTACCAAATAAAAGTTATCGTGAAAATGAGACAGTCGTTCTCGAGAGAAAAGAGCATAAATGCGCATTTAGAGAGTTTTGATCTGTTTAAAAATCTGTAAAAAATTGGGGTACTTAAAAGCATCGGGAGGCATCATATATTTCAAATTAGACACGAGGAAGTCAATATTGAGCAAGTTATGGCTGTTTTAAATTCAAATAAAACCGTTAACCCGTACCGGTCCAGCTTTTGACCCGTGCCGGTCAATTTTCGTTAGCTGTGTATACCAAGGGTGTTATATGTCTTGGAAAACTCTGCTAAGTAGGGGTATGTCTAATATTGTTTTGATACCTCTGCGTGTGTATTTTTTGACTTGACACTTCATTGCATTTTAAGTGTAAATAATGAGATCGTTTTCCATATGACATATCTTTTAAATTTTGAAGTACATTTTTGGTGCACTTACACTCACTAATTTGTATATTTAGGAATGTAACAGTGGACACTGTGTAGACGATGAGTGTGTATCATGTGTACTCGATGATCACTGTAGTGGCCAGCAAGTTTGCAATGACAACACTTGTATAACTTTAGCAGGATTTGGTGGAATATGTGACTCTACAGATGTGAGTTTTAAATATATATTTTACACAAACACGTCCATTTGATATTGAAGTAACATTATCTTAATCTTACCCTACAATCACATCGAACAAACTCCCACTACCTCGAAAAACGGGCTCAGAGTGTGTACGAACAGATTGGACGTACTTAGAACTGTTTGAGGTCTATATTTACAATCTTCATGAACGTATTCGAACGGATGGGTCATCAAAATCATCTGGTGGTTGTCACATTCTGCAATAAGAACGAGTGACCATTTAAGACCAGCTGGGCGCGCTATGAACGGAACCAATGTCACACTTCGATCTTACTAGGAACGTTTTAAGAACGAGCGGAACTGTCTGAGGACGTATTGAGAACGAGGTATAACTAATTGCAAACGGGTTCAAACTGATTAATGACGTATTAAAGACTGCTGATGAACTAATTAGTAATAAGTAAAAATATAGCTTTCACATAATGCCAGTTGCCACTGCGTTCTTCACAACGTTGCCGATCTGATCTAAAGTGTGCGAACGGAACGAACATAGCTGCAACTTTCTACGGTCTATTCACGAACTTCATAGACGTACTTGGACGGGAAGGTGAATCATTTCAAAATTCGATGGCGACCTACCATTCTGTGATTAGATCGTGTGACAGCGTACTTCAAATGAGATGACCTATTAGACTGGGAACATAGCTGCCGTACTACGACCCTACTAGGGACGCGTTAAGGACGAATTGCGAATGAAATGGACGTATAAAAGACTGTTTTTGTGAACGAAGTAGCTAATTATTGTAGACATGTTTCCCGACCACAGCCAGATTCAGTCCAAAATTGTGAAAAAGCTCTCCCCTGGAAAAAAGCCCCCCCCCCTGGTAAAAGCTGGCTACGGGCAAGGTACATACACTATACGTCAACAAAAAAAATAGTAAATCATCTTTGATTTAGGTTTGTGAACTGGGCCTTGTTTGCTATATGGGTCGATGTGGGGAATGTGAGGACGAGAATGATTGTGACGAGGATGAATTTTGTGGCGTAGGTAGAAACAATGGGTATGCGTGTATACCTAAGAAGGGGATTATGTCAGGTTGCACTTCAGATAGTGTAAGTGCTTTATAAGTCCTACAAATGAAAATTGAATAAATATTTATCTGGGAAAATATATGGTTCTTTTGCAAACAGATTAAATTATCTATTACGTAATTTATGACATTGCTTAACTAAGCCATATTGTTTTCTTCAGTTTTAAAGAGAACATTTTTCTGCAGAGAAAGAAAATACATTGCGCAATATTTGATACCTTACGCATGTAAGTTATCAAATGGATGGGTACTTGATACAATATATCATCAAGGTATTGTGGTAAGAATTGTAATAACTAGCTTGTTTCAAAATCAAAGGAATGTGACAGCGGCCATTGTGTTGACAAAATGTGTGTAGCCTGTGTATCCAACAATAATTGTAATGGACAGCAAGTTTGCAAAGACAACACATGTATTACATTGGCAGAGTATGGTGGAAAGTGTGACTCTTCGGATGTGAGTTTCTAATGTTTTAGAAAACTGCTATTACATGGTCACATAAGTCCACACGGAACTAAGAATGACGTGTAATCAAACCAAATGAATATATATAGGTTATTTACTGGGAGGGATTGAATATGGGTTTTATTCCGAGGGACAATATGATATTGACCGAAGGGTAATATGATATTGACCGAGGGAGCGCAGCGACCGAGTGTCAATATCATATAACCCAAGGTCAATATCATATTTTCCGAGGAATAAAACCCATATTCAATCCCGACCAGAAATAACCTATTTATTCCATAATACACCCCTCTAAAATGCTACATTTGGATAATGCAAAAAACGGGAAAAAATAACCGGGAAACCGAAAATAGGTTAATATGCTCCGATACGATTTTTTTCCCGGGGACAATACGATTTTTTCATGTAATACGCTCTAATACGATTTTTTTTTCCCGGGGACAATACGATTTTTTCATGTAATACGATTCAATACAATTTTTATTCCTTCATATTTCCCTGGGAAAACAGTAGTATTATGGAATAAGGTACCATGTTATCTTCTCCCTGATCAATATCTTGATTGACAGAAATACATCTGAGGAATATTGGTAATTGTCTAAAGGAATCAAATCGAATACTAACGTATGAAACAATGTGGTCTTTCGAAAAAGGTGATCAAAGTCATTGTTTAAAATAAATGTGTGAAAATGTATGCTTTGCTGTAGTTTTGTAAACTGGGCTTGGTGTGCTATATGGGTAGATGTGGGGAATGTGAGAACGAGGATGATTGTGACAAAGGCGAATTTTGCGGCGTTGGAAGGAACAATGGGTATACGTGTATACCTAAAAGGGGGATTATGTCACGTTGCTTAACAGAAAATGTAAGTTGTATATAAACAGAAATAATAAATAGAAAAAAATCCGAGAAGACATCAAAGTAATCAAAGTTCCTACATTCGTATGATTGGAAAGCTTATTTATTGTGTGGTTGTCTGTACTTCGCCCTAGATCTGCGAGTTGTAAATAAAGTTTTGGATTGGGCATTATCTATTTTTATCTTATTCACAAGTCGGGTGTATAAAATTGGCCATTCTAGATGATTCATTTTTGTCGCCTGGCATCTAGACATATACATTCATTTTTAATGTTTCAGGAATGCACAAGTGGATATTGTGTAAATGGTGTATGTGTAACATGTGTAGATGATTCACATTGTGGAGAACTTGCGTGTCGAGAAAACACATGTGTCAAACTTTCTGAATTGGGTGACACATGTAAAGAAGACAGGGTAAGATATAAGTTTTAAAATTTAGCAATGGTGAACACGAGCCAATAATATCATACATACACCGTTCGTGTACTGTATGTAGTGTAGTCACTTTTATACCATGGTCATAGCAATATTAGGTATATAATAGCAAACAGTGATTAATCACATATTTGGGACAGGGATGATATCAAGGATGATATCAGGATTAGAGGGATGATATCAGGGATGATATTTTTAAGAAAAATGTTTTTCTTGCCCTAAATTCCCAATGTACTTTGGAGTGGGATAATAGGTAACATAAATATTTTCAAGATTCAATCCTTTTTTCTCTCATTCAACAGAAGATTTTGGGTAGATATTGATCTTTATCATGGTATAATGTCGCTATTCACCTGTTGGGATGATATGGGTAATATCCCTCGGATGATATCGATATTTCATCCTTGTGACATTCCCCATATCAAATCCTTCCTGGTGAATAACTACTTTACATCTACTGAATCTAGTTTCACAAGGAAAGGGGGAAATTTAAGAACCCTGGAATACATTCCAAAAGATAGTAAGTCTTGTCTGTTTAAGAATTGTCTCTCTGGCCTTGAATGCCATATGGGTGTATGTAGTAGTTGCACGAGGGATAGCGATTGTGATGAGGGACAGTATTGTGGTGGGGACGAGTATAGCAACGGCTTGATGTGCGTGGATAACAGTCAATTTGGTAGCCAATGTAAAGTCGATAAGGTAACATCCACGTGCATACAGTACTCAAGTTCTGAACCTCACGAGTTTTGATTCTGAGTGAATCCAGTTGATAATATTTTGTTTTGATGGATACTTCAGAAAAAATAAATAAATGATTTTTCGTGCTAAATATACGACATCTGATTTAGTCGTCTGTAAATGGTTTCCTATACATTGCTCATGTTTTTGTGAATGGTGGAAAAGAGGGGCTCAAATTAAAACATTAGCTATAGTTAAATATGTCAACAAAAGAAACTGTGAACATAACAATTACTTACTTTACATGTTCATTGGCAGCATTGTGACACCCATCTAATGTGCAGTGATGGTGTGTGTGGTTACTGCAAGAGTGACACCGATTGTTTGTCCAATGCTTATTGCAAAGGAGGAGCTGATAAAGGAAAAGAATGTGTCTCCAAGAAGGAATTTTGGGCAATATGTGAGGAAGACACTGTGAGTGTGTTTTTAATGAAGGACTCTATCAAATTGAATTTACAATGTATGTTACCATATTATCACACCAAACTAGTTCTCAATACATTCTCTAAAACTGGTTTAAACTGTGTACGGACGGATTGGACGTTCTTACAACCGTTTAGGGTCTATTTACAAACTTTATGATAATTGAACGTACTCGAATTGGTAAGTCCTCCGGAAGTTAGAGGATTGTCATAATTTTCTGATGGTCGTCACGTTCTGCAATAAGAACGAGTGACAACGTACTTAAGACGAGCTGGACGTACTTCGAACGGAGCTGTCGTACTTCAGTCCTAGAAGGGACGTTTTAAGAACGAGTTGAATTGTCTGAGGACGTATTTAAAATGAGGTCGAAGTAATTGCGAGTTTTAAATGATTACGGACGTTTAAAATACTGTTTATGCATGAAATGGAAATATAGCTATCACACCAAACTGATTGCTAATGCGTTCTTAAAAACGTTGTTGAATTGGTTTTAAGCTGTGTGCAAACGGAACGAACGTACATGTAGCTGCAACTTTCTACGAACTTCATGGACTTGCTCTGACGGGAAGCAGGTGTTTTAGAACATCGAATCATTTCAACATTCGATGGCGACCCAACCGTTCTGTAATTAGACCGTATGACAACGTACTTAAAACGAGATGACCTACTAGACTAGGAACGCAATTGCCAAACTGCGACCCTACTAGGGACGCGTTAACGTTTTGCAATTGGACATCAATTGCAGTACGTGTATACACCGACATGGTGCGACCTGAACGAAGTGCGAATGAGATGGACGTATTGAAGACTGTTAACCCTACTATCACACCAAACTAGTTCTCAATACGTTCTCGAAAACGGGCTTAAACTGTGCACGACTGGACGTACTTAGAATTGTTTTTGGTCTATTATGTCACCACCAAAAGTGGTGACATATTGTTATGGTCTCCGTTTTTTTGCGACGGCGTCCGGCGGTTGGTGGTTGGTGGTTGGCGTCCGGCGGTTGGCGTCCGGCGTCTGTAACAATTTCTTACAACTTCCTATAACTTAACAAATACTGTTTAGACTGACTTCAATTTTTTTCTAAATCATCTACATGTTCTCAGAAGTTCAAATCTGACTTTAGATTTGACATTTGACCTTCAATGACCTTCTCAAGGTCAAAAAGGTCTTTTTTCAACTTGCTTCACATTGACTAAATTTTTTTTCAAAATCATCTACATGTTCTCAGAAATTCAAATCTGACTTTAGATTTGACATTTGACCTTCAAATCTGACTTTAGATTTGACATTTGACCTTCAATGACCTTCTCAAGGTCAAAAAAGGTCAAAAAGGTCTGTTTTCAACTTGCTTCAAATTGACTAAATTTTTTTTTCAAAATCATCTACGTGTTCTCAGAAATTCAAATCTGACTTAAGATTTGACATTTGACCTTCAATGACCTTCTCAAGGTCAAAAAAGGTCAAAAAGGTCTGTTTTCAACTTGCTTCAAATTGACTAAAAAAAATTTTCAAAATCATCTACGTGTTCTCAGAAATTCAAATCTGACTTTAGATTTGACTTAAGATTTGACATTTGACCTTCAATGACCTTCTCAAAGTCAAAAAAGGTCAAAAAGGTCTTTTTTCAACTTGCTTCAAATTGACTAAATTTTTTTTTCAAAATCATCTACATGTTCTCAGAAATTCAAATCTGACTTTAGATTTGACATTTGACCTTCAATGACCTTCTCAAGGTCAAAAAAGGTCAAAAAGGTCTGTTTTCAACTTGCTTCAAATTGACTAAATTTTTTTTTCAAAATCATCTACGTGTTCTCAGAAATTCAAATCTGACTTAAGATTTGACTTAAGATTTGACATTTGACCTTCAATGACCTTCTCAAGGTCAAAAAAGGTCAAAAAGGTCTGTTTTCAACTTGCTTCAAATTGACTAATTTTTTTTTTCAAAATCATCTACATGTTCTCAGAAATTCAAATCTGACTTAAGATTTGACATTTGACCTTTAATGACCTTCTCAAGGTCAAAAAAGGTCAAAAAGGTCTGTTTTCAACTTGCTTCAAATTGACTAAAAAAAATTTCAAAATCATCTACGTGTTCTCAGAAATTCAAATCTGACTTTAGATTTGACTTTTGACCTTCAATGACCTTCTCAAAGTCAAAAAAGGTCAAAAAGGTCTTTTTTCAACTTGCTTCAAATTGACTAATTTTTTTTTTCAAAATCATCTACATGTTCTCAGAAATTCAAATCTGACTTTAGATTTGACATTTGACCTTTAATGACCTTCTCAAAGTCAAAAAAGGTCAAAAAGGTCTTTTTTCAACTTGCTTCAAATTGACTAATTTTTTTTTTCAAAATCATCTACATGTTCTCAGAAATTCAAATCTGACTTTAGATTTGACATTTGACCTTTAATGACCTTCTCAAGGTCAAAAAAGGTCAAAAAGGTCTGTTTTCAACTTGCTTCAAATTGACTAAAAAAAAATTTCAAAATCATCTACGTGTTCTCAGAAATTCAAATCTGACTTTAGATTTGACTTAAGATTTGACAATTGACCTTCAATGACCTTCTCAAAGTCAAAAAAGGTCAAAAAGGTCTTTTTTCAACTTGCTTCAAATTGACTAAATTTTTTTTTCAAAATCATCTACATGTTCTCAGAAATTCAAATCTGACTTTAGATTTGACATTTGACCTTCAATGACCTTCTCAATGTCAAAAAAGGTCAAAAAGGTATTTTTTCATCTTGCTTCAAATTGACTAAATTTTTTTTCAAAATCATCTACATGTTCTCAGAAATTCAAATATGACTTTAGATTTGACATTTGACCTTCAGTGACCTTCTCAAGGTCAAAAAAGGTCAAAAAGGTCTTTTTTCAACTTGCTTCAAATTGACTAATTTTTTTTTTCAAAATCATCTACATGTTCTCAGAAATTCAAATCTGACTTTAGATTTGACATTTGACCTTTAATGACCTTCTCAAGGTCAAAAAGGTCAAAAAGATCTGTTTTCAACTTGCTTCAAATTGACCAAATTTTTTTTTCAAAATTATCTACATCTTTTCAGAAGTTCTAATTTGACTTTACAAGTTCTCAGAAATTCAAATCTGACTTAAGTTTGAACTCATAATATTGTGAGCAACTAGGTGGTGACATTTTGTCATGTTAATGCCTTGTTTACAAATGTCATGAACGTACTTGAACGTCTAGGTCTTCCAGGATTTAAAGCATGATCAAATTTGATGCTCTGATGGTCGTCACGTTCTGCAATTAGAGCGAGTGACAACGTACTAAAGACGAGCTGGTCCTACTTATAAACGGAACTTTCGTGCTTCAATCCTAGTAGGGACGTTCTTAGAACGAGGTGAATTGTCTGAGAACGAAGTAGAACTAATTGCAAACGGGTTTAGACTGAATGAGAACGTATTAAAGACTGCTTATGAACATGTTAGCAACAATATAGCTACCACACCAAAGTAGTTGCCACTGCGTTCTTCAAAAGGTTGCCTAACTGGTTTTAAACTGTCTGCAAACGGAAAAAACGTAGCTGTAATTTTCAACAGCCTATTTACGAACCTCATGGACGTGCTGGGACGGAAAGGTAGAATTTTGAATCGTTTCAAAATTCGATGGCGTTCTGTAATTAGGTCGTATGACAACGTACGTAACGAGATGACCTACTAGACCAGGAATGTAATTGCCGTACTTCGACCCTACTAGGGACGCGTTAACGACGTTGTGCAATCGGATATCATTGCAGTAATTCCACACACCGACATGGTGCAACCCGGACGAACTGTGAATGAGATGGACGTACTGAAGACAGTTTGTCAACGAAGTAGTTAATTATTGGGGGGTAAACATAATAACCATTAAAAGCATGTTTATGACAATTTGGCGACGTCCATTTAAAATATACGTCTATTTATCTTCAAAATGCTATTTTACGCAGGAATGCACGAGTGGTATATGCCGTGATGATGGTGTCTGTGTTTTTTGTGATGACACACGCGTTTGTGACACACTTCAATATTGTGATGATGGAGAGTGTATCAATGTAAAGAAAGTTGGACAAAGGTGTAAAGACAATCAGGTGATGACGCTTGCCTACTTTATTTTGACATAATATACACTATATAAGCATATAGTTTACCACAAAACCTTGTTCTTACCAAACAGTCTTCTTGAGATAGCAATAACCTACAATTATCTCAATCTGATGCACGTATTGTTGTCAACTTTTTTTCATTTAACTGCTTTGCTTTTACGTTTGCGTTTGGCTGCGTATTTGTTCAGCGCGCTTCTACAGCAATGAATCAGCTCAGCAGCTTTGCATTTGAAAACCTGCGCTTGCGCGATATTCTTTTGCATGATCTTTGTAAAACACAATTCTTTTTTCTAGGAATGTTACTCACATTATTGTTTTGAAGACGTTTGTGTTTCGTGCATGGCAGATTTTGATTGCAAGGAATCGAACACGTTTTGTGACGATTCAAAATCTCATTCGTGCATGTCGAAAAAACCAAACGGAGAACATTGCTTGAAGAAATCAGTAAGAATATCTCCGTCATTACACAAATCATGCATATTGTTGATTTTAATCTCTACTTGTTAGCTTACTTTATTTATCTTTGTACTTGCTTATGCAATTGTATATTTCTATGACTCATTTAAGCTGTTTTTATGTTTTACGATGTACTTTTTTTAACTGTTTCTTAACGGTTTCACATTGCCATTGCTGGTTTTGTAATTATCACAAATGATTTTGTAACTGCCAAAGTCGTCAACCTATATTTTAGTCAAATCGATCCTCCGAAGTAGGTGTAGTGCAGGACTAATCCTATTGAGTTCCTTCGTTAAGTGTTTGGGTCAAACCAATCGCAAGCCATTTTTTAATATCAATTATTCTGCAATTGTTACATCATCACAATAAAGTATCACAATTTTGATAGGAATGTGAAAGTAATCAATGTGCAGCGTCTGGTATCTGTGGCGACTGTGTAATGGATAGGGAATGCGGAACTGGAAAATTTTGCCAAAACAACGTTTGCATGGCAACATTGCAAGATTTCGCAACCTGTCAAAATAATCACGTAAGTGTGCCTTGAACACGATATATCGCCACAAACAAATCTAACGATATACATATGCTATCTATCGTTAATGATCTAGACTCCCCGAAATAGTGTCATTTTAATGCACATCAAAAAGTAATAAATAACCAAATGCAACACACCGATTACAAAACAATAGACCGTTCTCGACTTGAACTCTCTCAGACCGAACTCTGTTTTAGTGTAAAGCTATGTAGGAGCAGTAAAACTAGTAGTGATTTCTTCTTAAATGACATGTTTTTCATGATGGTGTCTTATTTTACGTTCAGCAATGTGCATCTCAAAGGTGCGATGGTGGCACGTGTGTGCAATGTTTTAGGGCGGCCGATTGTGAGCGAGGACAAACCTGCACATTTGGAGAATGTTTTGACAAGCTACCTGCTGGAAAACCTTGTGCTACAGATGATGTAAGTTATTCTTATCATGTGGTTTTAAAGTTTGATGAGACTACAAAAATGATTGGATTATCCCGGCCCATTATCATCCCATGCAGACAGATCGCCTAAAACTATATTCGTATGACAGTATGATGCGAGACTCGACATTCAGCAGGAAACTAGAAACATTTTGTCACGAATGAAGCAAATTAATTTTTACTGCTTAATAAATGGCGAATGACGAGGAACCTATCTGACTAGTAAAGAAGTAGGGCAAGTAGGAACCAAACCCAGGACTCATGTTACTCATGTTTCAATCTATTATTATTACGATTATAATTTCAGCAATGTATATCTAGAATATGCGGCATGGGCTTGTTGTGTCACGAATGTGATAGTGACTTTGATTGTGACAGAGACACATATTGTCACATTGTTGACGAGAATGAGGCTACTGATGGAGAGGTGAACCGCTGTGAAAAGAAATTTGAAATTGCTGCTAAGTGTTTAGGAAATAACGTAAGTGTGTGAATAGTCCACTGCGTATCTACTGTACATGCAGCATTGTGTATTAATATGTGCTTACGTATGGTGATGGCATTTCTGAGAATTTCTGTGTTCTTGAATATGCTTTCTTGAATACGTCAATCTTTTGCATATTTTTCGTGTATTTTTAAATATTACTTTAGAATACAACTTTCGACTTCGAATGGATCATTTAGACTATAGTATAAGGCATAAACATGCAAAGATTCACCACCTGCCGCCATTTTTTAGGATGCCCATTGTGAAACGAAGTTAAACACGCCTAACGCTGTTTCAAACGCCAAACACTGACCTACGAACACAATCCATGAAAAAGTTGAAAACTATAATAATATGTGAAAATGTGTATTTTAACTAATAATAAAGGGAGTTGTTGAATTTGTGAAAATCAAAATTATATGCTAAACATATTATGTAATCTCGTTATTATGATTCTTGCTAGCAATGTATGACAAGAATGTGCGACAACGTATGTGGATCGTGTCTCAGTGACTTTACATGTGGATCTACCAAGTATTGTGAAAATACAAAACCTTTTGATCCAAACTCGTGTAAGCCCTATGTAAAAAATGGAGAGCCATGTGAATCCTCGAAGGTAATTTACAAAAAACAAACAAACATATTACGGAAGATGATGTTGCATAATACACTAATCCAGCAATTTTTGTCATGGTGGTATCCATTATCATATCTGCTGATTAACTAATCAACTGCTGAATAATGTAACTTCCAAATCGCTTTTGGCTGGAAAAGGGAGTTAAGAGAGAACTACCGGTCATGAGGAAACAAACACCAGTATCCCCCACAAAAAGTTTATGTTAAGAAGGAATGTCCACTTTAGTCTCAGGAATACGCAAATCTCTCATATGCTTGGATTTATATCACTTGGTTCCTTATACATTAATCTATATGGAATCATTTTCTCATTTTATGTAAATCACTGTTTTGTTAGTCATGCATGATAAAATGGCAGAAGTTAATGATGATAGGTGTCTTTGAGTACCAGAGTACAGCATCGTTTCTTTTGTTCATCTCTTGTTAAAATCGTTCCATGTGTTTTCAGTCGTGTGAGAGTGGCTTCTGCGATTCTCTCTGTGGAGAATGTATAACCGACAAAGACTGTAAGAAACAAGGGACAATATGCCGGGGTACAGGTTCTGGTAGCGTGATGAACGAGTGCCACACTCTGATATTAAACAACAGACCTTGTAATAAAGACTCAGACTGTCAGAGTGGGCTCTGTATTGGGAAATGTGTCAACTGTAAAACTTCCGATGATTGTATATCAGGGAAAGCCTGTTTTAATAATGTCTGTAAATGGAAGCGTAGATATGGATATCCATGCAGTAAAGATGACCAATGTAAAAGTGTAGTGTGTGATTTCGATAGAGGAATATGTGTATACTGAACTCCTAGCAACAGCGAATTTTTGTATGTTTATTCGTAAGGTTCGATCGTATTTTGAAATAAATTATGCCAAAAGCACCGAACCAGTGTTTATCGCATTTCTTGATATACAACAACATGACAATTGCAATGTGCAGTCTTTTGATATGAGAAGTATAGATAAAGCATATTACTAAATTATTAATATTTCCGAAAACTATCCATAACCTCGTTTAAAATACATCAAAGGTGCAAAGATGAACTTAATAGTTTCAGTACTAGTTTCATTTATCTATTCACTGCTTTTCGATGAAGTATGAACAAAAATCACTGCATAGATTACGTACTTGTTCTTTTTTAATAAATAAACGGCTGTCGATAACCGGATTAACTAGTACTTTTATATGGCAAACTCATTTAATTATGAATATAATATAGTGACAAAGACAAAGTTTATAGTAGTAATAGTGGCAGGTACTATTCATTGGTCTTAAAATAGTAGGTTAATCCGGTAGCCGACAGCCAAAATTTGCATTCGCAAATTCAAGGTTAGCTTTGCATGGTAAACAATTACTCCAAGCTCAAGTTCAGAAAATAGACAAAAAGGTACATGTACGAGTACATAATCAATCAACGTGTACCAAGTTTAACAGTTCAAAATCTACACATTCAAAGGAGTGTTATCGATATGGAAAACTGAATTCAACAATGTTTTTCTCTTAAACCCATTATGAAAACATTCTGTAAAAAACACAGTATTTTATATAATGTTGACTGATTGACAACAATTAAATGCGAAAATAATTTAGAAATATTTTATACAAGGGTCGATCCAGATATTCTGATAAAAAAATGCTCTCATTTCTTTATTTTTGGATGTTATTACTTGTAATTTGGACAGACAAAAGATAATTTATTTTGGCAAAATATATAAAAATATAAATTTTATTCCTTCATAACTCTCCTCACGGGAGAACTTTTGCGTTGCCAAGGTAACGGCACCTGGGACAATAAAACTAGAATAAAAGTTTCACTACAAAATCAAGAGTCTCACAGACTGATTAAATCAACTATTTTGTCCTTTATGTACGCATGCGCTCAAAATAATGTCCTTGTGCAGCCACACATCGTCTATGTCTATCAACCCAGCGAGTATATACATCATTGCAGTCAGGGAAGTTGGTGTGCAGGGAACGCAGTTCTGCCTGTTTCATCTCATTGACATCATGAAATCGCCTGCCTTTGAGGTCACTCTTCAGTTTGACAAACTTGTCTGTAGATCCCTGGTACTGATATTGCATCATCTCTATAAACCCTTTTTATGGCATTAATCGTCTCTCCTCTGCTTTTCCCATCCTTTACAAGAAACCTGATGGCACTCCTCACTTGATTTTGTACTTCGCGTTTAGCCTCCTTTGCACTTATGCAGTCTGACATTTTGATTTTCCCTTTTGCACACTTTGACAAAACTTGCTCAAGTGATTTGAATTTGGAGCCAGCTTCTATTTGCTCACAATGGATTGTCTGTTGTGATGTCATAAAACACTTAATTGATTGTAGGTGCACCTGCTAAAATGCTAATTGAAGAATATTTGACTCTAAAATGGGTCATAATGGATATAAAAGTATGTAAAGACAAAATATGAAGAGACAGAAAAGCTACTTGTCCCAGGTCCCGTTTCCATGGTTACCAATTTTTTACCCTAGCAACGCATTAGTGCCCGTATGTTGACTAAACTTATGAGCAATTTAATTATCCTCATTGTGTGCAAGTTTGATGTTATAACTCCCAAAAATAAAAAGAGCAGTTTTTGTTAACATTTTTTGTTTTTTCAGTGCAATTGTTTTTGCTCCTTTCTACCAATTCTTGAGAATGAATTAAAATGTCCAGCTTGTTGGAACAAAATAGCATATACAACATGTCTTTTGACCTCTCATAATATAGTTATACAAAGGAATTTTTGGCTGATTTTAAAAAAGTATTCAAAAGATTAAAACAAAATCCCCCAAAATAGATAAAAATCAAGAAAAACCTTTTATTTCATTAACAAGATACTTTTTAAAATCAACCAAAATTCCCTTTGTACAATTACAATATTGAGAGACCTAAACATGTTGTTTATGTCGTTTTGTTCCAATGAGGTTCGGAAAGATTTTTCATTTCACTCTGGAAACATGATACCAAGAACAAAACAAGTGTTTGGTGTGTTTTCTAAAACAATATAGATGAAAGTATGTATATATTAAATATTCAAATTATATTGTTAACATTCAAAGGATTACCATTAAATTGACGATGTGTAAAAGTTTTAGATTTTTTATGACTGGTTTGAGAGAAACGTGTGTTCAAAAAGTTCTCCATATCGATACCACTCCTTTAGTACAAATAGTTCATGTTTTATCATCATCGTCAATATCAGTGGTAGGATGAGAAGACATTAAAACACATTTATCTTGGTTGCAACGATTCATTTTATCGATGTGGCTTATATTCTTCCCACGTGGTGTACCAATAAGTTTCTATTGTTTCACTTACAAAAACAGTAATTATAACTTATAGATCTTGATTGATATTTCAGAGTCCTTCTTTACTAATATTAATCAACAAGCTACGCAGTGTAACATATTTTGAACCAAATGGCCGTCAGTTACTGATAGTACATAAAATAGTTCCTCCTAAACATATCAAAACGATAGATAACAGTGTCATATGGTACAGGCTACATGCATATATTTGGTATATTTTTAACAAATGTACTTTGCTATCTCACATATTCAAATGTCAATGAAACCGCATGCCAGAGGTATACTTATACATAAATGTGTAATTCGCAATGCCTTATATACCTTACAACACGATGATAAAGTATATGATGGAACCTTGTTTGTGAAATGGATAAATTTCGATTAAGGACTAAAATTGATTGTGATCTACAAAAACAATTTATGAATTAATATCGTAACGCAACACTACCGAAGCAAAAGTATATATCAACATGGATGATGCATCTCACAAAGAAAGTGACACTCCGAACATAAAACATATCAACATGGATTCGACAAAAGGTGCTTTGAAGAATAATGGTGCATTGACAGAGAACTCTGATGGAGCAAACGAACAAAGACATCGATCGCGAGCACTTTGTGATGCGTGTATACCATCCAAATTATTTAACAAATTACTTATGATTTGCTGTTTAACTGAAGCAACAAGAGTAAAGATACGAATTATTGTTATGAGTTTAAGTTTTATGGCTGAATTTACTGCCTATCTCTCACTTCAGAATTTACAAAGTAGCTTGAATGCTTCTGGTGGTTTAGGAACAATGTCATTAAGTATGCTAGGATTTGGACTGGCGATTGCATCATGGTTTTCCCACATTCCTATTCGGTTCTTCGGCCCCAAGCTCTGCATTATTGTTGGCTGGATGTCTATGTGTGTATTCATCATAGCCAATGCATTCCCATATCCATATACACTAATTCCAGCTAGTGTACTTGTAGGTTTGACTATGGGTCCGACCTGGACTGCCCAGGGGATGTTTATGACCACATATTCCATCGAATATGCTGAGTTAGTGAACATGGAAGAAGGAGATGCAATGGGATACTTCAGTGGAATTTTTTTTGGAATATTTCACACTTCACGTATAATAGGAGATCTGATCTCGTCATTAGTACTGCAGACGCCACTAGAATCACTTGATCGCAATAGAACCCTTGATGGAATCACTTGTGGATCTGAATTTTGCCCAAGTGACCTAGACAGGGTAAATGCCAGTGCTTTGAATCCACCGTCCTCAGAACAAATAGAAAGACTTGTAGGAATCTACCTTGGTTTTGGAATACTTGGTGTTTTAATAGCAATATTTTGCCTTGCAGATGGCACATTAAAAGAAACGGTAAAAGAAGGCGTGTGTAAGAATGCATTTTCAGCTATAGCGATAACAGGAAATATCAAGTTTCTGCTAATTTTACCTGTTTTAGTCTTTGTCGGTTTGAAGCAAAGTCTGATGGCAGGTGATTTTACACAGGTGAATTATTCTTATTTCTTGTCTAATACAGGGTGAGTCAAAAAGGGTAACCTAAATAAATGTTGATAACCAAGTATGAGTTTATTTTTATCATATTTGGTACAACCAAACCTTGTTTAATGCTCTTTCATTCTACCAAGTTTCATTGGTCTACTTCAAATGGTCACGATTTCATGGTCATTTTACAAAACATGCTCAAGTCAACATTCTACTAAGTTTCATTGGTCTGCTTCAAATGGTCACGATTTCATGGTAATTTTACAAAACATCCTCAAAATGCTGATCTCGGCAAACTTGAACGCTCAAAGATCTTCTAATCTCATGTTTCAGCTCTTTGATGCTTTTAGGGTTGTTTATATACACATTATCTTTGAAATAGCTCCAAAGATGAAATTCTTGGGGTTCATATATGGGCGACTTTGGCATATATCGGCCTTTGGAGCATGTTTTAAAATAGGGACCATTTGGGAATAAACAAATGAAACTTAGCAAAATGAAAGAACATTGTACATAGTTCAATCGAGCAAAATATGACCTCAAACCCAAGCTGGATGACTGTGTTGTTAACATTTGCATTTTTGTTTGGGTTACCTTTTTGGCTCACCCTGTACTGCAACTCTTTCTGTCGTTTCAGCGTAAAAGGAAGCAGAATTAAGAAAAATAAATTTCGCTTTAGCATACATGCATCAAATGTATACGTCGTTAAAAAGAGCATATCGTTCAAATGGAGTATTATCCTTTACAATCGTATGTCCATCATATATATCACAATATTATATATCATCATATATACTAGTATATACATATCACAATATTATATATCATCATATATATATTATCATATATATCACAATATTTTCATCTGACTTTTTAGGCATATGTATCTTGTGAACTGGGCATAGGTTGGGTAGGATTTACTATGCTCGGTCTTTCTTTAAGCAACACAGTGTTTGCATACATCACGGGTCGCCTCCAGAAATTTATTGGAGCTGTTTCCATGGCAACGGTTGGCTTCATTATTGATTTGATTGTTTTGTTGGGAATGTTGCTATGGCATCCATCAAGGTCCAATATATGGTTATTTTTCCTGTGGCCGGCTATCAGAGGTATCGCTGATGCAATCTGGGACAATGCAATGAACAGTAAGTATGCTTAATAGTTCAATAGTATTAGGGAAACGTTACATTATAGGCTTTGTTTCTTCTCATTGCACATATTTTGTCGTTAATCTTATTCTTAAAATGGGAGCCGTATATACACAATAATGTTATAAATACACATATTGTGTAATTATTGTGTATCACTCTAACTGTTCATCATGCAGAGTTTCCATGTCTCTACCTTTGTATTTGGTTTTGAAATAAAATAGATCTTAAACTTTAATGACCAAACATAAAACGGGTGTTATGACCTCATATAGACAACCATTGAATCGGTATACTATTAACCCTGCATCAAACCCTGATCGGCTTGTTTTCATCATCTTCAACATGGTGGCAGAATCAAATGAGTTTATAGATTATAACTCGATTATGACATATCTTCTTTTAAAAATACTTGCATTGTACGGGTTGTTAATATTTATACAATAATAGCTGCTTATTTATCTGCTTCGATATTTCAGTAGATGACTAGAATGCCAAAGGTTGGTTTAATTGACATTTAGCATGATTCAGGAAACATTTTTGTTTCAGCCGCTCTCGGTGTGTGTTTTGTGGACCAACAGGACACTGCATTCGCTGCCAGAGGTGCCTGGTTTGGAGTTGGTTATGCTATCGCATTCGCACTCACTAACATACTTTGCATGGACATAAAAATCTTCATAAACTTTGCCGCGCTTGTCGTATCGACGGCTTCAATTTTCACTCTATATGGCTTGATGAAGTGGAAATGGAGTAACAACGTTGATATATCGAAACAGAATTCAAGAGAAGAGGTTGGAACTCAGCTTTGATGTGATTTTTCTACGTTACTTCTTTCAGTGTATGTAATTCATTAGCAGAATAGTGTTTGGGAGAAATCTAATGAGAGAGGAAATAATGGTCAGAAATATTGAAATCGGAACTGGACTCGTGTATGGCAAGGACGCGTTCATGCAATGGGGAATTAGGCTCGTAGAACCACGTACACTTCGGGCCTTGGTCCCTTGATCATGAGTAGGTGGTCTTAGTCGAAGCGTGATTGAAGTCTTTAAGATCAAAATCCCGAGGATAGACACACACTTAGGACCTTGGTCCCTAGAGTAGGTGGTCTTAGTCGAAGTGTGATTCAAGTCTTTAATTAGATCAAAATCCTTACGATAGATGGTCTTTAAATATTAAATGGAAGAAGGATCATAATATAGGATAATAATTTCTTTATAAGTGTAAGGCGGGGGACTTTTTCCAGTATATGTAAATATATTTATAATGATTGTAAATGGGTGAATTACATTCCTAATATTTACAGAGAATATTAGGAAAATGATTCCTAAGTATTCTGACTTTGCAGTCAATGCTTTATGAATATTAGTTTGACATATTCGTGATCTTTATTTTTATTTTGAAGTAAAATGCTTTTCCCATGATTTGGTTTCAAAAATATCATATTGGCGTTCTGCGTTGTTACGTTTATTGGCCTCGTCCAATTTTGCAGGAGCTTCTGTGATGAACTCCCCATCTACCACAGGCAACCATCTGACGCCAAAATTTGTATACTGGACAACTGACTCAGCTGCATGAAACAAGATGAGCGACAGTAGTTAGAATATGACATACAAATAAAGTGAAAAATGTAATCATATGGATTAAAACTTTAGCTAAACAAGAACATCTAAAATCAAATAATCGGATTAAATATTGGTTTAAACTTTTTCTGGTAGAGGGATTTTTCAATTATAAATAAAATGAATGAAATAAGACCATCCCTCTTTTATTACAAAGAAAAATAATTGTAAACAAGAGTAGTCTTACAAGCACTAAAAAGCTGGTTGGCATCTACCCCCCGTAGACACTCAACTAGGTCGGACATGCTACTATTTGTACAGCCCACATGTATGTTTTCTCCCATATCCTTGACTGATGGTCCACTGTCACCCAAGTTAAAGGCCCATGATGAAAGGAGAGACCCACTCTGTGCAATAACTCGCCTAGATATAAAGGAAACATATGATCAAAGTTTGGGACATTCGGATAGTTGTTGTCCTTATGGATAGATGTGGTCTTACCCTGCTATCATACCAAACTAGTTCATATACGTTCTCGAAAACGGGCTTAAACGGTGAACGAACGGATTGGACGTATTAAGACTTACAAACTTCATACTTCGTTCTCGAACTGGTAGGTCTTAGAGCATGCTCAAAATTTTCTGATGGTCGTCACGTTCTGCAATAAGAACGAGTGACAACGTACTAAAACGAGCTGGGCGTACTTCGAACGGAACTGTCGTACTTCAGTCCTAGTAGGGACGTTTTAAGAACGAGTTGAATTATCTGAGGACGTATTGAGAACGATGTAGAATTTATTGCAAATGGGTTTAAGCTGATTAAGGACGTATTAAAGACTGCTTATGAAAGATTTAGCAAAAAAATACCTATCACACCAAACCAATTGCCACTACGTTCTTACACGTTGCCGAACTGGTTTTGAAATGTGTGCAAACGCAATGAACGTAGCTGCAGCTTCCTACGGTTTATTTACGAACTTCATGGACGTGCTCGGACGGGATTGTGATTTAGAATTTTTAATCATTTCAAAATGCGATGGCGACCATGCCGTTCTGTGATTAGATCGTGTGACAACGTACTTCAAACAGGATAACCTACTAGACTAGGAACGTAATTGCCGTACTATGCCAAGACCCGAAAGTGAAAGACCAGAACATGCATATTTACTTACTGGAAAAGGCCCTTGTTTTGTGGAGAAAAGGCCTGTATTGTAACAGAAGCTGCACCTGCAGATTCTCCAAATATTGTTATCCTTTCTGGGTCACCCCCAAACCGTGCTATATTCTCCTTCACCCAATGGAGCGCCAGCTTCTGGTCAAGTAAACCCATGTTTCCTGGAATGATTCCATTTGATAGCACTTATGGGTAACTAGAAAAAGAGATGAGATAATAGTAACGGCACAAAGAAATTGTCAGTGAAGTTGCAAATATAAATAACAATGTAGCCGCATCGGAAATTCCTTGCTAATTAAACTATATTAATTTGCTAAACTTTATTTTCAAAGTAACCCCCCTATCACACCAAACTAGTTCTAATACCCGTTCTTGCCAGTCCTACGAAAACGTCGTCAAACGGGCTCAATCTGGCTGTGGTCGGGAAATATGTCTGAAATAATTAGCTTCTTCGTTCTTAAACAGTCGTCAATACGTCCATCTCGTTCGCAGTTCGTTCAGGTCGCACCACGTCGGAGTGCAACGTCGTAGAACGCGTCCCTTAGTCTAGAAGGTCAACATGACCTGATTACAGAACGGTATGGTCGTCATCGAATTTTGAATCGATTCAAAATTCTAAAATCACATTCCCGTCTGAGAACGTTCATAAAGTTCGTAAATAGACCTTAGAAAGTTGCAGCTACGTTCATTCCGTTCGCACACAGTTTAAAACCAGTTTTGAAGAACGCAGTGGCAACTTGTTTGGTGTGATAGCTATATTTTTGCTAACTCGTTCATAAGCAGTGTTAAATACGTTCTTAATCAGTTTAAACCCGTTTGCAATTAGTTCTACCTCGTTCTCAACACGTCCGCAGACAGTTCAACTCGTTGTTAAAACGTCCCTAGTAGGATTGAAGAACGACGGTTCCGTTCGTAGTTCGTCCAGCTCGTCGTTAGTACGTTGTCACTCGTTCTAATTGTAGAACGTGACGACCACGAGAACATTTTAAGCATTGTCTAAATTCTAGAGGACCTACTCGTTCGAGTACGTTCGATGAAGTTTGTAAATAGATCCCAAATGGTTTTTAGTAGGTCTTGTCCGTTCGTATACAGTTGAAGCCCGATTTCGAGAACGCAGTGAGAACTAGTTTGGTGTGATAGTAGGGTTTTTTCTTGAGAATGCCGTCATAGAATATAGTCCCGCGGAAGACCACTAACTTTCTTTTAATAATCACCGCTTTTGTGCCGTCGGCCTTCTAGCTGTAGCGATGTTTTTACAACGAGACCGAAACAATGACCGAAAAGTATGTGTCACAAGTATATCAAAGTTATAGGCATTTACAATCATCAATATTTTTTCCAGAAATAAGAAATATTAATCATATTCTCATGTTATGATAAAAACATATTCTCTTAATTACCTGGGACTATGCTATCTCTTGTACTGAGAAATCCAAAAACATTCAATCTGTAGTTCATAGATACAAATACAACATCTCCAATCACCGCGAGTGCTGTGCCATCGTATATCTTGTCTGTAGATCCTGTCTTGCAATGAAAATATGCAATATTTATTTCAACGTATTCAATACTGTACTATGAATATTCATCACTTTGGTTATTGATATCAGTTTTAAAGAATCTATATCAGAACTAGTATTTCAATTTTCAGCGGTTTCGATGTTATTTCAAAATATTAATAATGATTATCTTCTCACTACTGAATTTCTCATTTTGTCACTCGTAATGTGTTTACAACAGGAGGATTTTTTGTAAAGTATAATAATATGTATATAAACCCGAGATGGTATTGGAGAAAAGGTATTGAGGAAAGCTGTATGCCGAGGACTTCACATGCTATAAATACGGTACATGGTTCAGACTGGACGGGATGCCACAAATAATGCCTTGCTGCAAAGAAAGCCTAGTACAATTCTACAATATGTGTAAAATAAGTCCCCATTCCATCTCCTTCCCCTGCTACAGCCAAAGTAAAATTAGATGGTACCTAATGTGATATACCATTGGAAAGATCATCCAAAGTTATATGAACTCACGAACTGTCGAGTATTTTGAATGAAAACCTATATTTTCATGATATCCTTAATAATTAATGTGTCCCCCTCCAGCATATTTTTGATAATTTTGATGTTATGCTACATATTGATGAAGCAATCTTTAAGATATGGCCTTTTCTGAATTTCCCCTGTGTCCCTGTATACCCCTACTTCAAAAGCTGCATGTTTTTGTCATTTTTTATGATGAACTAAACATAAATGTATTTTTTCTTGTTTACATATATTGTTTACATTTCTGCTTTCGAATATTGAGAGATGGTACTGCATTAATTTTTTCATGATATGTAGCGAACAAAGGCGTGTCAATTTACACTGTAATATCCTACATACTTATATTTCAAGGGTAGTTTTGAAGAATAATCAAGGAAATCCATGTTTTCAAATGGATTCATCCTTGTCAACGAACGTGAATGAGGACTGCAGTTTGAAAAACTAACAACATCTTTCAAGTTCTTACAATTCTTGGTTGAAGCAAATATTTTGAAAGTTGGAATTTAGAATGTAATCTCCTTCTCAATGAAAATTGTTGATATTTGTGAAGTGTTTCTCTCGGAATTCAAATTGCTGGATCAGAGAACCTTGCCTTGTTCGAGATGCACGAAAAGTGTATTATTATTATCGTTGTTCGGATATTTGGATGTGTCAGTAATATCCTACCACTGTAGCTTCCAACTTAACTTTCGAAAACCAAACATCACGAATTGATATTAAGGTCACACGTTGATACATACATCATTTGTGTACATCAACTGTCGAATACATGCCGACTTACATCCAAAGTTTAACTCAAATCATAAATGCTCGAAACCCTTTATTATGTAACCTGGTGAGTCTACTGTTTCAATTCAAGTAATTTATAATTATGATGTCGGATTTGAGTATGATTTTAGATGAGGCTCAAATTAAGCAATGAAAATGCGTGAAAATTGTGAAAATTCGAACTATTTTTCAAGAATCCTCCATCAAAGTGTTACCAAAGTGCTCCCGGGAATGCAAATTTCGTCTTGTGCAATCAAAATAATAGCGGGCAGTTTGGATTTCTGTTTGAATTTATAGCTTACATCTCTAGATTTAAAAACATAACATCTTATTGAAAGGTACATGCAGTTTTGGGCGACCCATCATGATCGTTAAAAGGCTAAATATTGTGAAAAAACACGAGTTGACACGCTGACATTTGGAATTATGTGTTCCTAGTACATAATTCTCGACTCGGTTTAAGTCATGAAAACAAGGTTGAACACAAAACATTGACCCAGTTACTGTCGATTTATCATGGAATCACTAAAGGAAATCATTCTAATGACTTAAATCGTTATCAATTTCAATTTAGAAATGCAAAATGTTAAATTTTATTGCTCAATTATAAAAAGTGGCACCTTTTTTAGATAACAACGTTTACAAAATCATCTAAAACAGCGATATTTACTTATGTAACATTCGTTTGGCATGTGTCGGTGAGTAAATAAGAAGAATATGCTTTTTGTCTATATCTTGGAAGAAATCTGCTTGTATTATTAGTATACTAACAAGGAGGATGGAATCCCAGGGTTATCGAGTTGGAACCCGTGCGTCAATTCTCATTTGATGACCTATGATAACTTACGCCCCTCCAAATATCCAAACCATGACAGCTTTTAGTTGAGTGTTGGATCCATTTCCCGGTGCCCATACATTCAAGGTCAAACAGTCCTCTGACATGTTATCAATAGAACTTCCGAGTCCGAGACTCTTGTACAATTCAGGATTCTGAATGCAGACGTTGCCATACTCCGTTGCATTGCGTGTCTCATTCCATGTTGTGCTCAGAGTTCGTGGGGGTCGAAATCTCAAATCCCCGATAGGGGGATCAGCATATGGGATTCCAAGATATCGTCTAAACTGTAGATCTCGATTTTGAAGTTGTGGTAAAGACTTTAAAACACCTAGATGGTTCAGCGTCCCTCTGATCGACCCAGTCCGGAGGGTTGTGATTGACTCCTCAAGCTGTGATGCTACTCTAACTAACTGTAAAAGTACTATTCCTAACGCCACCAACATATTGTAAAATATCTGAAATTAATATTTTGAAATATAGGCTTAGTTAGATTAGAAAGTAATATTGTCAAATGGGGAAGGTTAAATGTAGACATATATATTTATAACATACACTTTTGTAACACTAACCTGATCTCTGCCGTTAAACTGTTTTAACAGCTCAATGTTTAAGTTCTCTCTGATGTCATTACACGCTCCATGCTTTCTTTTACAGTCAGTATATTTATGAAAAGATTGATTCAAGTTGTTTTCAATTTGCCATTACAGTTTTACATAGTATTCGACAAACATGAGAAAATCATTCCTGGGGACACAAACACGTCTTTACAGGGTGTGTAAAAAAATTTGCAACTTTTTAACAGGCTAGAAGTGTCATAACATTGAGGTATTGGCATAAAAATGTATTTACAGAAATTTAAGGAGAGGCATACTTTACCATTCAAATATAATACTGAAGCTAATACTGCCTATACGAATATTTTCGTCAGAATATCAATGGTCAATCGTTCATGTATCCGAGATTTACCGTTTTCCTGTTGTAGTTCTCTCCACTTCTCCTGCAGAACATCTCTTGGCTGATGGGATATTACCATTAACTGCAATAAGCTACTCAAGTTCCCCCCATGTGTGATAGTCACAGAGTTGGCATCTGGTGTATTGGACAGCCATTCATCAGGCAGGACTAATGAATCGAAGGGTATTAAGTAACTTTTGCCCGGTGGCTGGGGGCGTTATCCTGCTGGAAATGTGATCACCTGGGCCTGAAAGAACCCTCATTCTTGTCATATGTCTCTTTTGAAAAACATTCCGTGCGATAGTTCTTGTTGATCACATAAAATCACGGAAAATAAGGTCACATTTCCTCGGAAAAACGGTAAATCTCGGACACATGAACAATTTAACATTGATATTAAAAATTTGACGAAAAAAGTAAAATATCATGTGCCATTACAAACAAGACAAAAATGCCTCTTTGTCGGTGCATTGCTTAATGGTCTAGTCACATAGCCCGGCCGATGTCCGGCATCGGTAGAGCTCGGTGGATTTTTTTGGTGCCACCGAGCTCTCCTCATCGGAAGCAGAGCTCGGTGACGTGAACGGACTCCGTCCGGACATCTTCAGGCGACCGACCGAACACCGGCCGGTGACCGTACAGAGTCTGTCTCAAAATGGTAGTTTTTTTCTGCCGATGTGGCAGCAACTACCGGCCGGAGGTCGGCCGGACATCGGAAGTAATACGGCCGGTACCCGAGCAGGTAACAGGACACCGTGCGATCGCCGGCCGGGTTGTTAACGGGCTTTGAACAGTGACCGGCCGATGCTCTGTCCCACATCGGCCGGAGCTCGGTCGGAGCTCGGCCGCTGTCCGTTAAAAAACCTCGTCCTCTGGTTGTCTCAGATGCGCGGGACACCGGCCGATACTCGGCCGTGCACCGGCCGACGTGTTTTCCGATGTGGTTACGATGGGGCTGCGATGACATGATGAGGGAGCTCGGTGAGAGCCCGGTGAAATTTAACTCAAAAGTTAAATTTTCACCGAGCTACCACCGATGCGGTTTTAAGCAACAAACGCCACGGATGTCCGGCCGGTGTTCGGCCGAGTTCGGTGAAAATTGCATCGCTGGCTCATCGTAATCTCATCGGCCGGGCTATGTGACTAGGCCATTAGCGTGCAAAGTTCCTCGTTCTAGAGGCGTTTTGGTCCCTAGCTGTGAGATCAAGCAAATTTTCAACTATAAGTGACAACACACAAGGGCTGAATAAACCTCAAACTACGACAAACAGACAATTAGGAACCTTATATTGAGATGACGAAAAAACTGGCTACTTGTAAAGTGAGTTAGTCACATAATTATTGTACCGTCTAATAAACAAAACTAACCTTATATTTCATCCTTTTGAGAGTCGTGTCCTCTCCATCTGCCACTTTTAAATATGCGCAGTGTTTCAAACTGCGTGCATATTCAAACTGCGTGCATAGATTGCGCGCATTTGGATACCGCGCCGTGTATTAATAGGGTCGCAGGACTTAGTTTTATGGCCATTCCATTTTGTACATCTTTCATTTCCAATGATGCTATGGGGGAGGTATCTTCGTCAATATAACTTTTCATTCTAATGAAAATGGTTAAACATTTCCCCTTACTTGATTGTTTCAGCTAGTGTTGTGTTGAAACCCCCTTTATTTACATGACATCATTTAACAAATGTATGAATATATGACAGAATCAATATATGCCCTTTTGGTCCCTCACTAAAGTGTTTGTGACAGTATACGCACTTTTTCCTGAGTTTTGATGCATAATGAACCCCCTGCTGAGAGTCAAAATATGTATCCTAACAAAATACAAAATTAATAGTCGTTATCATAGAAAAAAACCAATGGCAACATGTATGACACACAAAGTAAAAATAAATTAAAGATACATGAAGAATTGAAATGACATTTTTTTAGATATCTTTTAGGTTTTAATTTCTTTCAAACTTTCGAATTTCCCGCCAGTTTAATTTGAATGGGGAAAACCAAGATGGCTGTCATTTGATGAAGGAAATATCAGAAGAGTCGCTTCACTTTTTTTAATTTTCACATTGAGCACAGCATTATGGTTTGGATTTTTTCATTGATTTTGACTGTTCAACATCAGGGTCATGTATAGAGATTATAAAATTGAAACCATAAAGGTGTGCTCAGCATGAATTTTGCAGAAATATATACAACTCCACCAACACAATTGAAGTGTCAAAATTGGTTGCTCAGTAACTTTGAGTAACTGTAATCCCTTGATTACCCACATGAACACCAATTCACTCATCAAAAAATACCATTCAAATGTCTATACAAAGAAAGAAAGCAATGTTTTGGAGGATATGTTTCAAACTTTTTGTATAAATTATTCATTTAGTATTTCCTCTTGAATTTTTTTCAATTCTGGCATATTGATATGCAGTCTTTGGTGCCAATATTCTTCATTAATTGCGTTACAAATTGACATTCTTTCACTCTCAGAAGAAGGATGGTATATCAAGGTTTGATATTATGTGTGATTGAGTTGGTTTTTCAGACATTACAATTTTGAATATTTTGTAAGTCGATATCCGGACCCATTCCCTGACTCATCCTTTCTTAAACGTCTCATGCAAAGGATGTGTCCGGGTATATGCCCTTTTGGTCCCTCAGTCAAATGTATGTTAAATATGTTTTTTATTACTGTCCTAGTTATATTTGATAAGTATATTTACTTTTTCATGAGTTTTGATGCATAATTAACCCCCTGCTAAGAGTCAGAATAAGTATCTTAACAAAAAAAATAGTCATTATCATAGAAAAAAAACATCAATGGCAACATGTATGACTTACAAAGAAGAAATAACTTAAGACCCATGAAGAATTTAAAAGAAAATCATATTTTTAAAATATATTTAAGGATTAAAATTTTTTCCAAATTTTTGAATTTCCCGCCAGTTTAATTTGAAGGGGGAAAAACAAGATGGCTGCCATTTGATGTAAGAAATATCAGAAAAAAAGTTGCTTCACTTTTAGTTTTCACAATGAGCACAGTTTTCCGGTTTAGGTTTTTTGACTGATTCTGAATCTCCATCACCAGGGTCATGTATAGAGATTATAAAATTGAAACCGGAATGTTGTGCTCAGCATGAATTTGACTGAAATATGTGTAACTTCACCAACACAATTGAAGTCTCAAAACTGGATGCTCAGTAACTTTGAGTGACTATAATCCCTTGATTACCCAGATAAACACCAATTCACTTATCCAGAAATGCCATTCAATGTCTATACAAAGAAAGTAAGCAATGTTTTGGAGGATATGTGTCAAACCTTTTGCATAAATAATTCATTTAATATTTGCCATTGATTTTTTTTCAATTCTGACAAAGTGATATGCACTGTCGTTGATGCCAATATTCTTCATTAATTGTGATACAAATTGATATTTTTGTACTCTCAGATGAAGGATAAGATATTGAAGTTTAATAATATGTGTGATTGAGTTGGTTTTTCAGACATTACAATTTTCAATATTTTCTAAGTCGATACCCAGACTCATTCCCAGACTCATCCTTTGAAAGTTGTCAGCTTTTTATTTCTCAAATATTCAGTGCAAACACATTATCATTGCAAATATTCAACAGAGGACACATCATTTCAATAATAGAATGTCATATCTAATGTTTTAGCATATTCAATATATTGTAACCTAGTGGAAAACATTTTTTCACATGTCAATTTTTTCCAAATATGCTAAATTCAATTTGAGTAATCACGTCTTTCATTTTTTATGAGAAATTGTAATAATGTAATTTTATTACTGTTAGAATTGGAACATTGGGAACTCATGTAAAATTTGGTTGGGCCTTCTAATGCTTCTATGCATTTGTTTGAATTGCTACACTTCTAAGATATGAGATCTACTGGAGAGGCACAAGGCCACCAATGCGAAAAAGTCACTCTAAAACAAGAAGTCATGATCTACATGACCGAAATAAATACTTAAAGGTGACTGATAATTACAAAATTTATGCCACTGCTGTTAATAATAATAACTATGATACAACGCTTGGATGGGAATTTGATATTCAATATCATGCACCTTTTTGAATAGATCTCATAACTTAGAAGTGTATCACCATAACTTTAAAAATTCAAACAAGCCCTTTTAATATTACCCATACCATGGTCGTATTCATGTACCACACAATTACTCAAATACAAAGGAATCAAGGCAAATTTTCTAGCCTAATATTGACATCAAATCTCACTCCATTCAAGCAATACTTGTAGGTTTATTAGCTTCCCATGTTATATAGTCAGCATAGATTCCTCCATAACGAAGCTCCACTTGTGGCAGTAGTTCTAGCTTTATTGGCTCCCAATGTTATATACAATAATCAGCATAGATTCCTTCATTATGAAGCTCCACTTGGAGCAGTAGTTTTAGCTTTATTGGCTCCCAATGTTATAGACAGTAGTCATCATAGATTCCTTCATTATGAAGCTCCACTTGTGGCAGTAGTTCTAGCTTTATTGGCTCCCAATGTTATATACAGAAGTCAGCATAGATTCCTTCATTATGAAGCTCCACTTGGAGCAGTAGTTGTGGGTTTATTAGCTCCCCATGTGATATACAATAGTCAGCATAGATTCCTTCATTATGAAGCTCCACTTGTGGCAGTAGTTCTAGCTTTATTGGCTCCCAATGTTATATACAGAAGTCAGCATAGATTCCTTCATTATGAAGCTCCACTTGGAGCAGTAGTTGTGGGTTTATTAGCTCCCCATGTTATATACAGTAGTCAGCATAGATTCCTTCATTATGAAGCTCCACTTGTGGCAGTAGTTCTAGCTTTATTGGCTCCCAATGTTATATACAGTAGTCATCATAGATTCCTTCATTATGAAGCTCCACTTGGAGCAGTAGTGGGTTTATTAGCTCCCCATGTTATATACAGAAGTCAGCATAGATTCCTTCATTATGAAGCTCCACTTGGACCAGTATTTGTGGGTTTATTAGCATCCCATGTTATATAGTCATCATAGATTCCTCCATTATGAAGCTCCACTTGGAGCGGTAGTTGTGGGTTTATTAGCTCCCCATGTTATATAGTCAGGTTTTGTAGCAGCTTTGTATTCATCTATCAACTGCTGCAAGCATTCCCTTGATTCATCAAACTCATCAAGATTGTCCTTGAAAATGTCTTCTTTCTTGAACTGATCCATGAAAGCCTCACGTTTCCTCAGCTTGTCATAATGTGAAAGAGTTCTTTCAAATAGGTTGGCAATGCTGGTGTGATTGGCTAACATAAGTCCACTAACTCTGTGTGAGGATTGAATGTATGGGGACTTTCTTGAAAGGGCCACCTGGATACTAGCTGGACCCCATGGAATAAACTGTGCAAGTCTTCTCTCTCTTATTCTCTGTAAACTTTTGTGAACCTGGAACATTAAAGTAGAAACTAATACAATAACATGCCATTTGTTAAAGAAGCTGAATGCCAGCCGCCAGACACCAACCCCCAAATGCCGTCACAAAAAAGTTAAGAGACCAAAACAAAATGTCACCACTTTTGGTGGTAACATAATTATTTGAAACATTATTGATCAAACGAAGACTGTCACTAAGTTGAGCCAACAAAGGTCGTAAAAGCTAGGGTTAGATTCTAAAGGGTTTGAATGTACCAAGAGAAGTTATCAGAAATGAGGTTAATCAGATTTCTAAGGTCAGCTAGCAACAAAGTTGATTAAATAGAACTTTAACATGTTTAATGAATATGGGACAATTTAAACATTATCCGCAGTTCAAAATTTTGTGAAAATAGTTTTTTTCTCAAATGTTCTACCATATATTCTATAAAATGAATTTTGTCCTCAAATGACCTTCAGTGAAAGTCAGTGTTCAATTTTGTCCTGCTTACATGTTGTATGTAAACTACCTGAGTAACAAAGATGTATTGATAATTAACTCGGTTTTTTAAACCTTGACTGACACATATTATTCTTTTTACATTTTCATACAACTTGTAAGATTATTATGCTTAAATACAAAGTTAACATGGTTATAACTGTTTTTTCTACAAAATATCAAAGCACAACCATAAAGTAAATTGTATATTGTCTCATTATAGCTCAAAATATTGCTAGGTATCTCGGAACAACCCACAATTGCTTTCCTGAGAACTGTCAGACTTTAACAACTTTGATTATTGCCTGGATGGAGGGTTGTAAAGATGGATGTATGAAGGCATTATCTATATCTCCAAAACCTAGATCAAAGGGATAACAATAGGTAATAGTATCAGTGGCGCATACTGACCTGTGTGGGGTCAACCTCCCCTTGTATTATGTTGAGTATAGAGATATAACAGTGGTTAGCTTGTCTTTGTTGGACGGGAGTGGAGACCATCATGTTTTTAGGCTGAAGTAATCGTCTCATAACATCAAGCACTGTTGTTTTGCGCACACTTTGGACCTAAAGTCGGAAAGATATATTAATATGATTTTCTCAGTGTAATAATTTATTTGTGTATGTAGCCTGGATAAGAACGCAAACCACCTACCTGTTGAGAGTCTGTCAAAGTGAGAGGTGTATAGCCAGTCATCAGGAAGTGGAGACGTGGAGTTGGAATCAGAGGAGCAATTAAACCAATCAGATCATTATTCATGTAACCAGGGTAACGCAATGTTGTTGTGCTCACTGACATCACTGTAGAGACCTGCAAGCAGATATCAAATAAAGGTGATATGTCAAATATAGAACCAATGTCTTTCTATAGGGCAAATTTCGATTGAAGGGCATCGATCTAGTGTAAAATATGGAAGAATATATTAACATGCAAAATGTCACCACCAGCCATTTGTTACAGTCACTGGACACGAACCACTGAAATCTAAATGCAGAACACTGACCTCCAAACACCGTCCACAAAAAAGTTAGAGACTATTACAACCACTTGCGGTGGGGACATAAAAATGGACTATTGTTATTGGACTATCTCGAGAGGCACCTTTGCTCAAAGTTCATAGAAAAACAAGCAAGTCACTTTATTTATAGCGGTGACTTACCAGCTGATTTATCTGTGCAAATGTTGGGTTCTCAATGTGGAGTCTATCGCATGCTATCCTGTGTAGCGCAGTATTGTCAAGTACAACCACACAGTCAGCATTCTGGTTGAGACGTTTCAGGGTTAACACTGAGTTATATGGTTGGACAACAACATCCGACATCTCCTCCTGGTTAGGGAACACGGAATAAGTCTGGATCAACTTCTTAGGAAACCTACATGTTAAAGACAAACTTTCAATTTTAATGACAAGATCAGAATTAAACAAAGAATCTCTGTAAAGGTTATAGCTACCGAGGATACAACAACTGCCCGATGCTCAGGTCGTCTTCATAAAATCAAAATTTGACTTGATACATCGATACTGAACCATTATTTTTCAAAATAATTAATGTTTTTTTAATCAACTAACCCCTGAACTAATAAGAATGGCCTTTACCAAAACTGACACAGCAAATGGTAAAATAATTATTCATTTGACAACTTGAAAACTTAAAGGTTTAAAGTAGCGAGATCAATAGTGCAAGAAAACAGGCAAATAGTTCCTTCATGGAACGAAGCATGAAACTTTCCACATATCATCAGAATACCATTCCCTTTGATTTAAGAGCCAGAGCCATTTTTGTGGTCCACTAGAATGATCAAAAAATAGTAAGTACCCCCTCCCACCAAATCCCATGGGGGTGGGGAGATATAGGAATATTTTTTTCATAAAGAAATGTCTTTGAATATGGTCATACTACAGTTTTAGTGTGCTATTTTCATGGTAAAGAAATTTTGCAAACATACCAAGATGATTTATCATTGATTTCCATCATTTTTAAAGACTAATCATGGGCGACGCCCACTTTTCATACCTTGAACATTTAGATTATTAAATCTCTATCATGGGTTGAACAAATGAATGTAATTCAGTTTTCTGGATAACACCAGATACCTTTTTGATGTTAGGTGCTATAATTAATCTTAGCATTTGACTTTTTAAAGGCTTACACCATAGCACAACCCTGTTTAGAAGAAGAAAGCAAGCAACAAATGTCCCAGATCTACAACATGTATCCACTATTCTATGTACATGTATGTCGAGTCTCTATTTTCTCCTGAAGAGAACCTATGCTACAGATACAACTTTCCAGAATTTAGATGATGATGTGCTTAAACAGTTTGATGAATGATGTGCTGACCCAGTGCCTAAACAGTTTGATGAAAGGTGTGCTGACCAACAGAATGTACCAGTCTTTAAGTTTTGGTTTCCGATTATTTGAATCGAAATACTGTGCCTTAACTAAGTGTGGGCTATCAGAGAGGGAAATTTCCCTCTTTATCTCCAGTCAATTAGCAATCTTATCACCTGGTTTTTTGTTTTTTGACCTTGTCAATATGCTTGCTAAGTACCAGTTCAGTATATCATCAGAACTCAAAGTTCAAAAATGGATAGCTTTTGGAAGTAAAAAATTAGAGATATCTCACTTCTCATGAAATTGCAGCTGCCCTTTGACATGGTAGGACTATGTTTCTCCCCTTATTTCATGCCCCAACAGGTTCAGACACTATATCTGGATTCCAATCATTGAACGTTTTGTTGTGATTTTATACAATAGAGACAACAATGAAATAACTGTAAATGCTGCAAGACAAGAAATGTTCACAAAGAAAACAACTCAAATTGAGAACATCCCACCATAAGTTGGTTCCAGACAATTATACCTATGTCAGTCCTCGCTTCACCCTCACAATTGAGTTGGGAATCCATTACCACAAAGGCTGGGAAAATAATTTGGGTGCCAGTGTAGAAAACATTGCCCAAGCTTCAGATGCATGCCAAATGCTAGTAAAATGCAGCTGCAAACAACAGTGCTCAACAAAAAGATGCAAGTGCTTTTTTGTCATTCTAGTGAACCACAAAAATGGCTCTGGCTCTTAAATCAAAGGGAATGGTGTCCTGATGAGTTGAAAAACTGCAAATGTGCCCTCCCATCAAATACTGGGGGGAGGGGGAGGGAAGTATTTTTTTGTTGATTTTTTTAAATATGATCTATATTCATTTTTAGTATGTTATTTTATTTTGAGTGTTTAAAAACAATTTTCAAGTTTGCATCCGTATTTCTCATGGATATTCATTATTAAAGCCTGACCAAGGGCGACACCCTCTTTATCAACATGTTAATATACAAGTTAATGAGTGTTCTATTATGAATAGGAAAATTACCTAATAAAGCTGAATAAAATTGATAAGATAAGTCAGTTATTTATGTTAAGATGATAAATGCTTTAAGTAGGTCAATTGAAAGGCCACACCCCTTTTAGACATAAAGATATAATAACATATAAATCACAATTAATGATACATTATTTTGACTTTTAATGAGAGCACTTTGACTAATTGATACAAGTTACCTTATTAGGTATCTTAACTGCAGTTCAAATATTCTACAGGGTGGGCCAAAAAAAACCAATACCCAACTTTAAAGCAGACTGAAAATAGCTATGTTCAATATGATACACTGATTTATATATCATTTTAAAGGTTATCCAATTTCGAACAATTTGGTATATAACACTATGTCATGAAATCAATATTAAAGTTTTATTATGCTTATTTGGGAGGCCGGGTCAGTATTTAAGGTATCCAGATTTTAGGGAGAAAATAGTAAATCTGCGGAATAATGTTAATTTTTTATTTATAGAATATCATTTTGTTAGGTGAATAAATGCTTGTATATTTGCATATTGTGTGACTAAACTTATTGTTTATGAATTTTAGTGTTGTTTATTATCAATAAGTACTCAAAGGGGGTCTGTTAAAAGACAATTAACGTATATGTGATTAGGATTTTATTTTCCAACAAAACATTGCCCCGTATCATAGATCTCAAGAGACATTGGCATTCCTTTGCAAACAAGGTGTCAATTTGATTGATCTCGATGCTTCGCCACCCAACAGCCCGATGCTACATGTAATTTGTTTGATTACCATACATGGGGCCATCTCGAGGAAATGGTACAATCAAAAGCATCCAATAAACAGCTTTGATGTGCTGAAACAGAATCCCAAAGTGCTGAAATGAATTGCAACAGAAATCTCTCAATAAGGTTATTGATAGATTGTGCTACCACTTGAAGCTTATTGTTGATGCATAGGGGAGGGGGAGGGGGTGGGGGTATATTGAGCAATTGTGAAAATTGTTTAAATAAATAAAGTGTAAAATGTTATTAAACAACACTGAAATTCATAAACAATAAATTTAGTCACACAATGATGAAAATATTAGTATCCAAGCATGTATTCACCTAACAAAAGAATGATATTCTATAAATAAAAAATTAACATAATTCCGCAGATTTACTATTTTCTCCCTTAAATCTGGAGACCTTAAATAGCGACCCGGCCTCCCAAATAAGTATAATAAAACTTTACTATTGATTTCATGACATCGTGTTATATACCAAATTGTTTGAAATTGTATAACCTTTAAAATGGTATGTGAGTCAATGTACCATATTGAATGTAACTATTTTTATCCTGATTTGAAGTTGGGTATTGTTTTTTTTTGGCCCACCCTGTATTTTGTGCATTTAAGCACTTCAACACTCTATTATCATTATCACTGAGCTAGGTGTCATGTCCATTACAATCCCTGCATTTTACTAGCATTTGGCATGCATCTGAAGCTTGGGGCAATGTTTTCTACACTGGCACCCAAATCATTTTCCCAGCCTTTGCTGGTGTAGTGTCTGAACCTGTGGGAGCATGAAATAAGGGGAGACGCAATTTCATGGGAAGTGAGATATTTCTAATTTTTTACTTTTCCAAAAGCTATCCATTTTTGAACTTTGAGTTCTGATGATATACTGAACTGGTACTCAGCAAGTATATTGACAAGGTCAAAAAACAAAAAACCAGGTGACAAGCTTGCTAATTGACTGGAGATAAAGAGGGAAATTTCCCTCTCTAGTAGCCTACACTTAGTTAAGGCACAGTATTTCGATTCAAATAATCTGAAAGCAAAACTTAAAGACTGGTACATTTTGTTGGTCAGCACACCTTTCATCAAACTGTTTATCACTTCATTATCTAGATTCTGGACAGCTGTGTATGTAGTATAGGCTCTCTTGAGAATTTAGAGACTGCAGGCTGTGACTGTGGCGGCCTTACTGGTTCCGGTTCAACCCATGAAAGAGGTTTAATAGCCTAAATGTTCAGCATATGAAAAGTGGGCGTCGCCCATGACTAGTCTTTAAAAACTATGAAAATCAAAGAGAAACCATCTGGAAATAAAGAGGAAAATTCTCCTGTCCTATTAGCCCTCACATAGTCAAGGCACAGTATTTCAATTTAAATAATCAGAAACCAAAGCTTGAAGACTGGTACATTCTGTTGGTCAGCACACCATTCATCAAACTGTTTAGGCACTTGGTCAGCACACCATTCATCAAACTGTTTAAGCACATCATCATCTAAATTCTGGACAGTTGTGTCTGTAGCATAGGTTCTCTTCAGGAGAGTACAGAGACTCGACATACATGTACATAGAATAGTGGATACATGTTGTAGATCTGGGACATTTGTTGCTTGCTTTCTTCTAAACAGGGGTGTGATATGGTCTAAGCCTTTAAGAAGTCAAATGCAAAGATTAATTATAGCACCTTACATCAAAAAGGTATCTGGTGTCATCCAGAAAACTGAATTACATTTATTTGTTCAACCCATGATAGAGATTTAATAACCTAAATGTTCAAGGTATGAAAAGTGGGCGTCGCCCATGATTAGTCTTTAACAATGATGAAAATTGATGATAAATCATCTTGTTATGTTTGCAAAATTTCTTTACCATGAAAATAGCACTCTAAAACTGTAGTATGACCATATTCAAAGAAATTTTTTTATGAAAATTTTTTTTCGATATCTCCCCACCCCCATGGGATTTGGTGGGAGGGGGTACTTACTATTTTTTGATCATTCTAGTGGACCACAAAAATGGCTCTGGCTCTTAAATCAAAGGGAATAGTATTCTGATGATATGTGGAAAGTTTCACGCTTCGTTCCATGAATGAACTATTTTTGCACTATTGATCTCGCTAAAGAGCCTAAATTAAAGATTTCGTAAGAAGCCACATATTTTTGTTTCAAACAAACATAAACTTTTGAGAACTATCCTATAAATCATTTGTATTGAATCATTCTAACATTACCAAGATATGAGTCAAAAAATAATTGTATAATTGTAAGTTCTTACCTGTCATTTAGTTTTTCCAGTATGTATGAGCCCATACCCGACCCTGTCCCTCCAGCTATACTGTGGCACACAACAAACCCCTGAAATACATATGTTTTTCATTTTACATTGAGTAAATTGCATATGATTTTCCAATATGTATGAGCCCATACCCGACCCTGTCCCTCCAGCTATACTGTGGCACACAACAAACCCCTGAAATACATATGTTTTTCATTTTACATTGAGTAAATTGCATATGATTTTCCAATATGTATGAGCCCATACCCGACCCTGTCCCTCCAGCTATACTGTGGCACACAACAAACCCCTGAAATACATGTTTTTCATTTTACATTGAGTAAATTGCACAAGATTTTCCAGTTTGTATGAGCCCTTACCCGACCCTGTCACTCCAGCTATACTGTGGCAAACAACAAACCCCTAAAATACGTAATTATGTTTCTCATTTTACATTGAGTAAATTGTATATGATTCCCACATCTGTTTGTTTCTGCTCATCAATAGGGGCAGTTGAGGAATGCATGTCTATTTGTGTTGATCAATAATTCCTAAAGCTTCCTTGTTTTTCTCTTTATTATCATGATATGAGAAACAGATGATCTATTTTTTTAAATTTTGAACGTTCCTATATAATACATGTACATACATCGCGAGATCTATGTTTCACAATATTTAAGGTTAACTTTGATTTGAAAGATTTACATTAGTCATATTTTGTGAGATAATTTGTGCTTTATTTGTAGGTTGTTGGTTAATATCATTTCAATTTTGTATGATGATTTTGATTTTATGACATTTTTACCTCTAAACTGTCACTGCCATCAGCTTCTCTGTCTATAATGTCAAACACTTCTTCGTAAAGTCTTTCTCCCTGAAATGGAATTATGTACAGATGACTTATTATTGTCACCAGGGTGGGCAAATTGACTCACTGTCTTGGTTATTCCTAGGATTTCACAGCTCAATGTTTGCCTCACCATTTCCCATATAATCCAAACCTTTAAGTGGTGCATAACATCACCTACCATATGTATGATGCACACCACTTACTTTAATCAAACACAGTTTATTGCTAACCCAGTCAGAATTTTAGATTTGATAGTCATATATTGGGCATTTGTTGAATATTCACTCTTGGTCATATCATTAATAGCATTATAAATTAAGAGACTCTACAGATAATTCTGATAGCAGTGCTATTCCATGGGAACAGAACAGAATTAAAATGGAACAAATTTTGTCACTTGTCTTTCAGAATTTGTAGTTTCACGGGTTTGTGAGAAACTTCTTGGCCAGTTCATTCCCACTCAACCCCTTTTCAAAATGCAATATTTTACCTGTGAGTAGCCGCTTGCCCAGTTGTTCCCTGCACCTCCCCCGTGTTTAGAAAGGTAGATGTTCTCAGGGTTATACAGATTGGCATATGGAGACTTCAATATTGAGTTGATCACTCTCGGTTCCAGGTCCAGTAACACTGACCTTGGGATATAGTGCTCATCATCCGCCTACATGAATATACAGATAAACTTTCACAATGCTAGTATACTGAGAATGGTAATTGTTCTGTTGCTAGTGTGCAGATACTAACAGTTGAGCTAATTGCTGTTAACTTGAATTCTGCTCAGTTCGATTGTACATTGTTATAACTTTAATTTGTATTTAAATTACTACTGCCAGATCACCAAAAATATGTGGATTTTTGGCCATCATTTATCCATGAAACTGAGCTGTTTTTAGAAAACTTTCTTTTGTCTTTTTTTTTTAATATGGGCAAATGGTTTAAAAACAGGCCCTTCATAACCTGTGAATAGCTTCATCTTTTAGTTTTGTTAAATCAAACACTAGATTTGTCATGTACTGGCTACATGTATGTTACAAACCTGATAGAAAAATACATCCTTTCTGTCATTTCCCTCTGTGGCATACTCTTCCAAAATACCCTCTGAAATAAGAATGCAACTTAATCATCATGTTCTCATAATCTAAAATCTAATAAAGTTATAAAACTCAATTTACATATAAAAATAAGGTCAAACTTCCATACAATTAACCTGCAAGGCTGTTCATCAATATAAGCTAAGAAAAATTGAAAACAATCACAATAATTCTGGAGAAATATCAATAAAATATTCTGCTACTTTATCATTTCGCATGGTGTTATATTGAACACTAAAGGCCAAAATGTATGTGAAGCAAACTCTCACCTGGACTGATCCCATGTTCTGCACATAGCTGTTTCCAGAACTCCATTCCAACTGAAAATAATAAAAAGGCAGTGTGAACGAAACAACAAAGCTTATATCTAAAAGTAAGCAAATCCAACCAGTTCTGGAATTGGATAATGGTTTTGATAGTTTCCGGTAAGTCTGATCTTTCGGTTTATGTTACATCACAACAAACAGCCAATGAAAGCAAATGATCATGTAGCCTAAACAAACTGTGGTTATTTTGTTTCTACAGGATTTTAAGTAACTTCATGGTGTGTGTCCGTGCTGTGGCATCTTGGTTATCTCTTGTGTGTTGTCATCTGGAGAGGCGTCACATTCTCAGAATAATAATATGTCATATTATCTTCAAGATAGACATCAAGATCACTGGAAATTGCTGAAACCGGACATTATCACGCGGTACTAACTCACCGGGGCGTATCGAAACCAAAACGCCCCGCAAAAACGTTAATTTGAATTTCAAATCTACCCTGTCTTTGGAAAATCAATGATTGTGAGTCTCACAACGGTGTTTTTCTTCAAACTTGTTCCATTATGACCTTCACAGAAACACTTTTCAGTCGAGACATTGCTTTTGTTTACAAAGTCCCTCGTATTAGCGGCGTTTTGGTCCCCAGATGTGAGAAGTTGCAAATCCTTGAAGAGATTTCAACCACAATCCTTAATATCTCCCAGGTTCTTCTATCACTCTCCCCCATATTCTGCGCAAGGACTCCCATTACAACCCTCCATCGCTGCATCAACATATTTATTACATGAAACGCAGCAATTTTGAAAAGTCCTAACCAACTGTTCGAAATTGACCAAAACGCCCCATTGTCTTCCAAACGCCCCACAGAGTCTATGACTACTGATAAGGTGTATAGATCCAAGGGGGCGTTTTGGAAGAGAACGGGGCGTTTTAATCAATTTCGAACAGTGTGTATGATGTGTGGCCTCTTGAAAATTTTAATTTTTAACATGGGAAATCCTCACTTCAGCAAATCCACCTGTCATTTATTTATGTTCCAAATTGAAACTGAATCTGTTCTGTTCTGTGCAAATCAAGAGAAAGAAGTGAGAAGACTTTACTTACTTTGGTTCCCGCATTGCCCCAATTGAAGCGTTATGATTTCACGAGGCATTCTGATCAATAATAAACGCAATTGGTCTTATACTTTCATCAAAATTTCAGCAAATTCGGAAATATTTTAAAATCTGAAAAAAATATCAAAAAATGGCGGCAACTAGAATCGTTTCGGTTCGAGACTTAATTCACTTTTATAATGTCCTTCAAATCCTCAAAAACAATTACTTTAAATGAGAATCAATTTCATTGTCCTCAATTGCAATAATAGGTATTTATCAATCTTTTGAGTTTGAAATGGGCTAAAGCATTTTAGTCTGAGACTATATGACGTCATACCAAAACAGAAAAATGGCAAACGAAGAAGATATGGGTCGGGGGTTTCAAACTCCTCCACCAACGATCCAACCCAACCAACAGCTCGAATTTCTTGTTCGTGCAAGAGAGGAAAGATTGAGGCACATTTTGAATCCACTAGAGCCCTTTATTATGCGTTTACAAAGTGTCTTGGTGTGGGAAAACCCAAAGCACAGTGCTGTCATGTTCCTGGCTGTCAATGGAGTATTTTGGTGAGCAACCTAAAAATATTCAATTCTAATTCTGAACTAAAATTACACTTCAAATAATGAAAATATGAAAATACTATAGTAGGCACAACTGTTAGGATTAGGATACTTACATGTAGGTATGGACAACCCAGAAAAATAGTAGACACTATGCACGGATCGGAGTCATCATTCTTCGAAGGATACATGTAGTATCACTTGTTGATACTAGGCCTATCCTTCGCAGGATGATGACTCTAAGCTCCTTTTGTCGAGATCTTTGACTTTTATTTACTTTCGGGACAAGCATCAGATGGAAGATGGACAATGTTTGGCTGTAGGCAGCTGTAACAAATGGTAGGCGGTGACATTTTGCATAATGCCAAGTCCTCATTGTAATGTCACTGTTTACAGTCTGTTAAACTGCTTCAAGGCAACCAGTTGAACGTAAAAATAAGAAGTCTAAAGACTATTATGCAATAATATATAGAAAGTATCATCATATTGCACACGAATGACATTTGTTTATCTTGGATTGCTTGTGAATTGGCTTATAAAGTCTGTAACTACCTCTTATATTTTGATGCTCTGCCATGTTAATTCTGAAAGAAATAACATGGCGGATAGACCTCAAATCACAAAAGGGCACAGGCTTATTGCACTAAACACTAAATAATCTGAAATATACAAATGTCATTCGTGTGTACATGTTTTTCCATATATTATTGCACAATAATCTTAAGATTTCTTATTTTTAGGTGCCTTGAAGCAGTTTAACAGACTGTAATAAGTACATGTAACCCTATATAGGACATCCCTTATTGAATCAATATAGACCTCCAAGAATAGCTAAATAATATACATGTAGCTTGCGTGGCTGATTTTTTATAATTGTGTCATTGATTGGTCATATATTTTTGAAAGTATAAGCTCTCTCAATCTGAGACCTAAAAAGTTAGTCTCGGTCTTAATGAAGAGTTTCTTTTATCACTCATTCTCCCAAGAAACAAAAATGGTTGTCATGACAGTCAAGAGTTCACAGAGTTGTTGTTTTGCAGGTTATCCACAGTTCTCCACTACAGACCACTTTATGTGATTGCAACAAGCATTTTGATTGTTCTCTGCATTGACACATGGAGGAACAAGATCTGGCCTGAAATAAAAGGTAGGTTCTCCCCTGATATTGCATATTCTGCCTTCCCATTATTACCTCAAACCCAATAGTAGACTGAAAGCACAACTGAAATAGGTTTTGTCAACTTGCAGCTATAAAAATGCTGTTTTTCGGCATTGTAAGTCCAACTTAGAGTTCTTGCAATAACCATTATAAAATAAATGATAAATTACTGTTAATATTCTAATAACAGTATAATAAAATTAAATGATCAGCCAGATTGGCCCCCACGCGATCAGTGACATCATATTTATTTCCCTACGAAAATAATATCTATTAAAATCACTGTATGACCCCCATAAGCAGACATATACCAATGTGTCCATAGTATATGACATTTTAGCGTATCCAAACTTACATTGATTTGCCAACTCTCATGGTTCAACTCACAAATGGTGAAAAGTTACAGGCATTTCAAAACTTAAGTGTTTGGCCAAAAATATAGATCATTTCAGTATCCTGGAAACAGTTCTGACCTGAATGTGACCGAAAATATAGGTGCTATTGTCAAAAATAGGATGGATATTAGGTTCTAAAAAGAGCAAGTTGGGGGTGGATACTCCAAGGAAACTCTTCTAAAATGCCTTAAAAAGGTTTTATGAGGATTACAAAATGCTACATCCCTATTTGAAGCGCATTTAAGGTCATATATGGAAAGCATTGCTGTTAACATGGCCTAGGGAGAGCAACTATTATTTTAGTGTAAAACAGACTTAATTTTGAAATGCCTGTAACTTCTTCCAATTTGTGAGTTGAACTATGATACTTGGCAAATCAATGTAAATTGGATGAGCTTTAAAATGATATATGACACATACTATGGAGACAATAGACATTGGTATATGTCTGCCTAGGGGGCCTCATACTTTCGGGACACCCTGTATATGTCCAGAAAGTACTCATGGTAAAAGATATGACCATCTAAAACCACTTCCCATACTTCACATGGTCTTTATTCAAAAAAAATATTATTGTAAAATTATGATAGTTTTTCAATTTACTCTTTTGTCATCTGTGTCGCTTTACTAGTCTTAGTTAGTCTAAAAATTAAGAGTACACTGTATATTAAGAGTTAACTTTATTAAACGCTTAAAGATTATACTGGCTAACTATACAGGGTGTCCAATAAATAAGGTGAAAGATATTGTAACTTTCTTAATATTGCACCAATCTTGATGAAATTTTCAGAGTTTGTAGCCCAAACCTTTTTACCTTTATTCTGTGAATTCAAAGCGTCTTCTATTTGATTGGCCAGAGTTGTGGTTGCTATAGTAACTGAAACAACAAAAAGGCGGGGCAAGTTTGTTTACGTCACAACTTTCCAAAACATATTTATTCTTTCTGATAGCTTTATTCATACTCCCAGGTCTATTACTACCACAACTACCACAAATACAATATAAAAAAAAAACAGTCCTTAAGTCCCATTGTTATGAAAATAAGCTATACAACATAATGTCCATCTCTAGCTATACACTTCTTATGCCTATTCACCCACTCTCTAAACACACTTTCAAACCCATTCTTGCCCATTTCCTGAAGTCTTGCTAAGACATGTGATCTGAGTTCACACACAGCTATGCTCACTAGTGAAACTATTAGGGCACTGGGGCTACCCCTACTTGCACACCCTCCATATTCCCCAGACCTTGCACCCAATGACTTTTACTTATATGCAGAACTCAAGCGTGACTTGAGAGGAAATAAATTTGGAAGCACTGATGAACTCAGATCGCATGTCTTAGCAAGACTTCAGAAAATGGGCAAGAATGAGTTTGAAAATGTGTTTAGAGAGTGGGTGAATAGGCATAAGAAGTGTATAGCTAGAGATGGACATTATGTTGAATAGCTTATTTTCATAACAATGGGACTTTAGGACTGTTTTTATATTGTATTGGTGGTAGTAATAGACCTGGGAATATGAATAAAGCTATCGGTAAGAATAAATATGTTTTGGAAAGTTGTGACGTAAACAAACTTGCCCCGCCTTTTTGTTGTTTCGGTTGCTATAGCAACCACAACTCTGGCCAATCAAATAAAAGGCGCTTTAAATTCACAGAATAAAGGTAAAAAGGTTTGGACTACAAACTCTGAAAATTTCATCAAGATTGATGCAATATTAAGAAAGTTACAATATCTTTCACCTTATTTATTGGACACCCTGTACACTTGTGTGAATCATCAGTTTATTTTATAAACAATGCAATCTGCTTCATTCATTGACCATACATTGAAGTTCTTAATTAGACAAGATGTAACGACCCTGGAGTCCCTATTCTGAACTTTGCTATATCGTAAATTCAATTACCCAAATGCGAGTAGGTAGTTACCAGTTTCACCACCAGGTGGCTGATTCGGGTCAATTAACATGGCAGGTATAGAAGAAAGTTCCCTTAAACTTGAATATTATCAATTTAAGTGGCTCAATTTTCACATAACCCTTATGCGTCTGTTACTTATACTAATGAAAATATGTCCAGTAAAGCAAAATATTATCTGTCCACTAAAAGAAAAGATATTTCATTTTTTGTGATTTTATAGCATGGGGTCTATGGGGAATCTCCCCGAGCTAGAAGTCACATTTTCAAAGAAAATTAATTTTTCAAAGTTGATAAACACTTTTTAAAACCACATTTATAGATGTTATTTTACATGTAGATTTCAAATATGAATTTTGAATTTTTAATGACGTAAATCAAGATTATTTCTACTCGCATCTGGGTTTTTGTTAATTTACGGTTTTGTTGTATCTCTACGATATAGCCAATTTGGGATTGTAGGATAGAGAGAATGATTTGTAATTTTGTTAAATACAATATTTTATTTCATGCGATTTTAAATATTTCTCTCATTCATTTGTTTCAGTTCCATCTAAAGAGGGGGAGGATACAGAAGGGTAAGTAATATATAATCATTGGTGGCATGGTATACCTATATGAAATAACATGCAGGAATATAATTGAAGTGAGCAGGTGATATATATCACCACTGATATCACCCGCTCATCAGATCTATGATGTCACAAATTCACAGAGTAGATACTGAGCCAGGGGACTTGGCTTTAAATCCTCATAATCTACTTTAGTGTAGAATAAATCAGTTACCGTCCCTCGGGTCAATACAGTATATTGTATTTCCCTCAGATATACCCATAGGTAGTGTGATATACCTAGATTGATGGGGTATATGCCTATATTGGTTTAAATATTCCAATAGTGATGTGATATACCTACAGTGGTGTGATATACCTATAGTGGTATGATATACCTATCACCTACAGTATAGTGATGTGATATACCTATAGTGGTGTGATATCTGTAGTGGATTGCTATACCTATCAAGTATGCACTTTATTTTGAAGGGATAACAACTGCATGAACAAGGTTTTTAAGATACAAGAGATTGAGCTAAATGTAGAAAAATAAAGTTTGAATTGAAAGTTTCTAAAAATCATCCATTCTTCTTGAAAGATCATCACTTTTTAAATGCTGAAACATATTATAATTTCGATTGCAATAATTGCAGATGGACCCCTGTACACCCAAAGTTGCTCAGTGTCCCTGAGATGAGTCGCAGTTTGGCAGAGATTTGGGTGACAGTCACTGTTTACAGTAGCTTCCTACTTGACCTGAGAGTTGCCCACCCAGGCAGGGTAAATATCCAAAAAATGAAACTATATATAATATCCTCACCCTCTACAGATTAGGGGCAATCATCCAGAAAATGCTTGGTGTGGATTTAAGGTCTACATCAGTGTTCCAAATGGTATTGAAAACTAGTACTGGTTTTACGGCTGATAAATACCTCAAACCGTTACCTAGGGTTTTCTACAGTTCATATTACCGGGTATATGCCTAGTATCAAAAATATGTTAAAAGATATTTAACACTAATATCTAAAGCAAAATATCTGCAAGACAAATATTTCCAGCTGCAACAAATATCCATATACCTGAGATTGAATATATTTTGAGCAACTTTGTTTTAATTTCATCAGTAGAACTACATGTATTTGTAGCATACATCATATCTAGTCAGTACATCAAATATTTCTATCATTAGTATCTGCTTTGTCATAACTCAGTGCAGTCATTGAAATGCCTGACTGGAAATCTGAAATAAATACCTGAGTAATGTAGCACACTTTTCAACTTTCAGTTCTGTCTTCTCATGTCAAGTATCTTCATTGGAACTGCTGTACTGGGTCACTACTTCTCGGGCGTGGCCTTGTCATATATCACAGGTAAGGAGTCAAGGATATATTGCTTTGTCATATATCACAGGTAAGGAGTCAAAGACACATTGCTTTGTCATATATCACAGTTAAGGAGTCATGGACATATTGCTTTGTCACATATCACGGGTAAGGAGTCAAGGACACATTGCTTTGTCATATATCACGGGTAAGGAGTCGAGGACACGTTGCTTTGTCATATATCACGGGTAAGGAGTCAAGGACACGTTGCTTTGTCATATATCACGGGTAAGGAGTCAAAGACACATTACTTTGTCATATATCACGGGTAAGGAGTCAAGGACACATTGCTTTGTCATATATCACGGGTAAGGAGTCAAAGACACATTGCTTTGTCATATATCACAGGTAAGGAGTCAAGGACAAGTTGCTTTGTCATATATCACGGGTAAGGAGTCAAGGACACATTACTTTGTCATATATCACGGGTAAGGAGTCAAGGACACATTGCTTTGTCATATATCACGGGTAAGGAGTCAAGGACACATTACTTTGTCATATATCACGGGTAAGGAGTCAAGGACACATTGCTTTGTCATATATCACAGGTAAGGAGTCAAGACATATTGCCTTGTCATATATCACAGGTAAGGAGTCAAGGACACATTACTTTGTCATATATCACACGAGTAAGGAGTCAAGGACACATTACTTTGTCATATATCACGGGTAAGGAGTCAAGGACACATTGCTTTGTCATATATCACAGGTAAGGAGTCAAGACATATTGCCTTGTCATATATCACAGGTAAGGAGTCAAGGACACATTGCCTTGTCACAAATCACAGGTAATGAGTAGAGGACACATTGCCTTGTCATGTATCACAGGTAAGGAGTCAAGGACACACTGCCTTGTCATGTATCACAGGCGAGTACTCATTACTTTGTCGTATATCACAGGTAAGGAAGGACATATTGCCTTCTGCCTTGTCATATTTAACAGGTAAGGAGTTTAGGACACATTGCCTTGTCATGTATCATAGGTAAGGAGTTTAGGACACATTGCCTTGTCATGTATCATAGGTAATGAGTCTAGGACACATTGCCTTGTCATATATCACAGGTGAGTACTCATTACTATGTCATATATAACAGGTAAGGAAGTATTGACTTGTCATATTTAACAGGTAATGAGTCTAAGACATATTGCCTTGTCATATATCACAGGTGAGTACTCATTACTATGTCATATATAACGGGTAAGGAAGTATTGACTTGTCATATTTAACAGGTAATGAGTCTAAGACATATTGCCTTGTCATATATCACAGGTGAGTACTCATTACTATGTCATATATTACAGGTAAGGAAGTATTGACTTGTCATATTTAAAAGGTAATGAGTCTAGGACATATTGCCTTGTCATATATCACAGGTGAGTACTCATTACTATGTCATATATAACAGGTAAGGAAGTATTGACTTGTCATATTTAACAGGTAATGAGTCTAAGACATATTGCCTTGTCATATATCACAGGTGAGTACTCATTACTATGTCATATATAACAGGTAAGGAAGTATTGACTTGTCATATTTAACAGGTAATGAGTCTAAGACATATTGCCTTGTCATATATCACAGGCGAGTACTCATTACTATGTAATATATTACAGGTAAGGAAGTATTGACTTGTCATATTTAACAGGTGAGCCTTCACTGCTATATCACGGGTGAGGAAACATTATGCTGTCTTGAAATACATATAAGGATGAGCATTTATTGCTTTGTCAAGTAAATGGTTTCCACAATATCTTGTATAAAGAGGGCCTACATTTTCATGTTTCAGTAATGAGCCTGCTATTTTGGCCTTGTATGGTATACCACAATATCTTATAGAGGGCCTGTCTAAAGATTAAACATTTCATGTTCCAGTTATGAGCTTACTACTGTGGCCTTGTATCATGTACCACAATATCATACAGAGGACCTGTCTAAAGATTAAACCTTTCATGTTTCAGTTATGAGCTTGCTACTTTGGCCATGTATGGTGTACCACAATATCTTACAGAGGGCCTATGTGAAGATTGAGCCTTTCATGATGCAGTTGGAATACAGTCTAAAAATAAAACGCACAAGATCAAAAAAGTGTAAGTTTTGCAACTCTGTTTTAATTTCCTTCGATAGATATTTTTCAATAAGTCAACTGGGATACGTACATGTATGATATACAGTGATATACAGTGCGTCCCAAAAAAACGCAACAAAGACATTGTAAAATCACAAAACCAATTTGATTTACCAGTTTACCAGGAAGCCACATGTCTCTTCTTTCCAATGGTATGTATCAATTATTCATATACGACCACAGACCACTGAATAATCATTCCTTTTGCACAATGTGCCAAAATCTGCTCTGGACCAAGTTTTAGACATTGCAACAGTTAAAAATGTAGAGAGTCACAAAGAGAACCCCAGATGATTCAAAGAGGTGTGCAACATAGAGACACAAGCCAGTGTGAAATAGTGGTCATGTGAAAGGGCATTATATGTAATCTTTCATGAATAATCTTTCATAAGATGACAGACAACGACTGTTTATGCCACTTCTTTTTCCATATGTTTTGTTAACTGAACCAACAAGGATACTGATGAACACTTAAAGTTAAACTTTTCATTTTTTCTTTTTTCTTAGTCAATCTAAATCAAAAACCTGTGTTATGTAAATCTTGTGACAAGAATTTAATCCCCAGTACCAATTACATAATGGTTTACCTGATTGCACAATAAGGATCAGTTGATTGATATTTCATAACTTGGCACATAAAGGCCTTTTCACCCATGTACGAAAAAAACAATGATTTTTCAGTGGTCCATTATCAGATATGAACAAATGACATACCATTGGAAAAGGGAGACACCTGGATTCATGATAAACTAAATGAGATTGATGTAATCATCACTAGTTTGGTGAGAAGCACTGTATATCACTTTTGAAAGTTTTTCTTACATAGAAAAGATGTCACTAGTAGTTTGAATGATGACACATGAACAACCATTTTCCTCCTTATTTACTGAGTGTTCAACCAAAGCCACCTTAGGGTAAATACTTGAGCTTCAAAGCACAAATGACAACATTTTAATTTTGAAATTCATGAAGCAAATCACTCTGAATCACATAAATCTTATTAACCAGTAAAAAATCTAAATTGTATATAAATATATGATTTGTAAAGTGATAAGTCCCACCATATGATTAGTTAGAAAAGACAATGCCCATATGAAGATCACTATTTCATTTCATTCTTCCTACAGCTAAAAGAAAGTCAAAGCGTAAGTCAGGTACACCTGGTAGTGCATCTAAAGATCTAGCAATCACAGACAGTGACACAGATGTTGAGGAGTTTGTTCCTTCTCTGGACCCTGAGATCACCGCAGCATTGGCACGTGCAATTACAGACAGTGAGGATGAATCCAAGAATCCCACCCCAGCTATGTTGACACCCTCGCACAGGTCACGTGAAGTCTCACCCCTACACAGTGATGATGGTATATAGTTTCTTAGTGCTATAGACTAGTGCTGTTTGTAAATAATTCAGATACTTATAATAAAGGTTTAAGTCAGATTGTACTGAAATGATTCAATCATTAATGAGACAATCAAGGTCATTGTGTTGAAAGACATTTTTTGTGACCAGGGTTCGGTGTTTGCATTCAATGTCTGTATTAACTTGTTACCCTCAATTACAATTAATTAAGTCTGTATCAACTGGACAATTTGTATCAAAGTGGTGACGTTGTGCCATGTAAATGCCTTGTTATTATTTGTTTTGAGCTATTGAGTTATTCTCTATCGAAATTAATCTTATAAATTGTTTATTCCAGAATTTATACCTCAAATTGCTCCCACTTCAGAGATGTCTTTCTCTCATGGCTTATCCAGTATTCCATCATATGATGACACAATCCTTGACAGGCCCGATCCAATGAGCCAGACACGTATAGAAAAACTCATGGCAGAAGGTGCAGCTGACTCAATGTTATTCCTACCCAGTCACTTTGAGGAGTCAGATAACTCCGACAACACAGATGTTGATATTGATACTGGGCTTTCATTTCCTGATCTGGACCAAGTTGATCATACATCTGCAAGAGGAAGTTCTCATGGTGTGAGGGAGATTTCCCCGGGTGGAAAGAAAATTTCCACTAGTGCAATGAAAAATTCTGAAACTGGATCAGTGGTGGGTGATAGCTCAAGTTCTGTAATGGGTCTACCCACTTCAGCCAAGGCCATGCTTGAAAGCACTGTATCAACAGTAGTGGAGAGTACTCTAGTTGGCCTGAATAAACTATCTGACACCGTCAAAGAAGCTGCCTATTCAGCTACACAACAAAATAAAACACAAAATAACAGTAATGATTCAGATATTTCAACTTGTAAAACTGACCCACCATCAAGTGAACTCAACAGAGGCAATTCTGATGACTCAATTTTAGCAGAATTTGAGTTTCTAAGTCGAGAAGATCTTGGGGAATTTGATGGCAAAACTTCTAATCAATGATGTTATGAGTCAACTAAGGATAACTTCATGTAGTTGGCCAGTACTTACTAGCCAATTTAGGTATAATTTATTGTTTTACTTCTTCCTTGTTAAAGAGAAAGATATTAAAGATGCAGTATACTGTAGGTATCCCTTCCGGACAATCAATGATACACAGGTATAGGTACCTTAGATATATCTTGAGACCAACTTAAGGGTACAAGTATACATGTAATTGCTGATATATTGAAATAATCGACAGAACCACCAACTGGCAAAATTTAACACAGTTGATTCCGTGGCCATCATTTGTAGGCCTGAGGGGTTGAATAATTAGCAGTTATGTCCCTATCATTGAATATATGCCTGAGGTCTGTCAACAATATACATTACGACAGACGAAAGTCATATATTCAATGATACAGACATAATTGTTGTATTACATACCTTTATTACCATGGCTACGTTATATCAATGACGTCACACGTCTGTTTGCGAGTGGAATTTGGACGAAGTGAATTGACGTCATGAGATTGTCATGGTAAAAAAGTTTGGCGGCTATGGCTATACAGGAATATATAGCTGACCTTCAGCTCCATTGACTTCCATACAAATGCTTCACTAGGTATGTAATACTATGTGGTAAAACTCAGTACACAAAAAGTCCAGGGGGTATTGATTGCGCTCTCCTATGGTATAGAGTATCTTTAATTGTTTTCTTAAACCAACAATTATAAGAAATATATGCATGTGTAATTGCAGAAAACATGATTATACTGGTGTATGTGTGTACATTTGCAGTATTAGTCATCTAATATGTGAAAATGAAATGCAGTGTTATTCAACAGTGTATTAATGTGTATCTTAAAGTACACTCAAGCTTATGAATATTGTAGATTCTATTTTATTTACCTTTATTGTAGTTTTGTTTTTTGTTTCACAAATACCTACATGATATACAATGCATCTGCTGTGAAAATTGCCAAAGTACAGTAACAGACACCACGGCGCGGTATCCAAACTGTGTGCATACAGTGTTTCAAACTGTGTATAGTATGCACGCAGGTCTGATACCGCGCCATGGACACAATACAAAAAAAATACAGTACAAACATTGGTCTTTTAACCTTGTCCAATAACTCGTGTTTAAAGTTTGCATAAAATGTTTACAGTTTGCCAAACTTATCTTTAATAGAGAGAATATTCACAAGCTCATTCATAAGAAAAACAGATGTTAGTCTAGATGAAATATCCAAACTTAAATATATTTTGACACTGGTCCATGATCGTTGAATGGCCCCTCTGCACTACTTGTTGCACCTTTAAAGTATTAGCTTACAAAATCTCCTATAAGACTTCACAGATTTATCAAATTCACTTGGAATTAATGCCTGAAAGTTTAGAAAATGCTTAAATGTGTTTAAGGATTTGAGTCTTTAATTAAAGGAGACAGGTGTTCACTAGAGAGAGGTGTTCACTAAGACAGGTTTACTGTATATATCCTGTATCCTGATTTTGAGGATTCCATATCCAGAACTTCCATATCTCCCGCTCCTGGGCATATCTTCCCACTTCCAGTAATTGAAAAAATAAATCCCATATCCAAAACCTACCAGGACATAACCCTTTTTAGCTCACATGGTGAGCTTTTGCAATCACTCACTTGTCCGTCTGTCTGTCCATCCGTCAACAATAGTGGCACGTTTTAAAACCTCTGTCGATAGGATTCCTGTTTTAAGTTATTTCTGTTCAACATCAATACAGAAAACCCCCCTATGACTCCTGGTTCAAAAGCTCGCCTATTTTCAAAATGGCCGTCACTTTTGTCTCGCGAAATTCACTTTTAGCCCATTTCCTAGCTAACCTCTGTCGATAGGATTCCTGTTTTAAGTTATTTCTGTTCAACATCAATACAGAAAACCCCCCTATGACTCCTGGTTCAAAAGCTCGCCTATTTTCAAAATGGCCGTCACTTTTGTCTCGCGAAATTCACTTTTGGCCCATTTCCTAGCTTTACAAATAATTTCAGGTGTCCTACATTGTAAAAATCCATGTCAATGTAAAGATTAGATATATGAAATAATTTTGTTACAAAAAATCAGCGAAAAATTGTATCCATTTTTTTATTTTCAGCCATTTCAGTTAACATTGATTTGTCTATCTGACTCGCGAAATCCACTTTCTGTCAATAACAGTGGCACGTTTTAAAACCTCTGTCGATAGGATTTCTGTTTTAAGTTATTTCTGTTCAACATGAATTCAGAAAACTCCCCTACGACTCCTGGTTCAAAAGCTCGCCTATTTTCAAAATGGCCACCATTTTTGTCTCGCAAAATTCACTTTTGACCCATTTCCTAGCTTTACAAATAATTTCAAGTGTCCTACATTGTAGAAATCCATTGCAAAGTAAAAAGTAGATGTATGAAATAATTTTGTTACGAAAAATCAGCGAAAAATTATATCCATTTATTTATTTTCAGCCATTTTAGTTAACATTGATTTGTCCATCTGTCTCGCAAAATTCACTTTTGGACCATTTGCCTTACACCCTCTGTCGATAGGATCCCCATTTTAAGTTATTTTTGTTCAACATCAATACAAAAAACTCTCCTATGACTCTTGGTTCAATGTCAGCGTCAATGTAAAGAGTAGATGTATGAAATAATTTTGTTACGAAAAATCAGCGAAAAATTATATCCATTTATTTATTTTCAGCCATTTTAGTTAACATTGATTTGTCCATCTGTCTCGCGAAATCCACTTTTAGACCATTTACCTTAAACCCTCTGTCGATAGGATTCCCATTTTAAGTTAATTTTGTTCAACATCAATACAAAAAACTCTCCTATGACTTTTGGTTCAAAAGCTCGCCTATTTTCAAAATGGTTGCCATTCTTGTTTCGCGAAATTCACTTTTTGCCCATTTCCTAGCTTTACAAATAATTTCAGCTGTCCTGCATTGTAAAAAGCCATGTCACTGTAAAAGGTAGTTGTATGAAATAATTTTGTTACAAAAAATCGGCAAAATATTATATCCGTTTTTTTTATTTTCAGCCATTTTAGTTAACATTGATTTGTGCATCTGTCTCGCGAAATCCTCTTTTGGACCATTTGCTTAAAACCTCTGTCTATAGGATTCCAGTTTCATGTTATTTTTGTTCAACAACAATACAAAAAACTCCCCTATGACTCCTGGTTCTAAAGCTTGCCTGATTTCAAAATGGTCGCCATTTTTGTCTCGCGAAATTCAATTTTGGCCCATTTCCTAGCTTTACAAATAATTTCAGGTGTCTTGCGGCCCTCTTGCATTGCAAAAAGCCATGTCACTGTAAAGAGTAGTTGTATGAAATAATTTTGTTACAAATTATTGGCAAAAGATTATATCCGTTTTTTTTTTTAGCCATTTTAATTGACTGAGAGACAGATGGCTTGAAATAATTTTGTAACAAAAAATCAGCAAAAAATTATATCTGTTTTTTTCTGCCACCATGTGAGCCCAGTACCCACGGTACTAATTTTTATATACCAGGTATATTTAGAGCAGGATCTGCAAAGCAAATATGTAAAATTGTTATTAAGAAATTTAGACTGGATGCGAAGGTGTAAATGCAAATATGCATTGCAGATATTTTAATGTGCACTTGTCAGGCTGCAACAAGATGCACTTTGTAATGTGTTTTTTGTTATTATTTATTAACTGGATAATAAATCCATTTTATATGAGTATGTGCAGTGAACACTGTGGTTGGGGGATTATTTTTTATCTCACCATTGGTAGAATGTTGTTTAAATAATAAATGATTTTGGTGTGTAAATGGAAGTTAAATTAATCAGATTGATTATTGAAAGGAACTGATTAACTTTTTGTCATTTAACATACAGTTAATCAGTGATCAGCAGCCATGCTTATGTATTTACTTAATTAATAAAAGAAATGTCTTGTTGTTTTGAATTTTTGAGGGACAGTCACTGCTAAAAATGGAATATTCTTAATATGTCAACTGCTTAAAAGTACTGGTGTATTTAAGAATTACAATACAAGAATTAGTGGAATGGTTTTATTTTGGTTTGAATGTCTTATAGACTTGTTATTATTTATTGAATTTTACTGTAAATAATATGTGATTATGAATAAAGATAAATTGTCAATAAATTCCTTTTGGGTTCATAGATATACATTATACATATATAAGAGTTATGTTATGGTCAGTTTTGGATATGGGGTATAGCCTGAGGGAAACATAGATATCTTACAGAGGGTCAGAGTTAAGATACCATATTTCCCAAACGATACACCCCATATCCAAATCTGACCATCACATAGCTATTTTATCCTATGATAAGTGACACTGTAATACAGCCAGACAGCTGACAGCCTGTGTACTGAAGCTCTTTTCTACAGTACTAGCCTAGGCTCAGCACTTAAAAGATGATTTTAAAATATAGAAAGATCAAAATCTCAGAGCAAAACTTGCAATAAATCGCATGCATGAAATCATATCATACATTTAACAATGACACAAATGGAAAAAAGTGAAAACTTTACTGAATGAGAATGTTTACCCAAAAATATTGGAGCCGGAAATATGATGTCCCACTCCCCAACGATAACAATTTTATATACCGCTGTTATGCACCTACAAAATCTCACTTGTCATAGGCAGGATAAAGCCCTTTATTATTTTGAGGGGGAAATATCCCAGAAGTCATATTTAAAATTAACATTTCAATATACTCACATTAAATGGGGAATTGAAAGGAGCAAAAATTCCATTCAAAAGTGTTTTTGTCATTGAAGTATTGACTAAAACTGATTTTAGATTGTGTTTCATGGAATAATAAAGTTCTAAATCAGTCGGATAGTACATGATCTGATTACCAATCTAACAAGCATCATCTGCTTCATATGCAAAGGACCATGTGACGTATTGTACAATGTACAGGGTGTCCAATAAATAAGGTGAAAGATATTGTAACTTTCTTAATGTTGCACCAATCTTGAGGAAATTTTCAGAGTTTGTAGCCCAAACCTTTTTACCTTTATTCTTTCTGATAGCTTTATTCATACTCTCAGGTCTATTACTACCACAAATACAATATTAAAAAAACAGTCCTAAAGTCCCATTGTTATGAAAATAAGCTATTCAACATAATATCCATCTCTAGCTATACACTTCTTATGCCTATTCACCCACTCTCTTAACACACTTTCAAACCCATTCTTGCCCATTTCCTGAAGTCTTGCTAAGACATGTGATCTGAGTTCACACACAGCTATTCTCACTAGTGAAACTATTAGGGCACTGGGGCTACCCCTACTTGCACACCCTCCATATTCCCCAGATGTTGCACCCAATGACTTTTACTTATATGCAGAACTCAAAGGTGACTTGAGAGGAAATAAATTTGGAAGCACTGATGAACTCAGATCACATGTCTTAGCAAGACTTCACGAAATGAGCAAGAATGGGTGTGAAAGAATGTTTAGAGAGTGGGTGAATAGGCAAAAGAATTAGTGTATAGCTAGAGATGGACATTCTGTTGAATAGCTTATTTTCATAATAATGGGACTTTAGGACTGTTTTTATATTGTATTTGTGGTAGCAATAGACCTGGGAATATGAATAAAGCTATCAGAAAGAAGAAATATGTTTTGGAAAGTTGTGACATAAACAAACTTGCCCCGCCTTTTTGTTGTTCGGTTGCTATAGCAACCAAAACTCTGGCCAATCAAATAGAAGACGCTTTAAATTCACAGAATAAAGGTAAAAAGGTTTGTCTACAAACTCTGAAAATTTCATCAAGATTGGTGCAATATTAAGAAAGTTACAATATCTTTCACCTTATTTATTGGACACCCTGTACATTACATGTACTCTCTTTCATTGTATATAAGTAAATCGAAAGTATTCCTATTAATGAGTGAGACAACACTTGTCACCAAATAAAACTAAACAAAAAAATGCATTTTATAATTTTTTTATTGTTTATAAATAGAATAGAAAAAAAACTTATCTAATCTAATAAAATTGTCAAAATTGACATGTCCTCCCCATGATCAGTACAAATATAAATATGATTATAGAACTACAAAAATTTAATTTCTCTACACAATCTTATTGTTATATAAATAAATTATTTCACAATATAATATAAACAATTATAAAGTCCATCCTCCTGGAATGTTGCACAATTGAAATATCACAGTTTCATTGTATACAAATATCAGTTTCAAATGGCTCCTGAATAAGGGTGATTCCTCTGAAACTCCAGCTAGCCTGTTTTGAGTTGACATGTTATTTCAGACTCACTGCTTTCCATTGTATATCTCATGTTAAGAGATTCAGAGTTGTGACTGGACTCCTGTGAAAAACTGCTACAAGCATAGGCTAATCTCGCATTAGGTCAGGGAGCATGCTACATGGAATAAGGATAACACACAATCACACATGTTATTGTCTCTTGTCTACATCCTCCAATCACAGGGCTTCAAAATCCAGAAAATATATGTCTCTTGTCTATAACTGGTGAATAAAGACTGGTCCAATCTTCACAAGCACATCACACACTGCAAGAACTGAAAGAAAGAACAGTGATTTTTTATGATATAAATTTATAGAACTTTTTAAGTTGAGAATGTATGTAAATACCTTTACATTGTATATTTATGTGGTATGTACATGTAGTGCATACCACAAATTATACACTACAAAACTAAAAACTTAAAACTACATCTCCATTCATTATTATCATACTCACATCATCATATGAGAATTCATATGATCCAACCTCCTGGTTTTGATGGTGGGACCTGTCTCTCGCTCTAAATGCCTCTGTGTAGGCACGTAGGCGCACAGACATTGCAACAAAGTCATCAAATGCAACCAGGCATCTCCTGTCATCCATGGCTCTAGAATACCTTTTCAGGATGACTTCAAGTGCTTTGACAGACAGGGCATAGCCTTTAAAATAAAACATTGCTCACCAATTACCTTCTTTAGATATGCTAAAATTGGTAAGAGGGCAAAGATGACAAAATTTAATTTTTCCATGTATACTTTCTCTTACACAATTCTTCAAGAAACATGGAAATTACATAGTAGTTTAAACAATCATGGCTATAATTTGCCTTACAAGTTTTATATTACCTACCAAAACTGTTCTTGATGATGTTTCCCAGTTCATGAGCCTCTATGAATCCGGACCTATCAGTGTCATAGCGGAGGAATGTCTGCCACCAGTGGATGAGGCATTGTAGCAATTCATTTAGTTCTGGCAGCTGCATTATTCCATCTTTGTTCCTCTTATCTAGGTCAAGGTCAATGTGGTACATCGAATGTTAACTCAATCATTGTCATATATCATACATGCTTGCTTCTCCCTTTATACAGATATTATATGTCCTTCGACATCATCAAATTTGACAAGTGGTAATTGAGCTGTCAAAGATTATATTTTTATGAAAAATAAATAACAGCCATTTTGTATAAAGCTGACATGTTTTCTAAAACAGGAAATTTGGACAAAATCATATAATCTGTATTTGAGTAAACACCATTTTGAAATTAGAGAATGTTTTGCAAGTTTCTTCTTGAACAGAACTCCTATGACTCTGAAACATGAGCAAAAAAAATTTGAACCACATCTGTCGACTGATACATGAGTTATAAAAGATTATATTTTGCCAAAAATGGTGGCCTTTTTGGATTGAGTAGCCATATTGAAAAAATGCAGGAATTCTTTTATATTTTCACATGTTGTAGAGGAAGGTCTAAAATGTTGGTACTATACATTTAGCCTAGTCTTGAAATTTGCAGAAATTATAAGCCCTAACCAAATACGAAAATGGATAAAATGTGATTTTCAATATTCGTGATTCTTCAACCCTTCAACACCCTTCCCCTGACATTTTTTAAGCTGCAGTCTTAAAGAATTAATATTTTCTGACTTTTTGGTTTTGAATCACGCACATTATGGCTTAAAACTAGCATCCTGCCTTTTGTTAGTTGAAAAGTTATTGTGATCTAAAGAAATGTTCTAAGCTTCCAAAGACAATAACATTTTCCAGCGAAATCGCGAACATACCCCTATATGATCTTGAAATGTCAATATCTTCACAAATCATGAACCAATTCTCATGAAATATGGCTCAAAAGATTGGAATATTGGATTTTCTTTTGATTTTTTAAAGATATTGATGAAGGGCTTCTCGGATTCCTGGTCACAGGGGGCAACTTCCTTCCACAAGAGGACCCACTCAGCTGTTGGTGTAGGTAACATACCCCTGAACTGTTGAACGGTTAAAACTGCTTCAAAATGATGATCAAAGAAAGTGAGAGATGTGTTTTCCGTTTAAATAGTGTCCCTTTTGTCATATGGGTTTTAAACTTGTACCTCTAACTGAAAGCTGTTTAAGATCATCCAATGTGTTTCAACAATTTCCGTGAATCGCATTGGTAAAATTTTGCACAATATCTAATTTTCAGTCATGTTTGTTAAACTCTTGTAATTTGTTCAAAATTTAAGACTGGAAATAAATTATGGCATCAACCAAAATTTTTAGACCTTTCTCTACAACATGATAATATGAGTCTATTCATGCAAGTATTAAGGAAAATATAGCCTCTTGCAGGGGTTCACTTTTTTGGACCACCCTGTATATCTGACAACTGTTCTTTTAAGTAGGAATTAAAAAGTTACATTTTACAAAAATGGTGGCCACTTTAGATTCAGCAGCCATCTTGAAAATTCTTTCTTTGACAGATATTAGCCTTCATAATTTGAACCAAAATCGAACAGCCAGCATTAGGATTATCAAATATGTCATGTTTTAAATTCTAGAATGTTAAATATTACATGTATTCAATGGCGACCATTTTGAATGGAGTGGCTATATTGGAAATTCCTTCACATGCTAATCCTACTTGAGTTATTAAGCTGGCTACTAAAAGATTACATTTTTACGAAAAATAGCAGCAATTTCAAACTGAGCAGTCATATTGAAAATTCCTTCATGAGCATAAAGTCTTATGTCCAAAAGATATCAGCCTATACAATTTGAACCATATCTGTCAATTTGAATTTGAGTTATCCAGATAAATGCACAGACAGACATATGGACAGACAGACAACAGCTTTTCTATATCCCTCACAAACTATGTTTGGTAAGATAATTAAGTCAGAAACTGTCACATATTAGAGAGGAATTCAATGAAAGGATACATCCAACATGGCTATCAGGATCCTGAAATTATAAAAGAAATATGTTAACTTTCCAAAGATGAATTCCTTCCCCACATTGCCTACATGTTTCAGTTTTTCATATTTCTATGTTTTCCTAAACAACAACTTTCTATCACATAATTTAATCTTATCATTTTATATATCTCATATGTACATTATATTATTATTAAAATGTATTCTCTCATATAAATAAGGCCATAAATATTCCATAAAATACAATACTATACAAAAAGAAGTCAACATACTTGCATAATTCCAGGTTCCAGTTGATTGGACCCCTCTGAGCTAAAATTATTGAAAATAAAAATATGTTATAAATATAATAATAATAACTCTGTAACATTCTGCCCACATCCACGTAATTATTTCTAATTGCTTTCATAACCTGCTATCAAAACCATATTACACAAGACAAGTGGGCGATACACCCCATGGGCTAAAATTTTACAGGAAATTGTCAATAATAGGGAGTTTAAGCTAGCATATAAAATTGAAACACCAACCTATACTTATGACCAATTGCCTATACAAATGCACCACTTAAATATTTTCTGTTCACGTTTAGGTTGTGAAAAACATTGCAAGCTTAAATTCCCTAATATCTAAAAGTACATGTTAATTTCTTTTACCAAAGATGTTTTCAGTAAAATGAAATGAGAAAGAATGACTAACAGCATTTAAGTTACAATTAAATGTTCTGGGGGTATAGATAAGATCTCATGTGTCTATAATTGCTACACTGCTACATGTAGCTACTAATGACATTATTGTGCATCACACTGAATCAATACTAGAATACAAACTGTATTTAATAGTACATGTAGTTGCTCATTTTGTTTTTATTAGCTCAAATAGTCTAGTTCCTGACTGATATATCAGAGTCTCTTAATCTTGTGCTTGTATTCCAAAGGATAGTAAAGGCTGTGGATCCCACAATAAGTGCCTCAACTTTTTTTTGCTAAACTGGACTTACTTTTATAGTAGTTCTTAATCTGTCGGTCCTCGTTGAGAATCCGTTGAAGTTCTTCTCCTTGGATGCCATTTAGTGTCTAAAATATAGGAATGAAGGTTATAATAGGTATATTTTTTTTTATTTATTGAAAAAATCCGAACTATACTGTACCTGCAGAGACCCAGATCGATCAACAAGGGTTCATAACATGGGAACGATTTGAAATCTATTGAGACCTTACATGTAGTTACAGGAGATCATTGATGAGTAACTCAGAAGACAAATAATTTTTGCAAATATGATTATGATATCATACAGGGTGACACAAAAAAGTCATCTGCTAATTTTGGAATAACCTTCTTGATAATGAAGGAATCTCTGTGATTATTTTTGTTTAGATAAAGTGTTCAATGAAAAAAATATTGTTGAACTTGTATAGCATCAACAACTTTGAGATTTAGAGATATCATATTTTTCTGGATTGCTTTCACAAATTAATAGCATTAACCCTTTCACAATGATAGGCTCCATATGGAGCCCTATTACATAATACCTTTCAGGAGAATAGGCTCCTTTTGGCACCACTATTTTTATTCACATTTTTTATTTAAATTCCAAAAAATGACTTCTAATTTACTTGCCTTGCATGAACGGTTTAATTAGAGTAAACTTACCCTAGACTTGTATCTCTCATACAACACCTGGAAATCATCTGGTGAATTCATCCCAAATGCCTGAAAGTATAAGTGATCTTAAAGAAGGTAGTGACCAAATATATTTCCATGGGCTTTCAACAGAAACGTGCAATTAAAGCTTGGGATTCCACGATTCTTTTCTTTCAGTTCGATCATGGGCTTTCAACTTTACTTGAAAGCCTATATGGTTCGATTCATATCTGAATCGATAATTTAAACAATGATTTAATACAAACTATTTGATTCAATCATTTACAAGTGAAAACTTTGATTTCTTCAAATGATTTTGTCTGTCCCTAGCTCATGCTGAACTTACAAACTTTGCAACACATGTTTTTATCATCAACCATACACTCTAGTCAGATTTAAATTACATTTAGGGGAAAAGTTATTCCAATTCTGTCATGGAGTCACCATAATCAATAAGGTTAAAGAGATAGGGTCTCCTAAAACACAATTAGAGTAACCCCCTGATTTTTTCGTGTTATTTGATGTAAAACAAGTTTGTTTATCAACTTATCAATTCTGAGGCTTGAATTGATTCGTTAACAGTATTAATTCGATGATTGTTCCTAGTCATGAATTTCCACTTACATCAATAGAAATTTAAATTTAAATTTAAAAAGCCCGCTCAAATTTGTTCAAGTCTGATTGGCTTTTTCCTTCAGATCATTTTGGCTTAGAGGAGCCATATTTATTACTTCTAAGGGGTTACAATATAGATAAATCCCCAAAAAACATTGTATTCTGTTTTCGACTTATTGCGTTCAATTCTGACGATTGGTTGTTCTTTTGGTTGTCCTGTTGATATCCTCAATATATTGTCGATATCGTGCTTGTGATTTGGTCTCAAGATATATCTAAGGTATATGATGTTTTATGAGCAATTATATTGGGACATTACTGATTGTCCAAAATAGAAATCTGGACGACTCGATCTCTTTAAATATGCCATCAAATTTGGTAATTATTTCCAAGAGCAATATGAACATTACCATGCTGTGTACAACAAGGAACTAGATGTAACCTCAGTTTGGTAATTATGCAATTGCACTCAGATATAAGGTCTAACGTTGATGGCAGACTGGTGTTTAGAACTGATTGAGGTAAGACTTTTGAGTTTTGGACTAATCAAACATGAGCTTCTATCGAACGATCCCAAGACTAAAATAGGATTGGAACTAGATAAATTTAGGTGTATGGCTATACAGCTGTAGTGCCAAAATATACTGATTTTTGAAAAATTACAGCTCAATCAGATGTCCATACATGATGGCTACAATGCATGCTGTGTGGCACACAAGATACAAACTGATTACCTGTCAACATGCATAGACCAAGACCCAATGTACATTTACCTGCCAAGCATTTACAGTGAACGCATTCTGGTGTAGCTGTTGTCCATAGTTTCCATAATGTTGACTTGGTGGAGGAGGCTGGCCATAAGGGTGAGTATAGCCTTGCTGGGACAACTGCTGATATTGCGCCTGTTGCTGTGGCTGCTGCTGACCGAACATACCCCCGAAACCTGGTATTGACATGCCAAAGGACATTGACATGCCCCCCATGCCCCCCTGTTGACCCATTTGAGGTTGCTGACCCATTTGAGGTTGCTGACCCATTTGAGGCTGCCCAAAACCACCCATATGAGGCTGTGCACCCATAGGATATCCTGCCATGATTGGTGCCTCGATTAAATATAAATTTGTCTATCCTTATACAGATCTACATAGATTTTACTATAGAGCCTGAATGTATAATATTATACGACCAACAATTTTCAGTTTTCCCAAGCAACGACCTTGCATGACAAGACACGAAGTAAATAATAAATCTACTATAGGTTATTGAAATCCAAAAATAGTGAATCATTTACCGATTTATTACTCATTTAATTATAATATAAAAATTTTCGATTGACTTTAGTAACGATTCATACACCACTTCTAAAAAATAATCAAAGGCATACAATTAAGCTTAACATTAATGTCATGGCTATAAAATTGCGGGAAATTTAAAAAACATTTCGATTGCACTGAACGAACTGCACCTTGGTTGATTTACGGACCTCTCTCGGAAAGCTCTCTCAAAATGTTTCTCTGGCGTCGGAAGGGGGAGGGCGTTGGGGGCGACCGCCCCCCCCCCCCCTTTCCCAGATTTTTTAGATTTGAATTGAAACCGAGTCTAGAATTAAAAGCTCTAGAGCTAATTAAGTCAAAGTGTAATGATGACACTATGATAGGCAGTAGGGCCCTATTTAAGCCTAAGCCTAAGCTTACGTCTAGTCTCCTTGAAAGGTGCAAATTAAGCGCTAACTAAGGTGATAGTTAGAAGAGCCCATTCGGATTACTTGTGTAACCCATGTTAGTGATGCTGTCCCCAGCTCCGATTTCGGTGATCGGCTAGTATAAAAGGTTTGAGCGTATCATTTTGTTCCAGACACTCTCTAGAGTAAATTATCCTAACTTGAGTAAAAATGTGTGGTAAGTAAATTCGCTATGGGCAGTTAAAGAGGCGCAATCTATTCATTTTCAAACAGTGGGTAGGGGTATAAAATAATTTTTAACACATTTTAATAGTAAAATGACATTGAAATACTAATAAAATCTTATCAAGAACATTATTTACAATCAGTATGAATTTTCTTGTGTGGATTAGGGTGAAAATAAGGGCATATGTTGAAATTCACTACAGGGGCGCCACCTATTTTCGTACTTCTACCACGTGTAATAACTTATTTTAGATTCGTTAAGGTACGAAATGTACTGAAAAAAAAAATTCTTAAGGACCTATATATGTTCATACCACATACTTAAAATTGGATCAATAGCTTTTGTACCGGGGGAGAAAAAAATTCTTGAAATTTAAAATTGTGGCATCGTGCAGGATAGGGGTGACCATATCTCACATGATTAACTTCCAAAATATGGAGCATAAGTATCTCAAATGTACTCAAAATGGTGTATGTACTCTTGCTTTGTCATAATATTACTAATAAGAAGTGGAAAAATGATTGTACAATTTCAAAAAATATTAATTCTCATTTTGGCTTCTGACGTCCCAGGGGTGACCATATCTCACCTTGATAACTTCCAAAATATGGAGCATATGTATCTCAAATGTGCTCAAAATGGTGTATGCACTCTTGCTTTGTCATAATATTACTAATAAGAAGTAAAAAAAAATGATTGTACATTTAAAAAAATATTAATTCTCATTTTGGCTTCTGACGTTCCAGGGGTGACCATATCTCACCTTAATAACTTCCAAAATATGGAGCATTTGTATCTCAAATATGCACAAAATGGTGTATATAGTCTTGTCTTGTCATAATATTACTATTAAGATGTAGGAAAATGATTGCTCATTTTTAAAAATATTAATTCTCATTTTGGCTTCTGACGTCCCAGGGGTGACCATATCTCACCTTTATAATTTCCAAAATATGGAGCATATGTATCTCAAATGTACTCAAAATGGTGTATGTACTCTTGCTTTGTCATAATATTATACTAAAAAGAAGTAGGAAAATGATTATACATTTAAATTTTTTTAATTTTAGCTTCTGACGTCCCTGAATAACTTTTAAAATTATGTAACATATACAACTCAAATATACCAAAAATGGGGCATATAGTCTTGCTTTGTCATAATGCTATTCATGAGATGTAAAAAAATTATTACACCTTTTTTAATTGAAATTGTCATTTTAGCTTCTGAATCTGACATCCCAGGGGCAATTATATCTCACTTTGATATAACTCTCACGATATGCAACATATGCATCTCAAATGCGTGCCCAAAATGGTATAAATATAGTCTTGTTTTGTCATATTTATTGGATTCATGAAATCAGAAGTTCAGAATTTATGGATTTGACTGTCTCCCCTGGAGGGTGCAGCTACATATAGCCCAGAGACAATAAGATCTACTTTCAAATATTTGCATCTTCTCCCCAAACACTCCTTATATTACAGGAACAATGGACGATAAGTCTTTTGCATGCAACATCTTTTGTATACTGGTAGCCTATCAGTAGTGTGAGAAGCCTAGCCTCATTTACAAAAATTGGCCCCTTAACCCCAAATCTGACCCGAAATTTTGAAAACATCCTGGAAAATTAGGCCTAAAAGGCGCATTTATGCCCAAACATACACCAAACTGTCCCACTGATAAATTACAAGGGCGATAAGTAACTTCTAATCCTGATTGACATTCTCTAGTTTGCATGGTTTGTCATGATGTGCTATATTGTTATTGCCCAATCTCAACAATTGTATTCACTGTATGGCCTAACGTGCCAAGAATAATGCAATTGTTCCAAAAGCTAATCTCTTCTTTAGGACCCTAGAAGTGTGGGACATCACAATCATAGATTAATATTTCATTACAATCAATGTATGTTGTATGACAAACATGCAAACTAGAGAATGTGAATGTGGCTAGAAAGATTTATCATTACAAAGAGCTCCTTTTCCCATATTTTACATACTCAAAATCCCTTAATTCAGTGTAAAATCCAAGGTGCATATATTGCAGGCCACAGGATAACATATTAACACCTTACATTAGCAGTTGCCATTACTTCATAAATGGAGTAAAGTACTCCCACTATTGACAGGCTAAAAGGATTCCTGTATGGATTACAAAAGATGTTGGGTCCAATGTATGCAAGGGAATAATCTCATCCATTGTACTTGTAAAGGGTGTTTGGGGAGCAGATGCAAATATTTGAAAGCAGATATTATTTGCCCTGAATTATATGTAGCTGTAGAGGAGACAGTCAAAATCCATTGATTCTGAACTGTTGATTTCATGATTCTCAATAAATATGACAAAACAAGACCATTTTGAGCACACATTTGAGATGCATATGTTGCATATTGTGAGAGTTATCAAGGTGAGATAGCCCCTGGGACACCAGAGGCTAAAATTAAAATTAAAAAAAAATGCAATCATTTTCTACATTTAAGAAGCTAAAATTAAAATTTTTGAAATGTATAATAATTTTTCTACTTCTTATTAGTAATATTATGACAAAGCAAGAGTGCATACACCTTTTTGAGTACATTTGAGATACATATGCTCCATATTTTGGAAGTTATTAAGGTGAGATATGGTCGACCCTGGGATGTCAGAAGCCAAAATGAGAATCAATATTATTTTTTTAATCATTTTTTTACTTCTTATTAGTAATATTATGACAAAGCAAGAGTACATTCACCATTTTGAGCACATGTGAGATATATGCTCCATATTTTGGAAGTTATTATATTAAGGTGAGATATGGTCACCCCTGGGACGTCAGAAGCCAGAATGAGAATCAATATTTTTTAAAATGTACAATCATTTTTCTACTTCTTATTAGTAACATTATGACAAAGCAAGAGTACATACACCATTTTGAGTACATTTGAGATGCATATGCTCCATATTTTGGAAGTTATTAAGGTGAGATATGGTCGACCCTGGGATGTCAGAAGCCAAAATGAGAATCAATATTATTTTTTTAATCATTTTTTTACTTCTTATTAGTAATATTATGACAAAGCAAGAGTACATACACCATTTTGAGTACATTTGAGATACATATGCTCCCTATTTTTGAAGTTAATAATGTGAGATATGGTCACCCCTATCCTGCATGATGCCACAATTTTAAATTTCAATAACTTTTTTCTCCGCCAGTACAAAAGCTATTGATCCAATTTTGAGTATGTGATATGAACATATATAGGTCCTTCAGAATGATTTTTTTCAGTACATTTCGTACCTTAACGAATCTAAAATAAGTTATTACACGTGGTAGAAGTACGAAAATAGGTGGCGCCCCTGTAGTGAATTTCAACATATGCCCTTATTTTCACCCTAATCCACACAAGAAAATTCATACTGATTGTAAATAATGTTCTTGATAAGATTTTATTAGTATTTCAATGTCATTTTACTATTAAAATGTGTTAAAAATTATTTTATACCCCTACCCCCTGTTTGAAAATGAATAGATGGCGCCTCTTTAACTGCCCATAGCGAATTTACTTACCACACATTTTTACTCAAGTTAGGATAATTTACTCTAGAGAGTGTCTGGAACAAAATGATACGCTCAAACCTTTTATACTAGCCGATCACCGAAATCGGAGCTGGGGACAGCATCATAGTACCTAAATTGTATTCTAGGATCAATATTATATGATCTGATTCAAATAGATTTTCAAATTCATAAACATTTCAGACAGAAGTGTGAATAAGATTTAACATACATTGTATTCATGTTCTACATACCCTCATAATAACGTTGACCTTTAATGGTAGTATACACACCATTCGAGTTGTAATTCTCAATTTTATGAGAGAAATATCTCTCATATGTTCTCTTTTCGTTTCCACCATCTTGAAATTAAATGTAGGGTACATAAGCTAAATTATCATCGATTTAATTAACGCTTAACTTTAATTCCAATTGCCAGCAGAATTGTTGATAATTAGGTGTAGATTTGTTGGTAATAAGTTGGTAATTAGTTTTATTTTTCAATTGGGCACTTTTTCTTTAATAAGTTTTTTTAATTTTCAGTTTATCAAAATCTGATTACATTATTAACTAACTAGAGTAAAATTCTGTCAAAGCCTACAAGAAAATTATTGAAGGAGCTTCTCATCAAATTTTGGCTCCATTGTCTGATTGTTACCCATAGTGTATTAGCAGCCCCAGTCGTTTACCCCCATAGATGTGGGGTTATTTTGAGGTTTTTTGATATTTAGGACATTTGTTTCTCAAAATAACAAGAAACAAATGTCCTAAATATAAAAAAAACTCAAAATAACCCCCTAAATATAAAAAACTCAAAATAACCCCACATTTATGGGGGTACAGTCGTTTAACTCGTGCATCTATACATGTAGGGTCAAACTGCCACAGTTTAATGTATTTCCCAATCACCCGACTCAACCCATCCATGGCACGCATGTGAATTGTTCTTCAGCTTTTCAATGGCCTCAAGAGAAGGCTATTTGGACCTCTTGAAAAGACGGTGGACCTGTTCTTATCACACCCCGCAGATTGGGACGCCACCTTTTTCACATCCTTTTGAACGAAACCCGAACATTTCAATCATGTCAATAGACATGATAGAGTTGAGTTCATGACCCTTGGAGGGAGTTTGACTTCTTGTATTTGATGATTGGTCAGTTGTATTACATCAGGATTGTAATGGTGGCAGCATGGCCAAGGTCTTTGCCAATCTTTAACTATTAACTTTCAACTGAACATTCAAATTCACGAGATATGACGCCATTTTGAAAAAAATTATGTATCTGCGTCAGTCATACTAGTATGAACACCTGTAATATCAATAATTAAGAGATGTTCCTCTATTTTTTTTATCCGTAGATTATAGCTATCAAATCTTGTTAATTAGTCAAAACGATTTTACTGATGAAAACAACCAAATAACTACCCCTTTAAAATTGATTCCACTTCTTTAAAACATGTAAATATTACTTCATCTAAAGAGACAATTCTTTGATCTAGGCTGACCAAATCAAACATCATATGAGAAATTATGGCATTCTACAAGTTCATTCTATTTCTAGTTGGAGGCAGAAAGAATAATGTGATGAGTACTATAGACCGATCCACATGGATTTGAATGATGCGCGGCACTTAAATAGGATTTTAAGTTTGACAAAGGATGAAGTTACAAGGAAGCTATGAAGGGAATCGCAGCCAACTGCAGACATTCATATTTCTTGATCTGTAGACTGTAATATAGGAATTGTAGATAAGAAAATCGTTGAGATTAGGAAGGGACGCCGTCAAAATATGCTTCTTCTGAATGAATTGACCTTATTTTCACAATCTGGACAACCTGTTTTAACGTTTTAAGATAAGTGTTTTTGAGACATGGCTCTGAATGATGAAATTGGTCCAATTAAAAAATCAAATGATATCCCTTGAATGACTATGATCCACAAAAACATATTTCTTAATAAATTTTATTTTATAAATATTCACATATTTACTGCAAAATATAAAAGATAAACAGAAACAGCACGATATAACAAAGCTATGATATACATTACATTACATACATAAGTTCGGACTTCTCCTCAATATATATATATATATATATAATATATATTATTAATTAACACCAATCTAAGCACTAATTGATTATTGACCATGAAATGTGTATGGTGTGTATTGAAATATATTGTCATGGTATAAAGATTTTCTAAAACAAACCTACATAAAATGAAGGAAGAATATACTAGATATAGTATGTGTCGAGCTTCTCTAATATACAGTAGCTTGTATTAATATACCATATTTGCTCTCGTGTTCACTCTAACATTATTACATTACTTGATTATATATTTTCCATATTTTCATACGTATTAATTAATAAATAATATACCCTGTAGTACAAACATAATCCTGTCTTTCTAATGTTTCAATTGTAACCAACACACATGTCCCAAAGGGGGACTGATTCGATGCATTCACGTTTTGTATCAAGACTTGTTTCAAATACTGTAGTTCATTTACATTTTGAGAAAGTTTAATAGGTGAATCGACATACTTTTTCTGTTATAATATTCAGACATTGCTGTGATGATATAGATCAACATAAGCAAACTTCAGTACCATAATCAAAACATAAATTAATATAGTTAACGTGAAACAACGTAACGTGACATAATATATGCCGTGATTGCCGTCATAGGTCAGCTTTCCGTGAACTCCCATGATCAGCCCATTAAAGAACAAGAATCAACCGTTTCTTAGCTCTTAGTTTAGCTCTTCGAAAATGTCGGACTTCAAACATGGATATTTGAGAGAATCTTCAGTATGATAAAATACTGCAGTAGCAATCGATATTCCAATATGCCTAGTTGCATTTAGATATCTCATATTGGAAAAGAGTAATTGTTTTATCATAAATTAGCAAGGTTGCTCTCATCCTTGTTGCATTTAACTATTATGTCCTTTGAATATTGCGTTGGCTTCATTAACATTGGAGTTATCAAGAAACATACATGCTAAACACTATATAACACGACTAACAATAGCTTTAGATGATTTGTAGTGATGAGTTTTGTTAACACAGCAGCAAATGAAAATACTTCATAGCAATAGAGACGAGTTGAGTTAATCAATAGTATTCATCGATTGGGCAATGTTAATACAGACGAATTCATTTCTATATGGTTCAGCAATTCCTTAACCATATCCATGTTATACATGTATTGGTATTTTGTTCATATACACAATGAGCTGTGTTCTGTTCCTAAGTAGTCCACCTAATTGAATCTGTCATATTTCATATGACTTCATATTAAAATTACATCAGGTGTAAAAGACTACACATTAGAACCTATTCTCTCTTAATAAATTATCGTCTAATCAGAGTCCCTTTAAGTGAATGTTTCTCCAATTTCCTAAATATCTCACGATATCGTTTGGGTGCTGTAGGATTTTAGATCTGTGAAGATCTCTGTAAAATAGCTAGGATCACTGTTGATTCGAAGCATATTGGAGCTTAATTGATTAATGATCCTCAGACAACGATCCCAGAATCGATCCTTGTTCTCTTCAACTAGGAATGGTTTTAGAGGATAGCTGATTTCATTACCCATATACGAGTAGGATAGGTAGAGACACGTTAGTACATTTGTCTGAAGGTCATGCTCTGTGATCATTTGATCATCTACCAACTCTTTGATCAACATGTAGACGAATACTACATTAGCGGGATTGATGAATGCAATGTCCTGCCAGCCTTGAAGTAACAAGGACCGGTCCACAGCCCTCAACCACATAACTGCATCGCCAGCCTCAAACTGCTTTAGTCGAAAGCAACGCTGGCATAAGAACGCACCGAGACATTTCAAGAGCTCTGAAGTAGATGCTTGTATGACAGTTTTCCTTGGACTAGGGGTACGGTCCGGTATATGCTGGGAAAATCTATCTACTTTCTTAAGAACGATTGTGTTGTTGTTTCTAAGATAGTCATCTGACGTACTGCTCTTCAGATTATAGCATGATACCGACTTGTGTGCGTTTTTGTTATTGTTATTTTCTATATCATTCAAATTGTTGTCTAATTTTGACAATGGCCTATTGGTAAGTTTCACAAAATTCTTATTGTCTTTTTTCTTATTGGTGACATTGAACTTTTTCCAGCTGAGTCCACTTATGAATATTGAATGCTTCCTAAAGCTTTTCTCTTTTGGGATGTTGGTCGTTGCAATGTTTGTTGTACTTGCCGGCTTGGTGGAATTATTTAAAATTTCGTAATTAAAATTATTCAGGTTTATATCCTCATAGAGTGGTTTCCTTGGGCGTGGCGAGAACGATAGCACGGTGCCCATTTTTAGTCTTGAGAGTCAGTCTTGAGTGTGTTTTTCCTATCAGGACGTATTCGGAGCAGAAATCATTTAGAAGAGCGGTACATGTATTCCTCCTATATGTTTAAGAGTATGTACGACGGGGACAAGATTCCCTATATCCTTAAAATCCAAAGATCATCTTATCTTAAGTCCTAGCAATATGGAGGTCTCTAATATATAATCAAAGATGGTGACGATGTTCCCATACATTTGTTATGTCTCCATGTCTGCTTGGAGAAGAATAACGTTTTAATGTTATGCAGCAGAAAAGATGCTCAGGTGGAATGTAATGTTTTTCGTTTATCTCCACACTCCAACCTACGTCTATTTTATTCTAAATTGACAATTACATGTATACGTATATACATATTTTAGAAGACCATCGCATCGGGACATCATTTTCCTTATTATTTGCTATTATCCACATATAATTATAGGCCTTACCACCAATGAGAAACGGGTTGACGTCAGCCTAGCAATGAGAGCTGATATAATATGTAATTCTGCTCTATCGATCCTGCCAAATACAATTATGGCTCAGCTTCATTGCTCTACGCCTTTACCAGACTCAATTTATAGTTGTGCTAAGTGTTATATAGATTTTTCTATTCCAAAGTATTCCCCAAGCACATTCAGCTTCAGCAGGTATTGACGTTTTGGTGACTCACTTTCACTCTCATTCACAATGCCTGCCATGGACAACTCAATTTATATAACGACATTCCGAGTATATAAATTAATTACCATATGATAATATATCAGGTTTCTTGTCTCCAGCAACAATATTAGTTAAATCTCAAAAAATTGATCTCATTCTTATGCTATAGAATGATTCATGAAATTGCTGGAGTAAACACATTTACAGGGTGTTTCATAATGACCCCTCCAGTCCCTCCTCCACGGTAAAGCATAGACAGCATGACTACATATACACACAAGCTGTCAACTTCACCATAATCCCTTGCCCCTCTATTTTCTTTACATCTAGCCCCATCTGCAAATTATTTTCTTCATTATTTTTTATTTTCTTCATCCTAGGTTTAATCAACTATGTACAAATGTTGTCATCTTGAGCTCTTTGATTTTTCTGATGCCTGATTCTTGACGAAAATCGTTCATATGTGAGAGGGCCTTTAGTTTGGGAACAGTGATACTTGCATTGTGTGTGCTACTTATAAATCAGTCATGATTATAAATAAAGGACCGTTTAACCAAACAGCGAGGCCTGTCTTTGAATATTAGGCCACAAAAGTCTATATTTTAGACACAACGAAAAGAACCAAAGAAGTGTCAGGTAGTGTTTGCATACCCTATCTAAGGCGCCTCTGGTTTTGCACTCCCAACTGTATTTCAGCAGTTTAGGTTTGCTTATTTGATAAGCTGGTGGTGATCATAAGGAAATAACAACTTGTGCATACGATAAATTATTGAAAATTGATCAATTTTGTAAAATTGCATTTTAATAACTTTAACACGAAGCATAGACCTCAAAGGGAGAAATAATTGAGAACGTATGTATACGTAAGGGATACAGTTTACCGGGCTATTTTGGATACGGGGTTTATTCCGAGGGAAACAGAGTTAAACGCATTTCCGAGGGATAAATCTGTATACATCCAAAACTGACCGTACATATCAGATGTATCAAATACCTGCTGAAGTTTTTCGAAAATTATACCTTCTAAGGGTTCAAAAGGTTTTAAATGGATAAACTACTATTTAAAAAATTTAAATACATAGTATTTCCTCCAAAAATACGAGATTAGTCAGTGAAAAGTGTAATAGCGGGGATAAATACTGAAAAATCCACCCCGCTCCCTGGATATACTGTAGTACATACAGAATATCAGATCATTTTGAGTGATATCATTTTTATCGCCGAGTTGATATCAAATATCAACACGAGTGAGCGAAGCGAATGAGTGTTGATATTTGATATCTACGAGATAAACGATGTCACACGCATATGAGTTTGATAAACGATTTTCTGGAAAATATCACACGGATTTCAATAATATCAGAAATATCAATAGCTGTTATTGTACAGATAACACATTAATCGTGGGATAAATGTAGATATTCCCTGGCGTTATAATTATTTATTCCATACTTAATAGTGGCTGATAATGCCTTCAGCAAAGCCACTACAAGTGTATAATGTTTATGTACTTTATGCCACTATAAACCACTAAGTATAGAATAAATCAGTTATTGAATGCTCGATTTTTGATACAGGGTATATCCCTCGGTAAATACAATATATCAACACTCGCTCCCTACGGTCCCTCGGATTGATATATTTCCCTCAGATATACCCTGTATCAAAAACCTTCCATTAAATAACCTCTATGTATCTGAAACCAGTAGGTATGGAATATTCTGCAGCTGGTGTCATCACATCTTTCTGCCTTTTATTGCTGGCGTTTTCTTTGAAATAAGCTCATTGGATGGAAAGCGTTACAATATGTAATAATTTAATATTGCCAATGTCATTCAAATTTCAAATTTCCCGTTCTAAACACGAAACTCTGAAGCTAAACGGCTATCTGAAGTTGACTTAAGCGCTTGAAGCGCGTACAAAACTATGCGCGCTCTACACATTCCATTATTATTGATTCATATACTTTCCGTTCAAGTTCACGTTGTGAAAAACAGTGCAAGCTTAAACTCTCTATTGCCACAAGCACGGGCGGTGTGTTTTTTCAAAACTTCCATAGGGGGTATATGATCGGCGAAGGTAAATTGTTTTTCTGTTCGTGCCCTCGACTTCTCCGTTAAAACCCGGTTGAAATTTCATGCAACTAATATAAATTCTTATCTATGTAGAGTTCAATCCTCATACGTGATTTTCAAGTCTTCAATTAATGTCAAATCTAATGAGTTACCACCAATCCTCCTTCAGATATTTATTCAATATCACAAATATTGAGATACATGTAAGAGATACATGTACATTTGCAACTCTAGATATCAACAGCAAACACTTGACCTTGATTCTATTATTTAATGTATTTCTATAAACTAACATTTATTACTAATGATGTAACAACACCTGTATAATGTATATGTTTCATTGTATACACAGTTGGCAAATTTAATCAAAATTACCTACTGTAGTTTTTTGCAAGATGAGCCCTGTGATAATTCTCTCCCTAAATAGCTAATACCCTAACGCGATGTACAATTAGTAACAATACGCAAGTTCCCTCTAAAAGGATAGTAAACGATACCAGCTGCATAGTCCCTTGCAATAGCACTAGAATAACTTTTTAAAAGAGCTCACAACAAAAAAAACATGGCTTTTCATTGTCTAGGTTTAAAATTCATTTGACTACCCTGCGCGCAGAGTCTAGTGAAGTCGAACGAATTCAAAGGGTATCATTTGACATACTTTTTGGAAATTTCTTTCAAATGGTATATTAAGTTTGTAAATCCTTCCATTATTTCAATTCCAAGAGGAATTAGTGATAAGAGAAATACATGAATTGAAAAAAATGACATCAACAGTTTATTCTTGTTGCAGCGATTCATCCACCGCAAGTCAAATCAAGATCGATAATATTTATATTTGGATCGGCGTTTTAACGCCAAAGGCTGCCATCTTTTTATTTAAAGTTGAGTTGTCATTGTTTGAGGTGATCAGGATGTACGAGCAGTGGAAATACTGACAATTCCGACACAGTTAGACTACAGTAATGCCATCTTTGACAATGATATGTCACTATAGCAAGCAAACAATATTGATTATTAGCATAATATTCCCAATGACATCACAGGGTTATATTAAGTCGGCCATATTGTATGAATAAGTGAGACGACATCATGAAAACAATACTGAAATTAACTATTTAGCATGTTATCTTGTTCACAAGAGGATGGACAAAGACATTAACAAAACTGTTATTAGTATCAAGATGCGTGAATGATAAATCGTGAACTGGCACAGCCGTATAACCACAATGGGAGGGTTGGAGTTATACGATGCCATCTACACAAATGATTTGGTTAAATTAAGGATATTGGCAGAAACGCAAAATTTAGATCTCAATGCCAAATTTACCGAAGCTCGGAAGAAAAATCATTTAGACCTGAGTCCCATTCACTTAGTAGCATCCCGGGGATTCTCTGGTATGCTGCAATATATGATTCATGAGGCGAGATGTAATATTGATCTCGCTACAGAGTGTCTGAGAAGAACTGCTTTACATTTTGCAGTACTACGCCACAAGGTGGCGTGTTTTCATAGACTTTTAGGTGAAGGTGCAGCATTGAACTCGAGAGACACTTTCGGGAACACACCCTGTTCTTACGCTGCAGATGATGGTAATTGTGACATTCTAGATGTACTCATCCAAAAAGGTGCCCAGGTTGACGTGCAGGACATCACGTTAAAGACCCCCCTCATGAAGGCCGCTAGAAACGGTAAACTGAACGCTGTGAAACGTTTGATTGCCGCTGGTTGTGCACTGAATATAAGAGATAAGAATAGTGACGTTGCGCTACACTTTGCCTCGAAAAATGGCAACGGAGAAATAGTACGTGTTCTAATCGCAGCAGGCAGCGGTTTGAACATCCAAAACCAGTATGGACGAACCCCATTAATGGAGGCCGTGTACTACTATCAGAAAGATGCAGTGGCAGCGCTGATTGAGGCTGGCTGCGACATCAACAGGCAAGAAACGAAGACTGGTGACACTGCCATGCATATCGCTATCAAAAAGAACTACACTGAGGTTGTTGATCAACTCTTGCAGTGTAAGGATGTCCGTCTCATACCCAACAGCACTGGGGAAACTGCCCTTTATGATGCCATTGTCTATAATAAGTTCGACTGTCTCAAATTGTTAATAAAGTATAACTATGACCTTGAAGTTCCCGCTAAGATGTTGATGCATGGTGCGCTAAAACGTAACATTGAACTCGCTATAGAGAGAAGCCTTTACAGCACGACGAGGTTGCTGGCGTACATCTACTGCGAGACCCTCGTGGAACACACAAATAACATGGACGGCAAGCGTATCCTCGCAGATACCAGTATCCAAGACTTGAAGAGCGTCCCGGTCTATATGAACTATGTGTATTCACTTAAACAATTTTGTCGTAGATCCATCAGACACCGTCTTGGAAGGGACATATTTGAGAAAACCAAGGCTCTACCCATTCCCCACACACTGAAAGACTACATTGTTATGTCCGAATTATTTTAGAAGACCTTACGTGAATTTTCACTGAGAAGGTTCATTTCAATTTATTGCAGGACCATTCACCTGTGACCAACGTTTCTTTCTAACTCTGACTTTGAGAATACAAATATGAGAACTCTAAATGTGACCTTGATACTGCCAACGACCTCAAACAGAAAATGGAAGAAAATAAGATTGCTTAAAATGACATTTGACATTATGTGACCTCACCCAAACCAGGTGACAAATGATTTATATTACACCCAAACTTCTAGTACATAATGGTGGTGGCCACGAGAACTGGTGATCTCTAATGTATAAGCTGAGAGAAAGTAAAAACATATATATATATTATTCAATATGAAGTTATTGGTGATAAGATATGATACTATTTTTTATTTTAAGCTTTAGTTTGGAACCTATTTTTGAAGTTATTAAATACGTTACTGGTAACGAAGGAGATATATGAATAAACATAAAAAATTATCTAAGACTGGTTTTAAGTCAATTTTTCATTCTTAACGATTCAAGCAAAACACGTCCAAATAATGCATTTTGTATTCCACTGTTAAAGTACAGACGCCAGGGGTCAGTTGCAAATTTTTTATTGATTTGTCATATAAAAATAACAAATCATGTTTAGATGATCAATAAAGATTAACACAAATCCTGAAAAACTGATCACAGACCCCTAGTTCATATTTTATGTCAATGATTGAAGTCATGGTTAAATGGTAAGCCCTGCGATCGGAAAATGAACGGAGGGATAGCCTATTTCTCCTAGAAGATTCAACAACTTTGGACGATTTATTTTTTCAAGAGAATTAGAGAACGTTTACAAATGAATTGCTAAATGAATGGGCGCGCGGTATGGTAAAGTATGTCAGGTCGATCTTCTAGGATTTTTTAACCCGGATACGTACTTTTGTAAGATATATCTATTAAAAAAGGCATATGGCACACCATCACCGATATGCAAATGTCATGTCAATATGTTTTTGTTATAAATCAAGCAACAATGGTTTACACGACCTGTACAAGACGTTATTATCACAAAACCAATGTCATTGTTGACTTTTAAAAAAAGTTTCCATACGTTATATTAAAAATGATCGAAAATAATTAAAATTGAACGATGGAGGGAGTAATTTGTGTATGTCATATGTAATACTGTACGTAAGTGTACAGTACACCCCATATAATTATTATATTTTTGTTCAATTATACATTTTATGCTACTTGCAATTGCGACTCATCGTTTTAATCAGAGACATAATTTTGCAAGAGTTAAATGATAAAATAAAAATTGTAAAAATGTTGGTGTGAAGGTCCTAATCTATTGGGGTTTGGACAAGGACATTGGAAGCCAGTGCCCCAACTGATCAGTGCTATTCATGCCTGTATACTAGTATTTCTACGGCTGCAAGTAAAATGGCCGATATTCTTGATTTTGAATTTTGTATTTCCACCCCATGCAGACAAATTAATTTTTTGCTGCTTAAAAATGGTCAAGGACAGTTACATTGAGTTCTATAAGTATGAGAATTGCAGTGACGTCTTGATATTTCAAGGTAACTCATTCGAAAAGTGACGGCAGTGATCCGCGATAAACCGTAATGAAAACCAAGAAATATACATCACATATCCAATTTTTTCAAAACAGAAAAACATGTATAAAAAGTAAGGTTTGCTAAAAAGCCAATCTTTGGCAATCCTCTTTGGGTTTGGGAGTTTCAGGCTGATATGCTTGATAGCCTGCAGGTTTTATCATTGTGAATCATGATTATGACAATGTTGATTTTATGCTCAGGGGTGTATGTATTAAGTCCCCCCCCCCTTTGTTGGGCACAGAAAAAATCATCTAGTGTCTGGCCCCAACATTGCCTCAAAAATGGGTCTTAGGTTTTAGGCCTTTTTGTGCCAATTTACTGGCAATTTTGGACGGTTTAAGGGCCGGTAATTGTTTTCCAGCCTCAAAATCTGCCCCCCCCCCCCTTGTTATTTTCTGGATCCGCCACTGCAAAGACTCACTTCTAGCGATTTTTTCTAGGAAACCCCACATGATATGGTCTTTGTTTTAAAAGACTGAAGTAGTCAGAAACCTCCAAAAGTTTCCGAAACCGTTGCCCCTCCGCACTCCCCCCCCGCCGTAGTTACGGGCACCGGAAAAATAGTTCTTCATCAGTTGTCCTAAAAGAAAGTCTACCTCGCCGCTTTATATGTACCATGGAAAACAGTTTATTCCAACTACAAGTAACTTACAGGTGTAAAAGGGCCAGGTCGTGTGGTCACAGGTGACCAAATCTTGATTAGGCTATCAAGATTTGGTCACCTAAGCTTACTCTCTATTGATTTATATGGTGACCTTTCTTCATCCTAGATGGTGACCAATTGTTTTCCTTATTATTTATACACAGTCAGGGCCAGTAAGGGCCGTAAGGAAAGGGGACAATATAATCCCCAGGGGACCATAATTTATTTTACACGGGCACGTGCTCTGAGATCACTTTTCCCGGTGATCTACACTGATCACCGTACTGATTTCGTACAGTACAATATTAAGTCCGGGATTGTGATCACGCCGGAAGTGAACTTTTTCGTGAATTTTGATTACTTTTACTAAATAAGTGCCATAGTTCATACTCTGATACTTCTGAATAGGGACGGATTGTTTGTAAGTTATATTTTTCATTTTCGTTAACTTAAACAATAGAGAACCCCAACTAGAACAATAACTAGGGCCTAATAGAAGTCGTGTAGACTAGACTGGGTCTCGTTTCTTACAGTGCTGGTATACATTAATTGATCAGTCGTTTAATTGGCATATTTTCTTCAATTTTAATATTTAATGTCCCAAACTCCAACAAACTGCAGAAAAGTATACCCAATAAATCATATTTACCAAAATGAGTGTCTCCAAGGCTTCACACCAGCGTATGCATAATGCATTTGTCACGAGTTTGAGCTGAAATTTCGCCAAAATGAAGTAGGCTAAGGGTAGTCTCTGCCAGGTTTGTTTATTGTGGTAAGCTTATAAGTGCTCAGAAGCAAATAATTCACGTGCGCAAAATAATCAAAATAATCTAATTGGTCTCAACTTTGCTGCACATGCGCACAATGTGTGCCATGTTTTTTTCTAGTGATTTCGTTTCGTTTCATGGAGTTTGCGTTTCAGTGTAACTTCCCCAAAAATGGCGGACCATGGACAGAATTAACAGGTAAAATCACTTCGAAATTTCAAGAGAACTTTTTACCTATAATAGCAAAACTTTTGTTTTATTTGTGCATTCTATCTATCAGATAAGAGTTTCAGGCGTATGTAGGCAAATTCATTTTGGTACAGGGCTTGCATTAACGGCGTCCCGTACATGTTAAGGACTCAAAAATAATTTGGAGGACGCAAAAATTGAAAATATTTCCGTTTTTTGGACTCAAATTTTTTTTAGGTCAATACTACAATGTGTTTACAACGATACCTAACAAAAACAAATAATTATGATCTCTCACCTTTATTTGAAACGTAAATAAGGCTCAACATGTTGAATATTTACAAATAATCATGATTCTCTCGAATTTTTCGACTTTGTTTATTTATCCCATCGAACAAAGTTCGGAGGGATATAGGGAACGCCTCCGTCCGTCCGTCCGTCCGTCCGTCCGTACGTACGTACGTCCGTCAGTCCGGGCAATAACTCGAATACCGTTGGTCCGATTTTGTTCATATTTTGTACACATATACCCTATGGGGGCAGAAGTTCTGCTCGAAAGCTGATTTTCAAAATGGCCGCTCATTTCAAAATGGCGGCCATTTTAGTGACGATTTTACAGTAATTTAGGTGCAATATGTAAAACTGTAATAGCAATATGTTTTAAATGTAAAAAAATTATAAAGGACATTAATAATGCTACAAATATATATATTAAAGTAGCACATGGCAGCCATTTTGAAAAATGGCGGCCTTTACTCGTCATTTTACGATTTTGGCTGTAACTCAAAAAATAGTGGAGCGATTTTGTTCATATTTGGTATGTGAATACTATAAGCATTGCACACTGTCTAAAGACACTTATGGTAGAAGGCGGCCATTTTGAAAAATGGCCGCCATTTTAACGCATTTTACTATAACTCGAAAAGTAGTGGAGCGATTTTGTTCATATTTGGTATGTGAATACTACAAGCATGGCACATTGTCCTATGACACTTTTGGTAGAAGGCGGTCATTTTGAAAAAAAATTTGAAAAATGGCCGCCATTTTAATGTATTTTACTATAACTCGAAAAGTAGTGGAGCAATTTTGTTCATATTTGGTATGTGAATACTATAAGCATGGCACACTGTCTATTTCTAATGTCGCTTTTGGTAGAAGGTGGCCATTTTGAAAAATGGCCGCGATTTTAACGTATTTTACTATAACTCGAAAAGTAGTGGAGCGATTTTGTTCATATTTGATATGTGAATACTTTAAGCATGGCACATTGTCTAATAAAACTTTGGGGAGTAGTCGGCCATTTTGAAAAATGGCCACCATTTTTATGTGTGTTATTTTACAAGTATGTGTGTGATTTTTCAAAAATTTTAGCGGTGGCTTCTTAAAAGCATATTATTTCTTCTGATGACAACTTGGCTAGTGAGCAACCATTTTGAAAATGGTGGCCTTTCTGGTGTGTTGTTTTATGATATTTGCGCTTCGTTTGTAAAAATGCCAGCCATTTCTGTTCGATGGGATTCGCTACGCTTTGGCGTTGCAGTTGTTCTGGTTTTAGATTTGAAACCATGACACGCCACAGTTTTTCCTATTCAGAAACAAATATTAGGTTATTCATGAAATAAAATGTATTCATTGTCGAATGAACGAACATGCATTTATTCAGTCGTACTTAACGTTTACTTCCGTTTTAAATTCGTGGCAAGAAATCAAAAACTGAAAGGTGTTTTGGTAAAAAATGCTTTTAAAATAAAGTTATACTTCAAAACAGGCTAGAAATAGGGGACACACTTTTTTTTCAAAGGACACACTTTTTAAAAAAAATTGCATCCTTGGGACTCACAAATTTTCTAACCTAATGCAAGGGCTGTGGTAGGAACACTCTGTTTAGTTTGAAAACGCACCCTATATTATTATATATCAGCACTGTACATTTGGGGACAAAAATAAATGACAGGTCGATTTTCGATCACCATTTCCTAATTATGGTGGTCTGAAAGCCCAGAATTTCCAATATTGTCTAGATACATATGCCTTAAAATTTGTATATTTTACATTTTGTATAATCTTATCCACTGATTTATGGCCTCTTGTAAATTCTCTTATTTTTAACATGGGAAATCCTCACTTCAGCAAATCCACCTGTCATTTATTTATGTCCCCAACTGTATCTGACATGTCTTATGGCCCAGGCTAGGTCTAACCTCCATGATCATTTTGCCTTTGATGCGTTAATTTAATCGTTTCGCAGGCTTCGACAAGCGGAACTAATTAAGGACAGGGTGCATGTTGGGAAATTTTCTGCATTCCTCAATTGAGTCACATGTTATTTTTCAAACATGAATAACTCCTTCCCCACATTGTCTACATCTTCCAAGTTTGCACAAAGAGTGCACTTCTGTTCCTAGAAAAGCCTTGTGAGAAGGTTTGTTTTGTAAAATATAGAAAATGAGAAAATTCAGTGAAAAAAATTTCTGAAAATTTTCTGATTTTTTTCACTGAATTTTCTTCTTATCAAAACATTCTTCTCACAAGTCTTTTCTAGGCACATAAGTGCACTCTTTGTGCAAAACTGGAAGATATAGACAATGAAGGGAAGGAGTGATTCTTGTTTGAAAATAACATGTGACTCAATTGAGGAATGCAGAAAATTTCCCATCATGCACCCTGACCTTAACCCTGAAAACATGGTAATATTACATAAAGTGGTGGACAAAACTAAACCTCAACCATCAAAAGTTGCCACAATGAGCTAAATTCTAAGTTTCGTGTCTCAAACTCTCCCAAGTGGTAGAAAAATAATTTTTTGTTCATTTTAAGTAGCACAATAAATGAATCTAAAGCTTCATACCTGCAAATGAGGGATAAATCCCACAGGGGCTTGTCTGGAGGGTCGGGCAAGCCCTCCGATGAGTGTGTACTGGTTATTAAGAGTATGAGGGAGGTCATTTTTGATGCTTCCTGAAATTTGTAGAAAATGATTGTTAGATATATCCACATAAGGAATCCTTTCAATAATTGACATGCTGATTCAAACAACACTACAGAGCAAAGTTACCCAAAATGGTAGCAATCCATCCGCTAGTTGCTGAGAAATCTGAAGAATATGTAAAGAAGTGATTAAAATGCAAGAACCAACAATTTTTACCTCCAAATTATTAGCTCCAGAGTTGATTTCTTCCTCAAGACACGTCCACTGTTAAAAATTGGTAGTTCCTAGAGTTCTTTGTTTCCTTAGGTTCATTCCTGTATATTATTTTTAACGAAGGACAGCCTATAGCGACTGCTATACGCAAAAAGATGCATGATATTATCGTTTCGAAACTGAATGTTGAAAAATGGCTGTAAACGGCTGTAAACATTTACTCAAAGCTGGAATTATAGAGAAGGCTTTGGACCGAAGTAAACTGGAATGATTCTGATGCGGGTTTGTGGGTACTCCTACAGACTGCTACAAAGCAACCAGTTGAACTTATAAAATAAATCAAAAGATTATTATGCAATAATATATGGAAAAACGTATTCATACTGCACATGAATTACATTTGCATATAGATCTATCAGATTTACTGTTTCAGGTACAACTGGAAAATAACTATACCTGCACATGTTATTTGCTGGAACAAAATTAAGTATGAAGGCATGTTTAATTTCCTTGCTTTTTTCAGGAAAGTATCATTACATTGTCTTCTTTTAGTAAACCTGGAAACAGGTCAATAGTAACTCCTGTGTTGTCTGGAAACTTTTAAAGAAAATTTGGAAAAATAGAAAGTGTGAAATATCAGAATTTCCTGGAGTTCCCATTGAACTCTTACCAGAATTACTAAAAGATGACAATGTATGATACTTTCCTGAAAAAAGCAGGAAATTAACACATGTCTTCATACTTTATTTTGTACCAGAAAATAACATGTGCAGGTAAAGCAATTTTTTCCCAAAATGTTATTTTTCAGCTGTACCTTAAAGGAATTCTACGCGATAAAAATAACAAAATATTGCTTCTGGGACAAGATCAAACGACTTTTACATATTCTTTATCCTATACTTATTTTGTAATTTAACAATCAACACAAGTATACATAACATATTTTAGCAGATATCGATATATTTTTTGATTGATAAAGTTAAAGATTATAAAACCGGAAGTGCGTTCTGTGTCCGTGTGTGAATATTTCAATTATTCAGATTTTGCTGTGGATTCATTTTAAATGCTTCTAAATGATCTTCTAATGTTTACTATGATTTCTATTAGTAATGTTTTGACTTCCCTGCTTCATAAAAAAGAACCATTTACTTGACTTAAAATTCACTTCTGGTCTGTCGTAATAAAGATGAGCTGAAAGTTGTCGTGAACACCTTTCAATCCTCAGTCTAAATATCACTTTTTAAGGTTCAATAGGCAACTTTGACTTTCATGCATAGTTTGAAAATAGAATCCCCAGAGAAGGTTTTAAATCGTGAAGTCGACTCTAAAGCCTGAGAAATTTTTTTAACCATTTTGTCAGCTGTTACTGTTACAGTATGCCTTTAAAATATTTTTCAGTTTCTGTCCGACGGTCGAAAAATCTATTTTTAGAAAAAGTTCAAATGCCTCAATCGAATCATTTGGTAGAAACTTACTCATATTTACATGACTTTTTTTTAAGTCAAATCTGAGCCCATTCGGTAATCAGTAGGCAGATACTCAAAATTGGATCCAAATGCAGTAAAAAACACAGTCATTTTCTTGAGAAAAGTTTCTTCTCACCCTCTGTTCAAGTGACAGATTACAAGAATTTGCTAGAATTCCATGAATGAGCTATGGTTAAATTTTTGAAGTGGTGATAAAAATCCAAAATAATAATTAAACAGATTCAAATGTGATAATCCAGTTTACAATCTATTTTTAAACATATTTTGAGGTTGTCAATGTATTACATTTATGTGAATGTAATAAATTAACAATCTCAAGTATGATGGTCAAAATATAATGACTTGTCATGTCATATTATTTTTTAATCAACCAACATTATGAAATTTAGAGTATTAAGAAGAAGAAAATGTAATTGGACTCTTTCTCATAGTTTATTTATGATGTTTACGAGTGTAATTACTAGGACTGTTCGAATTTTTAACAATTCAAAAGGAGTAAACTATATTATTGTCAACTATGCTCAACTCTACTGTAGGCCTTTAATTTATTTACCTGTTTTTCCTTTCAAAAGTCCAATTGCATGTTCCTGTCTCAAGAGCTGCAGTAACATGATGTATCGCAAGTCTCTATGCGTTGTGCACCAGCTGTGTCGTGATCTGCTCAAGTCTGCCAACCTGCCTCTTTCTCAACAAACAAGGGTAAATATTACAGTGGCTGTGTGTCCACTTTATTTGAAGAACACCATTATTCTGGATTTCATCTCTATTAGAATACAGTAAAACCTGTCTAATACGAACGCCATTGGGACCGGCTTAAAGCGTTCAGATTGGAAAGGCCTATTATAATCAAGACCATTCAAGTTTTTTTCCCAAAGTTTTGATATCATAACAATATTTGAGCAATTTTGTATGAAACATGTGAAATATTATGAAAAGTGTTCAGATTAGACAGGTTAATTTTTCAAATATGACTGTTCACTGTTCAAATTGAGAGGTGTTCACATTTCAAATTTTATTTAACATGGGAGTCAATGGGAGGAAAAAATGGGGCCGAAAAAAAAGTGTTCAGATTGGAAGGTGTTCGGATTAGCCAGGTGTTCAGATATACAGGTTCTACTGTAGTTTTGTTTCATTCAATTCCAAATGTGAAAAATGGGTGATGGTGCAAAAATACGCTTTTCTTTAAAACTAAATAAAATTACCTAGAGTCAAACTTTCTGATATTTATGATTATTAAATTGTCTGTCAGAATAGGGTATGGTGTACAAGCTTTTTTCTAACGAGTTACTTGGTGAAACTCATGATAATCAAATTGTCTGTTCGATTACAAAATTTCAAGAATATTCCTCCATCTTCCACAGAGTTATTCTCTTTCCATCTCAGTACACTTTTTTGTCGACTGTATTTTCAGTTATACCTGTGGCACTTTCACAAGATGATATTCCACTACCCCATTGGCCATCTTGAAATATCACGAAAAATGAAATATTTATATTGCTGTACACCCAGCTCTTAGCACCAAATTTGAAATTTCTTTGTAATTTTTATTTTCTATTTACTGATTAATGAAAAGTTATAACTACAGTAGTTAAATATACTTTTGAACTTACTTTAGTTTTTCTTCATTTTATTAAATAGGATTCATAAATTTTGGTTTTCCAGAGCACATTTGTATTGAAACGCCAGAATGACATTGGGGCTGGCCATGATAATGAACCTAACAGAAGTCGGTACAAAGCTAAGCATTTCGTATATGATCTCATTGAAGACACAAATCAACAGCCAAGGCCTCCTATAGAAGTAATATTGACAGAAAATGTAGATGGTAGGTGGAGCAATTAAGGTCATGCTTAAAGTAATGTTTTTATATAGAAATGAAGTTGCTAATGAATATTTAGGTTTGATACAATGATTTAAAATATTGGATGGCATCATACATTAAAACCTGTGTTTATTGAACATTATTTTGCCTAGAAAAAATGTTCAGTGTTGGTAGGTGTTCACTAACAGAGAGGTAATAATAATAGAGTATATGTGGAGGGTAGGTGACCACTAGAGACAGATGTTCAGTAAGCTAGGTTTTACTGAGTCTGTATTTATTCCACTGTAGGTATAGGTCTAAAGGGGGATGTAGTGACAGTTAAGAGAAGTGTATTCAGAAACCAGTTATTTCCACTCGGTCAAGCCACATACGCCTCCCCAGAGAACCTTGCAGAAAATGAAAGAGAAAAGGTGAACATCATGTAAACATTTTACATCATGTAAACATTTTCTTAGTACATTGTACTTAGTGTCTGTAAAATCATGTAATAAATTATCAATTTTGTAACAAATAAATGATACGTAATATACATTTACACTCCCCTCCATAAGTTTGGTAACCTTTTTCCCCCATTGAACTACGTGTTAAAGCCTCTTTACCTTTGAATTTTTATTTACTTAACCTGCGATGAAAATACTTGTACTATTGATGGAAACGTAATTTGACTTTAATTCCAATACCTCCAAATTTTCTCAATTTTTTTCCTCAATTACAATAGGTTGAAAATTGATGATGAATTTGATGAATTTTTGAAAATCGACATTCCCATGTTAACCAATGGGAAATGGTAGGTTTGCCGCAAGTCATATGACAGAATATCCATCCATCTGAGTCCTTGCAAAAAATATGAGTTAGGCAGGTAATTGAATTTGCGAACTTTATTTAACAAAAAATTGATATGTTTCTTCAGGTTCAACAAAGTTATAGGGCTTTAAAGTCAAAATTGTTTTTCAAAAAACCTCTCCCATTGAAATAACACAGGAGGCGAAAAATAATTTTCAAAAATGACTTTGAAGCGCTGTTACTTTAATATTCATCAAATAAATTAAACACTTAGTGTTCAAAAAAGTTAGACAATTCAATTTTCTATATGAAAATATTTTTTGCTGAATCTTTTACTGAAAAGATATCCTGATTTCTTATTTGCCCTGAACCCTCCATTTCCTATTGGATTACATGAGAATGACGATTTTCAAAAATTAATCAAATGTATCATCAATTTTCGACCTATTGTAATTGAGGAAAAAAATTGAGAAAATTTGGAGGTATTGGAAATAAAGTCAAGTTATGTTTCCATCAATATCATAAGTTATTTCATCGCCGGTTAAGTAAATAAAAATTCAAACGTAAAGAGGCTTTAACACGTAGTTCAATGGAGAAAAAAGGTTGCCAAACTTATGGAGGGGAGTGTATATTTGATTGTACTAAATACACACGGCTGCTGAATTTGTGGGGTATGGTACCACGAGAGGAAAGAAAAATTGAAATGAACAATAGTACTATTATATCATATCAAATTCATGACCACTTTTATGTGTTAATTTTATATTTTTCTGTTGAATAATTAACTTCATTCTATATCAATATGCAATGAACCATGTATTGTTAAGAAGAACTGCAGCAGCCTAACTGGATCATATCTTCGTTTCAGAGTAGCAGTGGTTATAAAGAACAAACTGAGAGCATTTATACTGCCATGGTGGGTACATCTGACAACTCCTATTATCAGTAAACATTTAACATTCTGATTATCCCATAGAACAAAGCTTAACCATTCCATTCATCCGATCCGTCTGGAGACAAGAAAATTGATAGAAATCAGTTCAAATTTTATATTTTATTTAGTTTTCAATTTTTTGATTTAAATAGATATGTCTTGTTAGTTGGGAATTGCTACATTAGTTGCTCTTTTTCTAGTTATCCCTGTTTCATGATAATGTCTATGTGTACTATTTTTATCTTACACCTGGTCCAATAAAAGTTATATTAATATTGCAACTCTTTTACAGACTTTAAGGCAGCTAGGGGGAATGTTTCTAGCTGTTCCAATGAATATTGATCATGAATGGGCACTAAACAAAAAACACATAAAAGTCGCTTTCAGAAAAATAGTAAGTTTAATATTATTTTATCCAATATTAATTTCTTGAACAGAGCGCCAGTGTTAGAACTTTTTCAAATGTGTGAATTAAATTATTATTGTGTAGTTACTAATGTGCCCAAAATACAGGATGTGTAAATCATCAGTACGGTGTAAATTTCTTTTCATTTTCTGCATGCAGTCTGCATTAAGGGCATATACCTCGTTAGTTAAAGTAAACACCCAGAAAAAATATCCAACTTTCATCAAATCAATGTATTTCCTGAATCTGTTACTGCTAAACTAAATAACACTAAGCGTGTTATTTCATTGCCTGTTGTATTCCAGGGTGCTGTTGTACCAGAGGAGGCAATCACTTTGCCTGAGGAACCAATCACTAGCATTACAGATGCCTTCTATGTAACAGTAACGGTATGTTTCTTCACTTTCACGTTTCCACATTCATTTGCAAATATTGCTTCAATTAAATCATGGAGACATTGATGATGAGTCAACGTATCAATATAATGAAGATAATTACCCGTAAAGTAACAGAATAAACTATGGTATATTTGGACATGGGCTTTCAATTAGAGTTGAAAGCCCATGGTTTGGAGAAGCCAGATTATCAGCATACATTAATAAAAAGCTCATGTTCTATTGTAAGCTTATCATTATTATTGCATGTAACTATTACTCTATTATTTGCAGGTGAATGGCTGTCAGAAAGTTGAAGTGAAGACCATGCTCTACCCAGTAAGTAAGGTACCTGGTAGGTGCCCCCCTCCTGAGCTCCCCAAGGCATTCACTATAACTACACCAAAGAAGCTTGCTAAGTTGAGACAAGATGGCATGGACCAAGTTCAAATTGATAGATAGCCATGTGTGAAATGACACTGACTTAATAATGTGTGGCTATTGAATATTGCAATATGGATTGAGTGGATTTTAATGGAATTATCAAGCTAAACATCAAGGAATAAAGATTCAAGCTTATTCTGTATTGAAGGTAGGAGTTAGTTAAAGATTTCAGTTTAGAGATGGAGAAAGAGAAACAAATGTTTATACTATACTACACTGCTTGCACTATTTTGGCTACCTTGTTTATATCCAAAAAGGAAAAAATATATGGGATATTCCGCAAAGACCCAACCACAAAGAATCAAATTTTGCTCATTCAGATTAAGTCACAAATCTTCCATCTGTCTGTCAATTCGTTCGGCTGTCCAGGCAATAATTAAAATACCAGTGGGCGAATTGGGTTCAAATGTTATAGGCTGATGCCTTATGGGAATAGAGCTTCTGCTAGAGTAGAACTAAATTCAAAATGGTCAAATTTTTTATAAAAAATTTAATCTGATAACTAAAATACCAATGCACAGATTTGGTTCAAATTCTATATACTGATGCCCTAGGGACAAAGGATCCTCATAAAAAAAATTCAAGGTGGTCACTGATATTTAAAGTGGCATCCATTTTTTGTTAAAAAAAATTGATAACTCAAATGGCAGTGGACAGATTTCATTTTATCTGCTGATACCTAGGGACAAAGGAGCTCTGTTTAAGAAGAAGTTTTCAAGATGGCCACTATATATCGAAACATGTTTTGTTTGGTTGGATTTGATACTTCTTGTTATGTCCCCACCACATAGTGTGGGGCCATATTGTCGGCCTAGGCGCATCCGTCTGTCTGTCCGTCGGTACGTCTGTCCGTCCGTACGTCTGGGAGTTTTCTCCAAAACCGCTACAGATATCACCTTCAAATTTTCAGGGATAACTTATGAGTGCATATAGATGTGGATGAAAAAATTTTAAGTCGATACCTACTTCCTGTCGGCCATTTTGAAGTCAAATGCTAAAATCCTTGTCTTGTTCAGCTCACTTCATTCTAGATCTGATTAGGTTTTGGACCTGTTAGCTCAGTCATGTCAGCCATTTTGAATGTCTTAAGAAAAGTTAGCGCACGATAATACTTTGTATCATATTGAATGGTGTTTTTGAGTTTTCATACTTTAACTATTTAGTAGCTTTATATATAATTTCAGATGTACTTTGTTGAAAAAGCCTATGTTATTGTTAACAGTAGTTATATGTGATAATTTTGTAAAAAGAAATCAGCAAAAACTCATAATCACTTTTTTATTGTCGGCCATTTTGGATTTTTCCGTCCTAAAATCTTGTCTGTGAAGTCTTGTCTATGTGTTTTCAGGTGAACCGTTTGGTGGATCAATTTCAGATTTTCAGGGATGATTCTTAGTATAAAAATCTAGATTTGGTTAGTTTTTTGGCATTCTGGGTAAATGTCAAGGCAGCCATTTTGGATTTTCCGTCCTAAAATCTTGTTTGTAAAAACTTGTCTACGCATTTCAGGTGAACCGTTTGGTAGATCAATTTCAAATTTTCAGGGATGATTCTTAGTATGAAAATGTAGAACTAATTAGTTTTTTGGCATTCTGGGTAAATGTCAAGGCAGCCATTTTGGATTTTCCATCCTAAAATCTTGTCTGTAAAGTCTTGTCTACGCATTTCCAGGTGAACCGTTCTGTTGATCAATTTTAAATTTTCAGGGATGATTCTTAGTATGAAAATCTTGATCTGATTAGCTTTTTGGCATTCTGGATAAATGTCAAGGCAGCCATTTTGGATTTTCTGTCTTAAAATCTTGTCCGTAAAGTCTTGTCTAGGCGTTTTCAGGTGAACCATTTGGTAGATCAATGTCATATTTTCAGGGATGATTCTTAGTATGAAAATCTAGAAACAGATTAGTTTTTTGACATTCTGGGTAAATGTCAAGGCAGCCATTTTGGATTTTCCATCCTAAAATCTTGTCTGTAAAGTCTTGTTTACATGTTTTCTGGTTAACTGTGTGACAGATCAATTAAAAATTTTCAGGGGTGGTTCTTTGTTTGAAAATCTAGAACTGACTAAATTTTTGGCATTCTGGGTAAATTTTAAGGTGGCCATTTTGGATTTTCCGTCCTCAAATTGTGTTGGTAAAGTCTTGTCTACTCATTTTCAGGATAACCATTTGATGGGATCACCCATTGGTGGGGACATTTTGTGCACATTTGTGTTCTTGTCTAGTTTTATGAGCAATTCAGGAATGTGAACACAGTCAATTTTTGATGTGATTTAACATAAGCTATTCCAAAAATAGGTCCTATTAGAAAGGCTATATCTCAACATTTGATATTTATGTGATAATCTCATATTACAAAAAAAGCAATGAGATATGTGTGAACAATATAACTAATACGATTCTCTTGAATTACCTAATATTACATATGAGTTTGGGCAAAACATATCCCTGGGGCATTTATACGGAATCAATGTGGAAGGAGAAATAAGTAGATATGCATTGATATAAATATTTTTATTGCTGAAGCTACTGTAATTTGCAATGTAGCTGCAGGCTTCTATTCATATAACAGAATAACTATCTTAATACAGCAGTTCTTTATTAATTGATAAACACACAACTGTTTGTACACAACTGTCACTCTAACTCACAGGTATCTCACTAGACATGAGCAACATATAAACCATACACTACACACCATACATATATCAAATACAAAACATTCAGTGCTTCTATTTAAAAAAATGAGTTTCATTTTGTAATATGAGTACTATGAACCAAAACTGTGGTCCATATTTCTGTATATTGGGTGAGAGTAGACAAGTTCAATTATGAACAGGCCTGGGGCTAAATAATGTCTGAAGTTTGCACTTGGGGTCTTGAATGTTCTACGATCCCAAATGGACATAGAGTGTTATTTACTTCTTGCTTGAAGCAATATCTCTGACATGCTGCAGCTCATCACTGGTTGTTCCCTCTGCATGTTGCTTCAGTTCCTCATTGCCCTGGGTGATACCCCACCCTGCTGGCTTAGCCATGCTGGCAGAGTAAGGTCTGCCAGTGGCAGGCTTTGTAGTCTCCCAGTATTCTTTATTTGCTCTGAAATACAATGGATGCAAGGTTTTATTTATAGGTTTAATCATTCTGTATCATTTGGTATTATATACAGTTAGTACAAGAGCTAAAAGAAAAAGCACTGTACCAAAACAAAAGAAACATTTAGAAACATAGCAGTCATTAGGCAAACAAAACCACAATATCATAAACACTCCCAGAACCATAATCACATTTCACTATCGAAAATCACAAGACAATGGAACGTTTCATTAATACTCAAGTGATACAGAAATACGATCAGTGAAAAATGACTGTAAATTCAGTTCCCATTTCCAACTTGAAAAACAACAATAATCTTTATTTTAATATTTACAGGTGACAAAGAAATCTTATATTCAAAAGGAAATAAAGATATCAAAGTTTGAAATAAGACAAAATCTAATTTACAGTTTAGTTCTGGTATACAGTGTTTTTACCTTGCTCTAACCCAGGGCTTAGTATGCATCTTGAGTTCCTGTCCCCACATGCCATGTTTATCTGACCCTGCTGGCTTAGCCCCTCTCTCCTCAGCTAGCTCCTCTGCGATTGCCCTTACGTGATATGCTTCAAACCCACAGCAGCCCCCAATGTATCGCACCCCAAGGTTGTATGCATCTCTTGCATATTTGTGCATGTCCCATCTGGTGCAGATACGTGGTTCCAGTGCTACAAAGAGAATGGTGTAATGTTGAAATATTTATAAAAGCATATGATATATATATATATTTCTCATCAATTACCAATTTGGCATATCAAGCATTTTTTAAGAATATTTTGTTTTGAATACTGCCTTGTTTGCATTCTACCGGAGCATCTCTTTACAGTGCTTCAATATTGAACCTCAACTCACCAAAAGGGAACTCTGGCAGATCAATGAAGCCCTGTTTGTTGCAATCAGGTGTGTGGTAGGCCAGAGGTTGGGCCATGAGATAAGGTTTCAGACCTGCGGCATCAAGACCCTCCTTCATCTTACTGATACATTCTAGGGATATCTGGGGATCAAAGTGGCAGTTTACACCAACAATATCAGCACCTAGGAAACAAAATATAACATGATGATATAAGTTTGATATGTGTTTGATGGAGATTTTATTTGATGTATGTTAAATGCTGTTGGTGTCATTTTTGCCTAGTTGTTCAATTCAACAAATACACTGCTATGTTCCACTGTAAGAGGCCATATACCAAAGCATATAATTGTGTGTGGCTCACCTGCTTTAGCAAGTCTGACTGCACACTCTCCTGCTGTTACACCATGTAGATCTCCCTCTGGCCCAATACACATAGTACCAGCCACTGGTTTGCCAGACTTCTTACATACTTCAATAGCCCACTCTGCCTCCTCAACATGTTCAAAGTACTGAAACATATGGCCAATGTGTTCTTAATTCCTCTGAGTCTGGTCATATTTATATTTTAATTCACAGCATTTTACTTGAGTTGTCTCAAAAACATATTAACTGATGTATGGAAAGTTTGGTATTGCATTACAATTTAAATGAGTCAAAAACTAGGGGCATTATAAAATTAAATTGTTGCATTTATCTCCTGTGTAAATACCTCACAAATGAGGAAGTCTACATCTTCTTCAATGAAGGCATCCAGTTGAACTTGGAACATCTTCTGTGTTGCCTCCTTCCCAATTCCACTGAGATATGTTGGTGTCTGGCACATGCCCCCAGCTACAAGGGCATCTCCCTCATTGGCTACATCACGGGCAAGCTTACTGGCAGCCTTGTTAATGGATTTGCCCTGGAACAGTAACAAGTTTGTTAGTGTGGTCATGTGTTGGGCAATACTTGGTGTATATCTGATTGTACTATTAAAACTGAAAACTACTGGAAGGTCAGATACTGTGGTAGTTTGGTTTAATTTGCATCCAACTCACAAAGGTGCTTAAATTTTAGATGAAACAAAGAATATCTTCTAACTTTAATGTTTCATCATTGCACAAAGTACCAAGTGACAAGTGGGCAATTTAAAGGATTCTTGTCAACTTACAGTGAGTGACTTCTGAGCGTAGTGACCCCTGTTCTCAAGTTTGTCATCACTAGCATAGAATGTGAAAGCTTGCATGACATCTGAACCTGCTCTCAAGAACTCCCTGTGAAGTTGCTTAACTGGAATAAATACATTTCAGTCATGAATTGATATACACACAGTTTTCGTTTTTTTTATTGTAATAAGTGGTTCAAGTGTCTCTGACAAATTGTTACTTTATTCTTGCCATTTGCATGTCATGATATTATGTATGATAGTTTGAAGTAATTATTCTGTTAAATCATGATGAAAATGCTCAATCATATTTTTTGTCAAGTAGTTTTGTTCTTCAATATACAGTAGTATGTACACTGAAATTCTATAGTGATTTTAACTTCTAATACTTATATAACATATTTCCATGTGATCCTTACCTGCCTCTGGGTGTTCACAGGCAGCCTCAGGGGTCCATGGTCCAGCCTTGACATAACCTCTCTTCTCCAGGGCAAATACAAAGCCACCATCTCCAATAACAACTCCATCCCTCAGTCTCTCAAGAATTCCTTTTTTAGGCTGAAAGAACTTTACATATAACAAAAGCCCAGTACCAAAGTCAAGAATTCTTTCAGGGATTTTTGATCATTTTTATAATGAAACTTTTGCATCATGATGTTGGTTGCAATATTAATGCTTGCTTGTGTCTATTTGGCAAGGCAAACAGCGCCACATAAATTTGTCATCACAATTTCAGCATCCTCCGATTACAGGCCTTCAAAATCCAGAATATCTTTCTTTTTGCCCTCTGCGATAAGCAGTTAGCATTTCCCCGATTAAGAACTTGCAATTTGATTCGTTGTCGCAACATTGCGACAGCAATCATGTAAATGTCATCGGTGCATAGTTAGATCATGTGATTCAGTTTTATCGGGCGCTTCCAAATTGGTTATAGCAGGGGGAAAGAAGGAGGTACGGATTCTGGACTCCTGCTTCGGAGGATGAATTTCAGGAAAACCACTCAACATCCCTTCAACTTGAAATTTTTACAGATTTGATTTTGGGCATGCTTGATTTTGGATGGAAAAGGTTACTTCACTAACTTTCAATGATTTGTAGGTCTTTAACTGTATACAGTTAATTGCAGGTATGAGGGTTAATATTCAAAGGTTGAGATTGTCCTATAAAACTTCACCTAATTGGTCAATTGATGCACACCCATTGTGCTCTTGTTCACTTGAATAACAACTGACAACATGAGATAACAGGAGATAACATGAGATATACTATACTTGGACAAGAATGTTGTTGCATGTGGATGTTATGACTTTGTTACTGGGTGTCACAATCCAATAATATTTTTGATAATTTAGGGCATATAGTCAAAAAAGATGAAGGTTCATGACAAAATAGTTTAATTTGCTTAAATCTATAAATGATTGAAATGACCTCTTATCACGCCAGCATTTTGAAAAAGAAGGTAATGGCCATACTATCTACTGATTAGATACTGACCAGTTACTATAGTAACTATCTCATATTAGTCAGTACAATTAGGTTATCTTGGAATTTAAAATGTGATGTGGCTATTCATGTCAACTATCTAACAAAACACTCAAATTGTATTTTAAATGATTGATTCCTTTAATGCATTACTTTGCTCTATACATGAAGTTAGTCACCACAAACCAGTCTCTCGATGTAGAACTCATAAATAGACAGTTATCTGAACTTTAAGTTTATTGACATTATTGTATAACGTCTCAAAAACGGTAACCTCTTAGACCTATATCAGTCTGTGACATGATAGTGTTTATCTCAGCATGCACACAAATAGTGTGACCTTAGCACATCCTTCCTACCTCAGATCAACACAATTCTGATGACAAGAAATAAAGGTCAACATAACAAAGAAATATTTTAAATTAACCCATGATAGTAATTTTAATCTTTTAAGAAATGTGATAAGAGGTGACCCGAAGAGCACTTGTAAATTAACATAAAAATGCTTATAATTAATCTTATTAATGATTATCTTGAATCTTATATTACTAGACTTAGGGCCAATGCACAACCAGCTCAACATGAATGGTAATAGGCATTTTTACGAATAAGTAAGAATTAACTAATACATGTAGTGTGTTTTCTAATGATAAACAGTTAGTTTCTTATATTTTATCATAGCCCATACTAAAGGTGCAACAAAGAAGAAACTCTAGCTGAGGTTAAGTTCATTTATAATTACTCCATGGATGGGATTGCTATGGTTTCTAATCTTAGATGGTAATAATTAAGAAAGTTAACATTCCTTTTTTAATCTTCATGAATTTGGACAATTTTGCATCTTCAATAACTATATTTCATTAGATATCTCAATATCTTTTTATTTGTAAAGATTGCCTCCAACATTTTACACTCTCTATCATTTGCTGCAACTCTTAAAATAAATTATATTCAGAATTTTACCAGATCTAATTAAACAAATACATTAATGAACTAAAAGGTATTGTTCCTTGGGCAGTTTACCATAGGTTTCTCTCCCGGACAATAAGTGATGTCTTATTATTATTGCTCATATAATATCTTACATACCTTGGGTATATCTTGAGAATAACTTATGGGTATGCTATTGCAGATATATTGAATTATGAATGAGATAACAAGACTTTCCCTTCAGAACTTCAGATTAAATTAATTTCAGCGAAAATAACTTGATCAGTCAGTACAATTGTGCTTGATTGTGTTATCCTATGGTATAGAGTCTCTTTAACTAATAAATAGATTGGATCAACCAAAAGTAAATTGAAAAGATAAAATACCAATTGTAGTAAACAGATAGTAAACTGGACCAAATTACACATAATGTGAAAAATACAAAATAACAGTTTGAAAACAATCCAATTAAACAAATCAATTGATAAATAATAAATCAGTAAGAAACCAACCCTAAAAGTTCAAACTTAACTTAAAAATTCAAACTTAACTTACCATATTTTCAGTGTGTGTCAGCTTGGTTCTGCAGTCAGGTTCAGAGTGGCAATAGTTTAGGAGGGTCTAGGGGCCAGGTTTTATATCCAGATTAAACCACATTATACTGAAAATCACTTCACATTTTCACAGTTGAATATGTATCATTTGTTAACTACATTAATTATTCTAAGTTATTTAAGATGATATTGTAGGAAACAATTATGCTGTAAGTATACACTCTAAATCATGGTCTTTCAACTAGAATCTAATCGAAAGCCCATGCTCTAAATGAAAGATTTTGCAAAGTAATTTTTTTAATTGAAATCTCAATTATTGAGTTCAAAATCTTTTGCAAAAAGGGAAATACTTACAGTAGCTTCATTGACACTCAGGACTTTTATGTGTTTAAGATAAGAACCAAATATGGCTTCTTCACATGTGATCTAAACAGTATATTTTCTCACAACTATGCACATTTCATATATGGGTCAGGCAACCAGTTTGGACTTGAGTTTCACTTCATATAACATTTAATGAACTATGAACTTTTTTAATTTATTAAATAATTTCTCAAACAGAGTCATGGAGTAGGGCTTAAATGGTCAATACGGATCAAGTATCAAGTTGTTTATATTAACTGTCATAAACTCTCTCAGGAAGGAATTTATGATTTCATACGGGGTGTTTCAAAATAATTGTCCCCTATCAACCACTGGTCCTTGGAAGTACAACCTCCATATTTTATGTTTCATATCAAAGTTTGTTAAATTCTGAACTTAATGAAGCAAATTTGATATTGCTTCATTAGAAGCAGAGTTTCTACATATCTCTACCACTTTGAGCTTTAAGGCACAACATACAAATTTAAAGCCACATTTTGTCCAAAATTATAAGCATGTAGTCATTGTGTACCCTGCTAACAGCTATGACAACCATGATTTGATGGATGCTGAGGATACATGTATATCCCAATTTCAAGAGAGCTCTAAATGGATTATATAGCGAACTGCTCCTCTCTCCTTATCTTTTATGAAAATCAAGTAATTTGGGTTGATTAAATAACTACCGGACATAAGTTAAAAAAGTATGTTTCCAATGATCAGTAATGTTAGCATTTAAGAAACAAACATAACTAAGGTATATAGATTATGGGACCATCATTAATTAGCTGTGGATAGGTGAGAGTCATTATGAAACACCCTGTACACTTTTTATCTTGACACCTGGGTCATAAACCTCTATAAGATAAGACAGTTAATTTGTAAATGAATGTTATACATGTTTGTTCTGTTTGCATGATAAACTTAACGATTTGTTTCACCCATATTTGGTATGTACACCAGTTGAAACTAGTTCTTGCGAGACGGGAAACAATGACTTAAATGCTATCTTATTTATGTACAAAGTGCAGGTTTGATATGGCACTCTTAGTATGCTGTTATTAACCCTTTTTCTCATATTCGAGAGTGATCCTCTTGCCTCAATCAATCATTACAATCAATCACTGTATCATCGGAGGGATATTTTGAACTAATACATCATTTATCAGAACTGCAATTATAAAGTGACATCACAGCTGTGATCAAACATTGACATCAATGCTGCAATCAAACATTGACATCAAAGCTGCATTCTTATATTGACATCACAGCTGAAGTAATACATTTGGATCATAACAGCAGATATAGTGACCTCTCTGCTGCAATATAATCCAGTCATAACATAGCTGCAACCATGCATCTTATGAGTAGAGTAGTCAATAGATGGAGGTTGATGCAGTCTGCGAAGAGAATCATTCAGCCACGAACAATTTCATCGACATGTAATCTCAATGAGGAAAGGTAGCATAAAGTATTGTATTTCCTTTGGCACTATAGTGTATAAGTGGTATTTAATCCGAGTGGTTAATTTTCCGAATGGTCATATTTCATCATTTTCCTAATTTTAATTTTCCTAATGACAAGAAACCTCTCATTGGATAACATTATAAAGACAATATTTCAGACATTTTATTTTCCAAACCTGGCAAAATTTAGGAAATAGGCAAATTAAATGATTAGGCAAAATTACCACTTATACAGACTGAAATCATTTTTTGAAAATAAGTGTGATGGACTGTAACCAAACAATGTCGATAAATGTCTACATGTAGCATTGGTAGATATGCTTAAGAACTTTTCTTTCCATATTTCAGCACCATTAGTGGACATGTGAAAGATACAGCGGAAACAGTGATCATTGGAGGAGGTGTGGTGGGCACCAGTATAGCATACCATCTCGCTAAGGCTGGCATGAAAGATGTTGTCCTCTTAGAAAAGACTGAACTGACTGCAGGTTCTACTTGGCATGCTGTGAGATATTCCATATATCTGAAATAAATCTTATTTTAGAATGAATTATGCCATATAATTACTAATCATGGAAAATATTGTTCTATAACTTCATTAGTTTTGTATTTGATGATATGGACCAGCAATAGTTGATAAACTTTACTGTATCAATATAAAACTAAGATATGTTTGTTTTTAGGCTGGCCTGACAACATATTACCATCCAGGTATAAATGTGAAGAACATACACTACTACAGTCTTAAGCTGTATGAACAACTAGAGGCTGAAACAGGACAGGTAAGAACATACTTTTCTACAGCCTACGTACCCATGGCATCAGCCTATAAAATTTGAACTGAATTGGTTCACCAGTATTTGAATTACCAGAGACCACATACAGTATTTCCAAAACATGGTAGCTTTTTTTAAATGAGTGCCCCATATTGGAAATTCTCTCTCAGGTGGTGTCTTATGGTCACAAGACATCAGTAATTAGTTTTAACCAAATATGTCAACTGATATTTAAGTTTACCCAGATAGACAAATGACTGTATAGATGGATGGATAAATGAATGAATGAATGGAAGATTTCTCGATATCTTATTGAACTTTGGAAGGATATCTACCAATACTTGCCTCTTCCATTTTAAAACTCAAGACCAGTAAAGAACAGAACTGTACAGTAAATATCAAGCACCATTACTTGCCTTTCTCATTATGCTTAGTTCCTCTGACATTTTAGACTGAAAAGATCAACCAAATTAGGTATAAAACACCAAATTACAATATTTTTCTATTGTAGGAAGTTGGGCTGCACAAATGTGGTAGTCTGCGTCTTGCTACAACACCCGAAAGAGTGGATGAGTTCAAGTACCAGATGGCCCGCCAAGGTTGGAACAAGGCAGACCAATGGTTGATATCAACTGAGGAGATCATGGAAAAGTTCCCTCTCATTAAAGCTGATGATGTAAATACCCTAATTACACTATAATTTAGAATTGTCCATCTTTTTTTCTTTTTTTTAATTCTTATTTCCTTCATATAACAATAAATCAGAATACAAATCACATTGAAAATACATTGAATATATGCAAGACAAAAGTGTCTGTGGTCTATAATTGTTAGTGCTGAACATTATGTAATGTACTTGCTATTAGATGAAATAATTGGCTTCATTTCTTCTAACAGCCAGTGCGAAAACAATAGAAAAAGAATGTACTCTTCTTTTGTTACTGCTGTACATTCTTTAAAATAAAATACAGATCATTCTGTTGTGTTGCTACTTAATTGGGGTTTAATACAAATATTCTATAGACAAAAATATTTTTTAATGTTAATATTGCGCATTAGATCCACATTCCCCTTGTCGTATCAGTAGGGACACATCAAGTATAATGTGTATGAAAGGAATCCTGAAATGAAAGATAATTTGGAGGAAGATGAACCTTACTTCTAAACCTGCAGTTTTAGAGACTTAATGCAAAAAGCCTTGAAAATGCTTTTATTTGTTTATGTATATTATGAGTACATGTGTTCAATTGAACTCACAGAGTACACAAAATTGATAATTGCATCATCCTTGACACTAGAAGAATTAAAGTCCATTAAAACTGAATTTCAAATCCCCATTGGCAAGGCAAAGCTTAGCCTAAGTCTTACTATTTCTTCAAGGATGTATTTTATTTGCCTTTCTCCAATTTCTTTAAATGTCATTGAGTTAAATCATTTGTTATCTTATTTATAGATCTTGATGGGACTTTGGAACCCTGGAGATGGTCACATAGACCCATATTCCCTCACCCAAGCTCTAGCAATAGGTGCCAGGAAGTATGGTGCTAGCCTTTGCCAGAGCTCCCCAGTTCATGCAATGGCTCAATGTGAGGATGGCAGCTGGACTGTAGACACAAATGAGGGACAGATAAAAGCAAAAAGAGTCATCAATGCTGGAGGTGAATTTTGCATTCCTTTCATTACATTAACACTTACTAACTGGAAGATGTGATAAAGTAAATGATGAAAATTCAGATGCATTACATTTTGATTGTTCACTGAACTTGCATTTTTGCAGTAGGTAATTTTAAAACTACATTTTAGTATCATAAAGTAGTTGTACAACTTTGCTAGGTTTCTGGGCCCGAGAGATTGGTCAAATGGTTGGAATAGATCTTCCTTTGGTTCCCATCCACCACCAATACCTTGTTACATCTACAATACCTGAGGTAGCTGCCCTCAAACAAGAACTACCAGTTATCCGGGACCTAGAGGGCTCATACTACCTGAGGCAAGAGAGAACTGGCCTGCTAGCAGGACCTTATGAACACCAAGATAAGATGGCCTTATGTGATGACTGGTATGATCATGGTCCTCCTAAAGGTAAGATTCTAGTACTATGATTGAATTTCAGAAAGGGTTATTTATTGTGGTAAACTGAGATTCTCCAATTCTTATGACTGTGAGATAACCAATGTGTATATTCTCCTTGGAGGTCTGAATTTGTCATCTTAAACTCATGAATTTGTGTTGCAGACTTTGGCAAAGAATTGTTTCAGCCTGACCTGGACAGAATAAGCTGGAACACTGAGAAAGCCATGGAGAGAGTACCTGTGCTTGCTACTGGCAATATTCAGTCTGTAGTCAGTGGTCCAATCACATATACACCTGATATTCTACCAATGATTGGACCCTACCAAGGTCTCAGAAATTACTGGTGTGCCGTAGGGTTTGGGTTAGTCTTCGTGATTTAGAATTGTTTAAAACATTTTAGTTAATGTTAACCCAAACATATTTATTTACAAATATCATTTATAGCCTCAGTTATATATTTGATAGAAAGGATGCATGTTGCAGTTATGAACTGACAATCATATATTCCCATGGGTTATTGACTTACATGGTCACCTTCTAGTCTGTCAATTTGTGTATGAACAATTTTAGAACAAATGAAAACTGCCATTTGTCAAAATCAATTTGCTCTTTTACAAATAATGGGATTCCACGCTGGTAGTTTTCACCATTGATCTAAGTCCCCACTTTAGTGTCATTTTATAGGTGTCAACTTTTGTCACAATGTAAGCCCACAAAGTGCTGATTTTTAACAATTTGTGACTGTAATTAGAATTTCTTCTATACGTTACATGTATGGTATGTACATTTCACACTGGTGAAGAAAGAAATGTTTGATGTTTCAGCTATGGTATAGTACATGCAGGTGGTGTTGGACAGTACCTGACTGAGTGGATCATGAATGGAGAGCCCATGTATGACCTCATTGAATGTGACCCTAACAGATACAGCAAATGGACTGACAGGTGAGACCCCATGTATGACCTCTTTGAATGTGACCCTAACAGATACAGCAAATGGACTGACAGGTGAGACCCCATGTATGACCTCATTGAATGTGAGAAACAGCAAATAGGCTGACAGGTGAGAGCCCATGTATGACCTCATTGAATGTGACCCTAACAGATACAACAAGTGGACTGACAGTTGAAATAAATTTTTGTAATTTTGTTGCACAAAAATGGCAAATGTCCCCCATAAAAACTATATGAAACATTTGTAGTATCCCTAACTTTCTGAGACAAATACATGTAGTAGATGAGTCATTCTCTGAGGAAGCACAATGTCTAATGATAACACAACATTTAACTTCTACTACAATTGCACACACAAAACTACGAACTTTGTTAATGTAATTCAAGAATTGTATTAAAACTCATGAAACATCCCTTCAAAACAAGAACATCAATACATATTCAGAATCTTTTTTCAGGACATATTGTTTAGCTAAATGTAGGGAGTCCTATGGTATGAATAATGCTGTGGGCTACCCCAAGGAGGAGAGGTTTGCTGGAAGACCAACTTACAGAACAAGTGGCATTTATGACCTACTCAAAACAAGAGGTGCTGACATGGGATTTCATGCAGGTAGTTATCAGAGCTGTGCAATTCTACAATCAATCAATACAATCTGATACATAAAAATACAATAGAAATTTTCATGTGTGCAAACGATTCCAAAACTGAATCAGGAGCTCTGTTATTGTTCAATCCAACTTGTTAGGTTGAAAATTCCAAAATAATTTAACTTCAAGTTTATTGTTAGGTTGGGAGCAGCCCCATTGGTTTGCCCTGGAAGGGGATGATGCCGGTTATAAACCAAGCTTTAGAAGGAGTAACTGGTTCAAACCTGTTGGCAGGGAGGTGGACCTTGTCATGAATAAAGCTGGACTCATTGATCTCTCTCCCTTTGGCAAGATTAAAGTGACAGGAAAAGATGCAGCTGCTTACATTGATCATATATGTGCTAATAATTTACCAAAAGTAAGACATATTTGCTTAATAAACTTCAAGCTTTAATTAGAGATCACTGATTAATACATCAAATACACTACTGTACTCCTGGTATTTTGCGTGCTACTATATCTAAATAGTAATTAATAATAAGTTACAAAAAAAATTAATAGCCGTGAAATTTCAAAATCTAAAAATGTGAAATATAGTAGCACCAAATATTAGTTGGAGTACAGTATATCAACATTGTCTTCCCTTCTGAGTTAAATATTTTTCCAACAGTTCTCTTAACACAAATGTTAGGGTAAAAATCCTGAGAATCCACAATCCAGAACATAAAAGCATTAACATTTTGATAATCTTCAGATAGGAATGACTAACATAAGTCACATGTTGACCCCCAAGGGTAGAGTGTACTCAGAATTGACAGTGACAAGACTTGGAGAGAATGACTTCATGTGTATTACAGGCTCAGGGTCAGAATTACACGATCTCAGGTAAGGAAAAGGTGTGCATACTAAACAGCTTTGTAAGTCGCAATCGTATTGAAATGACATACAATGTATATATGCGCATATTTCATTTATGTTTATTTTGTAGCTTGTGCCATGGAAGATCCTTCTTAGAGTATATGATCTTATTTAGGTATAACTAAAACCTACATCATGAGCATTAATATCACAAAAAAGCTAAGTTCTTTTTTACGTATGTTATTTCTTAAACAGGTGGATGGAGAAGAAACTACACGAGGGAGATTTTGATGTCACTCTTAACAACAAAACTGATGATTTGGCTTGTCTTGGTATTGCTGGGCCAAAGTCCAGAGACATCATATCTAAAGTTACTTCTACAGACATGTCTGGCAAGGCATTCAAGTTTCTACACATCAGAGATCTGGAAATAGCAGGGGTGAAGGTTAAGGCCATCAGGATATCTTACACAGGTATGGCCACTCTAAATAATGGGGACTTTATGTAAAAAAAGGTTATAGGAGCTTATTTATTGGGAGTTTTATAACTGTCACAATCATCTTCAGAATGGACAGTCCAACGAAATAATATCATGTGGGTTCACTGTAACTTCCCGTATTAACTAAAAATATATGTGTATGGTCTTTAATATGATATTACCGGTACATGTGTTGAGCAAAATGTTGATGTCTGTATTACAGGAGAGCTTGGCTGGGAGATGTATTGTGACAAAAATGACATGAAACAACTCTATACCTCACTACTAGAAGCAGGTGAAGAGTTTGGTGTTGGCGACTTCGGAGGTTATGCCCTCAACAGTCTTAGACTGGACAAAGGCTTCAGAGCTTGGGGTTCAGAGGTATTACCAATATAAATGTATACCAGGTAATTCTTGAAATAAATGCCCATTGGCTTGGAAAATCAATTTTCCCTTTTTATAGAGGCACATTGGTGTTCTTCCCCAAGGCTGTCAAATAAATGTCCATGCAAAACCAATGGATCTAGCGAGAAACTCCAGTATACTTTGATTGGTTGCCAGTAATGAGATAGCAAAAAATGATGAACAATGGAAGTATTTTTGTTAGCTTAGCTCTGTGATTAGTCCAGCTAGTCTTCAAATGCTTCATTCAACCCAATAAAACAAAATTGTACTTTGTATGACTCCATGCAGTTACAATTAAAAGTCATCGTAGAATATTTCTGATTTCAGATGACAACTGATCAAAATCCTCTAGAAGCAGGTTTGGAAATGTTTGTCAAGATGGATAAGGTAAAATAACATTATCAGAAATACTTCATCATGACTGAGCTGACATTATTTCTGGATTTCATCTTTTCCAAAAATAAGTTGTTTTTAATTGTTTTGATGATTTATTTATGTTGAATAAGGATTCCTTGACACATTTGAATTCATTACAGTGACCTTATAAGGAATATTAGGATCACCTATGGTGCCACCTTTTATCAACAATATATTTAGACATGATTATGAATGATAATTTAATAGAATTGAAAATTGTATATGTTGGATTGTTGGGGTCTATTTTTCTAACACATAGTTTTGTACAAGCAGTTCCATGAAATTAGTTTCAACATAAAATTAAAGAATGAAGTGAAAAAAGCCAATAGTTATGATAGACCATGTCAATATGTCTGATTTATTGTGACTGTTCCAGGCAGCAGACTTCATTGGCAAGGCAGCCCTGCATGAGATAGCAGCCAAGCCTGCCACCAGGAAGCTGGTTAACCTCATAGTGGATACTAAAGACGTTGACCCTGAAGGAAATGAGAGTATATGGCATGGGGATAAGGTCAGTTTATGTCGAATATTCTTCATGATTAATAGAATCAAGTACTCTTAGTTATGATACCTTTTAAGGGTCCATATTCTATGGAGGACATTTATCTTATTCCCCAATTTGCTCTTTCAGTTCAATTTTTCTTTTTTGTCATTTACCAGCATATTTACTAAAGGATATACAATGATTGGCATGACCATGTGATGACTATAGGATAACATTTCTTATCATAAGTTTATTCTTCATTTTATTTCATTCAGTGGATAATAAATATCTTTCCAGGTTGTTGGCATGACAACATCAGGTTGCTATAGTTACTGTATCAACAAAAGCATAGCATATGGCTATGTTCCAGTAGAACTGTCTCAGGTTGGAAATACACTTGAAGTAGACTTATTAGGAGAGAAATGCACAGCCACAGTAGAATCAGGCCCTCCAATGTTGGTAGAGATTGCCAGAAACAGACAGAAAAAGAAACAGTGAAACTGCATTTCTCATGAGAAAATCTTTATACATTCACTTTTGTAAATATTTCAATGTATGTCTTCATTGTCTTGAAACTGTCAAACACAAGAGGCAAATAATGTGGACTTGGTGTAAGAGCTAATACCAAAACAACTGGCACATTCCTCGAAGCTCTCATATCCTGAACAAGTGGACTGAAGCAGCTTGTGAGAGCTATTGTCCAGTGTTACTAAGTCCCTGCAACCGCCAGTTACATGGTTGTGTCAACACAATGAGACAGCTCTTTGTAAATAAATGATCAAATAAAACTTATTGTAACAAATTCTATTTTATGTTCAGTTGTAAAAGTTTGTAAAAGACATTGCCTAAAATGAAGACTTTACCATTCAAATTAATTTAATTTTGAATTAATTTTATGTTACGTTAATGTCCTGATGAAGGGTCAATATTAGGAAGTGAGCCGAGGGAGGGGAAAAAAACAAATAAATTTTTAAAAAACTTTATTATTTGTTTTTCTATTAGGATTTTATTATTCAATGCTAAAAGTATCATAACATAATACAAAGTATTAGACATTGAAAAAAGTGACACACATGAGTTGAGTTTGCATGAACTTTTAATGAGAACATGATGCTGGAACTGAAATACATATACATGTACATGGTGGTCAAAAAATTGGACACTCGTATTTCAAATATAAATATTGGTTTTCTTGATGTAAACATGTCATATTATATACCAGTGGATATAGGGAATTTACTTATCTTTAATTTGGTATATCATATCAAGTTCAAATTTATTAAAATGTCTGTCAACCAGCCTCCATAATTTAAATGACGTCATTTTCGATTCAAAACAGGTTTCCTAAAACGTGCAAAAACAAGGTGAGGTGATATTCATTAAAATTTGAATGCCCTATTCATGTCTATCAAGTTTGAAGTCTATCTGATCACTACTTCTAAAGTTTCTTTTCAAGCAATTGTTAAAAAATTCCTTACATTGCCAATGGTAACACTTGCCTTAAAAGACCACGTGCAGTATGGGAAGTGATTTTAGATGGTCATATCTTTCACAATTAGTAGTTTCTGGACATAAATACAGTGGGTTTTATTAAAACTACATGTATTCTTTCAAGTGAAGTACCCATGATGATAAAAATATCAATCAAACAATTTGAAAAATTATGAATAGGGACCCCATGTCAACATTTTTTTTCAAAATACTGAACCTATTTACTCAAAAGAGTACCCTGCGTTACTCAAGGGGCGAGGAGGAAAATTCTCAATAAATGGTGTATAGTTGGTTTGGCAGCATTTTCAGTTAGGGGAGAGTCTTGGATGAAACTTCCATCAAGGTGATAGCTTCACAGAGTGGTAGGAAGTTCCTTTTTTTGAGGAGTTAGCCCCCCACCCCCCAAAAACACCCCACCCGGGGAAAAAAATTGTTCACAGTAAATAACCTTAGATATTTTGATGTTTGTAAGTGACATACATAGATATTATATATATGAATCATTTGCAGTATAATTGATGCTTATTGCTCCTAAGGAAATTGAATATTAGTACAAAGTGTATACCCCAGGGGGCAAATTCGTGACTCATTTTCTTACTATTTTGATCCTAACTTTTCAATAAGACACTGTAAGAGGTTGAAAAAATTCATGGGAAGTGCCCAATAGCAGGGTTAGTAAACCTGAAAGATGCAAAGCCATTGAAAAGGTAGGAGCTGAGAAAAAAATTGTTGATTTTTCGAAAAATTTGACATTTTTGACAGTTGGATTTTGTGTATGACTATAGCTGACCCCTATAGTTTCTAGATCCATCCCTCTATAATGATATTTATGGTTTTATAGTGTGGAACTAAGATGTAAAACATAATTTAGATGGGTTTTAAGGAAGTTAAAGGTTTTAAACAAGTCCAAAATTTGAAAAATTGTAAATATAAGGTTTCAAATTTACATATTCCAGGTATAGCCATAGCTGACCCCTATAGTTTCTAGATCCATCCCTCTATGATGATATTTATGGTTTTGCCATGTGGAACTAATATGTAAAACACAATTTAGATGGGTTTTAAGAAAGTTTAAGGTTTGAAGTCCAAAATTTGAAAAATTGTTAATATAAGGTTTTAAATTTACGAATTTCAGGTATAGTCACGGCTGACCGTTATGGTTTTTACATCCATACCTCTATGATTAAATATACAGTTTTAGAGTGTGGGACTAAGATTTAACATATCCAAAATGAATTTTAAGGAGGTTAAGTGAAGAATTGTAAATGTTAGGTTTCAAATTTATTAATTTCAGGTATAGCCAAAGATGATCCTTATGGTTCATACATCTATACCTCAGGGATGAAATATATAGTTTTAAGAGTATTTAACTAAAATGTAAAAGATACCTAAGATGAGTTTGAAGGAAGTTCTAGGTTTTAAACAAGTGCAAAATTTGAAAAATTGATCTCAAAATTGGTCTCAAATTCACGTTATTCAGGTACAGCCTTGAATGAGCCCTGATAATTGAAGGTTATGAGCATAATAGTATCAACTATGATATCATAGCTTAGAGACCAGGTGTAGAATATATACCTGTTGCAGCAGTTAGTCTGCTGCATATAGATGGAGTGAAAAGTCGTGAACTACTGAGATCATGAACAGCAAAATTAACATATTAAAATATTTTGCCAAATTCCTCATAGATTGTAACAATGTAAGAGCATTCATATCCAGTCTTTAACATTGTATAAGTTTGTAAATATTTGTAAATTTAGTTTGTATCATAGAATGTACATTTTGTAGCAATTATGTTTGTCAAGCTTATTTGAAAAGGTGTTTTCAGTCTGAATGTATATATCAACACTACATTAGAATCATGATGTAATGATTTTTGTATTTTTCCATTTTGCTTATGACTGTATATTTGTATATAAAACACATGTAAATAACTGTATAGTGACCCATGTGTCGGAGAGACTGACATACATAAGAGTCAATAAAAGAATATATATACAGTAAAATCTCTCTAATCTGAATGCTACTGGTATTTGGACCAGCTAAAAGCATTCTAATTAGAAGTATTTGAATTTTGAGGTTTTTACATCTACAATACAAGTTCTGGATTTTGAAGAAATATGAATGCATTCTCAATGAAAGATATTAATAATATTTATACTGACCACATAAAAAGCTTAATAGCATTCCAAAATCCAATTCAAAAGTTTTGATATCATAACAATTTAGTGTTAAACTGACAATATTTGAGCAATTTTGTAAGAAATATGTGATATTTGGTAAAAAGAGTTCAAGTTAGACAGGTTAATTTTTCAAATATGAGTGTTCACTGTTCGAAGTAAGAGGTATTCAGATTTCAATTTTTTAAACATAGGAGTCAATGGGAGGAAAAATTGGACTGGGAAAAGTGTTCAAATTTTTAGTCAATGTTATTGATCAGCTTATTGGTTTCATTACTTTCTCTAGAATCTAAAATTGATCTTGGGTTTTTGAGAGTAGTAAATTGGAATGCAGTTATATGGAATATTGAATTGGCTGGAATTGGACACAAGTTGCCTAGCTATGTGTGAGTAAACTATGATCTTATATGGATACAAACAGTTTGTTTGACAATGATCATCTATCTTATCTGTAAAATCAGAACTTAAAAAGGGGTTTGAAATGGAGATCGATGAAACCATACCACAAATTGATAAAACTTTCGTGATCGATGCAATGGCTATGACAAAAGGAAAATTAAGATTAACTTATATGTTGAAATTTGGAGAGTTTTGGAAAGCTATATTTGACTACTCCATCAAATCTAGTATTTGAGCCCAAAGAATATATTTCATATTAGACTCCTAGTAGTCTCCATCACTAAAGGATTCTGAAAGAATGCGAAGAATGGATGCTTCCCCTACTGAACTTTAATCCAAAGAAGAAATTACACCATTACCTAAAAATATGAATACCTTTTGGCCAAGTCACATAATACAAATTTTCAAAGATTACAAAGAAATTTAATAAAGCAGCATTCTAAAAGTGTGCCAAATGTCAAGATTGTTTTAAGTGGAACTATTGGAGAGAACTCAAATATCTGTGAAAATGATAACTGAAATCCCCTGTTAAATTCCACTCTTGAAGAGGCTGATTTTAAACTTATTCACTCTGTTTTACATTCAGCAGGAGAACATGTGGGACTGCAGTAATTTGCATCAAATGACACTGATTTTCTAATTTTATGACTATCATTTCAATAAATGTAAAACATTCTTAACTGCTAGAAAATGTCATCTGCAAAGTCAGTATGTAAACATTTTCTAGAATGTCTGTTTGTTTGAAACATATTGATCATATATATCACCATATATACTTTTTTGATCTACATGAAGATTTTAGTGTGACAAGACCCTTTTATCCTGGAGTTCCTAATCTCATTGCACTAACAGGAGTTTCTAGGCCCAGCTGGGTATGATCCTTATTTTCCCAAATAATTACTGTTGCCTGATGACAAGTTGTTTTATTACGAGTGTAGTGATTATAATTTGATAATTTATAATAATATTTTGTATTAGGAGATGATCATTGCTAAATTACAGTATGGGCATAACAAAATATAGAGAAATCATGTTTCTTTTAATTAACCATGTCTTTATGTATTTTGACAATGTAGAACATTACATCGAACATGTTGATGTGAAAAAGTAAAAATGCTATATCACATAATAAATATCATCAGATAATAATTAATTAGTTATAATCCATTTAATCAATCAATTACTACACTGTATACGATATCCCTAAGAGCAGTTACACTTTAGGGGGGGGGGGGGATTTATTAACCTCTCACCCCCTTAGGAACTCAAGGCCAAGGGTAAAGTCTTTAACTCTAATAATTTTCTTTTAACAATACTTGTAACATGGATCAAACCTGACCACAATATTTTCAACATCTAATTTCTAAGCTAAAAAGTCATACATTCAAAAAGAGAGACATCCAAGGCAATACCTGAAATCGTAAAGGAGGACTGAAAGTATCGCAACAGATTTAGGACACTCACATGTTGGATTTTTGCTATTTTTTGAGGATTTGAGGAGGTGCATATGTTAGGCCAATGCATTTCCTCCAGGAAAAGCACTCATAGAGATGATAAAATAATTTCTATTTGAGACAGGGTGCAAACAACCCACCCACATGCATCAATATGTTGTGTTTTGACACACAGTTAACCCCTTTAAAGAAATAATGCATTCCATCAGGGGTTTAAAAGATATCAAATATGGGTGACCAAAATTAAGTTGAAAGTAATGGAGCACATGAGTTTTCCCTATGGGAAAATAACAGGAAAATACTGTTTTCTGCTTTATCTAAAAGAAATTTATTATTCCTTTTTATGGGTTAACTATGTCTCAAAACGCAACATATTGATGCAACGAAAAGCAGGGGTAAAAGGGCTTGAAAATCAGGACAACATTTCCGAAAAAACATGTGGGTGGATTGTTTGCACCTTCGCTGTCTCAAAGTCCAAACTATTTTATCATCTCTAAGAGTTCTTTTCCCGTAGGTAATGCAATGGCCTATCATATGCACCTGCTTAAATCCTCAGGAAACAGACAAAATCTAACATATGACTGTCTGAAATATGTTTCGATACTTTCCGTGCTCCTTTGAGACCTGATATTTCTCAATTTTTCAAACATTGCACTTGTTAAAATTCTTAAACTTCCTTAAAATTCATCTTCGGTATGTTTTACTTCTTAGTTTCACACACACTTCACAAAAATATATGTTTCATCATAGAGGTATGGATGATTTTGGACTTGTTTAGAAACTTTAACTTCCTTAAAACCCATCTAAATTATGTTCTACATCTTTAGTTCCATACTACAAAACCATAAGTATCACCAAAGAGGGATGGATTTAGAAACTATAGGGGTCAGCCATGGGTATACCTGGAATTCGTAAATTTGAAACCATATATTTACAATTTTTCAAATTTTGGACTTGTTTAAAACCTTTAACTTTCTTAAAACCCATCTAAACTATGTTTTACATCTTAGTTCCACACTATAAAACCATAAATATCATCATAGAGGGATGGATCTAGAACCTATAGGGGTCAGCCATGGTTATACCTGGAATTTGTAAATTTGAAACCTTATATTTACAATTTTTCAAATTTTGGACTTGTTTAAAACCTTAAACTTCCTTAAAACCCATCTAAATTATGTTTTACATCTTAGTTTCACACTATAAAACCATAAATATCATTATAGAGGGATGGATCTAGAAATTATAAGGGTCAGCTATAGTCATACACAAAATCCAGCTGTCAAAAATGTCAATTTTTTCGAAAAATCAACAATTTTTTTCTCAGCTCCTACCTCTTCCATGGCTTTGCATCTTTCAGGGTTACTAACCCTGCTATTGGGCACTTCCCATGAATTTTTTCAACCTCTTACAGTGTCTAATTGAAAAGTTAAAATCAAAATAGTAAGAAAATGAGTCAAGAATTTGCCCCCTGGGGTACATACTTTGTACTAATTTTCAAATTCTTTAGGAGTTATCAGCATCAATTATACTGCAAGTGATTCATATATATAATGTTTATGTATGTCACTTACAAACATCAAAATATCTAAGGTTATTTAGTGTGAACAATTTTTTCCCCAGGGTGGGGTGTTTTTGGGGGGTGGGGGGCTAACTCCTCAAAAAAAGGAACTTCCTACCACTCTGTGAAGCTATCACCTAGGTGGAAGTTTCATCCAAGACTCTCCCCTAACTGAAAATGCTGCCAAACCAACTATACACCATTTATTGAGAATTTTCCTCCCCGCCCCTAGAGTACGTGCAGAGTCTAGTTAAACTACACTCTGCCTAGTAGAGACCATATTACAGTTTAGTGGCCCCGCCTCCACGACGGGTACTGGTGACAGTTTGGGTAATAAATCACTTTTGACCTACGCGCTGACCTTTCTTCCATCAATCAGCGAGCTTGAAGAAACATACACCAAATGCGTTCTAATTAAATATGCGCATGTCATTGGTCAATTCCGGGCTCAACGATGACGTCAGAAGGAATGGCCATATATAGAACGTCGGTCAAATTTGGCCGACGAACACTGATTGGCGCGGTGAGTTCACAGGTTTATTTTAGTTTGAAAGAGTGAAGACGAAGCTCTCTTTTAAGAAGTGAAGTCAAACGAATGCAAAGGGTATCAAAAGAGGATCTCCCTTTTCTGATTTTTATTGCATGAAAAGATTATTCAACAAGGGGTCTAAAACATCTTCAAAAATATAATTGTATTGAAAGTCTAGTTTTGAAGATATCAATTTTCAATGACCAAAATGATGCTGAAAACAATGGATAGCACGAGTTTTCCCTATGGGAAAATAACATGGGATATGTGGTTTTTAACTTTAACGCATTTCAATACGCATCCCCCTTTTCAGAAATTGTTCATATACAGGGTGGGCCAAAAAATTTTGCAACCTTTTTAGAAGGCAAAAAAAGTATCATAACATTATGGTATTGACATGAAATTTTTTTTACAGAAACTTAAGGATAGGCATATTTTACCATTCAAATACTTAAGCTAATACTGACTTCAATTTTTTTTGTCAGATGTTTGAATATTAATGGTAAATTGTTCATGTGTACGAGATTTACCGATTTTCCCAGAAAATGTGATTTTCTATAATTTTATGTGATCATCGATAGAACATTTATTATGTTCACTAAATCTGCTGCAATCTTTGTTAAGTGGTGTATTGGGCGGCTATTCATCAGGACTAATGAATCAAGGGGTATTTTGCTCCAGATATTCCATAGTGACTTTTGGCCTATGGTCAGGAGCGCTATCCTGCTGGAATATGTAATCACTTGGGGCTGAAAGAGCCCCCATTCTTGAAAGATGTCCCTTTTGAAGAAGATTAGTCCTGAGTTGAATGGCCACCCAATACACCAGATGCCAACCCCTGGGACTATCACACATGGGGGCACCTGGAGCAATGTATTGTAGTTAATGGTTATACCCCACAAATTATTGATCAACTATAAGAAGTTCTGCAGGATAAGTGGAGGCGACTACCACAAGAACTGCTGGATCTCGCCATTGACCAGTTCTTGTCTCCATGTGATTGTGAAGGTGAAAGGCGGATGCATTGAACATTTGTTTAATAAATAATTAATACAGTGTAACAATATTACCATAGTAACTAGATACTGATATAAACCTGTACTAGACATTGGTTAAACAGTTATCAAAGATTGAAGCAGATTTAGTAAACATAATGAATGTGTTATTGTTGATCACATAAAATCATAGAAAGTCAGATTTTCTAGGAAAAATGGTAAATCTCGGACAAATGAACAATTTACCATTAATATTCAAACATCTGACAAAAAGATTTGAAGTCAGTATTAGCTTAAGTATTTGAATGGTAAAATATGCCTATCCTTAAGTTTCTGTAAAAAAAATTTCATGTCAATACCATAATGTTATGATACTTTTTGTGCCTTCTAAAAAGGTTGCAAAATTTTTTGGCCCACCCTGTAGTATAGAAAAAACTTTTGATATGTTTAAATTGAGAAAAGCAAGATCCTCTTTTTAGAAAATAAGCCTAACATTTTTAAAAAGTGCCAGGGTGGGGTCCTAATTCATAATTTTTTAGAGAGTTGGATTTATATTTTACTATCATGGGGACTTCACTTGAAAAAAACATATTGTTTTAATAAAAACCATTGTTTTCATCGCCAGAAAGTACTCATGGTGAAAGATATGACTGTCTAAAATCACTTGCCATACTGCACATGGACCTTTAAATATTTTACATTTAAATTCAGCATTTTAGAAGAGAAGAATTTCCTCATTTCACTTCCACTTCAATTTTGCCTTTCAATTGATATATTATATACTCCCACATCCCTTCTCAAGTTATTGCAAATAACATGACGAAGGTGTAACAACACTAAAGAGTGGAGACATATCTCTGAACAACAGTGACACAAAAATAACAATATGTCACCATTTCTTGGTGACATAAAAACGAAAAAGTGTTTATTGCATGATTTTTTTATTTATTTGACCGTAGTCCATTATTTAATCATGCTAAAATCCTAGGGATCCTTGGGTTACTTTATTACCAAGTATATAGTTACACTCCACACACAGTTCACATAGACAAATTATTGACACCCTTTTCTGTTAAAACCTCTAATCAGACTTCAACAGTGTTATGATATATAAATTATTTTGACAAGTTTTCACAACTTTGTGTGCATTGCATTGCATTGTGTCGGTTTAGCTGCCTGCGAATTATTTCTTTTCAAATATCCTAGAATGCACACAGTGCAACAGTGATATTTGAATGTCCCATCAGAGAACATATTTTAGTTATAATAATGCAGAAAAAGTTGCCATTACATGCAATAGGTTCACTGCCTTAATGCCCCTCATGCAATTGTTATTTCACTGTATATAGAATCAATAATCACTGGTCGTGGATATTTCTATATTTTCAAAGAACTCCTGATTTATTATATTTCTTTGCATATCTTGGTGAGGACATATCTAACATTAAACGGCTAATAATAGCTGTGATCCTAATCCTGAATAGCCCCAAAATATTTTGATTCATGATAATATGGAATTTACACCATATCAATGTTTGAAAATGAAACCTCGCCTAGTAAGAAGTTCCAAGTTCTAAATTCTAGCCTATTTGCAAGTTTAAATACAATTAGCTCAATTTCAATATGAACAATTCTTTTTAAACTTCAAACAGAAAATTTAGAGGTCTATTTTCAAGTCTTAATTGTGCAAAGTACATCTCATTATGAATAAGTTTATAATTACAGCATGGAGCCCTTTATTTTCTCTAGCATTTTCAAATTCAGTGAAGTGCTTTTGAACTTTTTTGTAAAGTGATGAACATCTTAGAATGTGAACATACTTTTGCTATTAGAACCTCTCAATTTGAACACTTTTATCCATGGCCAGCAGTGTTTACTTTAGACAGATTTTACTGTGTCTAATACTTTTTACAGTTTGTCATGTAATGTTATTGGAAATAGCTCTCTCGATCTATGTTTAAATGCATTTTTTCAACAAACTGGCTAGTAGCTATAGGTACAATTAAATATTGTCCATTTAAAATATTTCTAATCTTCTATTTGATCACATTCTGAAGACACCAAACTTTGTATCTTCTGGAGGTGCATTTAAGCAAGCACTCAGACTCAGTCCTAGCACATTCCTAGTATCCACTGGGTCTATTACACCATCATCCCATATCCTATAAGTAAATATTGTAAAAATTGTATAAAATGCAATACAGAATCACAATATAAATACAAAATGAAAATTGAAGAAAACTTGTTTTTATAATCTTTTGATTTATATACAAAATAAAATAAGGAGCTTTCACCAACCTTGAGCTGGAGAAATAAGGACTTCCCTCCTTCTCATATTTGGCAATTATTGGGTCCTTCATGGCTCTGTCATCTTCCTCAGTCCACTATAAGATTGTCAATAAAAGCATAAAAATAAAATATATACATAGAAAACACATAAAGGGTTTTTTGACTTGGAAGGAATCACTGTAGGTTTTATTCTGAAGGATAATAATTATGTTTCCAGACCATCGGAGGGATAACATACCAAAGAATAAAGCCTATATAAATCCTGACCTGTAAATAAGCACTTATCCCATGATTATATCATAGTCGTTTTCATGAAATCATAATCAGCCAAGAATCTTCAAATTGAATTCAGCACATTAAAAAATGATGCTACATCTTTTTCAACTTCATTATATGAAGGCATCAAAGATAATTTAATGGGTGGGATCAACAGTTTAATAAACAATGTGCTTACTTTCACAGTCATCTGACTCATCTGCATAACTAAATTGTATTGGTTATTAATCAAAGCAGTCCAAATGTCAATCTTCTGCAGAATGTTCCTCAAAATCACCACTGAAATTTTATAATCAATTTACCAATGTTTGATTTCTATTCACTTTTCTGCTGTGTATCACACTACAATCCCCAACAAATGAAGAGAACTGAATTGTAAGATCATTTCACCTGTTTTCCCTCTTTCATAACTTGTGCTTTCTTGACTGTTGCTAGAACTGTAGCTGCCTGCTCTCCTCCCATCACAGATATCCTAGAGTTAGGCCACATGTACAGGAACCTGGGGCTGCAATTAGTATTATTTTTATTTATCTGTTTTTTCAACTATTTAAAAACCTTTTGGAAAAACTTAACCATTTTTACAACAAAAGAAAATAGGATGAATTCTAATGTGATACGTTATGTCACAATAGCTTGAACAATTGATTTACTGGTCTATATTGGAGTGTGTATGACCGCTAAAATTCATAAATGCAAAAAGTTGTGTTTCTTGTCTGTTTATCATATTAGAATCGTAACAAAAACCTCGATTTTATGATTTATGTCAAATATATGACCTCAAATTGTATTCTGGCCATTGCCAAAGATTTTAACAAAGAACAGAATAAAATTTTCGGTAATATATTACGCCATAAATCATAAAAAAATGGTAAAAATAAATCAGTCTTGAATTTTGAAAACATGGAATCAGTAACAGAGGTATGTAGGAATTTTCAAATGTATATTTTGCCATTCTATAATTCACTGAAATGCCCGTAGATGGTTTTACTTACCTTGCTTTTCATCCTCTGAACCAAACCAGAATGTATGTTGAAAACTTACCTATATGCTCTTCCACACATGCCATAGTTGCCGGCACCATAAGATCCCCCCACAATCATTGTGATCTTTGGCACCTTAGCACACGCTACTGCAGTGACCAACTTGGCTCCATGCTTGGCTATACCTCCAGCCTCTGCTGCTCTTCCAACCATAAACCCTGCAACAGTACATTTGTACTTATAATAAACCCTGCTACAGTACATGTGTACTTAGAATAAACCCTAGAACAGTATGAGCATAATATTAACAAAATTTCTTTGACAGTACATTATACTGTATTGTTACATTGTATGCAATGATATTCTAATAATAATGGAGCTCTAATAATCCTTCAAAGTGCAACTTCTCTTACCTGTAATATTCTGCAGGAAGAGAAGGGGGATATTCCTCTTACAGCAAAGTTCAATAAAGTGAGTACCCTGAAATTTAAATAATCAAACAATCTTTAGTGCAGTTAATGAGTGTTTGTTCCTTTGTACTTTTTACTCTAAATATATACTCATTTTTTTGATGACTCGACAAAATGACTGTAAAACTGTAACTTCAACTGGTATCCCGGATACCATTGCTGATGTCATCAATTCAATAAGATGAGCAGGAATGCAAAAAGTCTTTGATTAATGTAATGTAGAGGGTGACCCAAAAGAATATATAATATCTTAATTTTTAGGATCACACAGCAAAGTATGCATGTGGTCTAATAACAACACCTGAATTCCTTAACTAACACCTAAAGCAGATCAGTTATGAACTCTGAAATATACTTACCTTTAGTGCAGATTCAGCGAACAGGACTCCATTGTTAGCAAGAATGCCTACAGGGTATCCCCAGATTCTAGCAAATCCTAGGTGAAAAAAAACATTTGAAAACATTATGTCTTGTTTCTTGCACATACAAAAATACAGGGCTTGCATTAACGGCGTCCCGTACATGTTAAATAATTTGGAGGACGCAAAAATTGAAAATATTTCTGTTTTTTGGACGCAAATTATTTTTAGGTCAATACTACAATGTGTTTACAACGATACCTAACAAAAACAAATAATTATGATCTCTCACCTTTATTTGAATCGTAAATAAGGCTCAACATGTTGAATATTTACAAATAATCATGATTCTCTCGAATTTTTTCGACTTTGTTTATTTTTAGATTTGAAACCATGACACGCCACAGTTTTTCCTATTCAGAAACAAATATTAGGTTATTCATGAAATAAAATGTATCCATAGTCGAATGAACGAACATGCATTTATTCAGTCCGTACTTAACGTTTACTTCCGTTTTAAATTCGCGGCAAGAAATCAAAAACTGAAAGGTGTTTTGGTAAAAAAATTGCGTCCTTGGGACTCACAAATTTTCTAACCTGATGCAAGAGCTGAAAATATTTTGTTACAAATAGCTACTTCCACTCTTATGACCCTCATTTCCTTATAAGGAATCATGTAGAAATTGCTGTTTAAAGGACAACTGAAATAGCTTTTCTCAAATTGCAGCTATAAAAATGCGTTTTTTTCCATTGTAAGCCCAACGTAGAGTTCTTGCGATAGCCATTATAAAATAAATGTTAGATAACTTCTAACATTCATAGATAACGAAATAAAACTAACTGATCAAACAAATTGGCCCCCACGTGATTAGTAACGTCATATACAAAATATAGCTTTGGTTTATTGGTTTCTTAGTAATCACAACGTCACAGCAACCATAGGATTGTTGTGTAAACAAATAACAAAACATTTTGGCATTATGGCGTCATGATCTAATGGACCAAAACGGGCCACGTGGGGACCAGTGAGAGATCACGTGGGGCCATTAACGTCACAACCAATTCGAATATTGCTTATTAAGCAGCTATAACGATCGTTAGTGTGAGAAAATTATTTCACACTACTGATGAGAAAACATGTCCAAATACATCTATCAAAAAATTATATTGGTTCCTTTAGGTTATGAATACCATTTCATATCTGCTTTAAGGTAATTGGCTGTTTTATGGACATATTCTCCGACTGACCTGTAACAAGGGTTTCTCCATACATTGCCTTGAACTCATCAAATTTGCTTCCATCTACAGTTCTTGCAATAACTTCACGGATGTCAAATGGTTTCTTTAAATTATCTCCAACTATGCCATACATTTCATCTATAGGAAACACTGGCTCCTCGGGGCTCTCTATGGTCACCTGAATGGCATGTGTTAAAGGGTGCAATGCCAATTATGCATGTGAAATATAACATTTAAGAGCAATTTAATACATGTGCTTTGCTATTTAGCAGGGAAGCAATCCTACATCGTGCCATAATTATCCTAATCATTATTTTCAAAACCTCAACTTCCCTGACCGAAGATTTCATGAATAGAAGAGATAATGTTGAAACAATAATAATCTGGCAACAAGTAATATTAAAAACAAAGCTCACATGTGGATCTTTTGAATAGTTGAGGTTTTTCACTATTTTCCTAGCTTGATGTAGCGCATGTTCATCATCTATGGCATAGTAATCCGTCACTCCTGACTCCCTGTGAAGGAAATTATTTGCACAATGATAAAGAACTTGATAGTCTTGCATAATGGTCTTTCAAGCCTTCTTTCTTCAACTAAAGCAATTGTGAATGAGGAAAGGGCACATATCCAAAGGAATAAGAATGAATAGGCCTAAATCAAATATGAGGAGAATTAATACTAACTGTAAAATTTTCAGAAAGATTGCATAGCTTTTAGATAAAAAAAGTATTGCAGAGGTGAAGATGCCAGGACTTACATCGCGACTTCAATAGAAAGAGCAATGATAATACTATCATCTGCATTCAATGATTCAATGTATGTGACCTCCGAACCTACCTGCAATGAAGGTCTGCCCCGCCTAAATCTTCCGCTGACACATCTTCCCCTGTTGCTGCCTTGACTAGTGGTGGTCCACCTAAGAATATAGTCCCTTGTTTTTTCACGATTATACTTTCATCTGCCATTGCTGGAACATATGCCCCGCCTGCGGTGCAGCTTCCCATTACTACTGCAATCTGAAAGATTAGGAAAGGATTATCTAAAAATTAATTGGATGTAACTTGCAAAAATTGTGGGAGTACAATGTACCCATAAATTACGTCAATATGGTGGGCAAACTTTTGGCAGACATTGTCATTCCCGGATGCCTAAACGTGTCAGGAACACATAGGTTCTCAAATGATCTTGATTGAACACCATGGTGCAGAGAAATCGCAATTTTACTAAATGGCTTCAGGAAAAAATAAACATTGTTATCAGCCAGCTTAACTGGATAGAATTCAAATAAGGACCAGATCTTTTTATATGTTGTTGAAATTATCAACTAGTGATGTGGATTTACAAGCCAGCTAAATGTGCATGTATGTACATGTAGTAGGTTGTTACCTGAGGTATACCCATAGATGACATGGTTGCTTGGTTATAGAAAATGCGACCAAAATGCTCTCTATCTGGAAATACATCTGCTTGTCTTGGAAGATTAGCACCCCCTGAATCAACTGAAAAAAAACCCCACTGAATCACAGCTTCTTGATCTCCACCTGGTTATTCAGATGGTATGTTGTTTTGTTAAGTGAATACTGAACAAATACCTAACCATAATACATGGTAGGCTGTTTTATTTAATAAATATATACCTACGATGTATATAAATGGTGGGTTGTTTTGTTTACTGAATACATACCTAAATATATAAATGGTAGGTTGTTTTGTTTATAGAATACATACCTAAATATATAAATGGTAGGTTGTTTTGTTTACTAAATACATACCTAAATTAAATGGTAGTTTGTTTTGTTTACTGAATACATACCTAAGTATATATATGGTAGATTGTTTTGTTAACTGAATACATACCTAAGTATATAAATGGTAGGTTGCTTTGTTTACTGAATATATACCTAAGTATATATATGGTAGATTGTTTTGTTTACTGAATACATACCTAAGTATATAAATGGTAGGTTGTTTTGTTTACAGAATACATACCTAAATATATAAATGGTAGGATGTTTTGTTTACAGAAAACATACCTAAATATATAAATGGTAGGTTGTTTTGTTTACTGAATACATACCTAAGTATATAAATGGTAGGTTGCTTTGTTTACTGAATATATACCTAAGTATATATATAGTAGGTTGTTTTGTTTACAGAATACATACCTAAGTATATAAATGGTAGGTTGTTTTGTTTACTGAATACATACCTAAGTATATAAATGGTAGGTTGTTTTGTTTACTGAATACATAACTAAGTATATAAATGGTAGGTTGTTTTGTTCACTGAATACATACCTAGGTATAATATGGCAGGTTGTTTTGTTTACTGAATACATACCTAAATATATAAATGGTAGGTTGTTTTGTTTACAGAAAACATACCTAAATATATAAATGGTAGGTTGTTTTGTTTACTGAATACATACCTAAGTATATAAATGGTAGGTTGTTTTGTTTACTGAATACATACCTAAGTATATGAATGGTAGGTTGCTTTGTTTACTGAATACATACCTGAGTGTATAAATGGCAGGTTGTTTTGTTTACTGAATACATACCTAAGTATATACATGGTAGGTTGTTTTGTTTTGCTATTTCCTGAGCCCTGAGATGTTTCTTGACAGTTATTGGGTAATAAGTCCCTCCTTTCACAGTAGGGTCATTGCACACTATGATACATTCCACACTGAAATGACATCAAATAAAACAAATTAGTTAAAATGGTATTTGTATAACTGAATTCATCATTTATTTGAGGGCAAACAGACAAGGTAAGTCCTCAAACATACTAAAATATTATGTGTCTAATTGAATAACCACTAAGGGACATTCAACAACTTGTGTGGGGAATCATAATTCCATCGGAAATATTTTCAAAATGACAACCATGGGTTTTAATTATGAGGAAAAAGACAAAAGGAAAAAGGCCTTGCTCATTTAGAGCTAGAGACCCAGGTTACCAGGTAGGGTGCTGTCAAGAGAAAATCTGGCACTTTATGCCTGACAATTATAATTCAATAGTTCATGTTACAATTTGATCATTAACTCACACTGACATACATCTTATGTCTTAACTCACCCTGACATATGTCCTATGTCTTAACACACCCTGACACACATCCTATGTCTTAACTCACCCTGACACACATCCTATGTCTTAACGCACCCTGACACACATTCTATGTCTTAACTCACCCTGACACATGTCCTATGTCTAAACGCACCCTGACACACATCCTATGTCTTAACTCACCCTGACACACATCCTTTATCTTAACTCACCCTGACACACATCCTATGTCTTAACACACCCTGACACACATCCTATGTCTAAACTCACCCTGACACACATCCTATGTCTTAATGCACCCTGACACACATTCTATGTCTTAACTCACCCTGACACATGTCCTATGTCTAAACGCACCCTGACACATATCCTATGTCTTAACTCACACTGACACACATCCTTTATCTTAACTCACCCTGACACATGTCCTATGTCTAAACCCACCCTGACACACATCCTACGTCTTTAAACTCACACTGACACACATCCTTTATCTTAACTCACCCTGACACATGTCCTATGTCTTAACTCACCCTGACACGCATCCTATGTCTTAACTCACCCTGACACACATCCTATGTCTTAACTCACCCTGACACACATCCTATGTCTTAACGCACCCTGACACACATTCAATGTCTTAACTCACCCTGACACATGTCCTATGTCTAAACGCACCCTGACACACATCCTATGTCTTAACTCACACTGACACATATCCTTTATCTTAACTCACCCTGACACATGTCCTATGTCTTAACTCACCCTGACACACATCCTATGTCTCAACACACCCTGACACACATCCTATGTCTTAATGCACCCTGACACACATTATATGTCTGAACTCATGCTGACACACGTCCTATGTCTTAACAAACCCTGACACACATCCTATGTCTTAACTCACACTGACACATATCCTTTATCTTAACTCACCCTGACACATGTCCTATGTCTTAACTCACCCTGACACACATCCTATGTCTCAACACACCCTGACACACATCCTATGTCTTAATGCACCCTGACACACATTATATGTCTGAACTCATGCTGACACACGTCCTATGTCTTAACTCACACTGACACACATCCTTTATCTTAACTCACCCTGACACATGTCCTATGTCTAAACCCACCCTGACACACATCCTACGTCTTTAAACTCACACTGACACACATCCTTTATCTTAACTCACCCTGACACATGTCCTATGTCTTAACTCACCCTGACACACATTATATGTCTGAACTCATGCTGACACACGTCCTATGTCTTAACAAACCCTGACATACATCCTTTGTCTTAACGCACACTGACACATATCCTATGTCTTAACACACCCTGACAGACATCCTATGTCTTAACGCCCCCTGACAGACATCCTGTGTCTTAACGCCCCCTGACAGACATCCTATGTTTTAACGCACCCTGACACACATTCTATGTCTGGACTCACCCTGACACACGTCCTATGTCTTAACTCACCCTGACACACATCCTGTCTTAACCCACTCCGACATACCACTCTGACACATGTTCTATGTCTTAACTCACCCTGACTCACATCCTGTCTTAACCCACTCCGACACACCACTCTGACACATGTTCTATGTCTTAACTCACCCTGACTCACATCCTGTCTTAACACACGCTGACACATGTCCTATGTCTTGACACAAGTCTTATGCCTAAACTCACCCTGACACACATCTTATGTCTTAACACAGATACTAGAATTCTATGATTCTGCGTTGCCAGAGAAAAAAAACAGAAATTTGGTTTTCAAAATGTTTGCAGAATTTGATTTTTTGCATGGAATTTCGCAGAAAAATTGATTTATCCAGATAACCACCTCATCTGACCTTTATACTTTAGACAATCATTTGTCATCAGAAACTGGTGTTGTGACGAGAAATATGAAACATGTTTAAAAATTCTCAAACTTCTGCCTTTGCACTAAACATTACGCCTAATATGTCACAAAATTTGAATTCCCTGAAATTTCGTGATAGTTCAGATGAAGCCGTTGCTTGCAGTTTTTATTTATGTCTCAACTTACCCTGACACACGTCCTATGCCTGTAATAATACCACCTGCTGGAACTTCCTCATTTCCATACAGCTTGTATCCAGCTAGCTGAGATAATTCTAGGAATGGAGATCTGAATGCACAGAAGAGACATGTGATTAAATATTGTAATCCCATGCTAAAATAATAAATTCATCAGAATTGTCAATTGTTTAATTTACTGTACAGTGTAAATTACAGTCTTAAACAGCTCAGGGTAAAAGCTGCTAAAATTGAACCTCCTTATGTCAAGCAACACATCAAGTATTGCGAGAACAATCCAAACAGATTTCACTTTCAGTGGTTGTGATTATGTAAGTTCTTTCAAGGGTTTTTTAAAAAATTTCAAAACAAATTGATACATTTTATAAACTTTTCGATAAACGTCGGGAGCTATTTGAAAAAGGAATAAACTGCTTAAGTAGTTTGTAAGTCATATTATTTAAATAGTTGTTTAACAATGCATTTTACTGTAATACTGTATAATTATGTTTTGTAATTGATTTTGTGAGGAAGTCAATTGTTTTGGCTTGAAACACAATAAAATCTTGATCTTGAATGTTGCTATGCTTGATAAGGCTAATAAACAAAGCAGTGGGTAATTAATCTTCTGAGCATTTGACATTCACAGATACATGGAGTCTCCTCCTGTGACTGGTAAACAAGTATGGCAAATCACTTGACAGACTGATTTGAAATGTCAGGGAACTTTAAATTTTGCTCAAATTCAAACCATGCCAGAATGACAGCTGAGCATTTTTTTTACTTTTTTGGCTTTTGCTATTACTACTCATCCAAAAAGGATGGTAAATACAAAGTTTCCCTCAAGATTTTCAAAGGTTTATAGAGTATATAATACTTGATATTACATGTAAACTTACCCTGGGTCTAAAAGTTTGTCTATTCGATCTCTGGGCATCAATTTCCCTCGTCCTATATGCCTTTCCCTTGCTTTGTCACCACCTCCTAGGAAAATTAATATTTTCAAAATTTCAATCATATATCAAGACCCGAAAAGGGACAAAAACTATTTATTACATTAGGTTTATGCCATGTAAATGCTCCAATGTTCACTTTCAAGCTTACATTTATCCGGGGTTTTTAAGTTTTTATCTGTAATATGTTATGTAGCAATATAATTAACAAAGGCTACTACCCATATTATAACATTAACATATAATTCCAGAGGATTAGGGTTTTCTTGCAACACAAAATGTGGAAGGCATATGACAACAGATTTACTAACATCAAGTACTGATAAGAAACCAACAGTGAAGTATTGTTTGGGAACATCTGGTATTTAACTATTGCTAAGTAAGGAACAACAAGTAAAATGTTGCTTTGGAAAAATTTGGAATGTGTTGCTATAAAAAACTCTAAATGGAAGCTATGAAAATATCGGTACAGATGTATCATGTAATGGAATAAAGATAGTATATAATAAATCAATGTACAGTAATTTACCTTTAACGATATGTCCAACTTTGTTTTTAAGTTCATCAACTAGTGCTCTCATGCGCCTGTAGTTCTCCTGATATAAAATAAAAATTCAAGGTAGAGGTATATCTTTATAAGAGATAGGTTCATCTATGGGATGCAAATGTCAAGAATTACTGGCTTTTGAAAAACAAAGTATAGCTTAATCAGGGTTCCCACAACCATTTCAGAGTGGGTGTGGCACATCAATAAACTAGGCCTAGAGACTAGTGGTACAACTGTACAAGTCGCAATGAAGACAAAAGTCAATAGGATTATGAAAAATTGAGCCAGGACTCGATGAGTCATTTGATGTCTTTATTTCTTCAAAGCAAAATGTCATCGTTCTAAAATCTAAATAATTTAAGATTCAACTGCACAAAAAAAATGCTAAAATACTCAGATTCGCTCCAATATTTCCCTGCTCATCACCCTAATTTCCTGATTCTGATAGAATATGTTTTGAAAAACAACTAGACAACGGCAACGCCAATGTGGAGCAAATTCCATCGAACAGCCACCCGACAAATGGCCACCTACTAGCCAATTAAGACAGTGTGTCATGCTTATGAGTATTCACATATCAAATATGAACAAAATCGCTCTATTACTTTTTGAACTATAGTAAAAAAAAAAGTAAATAACAAACGTAAAAATGGTAGCCATTTTCAAAATGGCCACCTACTCCCCAAAGTGTCATTAGACAGTGTGCCATGCTTATAGTATTCAAATATCAAAAATGAACAAAATCGCTATACTATTATTCGAGTTGATTAGTAAAAACCGTAAAAATGGCAGCCATTTTTCAAAATGTTTGGTCTTCTACCAAAACTGCCATTAGACAGTGTGCCATGCATACAGTAGTCACATTTCAAATATGAACAAAATCGCTTATTTTCAAGTTACATCAAAAATCATAATAAAAAATAGCGCGTAAAGGTTAATTGTCATTTTTCAAGATGGCTGCCATGTGCTTCTTAAATATCTACATTTCTAGCTTTATTAATGTCCTATATAATTTAAACATATTGCTATTACAGTTTTATATATATTGAGCCTAAATTACTCTAAAATCAGCACTTAAGGTACAGCTGGAAAGTAACATTTTGGTAATAAATTGCTATACCTGCCCATGTTATTTTCTGGTACAAAATAAAGTATGAAGGCATGTGTCAATTTCCTTGCTTTTTTCAGGAAAGTATCATTACATTGTCTTCTTTTAGAATATCTGGTAGGCGTTCAATGGGACCTCCAGGAAATTCTGATATTTTACACTTTCTATTTTTCCAAATTTTCTTTCAAAGTTTCCAGACAACACAGGAGCTACCATTGACCTGTTTCTAGATATTCTAAAAGAAGACAGTGTAATGATACTTTCCTGAAAAAAGCAGGGAAATACACACATGCCTTCATACTTAATTTTGTACCAGAAAATAACATGTGCAGGTATAGCAATTTTTTACCAAAATGTTACTTTCCAGCTGAACCTTAATTGGCTGCCATTTTTAAACAAGCAGCCATTTTGAAAATCTGCTTTCGAGCCCGGACAGATGGTCGGATCTGTGTATGTATGGACGGACGGACAGAGGTGTTTCCTATATCCCTCCGAGCTTCGTTCGATGGGATGATTTAAGCAAATTAGAATGTGGTGTCAAATTACTACAGCTAAGTTGATTTTGAAATGTGAAGGTAAGTGATGACTTCAAAATCACCAAACAGTCGAGTGACATTCTACATTTCCAACAAGCTTAGGCTAAGCTATTATTGGATGAAATGTAGAATGTCACTCATCTTTTTGGTGATTATGAAGTCATGCACTACATAGTTCAAAATCAACTTCTGGCCCTCTTCTGGCTTGAAAAAGTATAAAACTCTTATCTTTGGCTATAAGGAACAAGACATGAGCTATACTTATTTTAATTGAATGATTAAATAACTTATGGTATATTATATTTGTAAACTATTGTAATAATGGTCATGAATTAACATTATATCATTTTTCACAAATAATGTAATACTGTAAGATGTAATTTAATGATGTACACAAAGGTGCAAAATAAGAAATATATACATAACATGAATTATTAAAAGCAAGTAGCTACTACAGTCTCAGCTGTAGTGACTAGCCCTTATGGCTAAATCGATAGAGCGTCAGTCTTGGGAGCGGAAAGTCCTGGGTTCAATTCCCACACTTGGCATTGAATTTCGCACCCTTTCAGGTCTACTATCTGGCTCATTGCACTACAGCTCCCTGGACGTGCATGGCCTCAGGTTGTTACAGCCTCACTCACCTTTTAATGTTTCTCAAAACAGATGTTATTCTCTCAAAATCAGGAAACTATTATTGATGAGCAGGGAAATTTTTTGTAGGGAATTTCAGTCTCAAAAAATAACGAGTGACAACTTACACTTCCTCCGAGTATACGCTAGGCCTTAATCCAGGGGGGATTAACCCCAGAGATCAAAGATGACATGCCCTTATAATGAAACCTGTATTGAGATGACATGTCTCTGATTGGTCAAAATCGACAAACAAAATGCCGGCTCAAAATATTCGAAATACACTTTGGATAATATTATGTTCATATCATGGCTTCTTATTTCACATCAGTATAAAGAAAGGTTTGCGGAATATCAATATGCCTACATCAATTCAAACATCACATCGAAGTGTAGGGTCCATATCACTGTTTTATTGCGTCAGTTAGTGGAACCCCAAAAATAAGAAATCAAGAGAAAATTGAGCAATAATATATGGAAAAGTATATTCGTATTGTACATGAATGACATTTGTTTATTTCAGATTTTTTAGTTTTCTTAATGTCTTATTGAAAACAACATGGCAGAGCATTGGCGTCAGAAGGGGGAGAGCATTGGGGGCGACTGCTCCCCCCCCCTTTAGTTTTTAGTCAAAGTCAAGTTAAATTTTCTTGGGAATTTTGTGCTGAGATGTGTTCAGAATGAAAAAGAGAGGGTCTAATTTTGAAAATTTTCTGGGAGCACGCCCTCCAAGCTCCAACCCCCCTAGATTGCACTTTGCGTGTGGTGCGCTTTGCGGCATGACCCATCCATACCCAAAAGTCTTATCTTTGGCTATAAGGTACAAGACATGAGCTATACTTATGTTATTATTCCCTTGGCAAATCCTTCTGACGCCCCTGGAGAGAAGCATCCAAATATAAGAGGCCACATACTTTATAAGCCAAACTAGAAGCAATTCAAGATATGCAAATGTCATATACAATAGGAATATATTTTTCCATGTATGATTGCATAATGATATTTTGATTTATTATTTTTTAGGTTTTACTGACACAATAAAACAGTGAAATGGACTCTAGTACTTGGAAACTAGCTGGTGAAAATTCGAACAAATGAAAGGTGGGAAGCAATAGACCTAATTATATCTGTTATCTCTAAAGTTCTGAGGTTTTCCCTCATCTTGCCTAGATCTATAGTTTAATAGGCCTAGGCCTCTCTAGGCCTCAGGCTAGGCCTATACAGTAAAATTTTAAATGTTTGGAACTACTTTGAATTTAAAAAATAAGCAATCAAATGACTATATTGCAACAGTATTTAAAAATTAGAAACATATATACTTGTCCTAACTTTTGTATATTTCAGATAGTTATATATAATGTGCAGTAAAGCTGTGGCCTTTTGTAATTTAGGTAGTTTCAGCCATGTTAATTTTTCAGAAAATAACATGGCAGAGTTACCTTATTCTTCAGCCACAGTGTGGCCTTACGCTATCATCAAGCCCTGTTTGTTTTATTGCTTTTTACGATATCCCGTGTGGACTGTTGCTATAAATTAACTCAAATGTAATAAACATCAGACCTTCATTGAACTTAGTATGTAGTCTTAGTTCAAATGGCCATCTACATCGGCTTTTATTTAGTCTTTTCTTCTACAGCAATCTTTTGAAAAAGATCCTTCCGTAAAAATGGCCATTGTTTTTCGTGAAGTGAGATAAAGATCAACCTCAACAGATGTTTTATAAATGGCAGACCAAATGATTTTAAGTTTAGACGAAAGCATGCAATATCTCACAAAGGATAGTATTTTTGTTCTATTTGATGAAATATTCTCATTACAATTTTTAGAATAACATCTAAAAAAATTGTACTCCCGAATCAACGTTTTCACTAGTGCACGTTGGTCCACATGCCATGTCTTCTAGCCAACTACAAAACAAACTAAAATATACAAAAATTAGGACATGTATAAATGTTTCTATTTTTACATATACTGTTTCAATATGGTCCTTTGATTGCTTGTTTTTAAATTCAAAGTAGTTCCAAACTTTTAAAATTTTACTGTAATACACCTTTAGGTGAATATAAGCTTATTCTTCCAGGTTTTGCCATCAATAGATACTAGGGGTACCACATTACGAGAAATTGAATATTGATACGTATCTACGATACTGAGCTCACGATACGATACGAACGATACAATTATACAGCGTAAATTGAAGTAAAACTGAACTTTATTCTAATTTTTCAAACTTGTAAAGCCACAAGTACTTTACCCGGATTACGTTTATTTCACATCACGACAAAGAAAGGTGTAACATATGCTAACATTGATTAAAAAACATCTTAACAACGTGTGGTATTCTGGAACTAGCGGGGCAAACAAAGGTGGCAAGCAAGATACGTAACTATGACTGTCTGTCATCTCTAAGCTCTGAGTTTTTGCCTTCCTTTGGGTAAGTAAGAAGGGACTTCCGGTCAAAAAACGATACGACCGATTACCGATATTCATTTTATGATATAGCTCGTATCAGAGCTGAATTGCCTGAGCGCTCAAGCGCTCGCAGTACCCCTAATAGATACCAGTTAATACTGGTTCTTGTGATTCTGGGAGCCTTGAGTGTACTATCCTTACTCGGTTTGTTTATCTCATGGTATGAGGAAAGTAGTTCTATTAGAAACCTGTTTGGGGACTTCAATGGTATACTACAGCACCATCTTTGGATAGAATACTCTCATTCTACCCTTGTCAGGTCTTGTCAAGCAAAGAAAAGAAAAATTGTAGGCCTACCTGATACTCATCTGAAGAATGATCAGGCTTAGTACCTACGGGAGCAGTTTTATCAATGTGAAAACATCTGGAAAGACAGAGAGGCCCTTTTGACTGTCTTAAACTTTGCAACAGTAACTTTCGAAGCATTATAACGGCAAATAATCTTCCAATTTTTCTTGAAATTTTGTAAACCGGAAGTGCGGGTAGCAAAGCGATCAGGATATTCGTGTACACATAATCGAATAATATTTCAACTTGGATATCATAAATTTAATATCAATCAAAGATTTAAAATGCTCCATATATTTGTTTTATGATTTTATTTCTAAAGGAAATCAAACTTTGAATGCAATACTGATATAGAATTGATTGAACTGGTGCTAAACATTTAAATAAATCGAAAGCAGCTCTGTAATCTGCAAATACCCGGATATTCACAGCTGTCGCCAATCACTGCCGATCGGTGACTTCTATTTTGCATATTCATAACCAATTACCTTATAAGTAGCGATACACTACACATAGCCTCATGCCACCTAAAAGGCCATTGAAGAGAGCCATGTCGTTCATACACGTGAGCCCAGATTCGCATTTTCCCATCCAGAACCTACCGTACGGTGTATTTTCAACCGAAGATGACGTGAGTACATTTTTGATAGATTTCACTCCCTTGAGTCAAGACTTGACCACATAAATCGATACCACAAAATCAAGAAATAATGTTGAAATAAGCGAAATGAAATAAGCACTTGTTGATTTTCATTTTGAAAAATCAATGGATTTCATGATCGCCATTGATTAGATCTAATACTGACTGTGTTGATTATGGTGTTTTAGCTTAGGCTAAGGGAAAAGTATAGCCTAGCCTAGATCTAATAAAAGCAGATTTACAGGCCCATAGCCAGAATTTACGTGGGGGGAGCGGTTTTACCAAGGGGGAGCTTTGACAGTTTTGGGCAAAATCATGCGAAAAGTGCTCAGAATGGTGAAAAACTCACGGACGTCAAGTAAGTTTCTGGCGAAAGCCAGAGCATAGATTATTAAGTATGTATCCAACAGACTGACTAAATAGGATATAGTCTAATAGATTATTTAATTAATCTATGCTCCAGCTTTCGCCAGAAACTTACTCGACGTCCGTGGAAAAACTACATGATTTTGAAAGAATTTCTGGCCAGGGGGGAGGAGCGGCCGCTCCGTCTCTGGGCCTCAGCTACAGGCCTGATCCAATAAAGACTCAACTGAAGTCAGTGTTTTCAGTAGGCTTGTCCAGGATTGCGTCCCTGGGCTGTAATGATTTTCATGAAATGCGTCTCCCCTCAAAAAACGCGTCCCTTGAAAAGATTTTACCAGGAATTCAAAGTCACGTGTTTACACTGGACGAAATGAAATTGATGAAATTTTGTATTGCTTTTGCTATTTATCGGTCAAAATCAGTATTCTAGCGAGTCTAGTATGTTATTGAATAATACAGATACCATCACATTGTGAGTTATAACTTATATTCAACCATTAAAAACACATTTTCTTTGTGAATTTCTAAGCAATTTGATATTGATTTTGCTTTAGTTTAGGGGCAAATGGATATTGAACATTTTTTGAACCAAGATAACAGAGTTCTCTTTGGACCTCCAGTCAGTTTACTAGTTCCACATATCATTTACTAGTCCAACAACATTAGACCTAGCCCGGGCCTCGTTTCTTATCTGACATGTGTTATGGCCCGGCTAGGTCTAACCTCCATGACCATTTTGCCTTTGATGCGTTAATTTAATCGTTCAGCAGGTTTCGACAAGCGGAACAAATTAAACCCTGAAAACATGGCAATATTACACAAAGAATGTGATTCAAACATGCATACATACCTTATAAACACATACACCCCGTCCCGTATCCCCCTTAGACCCTATTGATGCATAATTACGAAAATATTGGAGACAGGTTTGGAAATGACGAAAATGTCGGTCAGTTTCGGTAACATCGAAATTGCAAATCGTTTCAGGAATTAACCGTCATCACGGCACTGCATTAACGAACAGTGGGTTTGCAATTAATAACTATTTTGCGTGTATACACGCGCTATATAAATTAATCAAAGATACCTGTTATCCTCAAAATTGATCTTTTTATCCCGCTTAATCGCGATAATAATTATCAATCTATTTGACAACAATTTCGTTTCGCTGGCAGTTTAATTTTACGATCCGGGACACTCAGACGAACAGACACAATGACGGACATGCGGAATGTCACTTTAGAGATTGGTAAGTGTAGCCTCATTTTACTCGTATAAATGAATATTTAACACAAAAATATTGTGTTAAATCGCTTGATGTTATGTGTTTTTATATTATTGTCAAGTATCAGTTGCACGTTATCGCGGAAAAATGGTTTCGATGGATTCAGAACTTGCATCAAAGGAAAGAATAGTAAGGAGGTTAAACTCAATAATGGCCCCAAGAAAATTCCTAATAATAAAGAACGCCGTTATTGAGTTTAACGACGTTGAACTAATCATTTACATGACCGGGAACACAATGGTAATGGTCAGAATGACCAAACATGATGAAATAACCTTTTCAGCCCTCTTAAAATGTGACTGAAAAATAGCTAAGAGTAGGTGCTCTGGAAAGGCATAGAGCCCATCTGACTTTTTCAGAAAATGTGCCCAATATATTTCTCTAAATGATACAATTAAAAAAAATTAATGTCATTCTAAGAAAAAGAAAAAAATGTAAAAAATGTAAATGATATGTGGAACTAGTTAAACTGACTGGAGGTCCAACCAGAACTCTGTTATCTTGGTTCAAAAAATTTTCAAAATCCAGCATGGTTTTGACATTTTTTGTTTTGTCATATCCTGTTAACTTCCATAGCACCTTAAATTTTAAGGTTCTTTAGCATTTCGGCTAAAGAGCCTTAAATTTTATGGCTCTTTAGCATTTTGATTGCCAATTTTGCTAGAGAGCCTTAAAGGAATTCTAGGAGACGGAAATGACAAAATATTGCTTCTGGGACTGGATCAAACGACATATTCTTTATCAGGGTGGTGAGATAAGGTTGCCCCTGGGGTAGGCTCAAAAGTTTGTGTGATAACCCCCATGCAAATGTTGCATTATATAATATGTACTCTAAACATTTCAGATATTTGGCGATACACAAAAGAGACATGGCGAAACATTAGTATTAATTAAAAATATTGAATTTTCTGATCTATATTTTATTTTAATTTGTTTGTGTTACTGTAACCTTATGTTGCATCTGAAAATCAGTTGTGTGTTTGTGATGTTTTGCTATTGGTTCAAGTTAAGTCAGCCTCTATTGATTTTTTGAAACATCTGCTACCAATTTTACATGTGACATGCACCACAATATATCTTCTAATACCAGCCTACATATTAGTATTGACCTGTACATGTATGTGTGTACTTATGGATAAATGAATGCATGCTTGTTTCATAAAACCATGAAAAACAGATCATATATGCTACATTTTTTACTGTTATCTCAATGTTCTGTTAAGCAATAGATAAGCTCACTCAAAATAAGTCCAACATTATTCATCTACAGGGGAGTTCAAAAAACTCTTTACCAAACATATACTTCGATTATTTATATAGGCTGTAAACTCCCTCAATGTTCTATCATTCCAGCCTTCTCCAAGAGTTGGTGTTGCCATTGGCGACAAGGTCCTTGACCTTGCGATGGTCAGACATTTCTTTGAGGGACCAATCATGAGAGAGCATCAAGATGTCTTTGAACAGGTAGAGTGCAACTATTAGAGTGTTATATTGCAATAATATTATAATATGAATTAGGTTATAAATGCATTTGGAAAAAATGATAATCTCACAGAAATGAACCTTTAAAATTGTTGTGAATGTGATAGAGTATGATGATATGTTGCAATGTAAAATGTATGATACATGTAATTCCAGCCCCAGTTGAATGAGTTGATGGCCCTTGGGTATGAGGCATGGAAAGAAACAAGACAGACAATTGAGAAGTTCTTATCTCCAGACGATCCAGAGCTGAGATCTAATCATGAGCTAATGTTGAAGTAAGTAATGACTCAGCTTTACCTGGCATTATTTTGTGTTCTTTTGCTGCCTGTTGAGTAGAATGAAATGCCAGCTATTATCACCTTATGACATCAATCACTGAATCACATGTGTCAAGCTGTAATTGCTGTATGATTAAACTCCTTTGCTTGAACTGTTTCATATTCTGCATGGTATGGGTTTTTAGAGAAGGATCATGGATTCTCTAATGATTCCCCCTTTTACATGTATTTGACCAGTGTGTATTTATGAATTTGTATTTGACCTTTATGTATGTATATATGACCTTATATTTGACCTTTATATGACCTTGTATTTGACCTTCATATATGGTCATTATCCCAACGAACGAAGTTCGTTAGGGATATAGTGAAGCCCTCCGTCCGTCCGTCCGTCCGTCAGTCCGTCAGTCTGTCAGTCCGTCAGTCAGTCCGTCCGTCCGTCCGTCCGGAAGATAACTCAAATATTAGTTGACGGATTTTCTTCATTTTCAAGATGGCCGTCGCTTTAAAAATGACAGGACTTTTTCGCAAAAATCATAAATTTTTCATTCTAAACCAAAGTAATTAATATTATTGTTTGAAATTTTGGTAGTATATTCGCAACATCTATCTATTTCACATATATTCAGTGTTTTTCATCCTGACCCCCAGGGGCCGTGTATGGGGGGTCAGGAAAACAGACATTTTCGCTAATTTTTAGATCTTTCTGAAGTATAGCTTTATTATACTCAAATGAAAGGCAATTAAGAGTAGATTGCAAATATTGTATCTTTTTTCTGATTCGAGCCTCGTAAAATTCAAAATGGCCGTCTAATGTACGATTTCGCAGTAATTTTTCGATCCCTTTAAAGTATGGCTATATAATACTCAAATTGAAGGAATTTTGGAGTAGATCACAATTATGGTATTATTTTTCAGATTTGTACCTCAGAAAATTCAAAATGGCTGCTTTGCAGGAATTCGCAATTCTTAAATCTAAATTTTTCAATTTTAACCAAAGTAATGAGTATAATTGATTGGAATTCGGTAATTGATATTTTGTTCGTTGGGATTTGCTACTCTGCGGAGTTGCTGTTATCTAGTTTTAGAATTGATAAATTACATTTATGGAATAGATTGATATACATGTAAACTTGTACATGTATATGGCTGTTATTAAGATTGTTAATTTTTATCTCATTCTATCATTATAGATCTGTTACCTGTATATAATGCAGAATTTCTTATTTCCAGGGCATTTATACCCCAGAACAAGGTGACAATGCACCTTCCTGCCAAGATAGGTGAGTCAACTACATATAGGTGGAACTTTAGTCACTGTATTAAATAGAGCTTTAGTTGCAATCATTAAAGACATTTAACTCTGCATAAAAATATACAATATTAAGACTTTTTGGCTCACACTGTGAGCCTATGGGATTGACCAGGCATCCGTACGTCCGTTAGTCCGTCCATCCGTCCGTCCGTTGGTCCGTCCGTCAACATTGGCCGCACAAATTAAAACTGCTATTCGGATTGAGTCATATCCACATTCATTTTATGCATATCTATAATGCCTATTTGACCTATCATCAACATTTCCCAAGTTCGCCCGGTTTCCGAGAAATTGCAGATTTTGACGTCAAAAAGTCAAATTTTCTGTAAATACTAGACACTTTGTTCAAGTAGAACTTTCAAATAACTTTTAGTAGTTGGTGTATATGCCACTTATGTCCTCTGAAGGATTCAAAGCTCTTGGAATTACGGTTTTTGGTGTTTACTCTATAAAATTTGAAAAAGAGTAGGACTAGTCATTTTCAGGAAACTTTCTCATGTATAAAGTCGATGGCAGGTTTTGTGATTGACAAGATTCTTAAAGTTTGCCTTATACTTGATCATTTCCTGCAATAAATTACATCATTAATAGATTTAAGCATTCCCTACCAGGCCCGTAGCCAGGATTTGCCAAGGGGGGGTTCAATTTTCAAAAATTTCCAGGGGGGGGGTTCACATTTAACAATTTTGGCCCAAATTAGGCTAAAATCACTAGAGAAGTGCTCAAAATGGTCAAAAACTGCATGATTTTGAAAGAATTTTTGGCCAGGGGGGGTTCGCCCGAACCCTGCGAACCCCCCCTGGCTACGGGCCTGCCTACATATTTCTCAATATATGTCAGCATCAAACTTTTACAGTTTTTGAGATATTTGACATCAAAAAACAGTAAAAATAAGTTATTTTTCAACTTGCTTCAATTTGACAAATTTTTTTTTGAAAATCATCTACAAGTTGCCAGGAGTTCAAATCTGACATTAGTTTTAGGATTTGACCTTAACTTGACCTTCAGTGACCTTCGAAAGGTCAAAAAAGTTGATTTTTCAAATTGATTTTTGGATGTAAATTTTGGTCAGCTTAATCACAAAAGACCTTACTGAGCTCTGAATAAGTAAAATTTTCAAGGTCAAAGGTCATCATACTAGGTCACACAACTATGCTATCTAAGTTTCTCAAATCCAAATCAATATTTTTGTTTGAAAGTCAGGATATAAATTCCTCTGAAGGTTCCAAACTGTGTGAGCACAGGACCGATGGTCCTTCATTATAGATAATGACATTATAACCCTAGGTGACCAAAAAATGCAACCCTTTAAATTTGGAAGAACTTTCTCAGTTATAGTGGAATCTCCTTGAATTTTCTGTTGTAGATACTAATAGAATAGAGTATTTAGTATAGAGTATGCAAAGTATGTCTGTATTATTCCATCTAGGAATGCTCTTTTGCCAAATTATTCAAAAATGCAATTCAGAAAACTGTTTTTATCAAAAAGGCAATTAGGACATAGCTATGATAATGTATATGAATGCAATCTGGAAATTACTGTTAAAGTTCCTCTAAATATGTAAGTGTTGGATGCAATGTGGCATTGTCTGCTTCCTTGAATACTCTATTCAAGAAGACACACCTTCATAATTGAGAAAACTCAAAAAAGAGGACTGCATATTTTTGGGTCACCCTGTAATATATAATTGATTCAGTATTTTATATTTGATTTCCTTGTTTATTGCAGGTGATTACACAGACTTCTATTCATCTCTAGAGCATGCCACTAATGTAGGGACAATGTTCAGAGGCAAAGACAATGCTCTAATGCCTAACTGGTGAGTGAAACTTAACATTTGCTCAGGTTCCACATCTGTTAATGATAAGGGAAATTTGAACTAGTTTTCTAGCTTTCTATCATAAGGCATGGTGTAATGCATTATACAGTTTTCTATAATTTGAATCGTCCACATTATTTGTGAAAATCTTTCCCTTTGTGTTATTCCTCGGATATCATGGAGGGTGATCTTTGAATAGACTTCAACAGACTATGAAATGTGTCTGATGAGTGAAACTTAACTTAATATAACTTAACATAATATTTGGGTAGAGAAAGTAGGTTTGCAAATCTCCTCACTCTTAGTTACTAAATTGGGTAATTTGGGTTGGTTACTTCTATAATGTGTGCACGTGACATGAGTTCACAAACTTGTATGATGATATTCATATATCATCTAACTTACTCATGATGTATTACTAATTACCTTATTCTCTCTAAAAGACGCACATACTCCAATAAAACACTTACTTCTTTTCCATGAAAGACCTTGGCAACTTGAGTGACAAAAATCAAGAGAAAAAGTTAAAGTTAAAAAAAAATAATTGGTTGATAATACTTTTTATTCACTTCCCGCCATCGATTTGCACACACAACACACAAGAAACCTTTATTGCTTTATAAAGACCAGTCAGTGACAGAAAGATATTGACTATAGTACCGCTGTGAATAACCTAAATTGCAGCCTGCACTAACGAACGGGAAGTATTTCCATTGTCTTGCATGCTGGTGACATTGCGCCTTTTTAAATAGATCACACACCCCAGAAGCGTATCAATTAAGAAAAAATCCTAGAAAAACCTTACAGATTTTACCATACTTTGTCAGCCAATCGATCAATGCATGATAAATACATTTAGGTATGACATTTAAGTGAGGTTTCCAGTTTTAAGGAGGAAATTCATGTTTCACCCTAGTATCGCCCATATATTTACCTTTGAAAAATCCCCTGGTTTCTTGTAATTTGAGACATCTCCTGAAGGAGAATTTGGTAGGCCCGCTGTGCGTATAGTAGAGAGAATATGGTAAGACTTTTTTAACAAGCTTTTACTGCATACTGGCTTGTATTTACCCAGTATTTCTGAACTAGTGAATATTGTGTTTTAGGAAACATTTACCTGTGGGATACCATGGTAGAGCGTCCAGTGTGGTTGTGTCTGGGACTCCAATAAGACGTCCCTGCGGTCAGATGAAACCTGATGAAAGTAAGTGAACAAAGACACAGACATAGTATCAATCAAATAATTTCTGACTGAAAAATCTCCATATCCTTTATAGCATGATCAGAATGACGATTTATGCATCAAGATTCCACCCCCTCCCTGTAACACTGATCTTCATCTATGTGAAGGGTAGTGTCTCGATAAAAGACTAATGACAACCCAAAATGAAAACATTGTCTTTTAGCCCAGCCTCCAGTGTTTGGACCATGCAAACTCATGGACTTGGAATTAGAAATGGCTTTCTTCACTGGCCCAGGCACAAAACTAGGAGAACCTATACCCATTGAGAAGGCTCATGAACATATATTTGGAATGGTCTTGATGAATGACTGGAGTGGTAAGTTATCCTTAGTGCCCACTGAATCTTGTGTTATTTAATAAAAGTATAGCACACTAAAATAAAGAAAAAATATTTGACTTGGAAATCATCTTTATCGAGGTTTCATTTTTATGGCTTTTTGAGATATCATTTTTTGAGTTAGGCCTGCTTGTTTTTACAACGAAAAAGTATATTTCTGCTTTTTTAATGTTTTAGATAGTTCAATTGTCTAACCTTTCATTTCCAGCTCGAGATATCCAGAAATGGGAATATGTCCCATTGGGTCCCTTTTTAGGCAAGAACTTTGGAACGACAATCTCCCCCTGGGTGGTCCCCATGGATGCCTTAATGCCATTTGTCAAACCTAACCGAGTACAGGACCCAAAGCCTCTACCATACCTTGTACACGAGGATCCTTACTCCTTTGACATTCAGCTGGAAGTAGCCATAAATGGTAAAGAAATATATGAAAATTCAGTGATTTTTCTGTATGAAAAGGAGTGTATGTGATAGAAACTTTGAGAGTTGTTATGGTATGTTATATTTTCAATAATGCTTCGAGAGAACAAAGGCTAAATTTGCCTTAATGCAAAATTAATTAATGCAGAATGGACTGAAAAGTCAGCAATTTAAATAATTTATTTGCAAAATTGTTAACATATCCAACTAATATGTGTACGTGTACCTATAAGCAATGATGATAACTTTTCAGTTTCATAGAGAATGAATGTACTGTAATGTTAATGTCAGATTTTCCATTTCAAAAGCTATTGTTTTAGTAGGGGTTTTCAGTAGCAGTAAAAAGACATATTGAATTACGGACACTGTATCAAAGGCCAAAGGTGGATCTTTGAGTGTCCTTTGCCCTTTGAATTTTACGGACACTGTATCAAAGGCCAAAGGTGGATCTTTGAGTGACCTTTGCCATTTGAATTTTACGGACACTGTATCAAAGGCCAAAGGTGGATCTTTGAGTGACCTTTGCCCTTTGAATTTTACGGACACTGTATCAAAGGCCAAAGGTGGATCTTTGAGTGACCTTTGCCCTTCGAATTTTACGGACACTGTATCAAAGGCCAAAGGTGGATCTTTGAGTGACCTTTGCCCTTTGAATTTCCAGGTCAATCACCTGATTCTCTTATTCAAAGATTCACCATTAGAGCCATTTTCATTGCATTTGCCCACTTTTAGGTTTTACAGATACAAATACAGATTTGTCCCAAGATCTGGTTATGTTTTAGGCATGTTGAGCTACAGGGTGACCATTTTGTTCTTCAAGGGTGACATATGTCACTGTGTGTCTATTGATTGATTTTTGTTTAATTCATTTCTTGTATTTTCAGCCGAGGGACTTAGTCAGCCTGCAACAATCTGTAAATCTAATTTAAAAGTAAGTTACATGTACATTATTCCTTATTGTTGATTTTTTTCTTTAAACCTTAAACTTGCCATGTAATTTAAAGATGTATTTTAGCTGCATGCGTGTTGATTGAAAAACATAGCAAAACATGTAAATAGATATATTGAAGAACATACACTTATCGGTTGTAGAACATTTACTTGTCTATTGTTAAATGTATAATTGTAGAATATGTAATTGAAAATTGTAAAACATGTACTTGCCTATAGTAGAACATATATTTGCCTAAAGTGGAACATACACATTTGTCTTTAGAGCTTAAACTTCTCTGTTGTAGAATATGAACTTGTAGATTGTTTTTGAACATTATACACTTGTCTATTGTAGAGCATACTTTGTCTGACATGTCATGTCTATTGTAGCACATACTCTGGTGAACACATACATGTCTGTTGTTGAACATACATGTACACTCATCTTTTGCAAGACTTGTTTATTGTAGAATATACAAGTACACTTGTCTGTCTTACAACATGTATTGGACAATGAAGCAACAACTAGCCCACCATACTGTCTCAGACTGTAAAATATAGACTTGTTTATTGTAGAATATATGAGTACACTTATCTGTTGTAGAACATGTATTGGACAATGAAGCAACAACTAGCCCACCATACTGTCTCAGGCTGTAATGTTAAACCAGGAGATCTGATGGCATCTGGCACTATAAGTGGACCTGTAAGTAGATGTCATTCATCTCAACTTTGAGCACAATCAGATTCAGATTAGAAATATTTGGCGCACATGTTTTCTTTGTGTTATATTCCAATGTATGATGCAGAAATATTTAGATTGAGTATTGATAGGATTTTGAAGGCTACAGCTGCAATGTTTGTTATTTATTGATTTATTTTTTTATTTCAGGAGGAGGAGTCATATGGCTCTATGCTTGAACTGTGTTGGAAAGGCACTAAGACTATTGACCTTGGCAATGGTGTTACTCGCAAGTTTCTAAAGGATGGAGATGAAGTTATTATAACTGGTAAGTCACTTCTTTGTTATATCTTGTACTACACTGTGAAGTGAATGAGTAGAATACATTTTTGAACAAATTAATGAGCATTCCAGGAGAAATTCAATCATTTAAGCTTAGCTTTTTTCTAATATGTGTTCCATCAACTATTATCCTACACTTAGTGTACTAAATGTATAATAACATTAAAAAATAAATTTGATATTTATGGGCAAAATGAATATCCGGAGGATATCGTCACGATATACTCCGGGCGGAGGGTATCGTGACGATATACTCCGGAAACCCCAATATGCGGAGGATATTGTGACGATATACTCCGCTTGTTGATTTCCCGCCAAATTGACTCTATTTGGCATGAAATTCATTTTGCAATGATATTATACATTTAGTACACTCCTTGTAAGTGTAGGATAATAAGAACATCCTATGATTTTTTCAGAATATCATTTTAATCTACTCGGTGATATTGATATATGCACTCGTTCGCTTCGCTCTCTCGTGCAGATATCAATATCACCTCGTAGATAAAAATGATATTCCTCAAAATTATAGGATATCCTATAAATATACTATGTTTTTTGCTTAAACGAAAAATAATATATACAGTTGAGTGCCTTTCAAAGTATTTTAATAAATTTTATTCCAGGTTACTGCGATGGAGATGGTTATAGAGTTGGATTTGGCAACTGTACTGGGAAGGTTCTCCCTGCCCACAGCTCGTAATCAAAGAATGGTAGATAGCATGACAGCCAACCCCCTTCCCCCACTATAGTGTTAATTATTTTCACAAACTTAGTATTGGAAAATAGAATTGACTTTGGATGGTATAAACTTATTACAATTTTCAACTCAAGACATTTATTTTAAAAATGGATTATAACCTACTTTTATTCTGACCCCATGTTAATCGGAGCATGGGAAACTTGGCCTATTTTGAAGATATTTAAGAGGGGCCTTCATTATGTAATCTCAAAGCCTAATATATTTTAAATGAAGGGTTTCATATTGAAATAATTCTGCACACAAAGGCTTAGCCCATTGGATATTAAACAGTGTGTACGAAAACAACATACAATATACATTGTTTTGTTGTTTGTGTTCTGTGATCTAGAGTAAACTACTATAGTGTATATTTGCTCTGCAGTGTGCATATTAGAACTATGGATTGACCTAGTGAATAGATATTTTGCTTTTATATCAATGGATTTCTCCTCACAGTGTTTGAAAAATCAACCATCAGACTAGACTACAAACCCTGTGAGGAGTGTTACTATTACTGTGCTGTATGTATATTACTGGTTGGCATTATCCTATTATTGCTAGGGTGTTATATAAACAGAAAAAATGTAGAATTTTAAGACACTCATTTAGAGTGTTCCTTTTGCAAGGTATATGTGTTAAGAATGAAGTCACGTGAATATACAATGCATAGGCTTATTAACTGTATGATATGTATGATATTTCCAAAGAGCAGCTATGATGTGTACATGTATAGGTATAAGTATATACAAGCTTTTGCTTCAATATCTATACATTGTCAAGTGTAAATGCACATATGCAAGTATGAAATCTGGCATTTGCATACAGATAAAATACATAATTTAAGGGCCAATTTCTTTTCTACAAAGGAAATGTGTCTATCGAAATATGAAGTCAGAAAATGTTGCCATATTATTACATAAACATGCCAAAGTTTGAATGGATGCTCTAAGCATTTGAAATCGAGAGCATTCATTATTTAACAACTTATAATATTTTAGTGAAATAGAAACTCACTTTCATGTTTGTATAATTGATAAACTACTACAGTAGTTTTTTTGTGTTTTAGATCTTTCATGCTGGCACATTCTTATTGAAGGTCTACAAAGTTCCTTCTGAAATGTAGTTTTTACAGAATGTGTGTACCATTTATAAAAGAATTATTAAATGAATGAATTTCATTGAATTTGTAGTTTTTTTGTAGCACATTCCTGATATAATCATTTCACCAGTGATACAGTGTGTATAATAGTAGAGTAAGTTGTACAGTAAAACCTGATGGGACTTTGATTCTCTATTTTGGATTGTCATTATTCAAATGAAATGTTCATATTGCGGTGTTCATATCGGTGTTCATATCGGTGTTTGCATATGTCAGCCAATTGTAATGATGCTTTATCACGGAATCTTGAAATGATATAAAACATGTCTACAGGTTTTACTGAACATAATTATCAAATGTTTTGTTTATGTTTTCCATGTATATAGGCAGCTATCTGTTGATATACACTGATGTATGTAAGAAATCTCATTATTCAAATTAAAGACCAAATTTTATCAAAAATAGTTTTGATTTTTTTTACACTTTTGATTGTTATATAACAGTGAATATTTTGGTTATGTCCCCAACTCTGCAATGATTTGGTCTACTCTAAGCTAGTAGATACATGTATTTATACCATATGCAATTCTGAACAACAGTTTTATAATTATTCTTCACATGGATAAGAAATAAAAGTGATAATGATATTATGTAGTTAAACTATGAATTCTGTCAATTTGTTACAAGGAAAAAGTCCTGTGAGGTCCTGTGAGGACCCCTTGATTAAAAATGAATTGGATGTTGCAGTTGCTGCCAACCCCATATGTAAAAGAACATCAAACTGCATTGTTCACTGTGTTGTACCCTACGAAATAATCCAGTCCTACATAAGTTCACGCACAGCACCTTTCAGTGCCTCCATCTCCTCATCAGTTGGCTTTACAAACTCAACCTTCCCATCTTTGCCAACTTGGGCACCTGGAACATAATCCTGTACCATGTTTTGTCCCTGTTGTCGCATCCTGTTTTTCCCTGCCTCACAGCAAATACAATCCCTAGCAATGCAACATCTGTAGAAACAGTATATTAGTATTGTCATGGCGATTAAACCTATTGGAGCTGCTGCATATGTGATGATTTGCCCAATGGTCACTTTTTCCTCTTTTGGTGGGCCCCCTATAGGTGGCAGTATCTAAAATAAACTATACATTTTTATTTATTCTGTAGGATTGTTAGTGACCCAATCTAAATATTTAACATTTTGTCAAAGGGATGTACTTGATGTTCTATTTTATAGATACAGTAGACTGGTAGAGGCTCATAAATCATTAGTTCAATATCCATATCTGATTTTTGTATGAAACAAAACCAGACTTCATGTATATTATTTAGTTTACAAAATATGACTTAACTTAATGACATTTTGAAATATAAAAATTTTATTGTGTATAACATAAACTTAAACACGTCAATATAAAAAATGAACAATATGGTATACAAGACCATCAGGGCATTTGCTTATTGCTCAGATATCTATGACGTTGACAGTGTCAGACCATGATGAAGAAAGTAAAATTCGCCTTCTATTCGTTTAATAGGCTTTTATAGCTTCATTCTTACGTACTAGTATCAACACCTTGAAAATATTGATGAGGTGAATACAATTCTCGTGAGCGGGATTGGACGGGACAATACGATTTTTCAATATCAAAAATATTCCCAGGTGTTATTCACCGGGAAGTAGTATTATCGTATGATCTGTAAAATGAAGCCTTCTGATTGGTCAGTTCTTGTGCTGTACCAATCTGTATTGCTACTGAGATTGTCCCCGTTGATCATTTCCGTCGCAATACAGAAAATATTGGTACGGAGGGGACAATCTCAGTAGCAATACAGAAGATCACACGATAAAAACGTTATTGAATGATTTGAAGTGCAATACAGGATATATTCTGCTCGAGAAATTCCGTATTGGAACGAGACGAAATCATTCAATAACTTATAGTATCATGGCCCCCATCATGGGACAACATACTGTAGGCTATTCCATTTGAAAATATAGTCAAGTAGTAATCTAGTATTGAGTGAGCTGAATCTTTCAAATGAATTACATCATGTTGTTTATTTGATAAGGTTTATCCTCGGGTTTATCCTTGCACTAAAAGTTTCATAACAGCACAGTTTTACTCTCTTTACATACTTGATAACAGTGAGTCTATGTTGACAGGAGAGGAAATATAAAGTTTGAACAGAGTTTTAAAGTTTGAAGTATCATAATAGGGAGATTTATCCGCATGCCTTTATACTCAATCGGCCAAATAAACAGTACAAATGGAAGAAATAATCCACAAAGGACCATCATCTACAGTTTACGTACAAGTATTTTAAAAACGTGTATCTTAAAGGTGCAACATTATTAGTGCAGGGGGCCATTCAACGATCATCGACCCAGTGTCAAAATATATTTAAGTTTGGATATTTCATCAAGACTTACATATATTTTCATTATCTACAAAGAATCCCCCTGGATGAACATTATTTCAGCTGATATTCCTCTTGATACGTGGTGGATCTTAAAAATTTATAAGTAGGACTCCCTTTATAGAAGCTTTGAACTGAATTCACACTTCTTAATGCTGCTACACTTGAGAGTTTATCCATACATTTGAAGAAAATAGGTCAAAGAAGATGTTAAGCCAAATATTGACCTGATAGCTCAGAAAAATAGAAATTTTCGAATTTTCTCTCTACAGTCCTTGTTGCCCCTTTAACATACCCTGCGCGCAGAGTCATATGACTAACATGAAAACGAAGCTCTCTTTTAAGGGAACATGGGGCAAAGCGGCCCAAAAAATTTAATTTTAAGTTGTTCTGTACGGGGTATTTTCGTATCTGTCAATCATCGCGCACTTTGATGTTCCACTTTATTAATGGTTTGTGGTTTACATTTTTCGAGTGTTTTATACTTTCCTAGGACTATCTTCTGTGATTTTTCAATGGTCAAAAATATTGTCGAGAGTGGGGCAAAACGGCCCATGGGTGGGGCAAAACGGCCCACCCTCTGTTACATGGGTTTTGAATCCAAAATTAATCAATTACAAGACTCGTCCACAAACATCTTATCTCAGACGTTCAAACCTTTGACAGATAAAGTATTCTTAACCCCTACCATAATTCTAGTCATTCGATATGTGTCGGAAGGAAATAAGGCACAAGCCAGATGTTAAAATTGTTACATTTGAAAACCAATTGTTCTTGCACAATATGATTTTTGTATGTTATAACATGTGTGGGCCGTTTTGCCCCAAAGACATGTGAATTTTCAAATAGACGTCATTTTAATTTGCCTAATATTTGAAGCTCGAAATTTTTACAAATAAAGAATAAATGTGCACACTCAATGTAAAATGTTAAATCAAAACGACATTCTATTGTTGCCGGATTTTTTAGAGATTCTCGTGAGAGGGGTAATTTCCAAAAAAGAGGGTGAAAAGTAGAATTACCTCTTACGTAAAGCGAGACGCTGCTTGGTTAAAAATGGACGGTCGAGAAGGTGGCAGATATTTCAAAATTCGATTTTGTGACTTTTGAAGAACCATCTTTTTATAGTTCAAAAGATATTTCGATGGGCCACTTTGCCCCAGAGGGCCGTTTTGCCCCATGTTCCCCTACATGTTTTAAGAAGTGAAGTCGAACGAATGCAAAGGAACCTTAACATCCCTACATCTTGAAAAACACTCAACACGATCGGTTTTTAATAAATATATAAAACAAACTTTTTACAAAAAAATATTGCCCCCTACCTGCGGCTTAGCGGATGGAAACGGTTTAATGGGTCCCCCTAAAAATAAGTACTGTGAGAAAATTACAAGATATCATCTACAACCAACTCCCTCTTGCGTGCATTACTAATACTTACTTCAACGTCACTGCCTGCTGCTGCTGTCTGAACAGGTAGCCTAGGGGTAGTATAGCTAACTTCCCAGTTAGACTCATCATCAAAATCATCGGGAGACCAACCTGGTGATCTCCTCTTCCTCTCCTTTGGAGAATGGCCGTCTGCGTAGATGTTCTGATTGTTCTCAATCCTGTTAGCGTATATATTGTGTTCTTCGTCCCAATCTGAATCCCAGTCGGGACTTCGCCTTTCTCTTGAAAGTCTTTCCAGTATTGATTGATCCTCGTGTAAATCTACATTCATAGATATGATAGGCTTTTTTAAAAGTCACTCTTACGGTACTACTACGAATACGCTTAAAACATGGGACATTCTAGAAAGTGCGCCACAACATGGTACGGAAAATTTAATTTATCAATTTCCCATACTCCTCATCTTAGTGCTTATTTCAATGACAAATATTTTGTCGGATTCGATGATATTGATCGAACACTGAATTGTTTCCAGTGACTGTAGTCTATGGCCCTATTTACCTGCTATTGCAAATGTTTCTTCGTGATGTACAACCACTGATACTGACTTAGCTCTTGAGCCACAGAACACAGCTGAGCTCACTAAAATACAAAATATAAAAATCGGTTGAGTCACTGGTGCACAAACATAGAGGCTTACGTTTATAAGTAAGATACGATTTATACTGGTATTTTTCCTGTTAGTCGATCAGATATAAGGACCTTATCATAAGTCATGGGGCGCTGGTCTAATAACCCAGATGCGAGTAGAAATAATCTTGATTTACGTCATTAAAAATTCAAAATTAAGTCAAAGTAATATCATATTTGAAATCTACATGTAAAATTACATCTAGAAATGTGGTTTTAAAAAGTGTTTATCAACTTTGAAAAATTAATTTTCTTTGAAAATGTGACTTCTAGCTCGGGGAGATTCCCCATAGACCCCATGCTATAAAATCACAAAAAATCAAATATCTTTTCTTTTAGTGGACAGATAATATTTTGCTTTACTGGACATATTTTCATTAGTATAAGTATCAGACACATAAGGGTTATATGAAAATTGAGCCACTTAAATTGATAATATTCAAGTTTAAGGGAACTTTCTTATATACCTGCCATGTTAATTGACCCGAATCAGCCACCTGGTGGTGAAACTGGTAACTACCTACTCGCATTTGGGTAATTGAAATCATTCTGTATAGCAGTGGACGTCAGTACATGTAAGTTGTGCCTGGGAATATTCCAAGGTTGCGCTAATATATTTCACAGTGATTCATAGACCCGGTTCATAGTACTATCGATCCCGCCGTATTATGTCAAATAACATTGCTATGCTATAATTCAGCTATTGGATGAAATATTTTTAGGTCAATCAAGCCGGACGGGCGCCCGGCTATTGAACTACTGTACTACCGATGATGCAATCATCAAAACAATTGCAAAAGTTTACCATACCCAGCACAACCAGTGTGTAGTATCCTATGGCACCCCCCATTCTCCAAAAGCCAGGAACATCTAAATAATGTCTCTAACAACAATGTTGATCATAATTATCGGAAACTATGACAATGATTGTAAAAGCACAATCGCAACAAAATACGAAACAGACGACAGAATGCATCACGGGAATTAAAAGTTTTGGTGCAGTGCATTCTGGGAAAATGAAGAAGCTCGGAGAAAAAGTTTTGTCGTCAGGTATTTTGTTAGTTTTCTATCTTTTCTACTAGTTCGATTGCTTCTTAACAACTTGAATATATTTTTTTGAACGTAGGGTTTGTATGAACTCAATCTAAATCGGAAAATCAATTCTAATGAGGTTAAAAAGTAGGTGTTATGAAACACATTAAAAATAAACATATTATCGCCCAGTAGATCTAGTTTGGCCCAACCTCGATTGAATGGAAAAGATGCTGTCCCGATCTAGTTTAGGCTTAGCTTAATTTAGACGACAAGTTCACTCAAGGGTTCAAACAGGAGCCCCCTGTATTAACTGTTATGCAACTTCCATCAAAAATTGTGCTATAAGCTTCAAATAAAAAACATTCTAGCTATTTTCTTCTATCTAATGGGTAGCAAACGCCCCTTTCTATGCCTGATCAGATCCTGTCTGTTTAGAATATATATAGCCGTTTACTCTGCATTAATAGCTCTCTCACGTCTTAATTGTTCATGTTTTTATTGCATTTTCAACGTTTACTACCATTCCCGGGCTACCATTTTTTGACTGGGTTTGGTAATCCCCGGGTAACCAGAGCTAATGCCCTCCCCAGGTTTTGCACTTGTTCCCAAAATATCCGTATGATATCTGAAATATCCTCCCGCGCATTGCGTATGCGCCAGAAAATTCGAAAATCAAAAATATTATTTGTCGGTCCTCTAGCGTGTAAACACAGCATATCTACCGTACCGACAATTTATTTGTCGGTCCTCTAGCGTCCCACCACATCAGAGTCTAGAGTACCGACAATTGTCTGTACTCTAGCCTTTACATATTTTTCCAGGTTCTGCCACCAATCGATGTCTTGATACATGTGACGGTTCATTGATTTTGAAAAAACTTGCTTTTACGATTCATTGATCAAAACAAACAAATAACAAGGCTCGCATTATTGATGTTGTAATTGAGTTCATATTAAACTACATGTTAGAACCTGTATTGGCCTTACGCTGATCAAGTCTTTCCAGTGTTGATTGATCCTCGTGCAAATCTACAACAGTTGAACCTCAGCAGATGATTAAAAATGTCAGATCCGGTTGATTTTAAGTTACTACTAAAGCATGCGATATCTCACAAAGGACAGTGTCAGTTTAAATTCTAATTGATGAAATATTCTCATGACGATTTTTAAAATAACATCTAAATTTATTTTTCCATGATAAACTTTTTCACTAGTGCACTTTGGTCCACATGCCCTGTCTTCTAGCCAAGCTATTTTGCTAGAGACTCAAGTAAGTTTAGCTAATGAAATATGTGGCCTCCCAAGCTTCATTGTCATGTTACTTTCGAAAATATTAACATGGCTGAAACTTCTTAAATACGATATTACAAAGGAATCATCAAATCTACAATACCAGTATTTTTGACAGATTTGAGATTAATACATCTACATGTCTATCAATATTGTGTGTTTACATTACAATATATTAGAAATGTCTAGTATTGTCCCTACATACTAAAGTTGCATAGTTTACATATTGAATAGTATTGGCACATTTTGAAGGTACATGTATATAATATAACTCTTTTATGATAATTTATGTCTCATTTTTAACTTTTCAAGAGGCATATCGGTGAGACAAGTTTGATCTCATTAATTAGTCTAAGTGTCTACATGATAACAGTGTAGTACTTTAATCACAGCCTTAAGATTAAGAATATGACCTGAGATGACATTAGTGGTACAACAACTATTTCACCAAAAGTCACTTCAAAATTAATACTGTAAATTGCTTCAATTTGACAGCCATTTTAATTTGACAAATATGGCAGATTGATAATAACCACCAAATTAAAGCTGCTGTTTGCCCCAAAATGCAATCTTGGGTTGTTTCGGGGGTGAACTTTATCATTTTGAGCTTAATGAAAGATTATAGAATGATTAACAAATGGGGCAAATCTTGTGTACCAATACTTACGATAAATGTGTCATTTCAAAGATTGTTCATTGAATTGTTTTGATTGCCGATGACGATATGATTTTTGGAAGGTTTCTAAATTAAGAATGTGACATCACTTCCGAATTATAGCATTCATGAGAAGTAGCATTTAATTACTCCTGTCATTCATAACAACTTGATAGCCTTGCGGTAGAATGCTCGCTCAGCACGCAGGCGGCCCGGGTTCGAATCCCGCACCCAATTCTTTTATTTTTTTTAACTAAATGATTGTTCTTTGATATTACGCAGAAAAAAAACATTTTTATTTACATAAACTTTACATTAGAGCTTGAAAATGTAAAAACAATATATGTCAACATATTACATTTTGGAGCGATGTGCAGGTTTAAGTCTCCACCAATTTTTGAAAAAAAATCCTGGATTCCTTCTTACATCAAGTGAGTTTTAAATAAAACTTCTGTGATAGTCTGAACAGTTTTAAATATTTCTTAAGATTTGCAGTCACTTCTGGTTCAGACAAAATAATCTGAGATGATATTGCATTATTTGTGGTTGTGAACTCATCATATTGAATATTTAACAATATGACAAAATACATTCATATGTAAAAAAGCTAATCAAAGCAAATATGACTACATGTAAAAGTTCAAGTATATTTTCTTCAAATGCTATTAGGTTTAAACTTTCACACTTGAGTTTATTTACAATTTAATAGTGTAATGAAATCCTACATTGTTTATTAAAAACGCAAAACTGCTGTGTAAACAAGACGGCTAAAGTTAATAATCTTTATTTATACTCACAATTAAAGATTAGAATCACATTCATATTTTTACAGCTGCCTGATTGCAATGTATTTTATATTTAATATTATTAAAATTGTAACTTTTCCATTCAGAAAAAAAAATATAACATTATGTATACCATCAAAGATCATTTTCATATATTTGCCTATATTTACCTTTTTACAGTTACATTGTATTGTCAATGCTTCAATGACACCATGAATTGTGCCAAGGAGGATTGGAAGCTAGGGTTCCAACTTGATATTCTGTAATCTCCAATTGATGTGGTAGTTTCAAATCCTGCCTGTATATTTCTACGGCTACAAGGAGAATGGCCTATGTTCTTGATTGAATTTTTATTCATAACATGTCTATGTGATATCCATATATAGAACAGAATATCGATTGGCATCCGTGGGGGCCAATCCTCCTTGAACTGTGCATTCAGGCCCTGATTATCAGTGTACATCTCCAATGCCATGCTTCTGCAAACAACTCAAGATGGGACTGGGGCATGCATTCAATATAAGTGGAATACATACTTTGTAAATATACAGAGCCTTATCATTTTTATTTCCAATTTCATTGACAAACATGTAAAAACATATACTAGTAGACAATTTATTTAAACAGGAATGTTGAGCCAGGTACTGCATTCAGTAAGGTCTAGGTGTGGGTGTCGACAGTTCAGCAGCAGTGTAGCACATCGGCAGAATGAAGTTTCTGCAGACACAAGGTAAAAGTGATGATTCCAGAATTGTTGGTCTTGCCATAATTGTAATTCTGTTAATTAAATACCTTGATATCGCCAATAATGTATTATATCTTCTTTTTCTCTTGTCTACCTTGGTCCTGTCAATAATAGATAGATTTCACAACAAACAACAGCATGTTTATAAATCCATATGTTTATGACTTGTTAAGTTTGTATACTAAAATAATGTTTGTTATATTTTTCAGTCGCCCCAAGACAGGAATTATGATGTTGAACCTGGGTGGTCCTGAGACACTTGATGATGTTCATGACTTTTTGCTGAGATTGTTCCGGGATAAAGATCTGATACCTCTCCCTGCTCAAAGGTATGGTCCCACTTATTTTGATTGGATTAAATTATTTTAAAACTTGAGTAATACACTGCATGTTCTTACAAAAAAAGATAAACATTGTTTATGAAACATGCTTCTGATAAACAATAACAATTCATTTTGAACCCAATATGTAACACTTCATCTGATTGGTTATAATGCTTGAACTCAATATTATAGAGATATCTCTTGCTTTTCATTTTTATGATGAATATTACTTTTCTAAGTTTTTTCCTTTCATATTTTCTAGCCAATTATCGAAATGGATAGCCAAGAGAAGAACACCATCTATTATAGACCAGTATAGAGAGATTGGGGGAGGCTCTCCAATAAAGAAATGGACTGACATCCAAGGGGAGGGCATGGTGAAGATCCTAGATAAGATATCCCCAGAGACAGGTTTGTATGTTAATGACATTGACCAATTATAGGAATGTCAAGTTTCTGTTGAATGTCTAAAATTCTAGGGTTTCTCATTTCTGTGTTGTATGACTTATTTTTATTCATTTTAGTTGCTACAGGTTGTAATGTTAACATGCATGCTCATTACTCTGCAATGTTTCCACAAGAGCAGACCTTTAGTATGGTATAATGCAAGCTTCCAATTATTTTCAAGCTTTTGATAATATGTATCTCGATGCATGTATTTCCAGCCCCACACAAACATTATATAGGGTTCCGCTATGCTAATCCCCTCACTGAAGACACTATTGAACAAATGGAAAAGTAAGAAAAAATGTTTACTCAACATTTATATTTACAGTAGTTTAGACCTACATGAAATCTTCTCAACTCAAAATGATGTTTAATTGAATGATCTGTCCTTTATTGCTCATCGTATTGCTGTAATACAGGGTGGGCCAAAAAAAAACAATACCCAACTTTAAATCAGAATAAAAATAGCTATGTTCAATATGATACATTGATTTATATATCATTTTAAAGGTAATCCATTTTTGAACAATTTGGTATATAACACTATGTCATGAAATCAATATTAAAGTTTTGTTATGCTTAATTGGGAGGCCGGGTCGGTTTTTAAGGTATCCAGATTTTAGGGAGAAAATAGTAAATCTGCGAAATAACGTTAATTTTTTATTCATAGAATATCATTTTGTTAGGTGAATACATGCTTGTATATTTGCATATTGTGTGACTAAACTTATCGTTTATGAATCTTAGTGTTGTTTGTTATCAGATCAATAAGTACTCAAAGGGAGTCTATTAAAAGACATTAAACATATATGTGACGAGGATTTTATTTTCCAACAAGACACATTGCCTCGTACCATAGATGAAAGGAGACATGGGCATTTCTTTGCAAACAAGGTATCAATTTGATTGATCTCGATGCTTGGCCACCCAACAGCCCCAATGCTAATGTGTTTGATTACCATACATGGAGCCATCTCTAAGAAATGATACAATGAAAAGCATCCAATAAACAGCATTGATGAATTGAAACAAAATCCTAAAGTGCTGAGAGGAATTGCAACAGAAATCTCTCAATAAGGCTATTGATAGATTGCGCTACCACTTGAAGCTTATTGTTGATGCAGAGTGGAGGGGGTGGGGTATATTGAGCAATTGTTAAAATTGTTTAAATAAATAAAGTGTAAAATGTTATTAAACAACACTGAAATCCATAAACAATACATTTAGTCACACAGTGATGCAAATATCAATATCCAAGCATGTATTCACCTAACAAAAGAATGATATTCTATAAATAAAAAATTAACATAATTCCTTAGATTCACTATTTTCTCCCTAAAATCTAGAGACCCCAAATAGCAACCCGGCCTCCCAAATAAGTATAATAAAACTTAACTATTGAATTCATGACATAGTGTTATATACCAAATTGTTTGAAAATGTATAACCTTTAAAATGATATGTAAATCAATGTACCATATAGAATGTAACTATTTTTATCCTCATTTGAAGTTGGGTATTGGTTTTTTATGGCCCACCCTGTATATGGTATTGTACTAAATAGGGATGGTATAGAGAGAGCAATCGCCTTCACCCAGTACCCACAATATAGCTGTTCTACAACAGGAAGTAGTATCAACGCTATCTACCGTCACTATCAGGCACGCTCAGAGCCAACTAACATGGCTTGGAGTACAGTGGATAGATGGCCTACACACCCAGGCCTTGTGCAGGTATGAAACAGCAAATCAAAACTGCAAATTTAATACAAGTTTTCCAGTTTCCCCTCTGCTCTTTCCTAAAGGAAATATATGTTTTTATGTTGCACCACATGTATAGTGCATGTATAGCAATTAGAATGAATTAACTGGGGACATGACTTAATCAAAATAACATCCATGTACCACATGATAGACAGAATTTTTTGTAATGCAAAAAAAGCAAAGCTCTGATATTTTCAATTGTAATAAGTCACTGTTAGATATTTCTCAAGTCACATGGACATTGTTTTTGCAGGCATTTGCTGATGTCATCCGTACAGAGATAGAGAGATTCCCTGAAGAAGACCAGGATGACGTCATTATATTGTTCTCTGCACATTCCTTACCCATGAAGGTTTGTCTCGTTTAATAAAGACACCATCAATGTCTGTTGTAAAACATGTCATGTAATTTTGAAGTTAAGAGAAAAATATGTCATGTTCACCCTACCACATTGATATATAAAGAAACATAACAGACTACAAGTAGCACTTTATTTGAATAAAAACATGAATGAAGAGTGGACCAATTTGAATCAGACAATGAAGATATTTATAATGTTATAGTCTTATACATAATCCCAGATTATCAACCACTGTCAGCATTCTATACTTTGGAAAATATCCTTCAGGACTATTTTTACTCAGTCACTACATAATAATTTACACTGTGACTACATTTGTACATAATGGCTTTATGATTATTTACAATGTGACTACTTTGACTGTTTATCTACACTATATATTTACACCTCTATTACTTGTAGGTTGTGAACAGGGGTGACCCCTACCCTGCTGAGGTGGCAGCTACCGTGTCTCGTGTAATGGATGCTCTTGGCCACAGTCATCCATACAGGCTGGTCTGGCAGTCTAAGGTAAGGCATAAAAGCACCATAAACTATTGGAACAGCAACAGCTCATTTGTGTTTTCATATAAAATCAATTTAAGAATTGAAATTGTAATTCTTATCATCACCCATATTTAGACCATTCTGAATTTTAAGTTATTCAAATTATCTTGATCTGAGTGTTAAATTACCTCATTTAGAGACCCTATCTCTAAGACACACATGTAAACATCATCAATTTTGAATTCTGCTATGATGTAAGGCATTTATTTACATGGTTATAATTTAGCTTAATAATATGGAGCAAAACTGATTTCTCAATTCACTTTTCTTCCAGGTTGGCCCACTTCCTTGGTTAGGTCCCCAGACAGATGAAGTAATCAAGGGAATGGTGAAGAATGGCAAGAAGAACTTATTGATGGTTCCCATAGCTTTCACCAGTGATCACATAGAAACCCTCTTCGAGTTAGACTTAGAGTATGCTCAGAATCTTGGTTCTGAGGTAACTTTGTATATATTACTATTTTCTTTTTAGAGATACACTACTCCTTGTGTAAGAACTTACACTGTACAAGTAAACATGAAATGATTTAATTGTGTCCAGCAAGTATTTTAGAATATACATTATTAAGGTGCCTTACCCTGATCTTAAAAGTGCCTCAGAGGATTGTTGAAAAATTGAGATGTTGTATTGCGAAGTTAAATAGATTATACTGATCAAAAATCATTTATTAAATGATAAAATATTGCCTCAACTGCTAACATACAATTTTTGTTTAAGATCTTCAATATCTGGATATGAAAACCAAAGTTTGTGATTTTTCTCTCTAAAATATCTGTGGAAGATTGTCATATTAGACATCTATTTGTCACTTTTGATATATCTATCCACATAGAAAATATATTTGATGTAGGAAAACTGAAAATTGGAAGAACAATTTTACATGTTTTTTTCTTTATTCTTTGAATATTAAAGCTTGACAAATTCCTTACATGGTAAATGTCATGTTGAATGTTTTAGATTGAAATGGTGCATTCAGCCCTTTCATTTTTAGATGTGATTTATTCACTTAATATTTTTTTGAAACTGGTATTTTATGTGGTATTAATAGAACATAATGTTTGTATCAAAGCCTATTGATGATACAAGTTATCAGGTTCGCAGTTCTTAATTTTTTAGCTCATTAATTGTGTTATGTATAAGATTATTTATCATTGAAACACTCTTTGAATTATGACTTGTTTTCACTTAGGTGGGTGCTAAGAATATCAGACGTGCAGCTGCCATGAATGACCACCCAGTATTTATTCAGGTGAGTAACACTGTTAACTGTTGAGATTAAAGTTAATTATAAATACAATCCATGTAAAATGTATGACTGATTGGATTTTAAGTGGGATCATTTTTAAAACTAGAAACATGGGATTCATGTTTATATAATGAAAAATGAAATAAAATTATGTTCAGGTGTTGGTGTAAACTAAAATTATGTAAAAGAGATATATGGTGTGAATGATGGGTTTTCAACATTCCTTATGTAGGTTGTGTGTTGACTATTGAAGACCTAGAATGCCTATTATGTTCATATGTGTACAATTTGTTCATTCAGGCGCTGGCAGATATAGTGAAAGACCACCTAGTCTCTAACAAGGCATGTACAAATCAGCTGTCTCTGCGTTGCCCTCTGTGTATAAACAAAACATGTGGACCTGCTAAAGGTTTCTTCACCAAGCAACAAGATGTGCTTGATGCCCTAAAACTGAAGGATCAGGAGAGGATGTCAGCAACTGCATAGTTTCATGTACTTTTAGTATAGAAACTGTATAGGTTCATGTACCCATCTATACTTCTTACAGATAACTGTATACATAATGCAATAAACACATCGTGGAAAACATTCTTATAAAGATTATAGTTGAAAGACTAGAATCAGATTATTATAAAAATGTTCATCATTGGTTTAAATGATGGTTTATTACAGTGGACAGAGAAATAGACACGAGTGTACTCAAAAATTACAATTCACACCATGACAATTTCTCTAAATAATGCTAAGATACAGATCTGCAAGTCAATTGTTATCTAGTGCATGGTGTTTGTCATAGACAAATAATTCTGTTGCAGATTTCTAGTTTTTGATACGTTTGAGGAACAGACAAGATCATGTACAATGTACAAGTACATATCACATATAGCCTGTTATCATTAGTGACCCTAAACTCAATGATCCTTGGTCTTGGAATTCTATTTTGGTAGTATTTATGAATTAACCCATCACATTCTTGGCAGTGTTACATTCACCTGCTAGTGAAATCCAGTGTGAAGTAGCCTACATGTAGTCATAAGTATTACATCCATAAATTCTCATACTCTTTTTCTAAAATCGATGTATCACTTTAAATATGAATTATTTTAATAATATAATTTTATAAAACTGATAATCAATGATCATGTTATTAAAGATTGACACAGGGTAAAATATTCACAAATGCTTAATATTTGTGAAGTTAGTTTAAACTCACTTTAAAAGTGAAGTAACTCTTATGCATACGATTGGAGGTTAAAATTTTATTTTATTTAAAATTAACAAATGTTAATATTCTAACATCTAGTCATAGCTTAACTAATCATAACTTTGAATATCTAGTAGAGTAAACCCTCCTATCTGAACACTTTCAAGATACAATATATGATTGTGTATGTTGTTTATTGTCACTATTATGAGAATATATTGTTGAAATTGTTTAATATTTGAATGTAAAATTCTATATTATGAATGATGCATAAAGGTTATGGGATTGAAATATAATTTCAACAAAAAATGTAAAATTTGAAGTTGAATAAAAATGTAAAACTAAAAATATTAATAGTTTATTATGTTCAGCATGTTCTGATATCAAAGGTTTAATTCTGTTTTAGTTTTCGGCGTGTCACATGGACACATGTAGCTTTTAATGTCTGAGCATATCTAATCTGAGGATGTCTCCAACTTGAACCTTACATAAGTTGTATATATCTGTTCTATATCTTATCTCAAGGACACATCAATAGTATACATCCTGTCCTATCTTTTATCTCATTAGAAACTCGTGAGTTCTTGTCGATCGGACAGCTGTCTGTTGTTTAACCGAAGTTGTTTTTTGGGGATAAAGTGAAGTTATTCTGTGCTATAACTGTTGTCTAACCCAAATGTAGTAGGCAAAGGGGAATCAATGCACCTTTTGTGCTCCTCCAAGTAGTGTTTGTCGATCTACTTTCTGACATTTTAAAAAAACGTACTTATCATTTTGTTTTAATTTTATAGTAATTAAATGTTATACGCTTCCCTTAAAACAGGGAAATAAAGAAACGTAAACATTATGGCGAAGGTGGGGATTGGTATCTGACCAGTGACCATACCCCTTAGCAATACCCGTTCTTGTTATGGCAAAGGGATTGCCTTGTAAATGTAATTTAGTTGGAGTATTCAGGTATTAGCAATGGTAAATTGATATAGAAAAACTGATTTCAAAATGGTCGTTATTTTACTCCAGCATCGATTTGCCGATTGACTACTTCACACAATTAACATCAGTGTCAGCGTATTAACCCAGCTCCGTTTTCAGATTTCCATCCAAATAAAATACCCAAACCAAACACAGTTAGTCACTTAATTTTATACTATTTCTCGATACAATTTTTCTTTAACTTGGGTATCATCTAGAACACTCTAGCTAGACCGCAAAACATTGGAACAAAGATATTTGTACTGATACTAAAAGTCATTGAATGATTTGAAATGCAATACAGGATATAGTCTGCTCGAGAAATTCTGTATTGGCACGAGACGAAGTCGAGTGCACTACACGGAATATCGAGAGCACAATATATCCTGTATTGCACTGCAATCCATTCTTTAACGCTTATATCGTGTGATCTTAGGGCCAATACATTTACTTAGAAGATAATCCCTGGGAAACAATCTCAATAGTAATACAGATTGGTACAGCACAAGAACTGACCAATCAGAGAGCTTCGTTTTACAGATGATACGGTAAACCCATTTATACAAGTACATCATATATCCCGGAGTATCAAGATGTTACCCTAAGCTAAATGAGAGAATTTACACAGGCTGGTATCGAAAGATTTGTCCGCTGTGACGGAGCATGCTATTTTTCATAAAAACACTAAGAATGCTTCACGATTTATTTTTTAACTCATATGTTTCGTTATATCAAAGATAATTACTTACTCCATGCAATGGATATATCATTTGCGTGTAACCTTCACTTCTGTTTGAAGTCCAATAACGCTAGGAGTAAAATCTATTGAAAACGGCGCCAGAGTATCAAACTCTAAAATGTACCATTTCTTTCTTAACTTTTTAATGGCATGATATAGTGACACGATAATATTAACATATGTTTTAAGCATAACTCTGAATGTATTAATGAGATATTAATGCATTGGGTCTTTTTAATTTTTTTAATAAAAAATAATCGTGTCACTATATCGTGCCATCAGAAAGTTAAACAAGAAATGGTACATTTTGAAGTATGATACTTCGGCGCCATTTTCAATAGCTTTTCTTCCCAGCGTAATTGGACTTCAAACAGAAGTGAAAGTTACCCGCAAATGATATATCCATCGCATGGAGTAAGTAATTTTGTATGGTATAACGAAACATATGAGTTAAAAAATAAATCGTGAAGTATTCTTAGTGTTTTTATGAAAAATAGCATGCTCCGTCACAGCGGACAAATATTTCGATACCAGCCTGTGATTTATGGTTATACATTCCAAAAATGTGCTCAAGAGAATGTTTCAAATGTTCTTCATTTCAACTATGTTTCTGTCATAAAATATAAATATTAATATATAAGTATTAACCAGTAACCATTAAATTATTTCGGATTTGCTTCTCAGTAGTTGCGGCTTTTCTTGGTGCCTTCTCAAATGCGTCCCTAAATTATTTTTATCTCGATGCTAGTCTAGATACTGGGACAAACCACGTAACAAAATATATTAATTATTAAATGACTCTGCTTAATAGGACACAACAAATGTATTAGCTTCAATATTTATTTCAATTCCATCCCTTTAACATTTGTATTGCTTGTTAATTTTCTTATAATCCAAAGAAGAGAAGCCACTTCTTTGTCCAATTCTTGCGTTCCTCTGTTTTGGCACGATTGTAGCTTTTCCGTTCTTTGAAAACGCCCGTCCGCCATAGTGCATGACGGAACTATAGTCATAAGGCATGCCAAGCAGAGAGATCTTGTTGGCATCGTACTTATTGAAATTTCCTTGTTTACCTGCAGAACAAAATTATTGACGATTTATGTTTTGGTGATCAAGAACATCTTTTGTCGCTGAGTACGGACAACTCGATCTTTTTCAGATAGCTCAAAAATCTTTGAAAACTGAATAAAGGTGATAATCAAAGTTTTGATTGAGAACTACATAAATAATTCAAATATGCCATCCAATAGAAGAAAATGTTGGTGTTAGATGGTTAAAAGTGAGATCTCCTAAAATCTTATGTCAACGAGATGTCCAGCTTTTTTAGCAAACCCTCTTTTGCATGTTATTGTTAACATCTTACCAGATTTGATATTGTCATACATGATGGTGACGTATTTGTCCCTGTCTGTCCTGCTCTGCTCGTGGTAGAAGCCAATAGCGTGCATCATCTCGTGGATGACGATACCTTTGTTCCAGCAGCCTCTACCAAGGTTAATAGTCTGAGCTCTGCCAGTGCGTCCAACTGCAGATGAACACCTGGATAAACATGTTGGAATATAACTTCATTTTGCTCAATCTTTGTGACGTCCCTTTTGCGTTTCTAACTTCATTTTCCTGTTAAGGTTTAGGTCTTGACTTACCCACTTGAGGCTTTCTTGATGTTGACGTAAGCTTTATCTGAGCTTCTCTTAGGCACCCACCTAATGCAGGTGAACCTGTTGTAATCAGCTATAGCGGCGTTCAACGTGCTGCGCTCTCTTGATGCTAAAACACAACTAACGTGTCGCAATTTCCACTTCTCATAGTAGGCAGAAGTCAAACAAAAACAATTTTAAGATGAAGGCTTTCAACATTAGAAGTTTTCAAGGTTATCAAATGTCTGGAAAATGACAGGGATATTGGTTTTATCCGCTTAGATGCCCATTAAGTGTACCCTCTGTAAAGAAAAAAGGTGCATTGTCCTTTACTAATCATATCTTTTTTATTTTTCGTTATTATCATACCAAAGTTTCAGAGGTATAATCTTTGAATACTTTAATGGAGAAAATTTCAAAGAATTTCGTAGATATGGTAAAACGTAAGAGAAAGTATTGAATATAACAACTCCCAAAATCGTGAGTGTGACTTTTTACAATAAATCGACGTCATAAATTTGAGAAATTCTATACCCAGCAATGTGCCCAAGAAGGTGATCTTCTGAGCCATGAAGTTAAATTGTTAGTTGCATTTACACCATTTTAAAAAGTCTTCAATTCAATAAAACTTCGTATATCAGTTATAAAATAAAAATCTGATTAATTACAACTATTTTGTCATAGAATTTGAGGTAATATCTTTCAGACCCAGAGGTCTCTTCTCAGTTCAAAATTAGAGGTAGGGGTAACATATATTACAATTTTGGAATTGTAAGATAATTATAACTTTAAATCTTTCTCAATGACCCGTAAATATATTATACCTCCTAGACGTAGCTTATGCATACCAAAATTTATGTCAGATGTGATGTATAAATGTGTTTATTGAGCAATGGAATGGGCTATACTATGATATGAAGAATATAACATATTTAGAATGATGTCCTAGGCTTATAGGAAAATGTACGCTGTATAATAGCAAATAGAAAAAGTCACAGTAGTGAGTTTGTGAAACAATGTTTTTAACCATTGCTAACTTTTTCAGATTTTCATCTAATTTTTTCAAATTTCCATCAGTTATATTAATATTATACAAAATTTTGAAAATGTTATGACTGATACAGGACCGTGCACCTTTTTTCTTTACAGAGGGTATATAATTGCTCATTGTAACTTGTTCTACTTACTTAGTGATCCAGTAACAGTGTATGGTACGCGACCAGAGGGCCACTTTCTAGAGGATGACCTCAAGGCATTGTAGACATCCTCTTCCTCATCTAGAATGATGTCACCCTCAAATAAATCTGAAAGACAATTGGTCATTAAGAAATTGGACAGTCCGTATGATTGAGCTTAGGCCATAAGAAGTAGATTCTTTGTTTTACGTCCCCTTGCTTGCACGGTTTTGAGTAAATCAGAAAAAACAAACACATCCAAATAGCAATCACAAGGGTCTGAGTCAGACCCTTGTGATAATTTGACGTGCATCAAAATTAACAGTGTTATTAATTAGTTTGGCATACATAGTGTATTTTTACCCTTGAATATGTTTAAATATATTATATAAAATGTATAGATATGTGTTTGTAATCACTAAAAAATTGGTATGTCATCCCTTTTTATGCCCATAAAATATATACATTTCTCAGTAAACGAGTTTGTGTTTTTTCTTGAGTTTGTGTTTGTTTTCCTTGTACCCTTGTATGATTTTGATTTTGCCAGGACGCAAAACAAAGAATCTACTTCTTATGGCCTTAGTATCGTTTAGGAATTTTGCATCATTTTTCTTGCATCTCTTAGTATCGTCCAGGAATTCATCACATCAGCACAAAGTGCGTTACATATTTGACAAAGTTTTGAAGTTTGCTGATAATATAAACATGGAAATAACATTAATTGTACTTGATAAATTAAGTCATAATGAAGAAACAAGAAAGACGTCGATTCGTCCCAATGATTATATTGTCATAAAAGTCTTACCTCCTTCCTCTGGTGAAGAGCGTCCAAAGCTGGGGAACGCCTGCAAATTGTATATAGCATATATGATTACAGTCATCTACAGAAGTATTGAAAACGTAGTTACCAAAACGGTATATAAACAGATTAATAAATATATAATCATAATGGAACAAATAAATGGAACAAACAAATTGAAAGAGACAATAAATGAATACCTGTGCAGCAGCAAACAGAGCCAACAGTATCAGACCTTTCATCTTACTGACTTGTCTTCACTAAATTGTGACCGAGATAACGTCAAACTTATAAACATAGTTTATCAGCTTGCATTGATAATAACGTTGTTTAAGATGGCTTTGTATAAAAAACCTCCTACCTCATGCCCACCTACCCACCTACGTGGGACATCATGCAGTCATTGAAGGGTTCAATTTTTAAAGATTTTTAAATCTCAAAATAGCTCTAATTATTAACATTTCTACAATTTCGGCTTTATTTTATGACTCAACGGATGACATATCCATAAATAAAGGCATATGGGTGCATTGCAATGTGTAAGGACCCGAGGGCGCCCCAGGGGAATAACTAGCTAACGATCGCGAGCATAGGTCCAACCAGCCAGATAAAGAAACTGAAGAAAGTGTGCTAAATTCGATGCCCCGAGTGGGAATCGAACCCAGCTGGTTTGTAGTAGCAACTTGCTATCAAGGGTCGTTACAAATGCATCTATAATTCATCATAAACTAAGATTTAATAAACTAACATTTTTAAAATTGAACCCTTCAAAGACTGTATCATGTCCAACGTACGTGGGTAGGTGGGTAAGGGTAGGAGGTTTTTTATACAAAGCCGTTTTAGATTATGAAGCGTGGACGAAAAGCGTCTAGGAGTGTCTCCATATGTTCAGGCGATGCTAACTTAATCTTATCAGCGTGAAATATCGAAACTCATTATGATAAGAAAGGCTTTCTTGCATGGGTCCTTGGTTATCTTACAATGTCAACTAATGGTATGAGATCGTTTCCGGATATCACGGTCGTAAACTTCCGATATCGTAACTCAACAACAGCCGTAGGAAGGCAAAAAGTCAAAACAGCCTTATAAGGAATGCAGAAAGTCACAACAACAGTAGGAATGCAAAAAGTCACAACGGCCGTATATGCAAAGGGTCACAACAGCCGCAGGAATGCGAAAAGTCACAACTGCCATAGCAATGCAAAAAGTCACAACAGCCGTAGGGATGCAAAAGTGACAAACTTACGACTGTCATTGACTAACAGCTGATCTTTTTCTAAAGGAATCGCAGCCCAGAGTACAAATTATTAAATACAACTAATATCAATAGGCTTACCACACATAAACATCTTCTGAAAACAATGTTACTTGAACATATGGTTGATGTGCTTATTTTGCCCGGACAGGAAGGTGATCCAGTTTCCAATTTATTAATTTTTTGCGTCCAGGCCATTCCGTCCATCCTTTTCGCAGACAGACAAAATCTGGAGAAAATATGATTTATTTCACATTTAATGAAACAATATATGAAACCCTTCCGAAAACACAGAAACGGGATATTCACGTGTAAAAACGCCTACGCGTATTTGTGATGAAGCATTGCATGGTTACTTTTCAGGTAGCCAAACGGGATCAACTGATTCGTACGTATGAATCGATCAATACTTTGCCATATAATGTCAACTATATTTTCAAACGTATTAGACACTCCCGTCGATCGAAAGGGATGTAGGGGGAGTAGGCTATTCCTGCAAGGAAATACAACAAATATGTATGATTTCTTTTCTGAGGAGAAAATACAATTGAATAGGCGCACTGCATGGTAAATTATGTTAGGTCGTCTAAGATTTTTGAACCGATTCACTTCTAAGATATGAGATTTATTAAAAAGGCGCATTGCCAAAAACCTGCAAGAGTCAATGTTTTGCTATAAATCAGGAAAAAAATAAATCTTCAAGATTTGTTGAATTTTCTTGCAGAAATCGCCTACTGCCCCTTTTTCCATTTTGCGCGATCACCGTGAGTGTAGACATACTTTGTGAAAAGCTTTACATATTGATTTATAAAAACAGTTTACTTCACCGACATTAAAGAGACTCTATTGAGACTTCTCTGTGGCATTTTTTCTTTATTCCTTTTTGTTTTGAATTTTGAACACCATAACATTAACTAACTTCTCAATATGCAACTTTTCACCACGTAGAATTTTAAAATATTAAGTTTGAAAATTCCATTTTTATAATGGAGCTCAAAGGGAAAAACTACATAATTTGAATTATTTTCAAACCTAGCGGCGCGATTTTGATAAAATTGACAGATATAATAAATATTGGTAAGACAAAATGTTTGATGAAAAATGAAGAAAATTTACCGTCCTGGTTACGCAAACTATAGAAAAATCTGAAATAATCATAAAAACCTGTAAAAATAGATTGAAGGGGGTGATATTCATTTTCAATGCGCCTTTCACTACTACAGGGTAACCATAATTTTGGTACTGATTTGATTTTTGCAAACTACATATTATACAGTTAGTAAAATATTAAAATAATTCTATTAAAATTAAAGCATTGAGATGATACTTAAATAATTACATATTATATTGATAGGCATATTATATTATAGGATTTAAGCCAATGACTCAATGCATTGTAGATGATTAAATTTATTTATATGTCCTGATTCTAGACTATGAACGAGGGTGGTAGTCCGACTTTTGCTGTAACTCGAAAAGTAGTCGAGCGATTTTGTTCATATTTGGAATATGAATACTATAAGCATGGCACACTGTCTAATGACTCTTCTGGTAGAAGGCGGCCATTTTGAAAAATGGCGGCCATTTTAACGTATTTTACTCACGAAAAGTAGTGGAGCGATTTTGTTCATATTTTGTATGTGAATACTATAAGCATGGCACACTGTCTAATGACACTTTTGGTAGAAGGCAGCCATTTTGAAAAATGGCCGTCATTTGAACGTATTTTACTATAACTCGAAAAGTAGTAGAGCGATTTTGTTCATATTTGATGCGTGAATACTATAAGCGTGGCACACTGTCTAATGACACTTTTGGTAGAAGGTGGCCATTTTGAAAAATGGCTGCCATTTTTGCTGTATACTTTGTTTGTAAAAATGCCAGCCATGGCTGTTCGATGGGATTTGCTACACTTTGGTGTTGCTGTTGTCTAGTTGAAGGATGGATGTTCGGACAAATGGAGGGGTCTCTATAGCTTATCCCCTAATCTTCGTTGGATTGAACAATTGTGAATATGGTTTGTTGGACAAATAAAACTGATTGAATGTCTAAAAGCAAATAATGAAGTGGTAATTTATTTAAAATCATTAAAATCTCAAACATGCTTGCTTTGGTCACTTAATTCCTAAATGTCCTGTAATTAGTATCTATATACCTTATTAGAGTGAAGGAGTTAAATCATTGGGATATGAAATAATCATGCAAAACATATTTTGTACATATTTCTCATCATTTAGGGTTACCCAGTAGTTTACAAGCTGATCTTTGCAAAATATATGTCACTTACTATCCTCATTCGCTATCACGCTATCTAGTTTCTTTCCAAATTGGCCTGGATTGCCTGGTTTATTGGTTTTAGCGAACCGTCCATTTCGTCGAACCATCATTTTGCTAAGGTTGTTTGTGATAGATATACAATATTCAGTTACATATAACTGTACAGCAACTTTATGCAAGGGAAGGTAATTGTGTGAGAGCACATAAAGTACATGAAGTATCATAGCCGTAGGGACCAGGGGTTCGATGGGTTCGGACGAACCCCCGGTCGGGATTTCCCCCAAAAAATATTTGTGGAAAAATTCATTGCAAAAACCAGAAACATATGTTCAATTTATATGACCAGTAAATCAAAACAGTAAAAGTTACACTTCTCTCCAAAAGTTTGGCAACCTTAGGCACGGGGTGGGATTGTCTAATTTTTGGAAGACCCCGGAGCATCATGACATTATGCAAAGAAGAAATATCAATAATTTCGCACATCTTATTTTCCAACTTAAAAGCTGCTCCATCTAGGGTGAAATAAACCAACTGTCTTAATACTGATGAAAACACATTTTCTTTCAAATCTGTACACCTCCATTTTGTTTTATTTCAAACAAAAAAATCTTGCTAAGTCCCCGGAGCTGATAACTCCTCAAAAGTAAATATTAAATAATAGAAACATTTTGAAATTAGTTACTATTCAAAGCTTATGTATCATCTATAAACACAAGCATTTGATCGAATGGGTATTTATTATCCATCACTTTTTAAAGACATGTTAATGAGACTGCTCCGTGGCATTTTTTCTTTATTCCTTTTTGTTTTGAATTTTTTACACCATAACATTAACTTACTACTCAATATGCAACTTTTCACCACGTAGAATTTTAAAATATTAAGTTTGAAAATTCCATTTTTATAATGGAGCTCAATGGGAAAAACGACACAATTTGAATTATTTTCAAACATAGCGGTGCGATTTTCTTGAAATTGACAGATATAATCAATATTGGTAAGACGAAATGTTTGAAGAAAAATGAAGAAAATTCACCGTCCTGGTTACGCAAAATATAGAAAAACGTGAAATAATCATAAAAATCTGTAAAAATAGATTGAAGGGGGTAATATTCATTTTTAATGTGCCTTTCACTACTACAGGGTAACCATATTTTTGGTAATGGTTTACTAATTTTAAAAGCATATTATCTTCTAGAATGTGTATCAAGCGGAAGTAATACAATAAGTGAGTTATCATTAATTGGAATGGTATTATTATATACCTTATCAATGATGACAAAAAGGTAAAATCAATCATATCACATACTAGTTCTTACCATCAAATCGATCTGTTATAATGCATATTAGACAATATAGCAGTAGATCTTCAAATTCAAGAATTGAGCTAAATTGTAAGATAATAGATATATTTCGGTATGCTTATTTTAGCTGCTGTAGTTTTGGTCACTTGATGAGATATTCCGTAACATGCTATCACTAGAGACAAAACTTGACACTAAATAATCACTCGAAATGAACGATATGAATTCTTCATATTTTCTTCTTTTGTAATACATGTACATCCATTCTTGAAAATTAGCATTCAAAGCTTTTCAATGCAATCATGAATTTAGTGATCTGACCCTTAAAATACTTTTCAGGGGGATAGTTTGTCCACCTGTAGCCCTTAGGTGTAGCATCTTTTTCTAGCCATATTTTCCTAGGCCTGCTGGAATACCTATTTCAGTGTGCAAGTTTAGCATTGTTTTCCCATTGATCATTTAGGTTCTCATGTCAATAACATATGGAAATAAAAATGATAGAGTAGTTTATTTTACTGTAAAAAATCAAAAATCAAACAAGGTTTGGTCAGGAAGGGAACAGGTGAAATCCTTGGGATATATGAATTAATTAATTATAAGTTAGAAACATATTCATGTTTCTACAATTTAGGGTAACCCTGTGTATTATTTTACTGTGCATGGTTTTACCCGTGCAAAATATTACAAAATGTTATTTACTTATTATCATATTTCAATGTGACAACATCAGTCTTATCTTCGAATTTGTATATGATAGTTTGCCTGTAAGGTTGGGCAAGCTGTCTATTACGTTGATAGTATAAGATGTTGATTTTGCAAAGCTCTTATGGGCTAATTCTACAATATGTGCAGTAACATATATGTAAGGGTGCCAGTATGTAGTCCAGTATGTAGTAAACAAAGGAGTATTTTGGTCAACTCAATACATCTGATAAACACTACATGAAGTGTTTTCTATGCAATGATTATATACAGGCTGCTTATTCATTGTTACTGCGAATTTCAAAAGTTCCAAATTGTGTGGAATAGAGCATGCAATGTTTTTCAGTTTCAAGCAGGTTTTAGTACATTCTGACCAATTGTATTTTCAGACTTATTCATTTTATGATTATGTAATAATGACCTACTTATCTGTTTAACATGTCTTTAAGGAAAAATAAATCCAAGTGAAAAAATCAGTTTCCTTTTCAGATGCACGTTTATCTCGGAAATTATTTTAAAGTTAAATTGTTGCTGTTTCGGTGCATTTAGTATACGCTCTATTTTCACGAATATCAAACTTTAGTGGATCGTGTTAATGTCATTAATCATATATGTTTAGCAAATAAATGGATCAAGGGAGGCAATTAGGTGAGTACGTCTCTGGTACTAAATACAAGTGTAAGCTAAAAAGGTACCCACATGACGTGCAGTGGAAAGTTCTGTCCATTAAAAAAGCCAGATGCAGTCATCTTTTCTGGAGGAAAGCAAAGGCATAAGGAGGATTATATCAAATAAGTCTAGGTTTATTATTTCGAATGAGTATTTTATTGTCACAGTTAAGGGAAAAAGTTCATAATAAAAAATATTTAAAAGTCACGTGGTGTTCCAATATGCATTGCTTCCTAATAATCACTTTTTATTTTCTAAAAAAACGGTAGTTTAGAGAATACAACACCAAGAAAATGCATGCTGGTGGCTCCCAGAGGGTATACACATTTTTCACCAAGTGCTTTTTTCATCTCCAATCAAATTGCAGGATTCGATCACGTGAACAATCATGGGCACATGCTCTCTCAGTGCTGCGCATGCGCAGAGTTAAATTTGAAATCGTGGGAATGGCGTTTACATCAGTTCAACATCGTCATTTCAAACCTACGGTAATACTATTGAAGTTACTCGATCCATAGGTAGGTACGAAAAATTTCGAACTGAATGCGTGACATATACGTAATTCGCGTGAAAAGTACGAACGAAATGCGTATTTTTTTCCCACGTTCTATTTTTCCTGTGTAGACAATCTTTTTTAGAAATTTTTCTACAGAAATATTTTTGTATTTTGTATATTTACCAGGTAAAATGCGTATTTGCGTGACATTTTCTGTCACGCAAAAATAACTGGCGTGACTTCAAATTCTTCAGCAAATGCGTGACAAATACGCAAATTGCGGGACAGTTGACAGGCCTGCAAGTGGGCAAGTCAATTATTTTGCAGGGGTGGCATGATACACAGATTTTAATTTCGTATATAGTGAATTCCCAGTGATTGATTTCAGTACAGTAAAACTGTCATAGTGAACACCTCTTTAGTGAAGATCTGTGCCCAGTGACATGCCTCTACTCTATTGAACACCTGTGTATATTATAGTGAACACCGATTCCGTCCCAGCCAGTGAGTTCAGTACAGTAAAAATATCCTAATGAACACCTCCCTTTAGTGAAGATCTGTGCCCAGTGAAAACATGCGTCTACTCTATTGAACACCTGTGTATAGTGAACACCAATTTCCAGTACAGTAAAACTGTCATAATGAACATCTCTTTAGTGAAATACTGTGCCCAGCGAACATATGAGTATACTCTATTGAACACCTGTGTGTAAGCAAACACCAATTCCCAGCCAGTGATTTCAGTAACTTTTAGAGGGGATTGTACCTACAGTAAAATCTGTCTAATCCAAGGGACCAGCTCAGAGCGTTCGGATAAGGAGGTGTTCACATTTTGAGGTTTTGCATTTGCAAGAAATAGAAAGAAATTCTCAATAAATATTATAGTTCTTTTGACTACTTAGCTTTGGCATTAGAGTGACATGAAAATCTGATTCAAATGAATTTAGTCATCCTAGAAAGCCCCACCATGAGTGAGATCGTTCAAGTTTTTTTCAAATATTTGATCAATTTATGGAACATGTGATATTTTATGTGTTCAGATTAGATAGGTTAATTTTCAAACATGACTGTTCACTGTCAAAATTGGGAGATGTTCATATTTCAAGTTTTTTAAACATTTGAGTCAATGGGAGAAAAAACGGGACCAAAAAATGTTCAAATTGGGAGGTGTTCGGATTAGCCAAGTGTTCAGATATACAGGTTTTACTGTACTACAATTGTTTTCAATCTTTTGGAGGAAAGTGTACATCATTCCAGAGAAATGACAGATGCATTGTATATACAGTGATCGCCTACTATTAAAAGTGCGTGATCAAAGACTCGACAAGATGCGCAAAATTCAAATATTTTGTAACGGTTACTTTTAAAAGATTTATTTGTGTTTATATTACAGGCTACTGGTAATTCAATTAGGTTTTGTAGGCACAAGAACACCCATATGCTTTGAGAAATATATATTAGTTTGACCATTTTTCGTATATGTTATTGATTTTACAATTTAAAGATATGAATGCGATACAATATGTGTTATTTTATTTAAAAAGCTTGAAAATATCAAAAACAATAGAACATTTTTACCTCTTTAATTTTTTATACTTAGGTAGGGTCTTGGACTTCCATTTGACCATGATGAAATTCACGTTTCCCCTTCAATAACATGGAATAAATATTTTAACACAGAAACGAATGGATCAGCCAATAGCGTGAGTTTCAGCAAACCATACACCCATATCTATATGCTTTTCAAGAGAAGAAAATGGGGATCTCGCAAAATGTATGTCCAAACTGATTCAGTCAATTAAATGGTCACTGTGTGTGTGTCCATTTTGTTTTTCTGCCTAGATTTGAATACATTACCATTAAATGATATATACACTGAACCTCTAGAACCTGCTAAGTGAAACACCTCTTGAAGCGTAACACCTTACAAGTGGAACCGTTTTTTAAGTTCCATTTTAGTCCATTTATTTTACGCCTCTGATCCCAAGGTATGAGAACTATACACCTTGGCATCCAAGATGATTGTCGAATTGTAATGTAATTGTAATTGTAATAAAATATAAAATCTGAATTGTACATTATCTATTTCATTGGGGAGTTAAATCATTCTTTTGCAGCAAGGTATCAATAAGTAATGTAATGACGTAATAACCTTCAGTAGATGCCAGTAGTCAGTTCCCAGTTTCACCACGAGGTGGCTAACTTGGGTCATATATAAATGACAGGTATAAGGGAAAACTCCTCTAAGGTAGTCAATATTCAGTAGATTTATTGATCAATTTTCAACTAAGGTCTATAAGTGATTAGCTTGAGAATTTTAGAATTGTATGTAATCGAATGCAAAATAAACGACCAGTGAGCGTTTTTAGAGAAACTCTACAAAATGTGAAATAAATACCATGCTATTATCTCTAATGACAGAGTTATGTGGATCGATGGGACCGAGTAAAAGTTCCAGTTTAGGCTTTGCTCAGAGGGGTATCATCTCAGATTAACTGGTGGACACTATTGGAGAATGAGAGTCTATTGTAATTTCAGAATCATTTATTGTCATTTCATTACTAATTGATATTCTCGTTCTATTGCAATTTCATTGGTAATTTTATTTGATTTTTTAGCAGTTGTTGAATCAGAGATTCTGGATGATTTCATTCGATTATTGTCAATCACTGAAATTGTCATGAATTCATCACTTTCTACAAGTATGTGTTTATTTATTGATTTCACTTCATTTGGTATTATTCCAGAGAAATTTCTTGTTATCATTCTAGATTTGCCTCTATTTTCAGTAATCTTTCTCATCTTCATCTCTTCTTCTTCATGATGTTCTACAAGGTGGTTTATAATGATTTGAAATTTAGGAGTTCGTAATGAAGGACAGTAAAATCATGTAAACCCAACCACTCTGAAATGCAAAGAACATATCATTAGAATCCACATGGTAAAATCACCCACTTGGCTGATCATAAATTGTTTTCATAACATCCTTCTTACTCGATACTGAAGGGGAGTTGGAACGTCTGATATGCATGTAATGTTAAGTATTATGTATATTAACCATAAGCATGTTGGTTTTGTGGTTTTGGTAATCTAAAAACAGAAAATTTGGTGAAATACTGTATACATTTTCATTCGGCGGGTTTTTTTATTTTGCTTCATTTATTAACTCAGTTCAGGTATTTCGGTTGAACCAATCACCGAATCCTGTTACCAAATGAATCTTGAGTCTCTTATACAGCATATGGAATACCATCTGTAGGTAAAATGTCATTAAGGTGGTAAAGAAAAGAGAAACAAACATACCTTTCCTCCGACATTTCGAATTTTGCGCATCTTGTCGAGTCTTTGATCACGCACTTTTAATAGTAGGCGATCACTATACATACAGTGAGGTGACACACTGTTATGGGAACTGGTCATATCAGATGTTCCCACGCTTTTCATCCAGAAGAGGTCATTTCCCAGGATTATAGATGAACCCTTGGCCAATCAATGATATAGTTTACATAAGAGAAGTATGACTGTATGAATTCTGGGATATTCCTGTTTTGTTGAGACAGGTGAGAATAAAATTAACCCTTTGCAAATTTGATCAATACTGCCTCCAATCATCCAATACTTGGCTCAGTTAAAATAGTTGATTTATATTTGAATTCGATAATAACATTTAAAAATTAAATGTGTAGTAGTAATACTTTAGTACCTCTTATTAATTAATGTATAATATTACAACATACATAATGATGTAGGCAATTTGTTTCATAAAAATCTAAAAGTAAAATTCATAATTTAAATTTACCCTCTGGGAGCCCGAAAATTTTAGAAAATGCATTTTCTTGGTGATGTATTTTCTAAACTACCTAAAAAAACTGATCCACTGATAATCGCCACCGGATTATAGAGATTTTTAAACTTCAAAGACCTAATTACAGATGGTCTGCGGTTGAATCTAATCTACTAATTAAATATAAAGCCCTTTGGTTCCCCTTGGTTGACAGTGGAGGACGATTTTCAAACATTCCTCAAATAGAAGAAAAAAATTGGGAACATTTGTGGCATTGGAAATGAAGTCAAGTTACATTTCCATCAATATTATAAGTATTTTCCTCGCAGGTTATGCAAATAAAAATTCCAACATAAAGAGGGGGGCTAAGGTTGCCAAACTTCGGAAGGGGAGTGTATTTGCCAGAAAGACGAGAGTATTAGCCTTGCACAAGTTTCAAATCGTGTGTCTACAAAGGATTTGACAGCATTCTTTAATAAGATAATAAAATGTTCATTTCTCAAAAACGAATTATAGTTTATAATGATTTACAGGTTCATCTAAAATGTTTTCATTTCTGAAACGTTCACGATTCTCGTCATTTATGACAAAAAAACAGCGGAACGGTTATAGAGAATGGAATGTTTTATTTTTTATTCTCAATTCAAACAGAGCTGTCAAGTGTCCCGCGAATGGCGGGATTATCCCGCGAATTTGATCAAAATTAGGCTAATTCGCGTGTCCCGCAATGTCCCGCGAAGTCCCGCAAATGTGGCTTTGACCTCCGCGAATTTCCGAAATTGTTGCAATCCCCTATATTGTGATTATCTTATCTTATATAAGAAGCTAAGTTTTTGCACTTTTGAGAAGTTTACCTAAGTTTAAGTACCTAGCATATGCTGTTGTTGGTATCAAAATAAAGGGGAAGGGTTTAACTTTCATTTTAATTACGAAAATAGGGACGTAGGTCACATATAGTTCCAACGTTGGCCTTTTTACTACCCGTGTGGCCTTCATCTCAGGACTGAGCAAATGTTAGCAAACGCGAGTTACAATAAATGGACGCTGATATCTAGAAAGGTTTGTAGAAAAAACCGGGTACCGGGTAGTAAATCCTCCATGCTGGGTTCAAACTTGGTACCCGGTACCCAGTCAAAAAACGGGCACCCAAAAAACGAAAAATACGAATATATAACAATTAGATTATGAGAAAGCGTGTAAGATTTGTTTTGAATTTACAAAAATGTATGTAACATCCTTCAAAATTGAGCTAGAAGCTTCAAATAAAAAGCATATTTTAAGGTCAGGGTGCATGATGGGAAATTTTCTGCATTCCTCAATTGAGTCACATGTTATTTTTCAAACAAGAATCACTCCTTCCCCACATTGTCTATATCTTCCAGTTTTGCACAAAGAGTGCACTTATGTGCCTAGAAAAGACTTGTGGGAAGAATGTTTTGATAAAGTGTATAAAAAACAAGAAAATTCAGTAAAAAAAATCAGAAAAATTTCAGAATTTTTTTTCACTGAATTTTCTCATTTTTTATACATTTTACAAAACAAACCTTCTCACAAGGCTTTTCTAGGCACATAAGTGCACTCTTTGTGCAAACTTGGAAGATGTAGACAATGTGGGGAAGGAGTTATTCTTGTTTGAAAAATAACATGTGACTCAATTGAGGAATGCAGAAAATTTCCCAACATGCACCCTGTCCTTAAGGCTCTTTTCTTCCTCTATCGTCATGGCCATATTTTCATTGGTTATGGGGGGGGGGTGCACCATCGCACCCTCTCCTGGCTACGCCTATGACATTGTAAGACATAACAATTTACAATTCAGTGGACATTTTGTCGAAAATTGGGATAACTTAAATTATGATTAATAATCAAAATCATGTAAATTAACACACGTCACCTCTCTGCTAAAGCAACGATAGCTATTTACAGATTTAAATCATAAACAAAACAATTCACGTACCAACATACGAACTATTGAAAATAGAGTAAGATTGATCTTGTTTTTCAAATCGTCTTACAATGTCATTGGCGTAGCCAGGAGGGGGTGCGATCGCACCCCCCCCCCTCCCCCTTCATTACCAATGGAAATATGACCATGATGATAAAGGAAGAAAAGAGCCTTAAAATGCTTTTCATTTGAAGCTTCTAGCGCAATTTTGAAGGAAGTTACATACATTTTTGTAAATTCAAAACAAATCTTACACGTTTTCTAATGATCTAATTATGTTGTATATTCGTATATTTCGTTTTTTGGGTACCCGGTTTTTTCGACCGGGTACCAAGTTTGAACCCAGCATGGAGGATTTACTACCCGGTACCCGGTTTTTTCTACAAACCCTATCTAGAAAAGTAACCTCATTCCCTATAATTTGATGTAGATTAATCGAACCCCTATATCATGGGCTTTCAATTGAAAGCCCATGCCTACAGTATATGAGTAGGTACATTTTAATATATAACATTATGGGGGTAAGCGTTTCATAGTTGGTCACGACGCCAGAAGTGCAAAGTATTGTTCCGAATTTTTGAATTTCGTGTTAGATTACGGTACTCACACCTGAAGCATGGTTTTTGTTTTTGATTAATTACAATAAAGTTTAATAATATTCCTATGCGTATTTTGTGAAATTGTGTTGACGTTTATTTAAGTTATAATGCAACGGTGCATTATATTTGATTAATCAGTATCTGGAAGTTTGATTTAAGTACTTTAACATGCTTTTACATTAGTCCCAATCACGCAAATCCCTTGAATGTCCCGGGACATCCTGCAAATTTAGGAAGATGTCCCGCGAAATCCCGCAAATTTAGGGCACGTTGTCTAAAACATCTGTCCCTCTATGAAGTTTTTGGTGGTAAACCTGTTAACTGTCCCGCAATTAGAGTGTTTGTCCCTCGAATGGTCCCGCGAAATCCCGCGAATTTGATAAAAAAATTTGGCCTATTAGCGCAATCACGCAAATGCCTTAAATGTCCCGCGAAATCCCGCGAATTTAGTATATGTCCCGCAAAATCCCGCGAATTTTGGGCACTGGGTCTAAAAATTTGTCCCGCGAGAAAATCTTTAGGGGTTGACAGTACTGATTCAAAGAAAGAACAAATAGGTTTTTCAGCATTAGTTGCAAGGCATTAAAATCTAAAAGAAAAGAATGTTAGAGCCGCCTACAGAGCACAGTGTATATATTGTTATTTCAATTTGGTCTTTTTGGAATTTCAGACTATGTTTCATTTCATTAATACAAAACTATTTGTCATCTGTCACTGTGCGCCATGATTAAATAAGTATTACATTCTTCAAAAATATTTGCTACAGAATATACTAGCATTGAGAAAATAACTGTAAGTTCATGAGGTCATTATGAACTCCTCCTCTATAACAAAATGAAATAGCAAATAAAAATCTATTGATTTGGAATCTTTTCAAAAATCAGCTAAAAGCGTGGGAATTGCATGTTTCAGAACTTGACATATCTGTGAATGAAAGAATGAATTGTATGTATGAAAAATACAAGAAATGCTTTTAAGTTAGGTACACCAATGAAGGGGGAGATTTGTGGATAACATAAGAAATCGAACCCCTGGTCACCAATTGCTGGCTACGCCACTGAGTATTGACCCACTTGTCTCAGTGAATCTTATAAACAGTGCATAAAGTTTTTTCTATGCAATGATTGGCTCACAGTTACTTATAGTGTAAGTTATTTTATTTCTATACAGTGTGGAATAAGAGGAGGGAAAGCCCCAGAGTTTCAAGATGACAGACATAATTACCTCTCTTGCTTACCACCTTCGTTCGTTCGAATTTTCATCGGCTAGTTATCAAATACTACACTTCGATGGGATGTTATAATTGATATAGGCATATTCCGTAGACCTTTCTTTATCTTGATGTGAAATGAGAAGCTATGATATTGGTTAACACGCCAGAAATGAACATAATATTATTCGAAGCGTATTTCGAAAATTTTGAAACCGCCTTGATGACGTCATTTGTTTGTCGACTTTTGACCAATCAGTGACCGTGTCATCTCAATACAGATTTACATTATAAGCGTATGTCATCTTTGAACCCTGGTGTTTCTCCCCCTCTGGTGTGGAATATAGTGTATAAACTTTTACAGTTTCAAGCAGGTTTTAGTGTTTTCTGACCAATGATATATTCAGACTTATTCATTTCACGATTATGTAATACTGACCTACATATCTGTATAGCATATCTTTAAAAAAAACAATTACGAAATGTTGTTACACTGATTACGTAACTTTTTACATTTTGGGATAGATAACCTCGAAATAATAGCTGTTTAATTTAAAGCATTATATAAAAAAAATATTTGATTGATTATGTATTTCAATTTGTGAAAAATGTTTTCCTAACTGTTTTACCCCTTTCAGGCATAATTCACCCTAGGTATCTGAAGTATATGGGTTTATCATAAAGAAAAAAATGCGTATGTACAGGATGGTCTAAAAATGGGACACTCGTATTTCAAAAATAAACATTGATTTTATTGACGAAAACATGTCATATTATATATGAGGAACTGAATTATATTTAATTTGGTGTCAACAGAAACAGATATTCAACATGTCCTCCATTTTGATAAATTATAGCCCTCGATCTTGGCCTAAACTGATCAGTAGCATCATTGATATGCTGTTGAGACAATGAATTTCACTTCTCAACAATTTTATTCTGTCCTTGAGAGACTGAATAGATGTAAGGAGTTCATGATACACCAATTTTGTTGGTTGTTCTCCCCATACATGCATGGTAGTAACATCGGGTGATGGCCATTGATTAGGGGGATGGACTAAGGCACATTCCCTTTTAATATTTTATTGTCTTGAGTGATCTATGGCTTGGAGCCCCATCTTGTTGTAAACTGTAATGATTGGAATATGAAATCTGACGAATAAGTCCTCTGTGCAGGATATATTTATTCACCCCCCCCCCCGTATTACTGGTCCCCCCTGATCACCCGATGCCTAAGCTTCTCTGACCTAGTACCCGTATGAGGAGATCTAACACAGTTGGTGTACCATTTACCACTTATATATTTTCAGTGAGTCCATAAGAACTATCGAGAAGTAGAATTTATTATTTCAAAGTATATCAATGATGCTATCCATAAGTTTATGCCAAGATCGAGGGCTGTAATTGATCAGAATGGTGGACGTTTGAATAGCTGTTAAAAACTTGGTTTTTGCAAGTTTTTGAAAAACCGTTTTGAAACGAAAATGACGTAATTTGTATTATGGAAGGTGATTGACAGGCATTTTAATACATTTTAACTTATAATATACAAAATTACACATAAGTAAATTCCCTATCCACTGGTATATAGAATACCGGATTTTCTCGCATATACGCCCCCCTAAATTTAGGCCCATGGGCCAAAAATCGAATGTAGTACGCTTATACGCCCATGGGCCTATAAAAATGACTATTTATTGATTTTTTCAATAAATTCAAGAGTATTTTGTCACTGGCAGATCGTTCTGTCCTTACTTTGTTTCAACATTAAGTTCAACGCTGTGCCGTAAGTGGCAGTGGTGGATCGTTCTGTTGTTACTTTGTTTCAACATTAAGTCCAAGGTTGTAGGTGACATTTCCTTTATAATTCTTACAAAACATGCGGTAGGACTACAACAGTAGGTACGGTAGTTCATCAGCTCTTCTCACCTTTACGCCCACTGGGCCAAAAATCGAAAGTAGTACAATTATACGGCCATGGGCGAAAAATAAGAGGTAAAATAGCAGACAAAATTACCCCTTCTTTCAGTTATACGCCCAGGGCGTATATGCGAGAAAATCCGGTAATATGTTTTCATCAATAATATCAATATTTATTTTTGAAATACGAGTGTCCCATTTTTGGACCACCCTGTATGTAGATATTAAGTCAAATATCGCTGTGTTGCACAAATATAGTACTACAACTCTTTTATCCGAGGTGAAAGAAACGTCATGTCATGGACTAAAAGATTGATTGGTAATACATACACAAAAAGCATAAATACGAGCCAATCAATACTAAACATTTCTAAACAGAATGAATACATTTCTTCATTCTCTAGAAAAATGTTAACCACACCTTTGAATTTTCATATACACATGTACGTGTAGTTTAGAGATGTAACCCTACTATCACACCAAGCTAGTTTTCACTATACGTTCTCGAAAACGGGCTTCCACTGTATACGAACGGACTGGACGTACTTAGAACCGTTTGGGGTCTATTTACAAACTTCATCGAACGTGCTCGAATGGGTAGGTCCTCTAGAACCTAGAACATGCTCAAAATGTTCTCGTGGTCGATACGTTCTACAATTAGAACGAGTGACAACGTACTAACGACGAGCTGGACGTACTACGAACGGAACCGTCGTACTTCAATCCTACTAGGGATGTTTTAACAACGAGTTAAACTGTCTGAGGACGTATTGAGAACGAGGTAGAATTAATTGCAAACGAATTTAAACTAATTAAGAACGTATTTAAGACTGCGTATGAACGAGTTAGCAAAAATATAGCTGTTACTCCAAACAAGTTGCCACTGCGTTCTTCAAAACTGGTTTTAAGCTGAGTGCAAACGGAATGAACGTAGCTGCAACTTTCTAAGGTCTATTTACGAACTTTATGAGCGTTCTCAGACGGGAATGTGATTTTAGAATTTTGAATCGATTCAAAATTCGATGGCGACCATACCGTTCTGTAATCAGGTCATGTTGACCTTCTAGACTAAGGGACGCGTTATACGACGTTGCATACCGACGTGGTGCGACCTGAACGAACTGCGAACGAGATGGACGTATTGAAGACTGTTTATGAACGAAGTTGCTAATTACTTTAGACATATTTCCCGACCACAGCCAGATTGAGCCCGTTTTACGACGTTTTCGCAGGACTGGCAAGAACGGGTAAGAACTAGTTTGGTGTGATAGGGGGGTTATAAAAACACTTTTACTTGATTTATATTCATGATACTTTACCATCTGACAGGCCATTGTTTACGATGGTGAACCAGACCCCTGTGAGCCCCCCCCCCCCCCATACAAGTGTCGCGTTGGTGAAGTAGTTAAGGGGGATGTCCACAGTCATGGAGCAAGACTATATACAAACCTACATCTTATCAATACTGTAATATTAAGTTGATAATCAGAACATGTTTATAGAATAAGGTCAGATATATGCTCCTTGTGTTATGAACGTTTGATTAAGAAAAAAGCAAGAGAACAAAAGTTATAGCAAAATCAGCAAGAATACCTATTCAACGCCCTGTAATTATATAAAATACTATTCTTATACTTCTACATGAATATTTGAATCGTACTCATTGTATTGATCTTTAATCAATTTAATAACAACTATGGTTAAAAGGAGACTAGCTCCTGTTATTTCGTTTTATTTCTAATTCAAAAAATTAAATGTTTTCAGCACCAATTGTTTTTCTGAAAGGCGTTGCAATTTGAAAGAAGCTTCGGAGCAAGATAAGTATTTTGTTATTTCAATTTAGTCTTTTTGAAATGTCAGCCTATATTTCACTGTGTTTTTTAAGGTCTTAAGCCCTGGACTCATTGTGGACTGATCATTCCTCAAAAAGGTGTTGTTTAAACCTTTGCGCGAGATTCACATAATCGAGTGCTTAAGTTTATGGTGTCAGAAATGGCTCAAAATTCAATGTCAGTTTCACATTTGATATATTTTAAATAGTCAAAATATATTTAAAACATCAAATAAGAAAATATATTTCAAATTGAAAAAAATCTGTTATCAAAGCAATTTTTTTCAAAAACATCAAATAAGGAAAAAAATTCAAAGTAAATGTTGAGAACTTCAAATTAGAAAAACGTATTTTGAATTTTAAATTCAATGTTCTATAGTTCAAAGCAATAATTACACGACTTCAAACCAACTTTTATCTACAAACTTTTAGACATAAAAATAGATTTTCTATTATTTTTCTGAATTTTCGTACGTGTAATGGTATAATATCGAAAATGCCGAACTCAAGAATGCCGAACTGTTTGAATGGGAAAAACAGCTTGCAAGTGTTCACCCCGGGTGATCAATATCCTGTGTTCCGAATTTCGTTCCAGTAAGTCAGTGACCCGAGTTGTGTTTTACTGAATCCCGACAAATATGGCGGCTAATTTGACAACAGACGATGTTGATGTCGACAATTATTCAAAACTTTCTGACAGCATAAGGTAAGACTGAATATAGAGTGGCGCATTCGGTGCCTAAATATGTTTGCAACATTTTCTTAGTTGTTTATCCATATGCGTTGGGCATTACTGCTAATCGAAGCATAAGTAAACGTGACCTCATTTTCAACGCTCGCTGGAAAGTATGTCACCGAGCAGTTTTTGACCTGCTGTTAGTTAATGAGATAAACTGTTATCATGGTATAATTGCTGGGTAGACGTTCAAAGTATGTACCAACTCGTGCTTCCAGTGAATGTAAACCATTTCTTTGCATAAGCGTCCTAGAAGGCATAATAAGATATATTCCATAGTACCGAATAGGAATCGCCAGTGTTCCGACGCACTTCATGGATAAATGCTTATAGACTATTGAATCATAATGAACAGAAGCAGTGTATACTCACGTGTGATATCTTAATTTATCAAAAATAAGAATTGAATGCATTTGATAATATTGATACTTTGCCAACTTGACTGATTTTTTTCTAGTCTGAGTAATTAATAAATGAGTAGTGGATTTGATTAATTGAGGATTTCCCATGTTAAAATATGTGAAAATTGTCAAGAGGCCACATACATCAGAGGATGAGAGTACAAACAACATGTGTAAATTATGAGACTATGTTGCAACACCTTAAAAGAATGGTCATTTCACAATCCACATTGCACATACTGTAGCAGGCATTTTTATGATATATTTTAACATTGTCACAAAAACCAGGGATTGACAAAAAATATAGCATATCATATAGCAGGTATATGCCAGGTATTGTAATATATTTCAACGTTGTCACTGTTAGAGTAGGCATTACAATTTACCCATAAAAATATAATAATATTGACAACAGGCTAAAAAGTCTTCACTTAGTAAGCCATAAATGTCACATAAAGGCGACGGTCACACCAGGCTTTCACGATAGTATTGCTAAGGTAATAGTCCATGGTATGACTTCCGAATATGAAGGATCCGTAGCACACTATAGCGCAGCAACATTTGAAGCAATATTTATGAAGGTGTATATGTCTTGATTCTTTTAAAATACCATTTGCTGAAAAAACTTCCGGCTTTCGGGTCGAAAAATGTATTTCATCACAAGGGGTCAAAAAACGTAAATATTTTGATTCGAACTTTTATCAATTTTATAAGACACAGACCGTTATTCTAAGCATACGAACAAAAAAATTGATTATCATAATGTCAAAATTACTATGATTTTACTGTAGATGTCGGTGTTTAATTAGTGTAATTACACAACTGTGTTTTTCAGATTTTGTTTGATTTTTCAAATATGAGCTAAGCCGATTCAACAAAATTGAATGGAATATTTAGGTAATTTTTTTTGATTGGGAACGTATTAGTTTTCTTACCAGTTAAAACATTTTATTACCAGACTTTTTCCATATAATCGTAAAGGGTCTAACAACAAATTATTGTTGATGTTTTATAAAACATAATACAATAACAAATAGGTAAGATTCATATCTAATTCGATGTTACAGAGGTATTTGCATGTTCATATATTCCAAGGGCATGTCTAATAATCAATTAGAGTCATATGCAGTCGAACGCCTTACAATTCTTCCTCGACGCTAGTTGTGGCTATCATCAAGTTTTCTGATGGTTGTTTCTTCTTTGACCTTACCGAAGGATACAATCAAATTTTAGGAAGATAATGATAACTATTTTTCTCAATTATTCATGAATTCGACCAAGTCTTGATGGTTGTTTCATAAGTAACTGAGCTATATCTAACTACGAGAAATATAATTTTAGCTGTAGTCGCAATTAGTCAAGGAAGAGCAATAAGCCCAGCTTTATTGATAATGTTCACCGCTGAATAAAAGTTCATATCTTAAAACGTATTGAGACCCATTTTGCGAAAAACTAGCATAATTTAAGCATTTGTCATTCTAATAGAAAAGTGATTCATTTGTAGCATTTATCGTATTAATACCCGAGAAACAATACAAAATGTCGATACACTGATGACATAATCTTTTGGTATTGAATAGAAAAATAACCTCAAACTTTTAGCTTAGAAACCTAAATCATATACTTAAAATCATATTTTATTATTTGCTATTGCATTGTGTACTCCAAATTGTGAAAGTTTGGAAGTTTATTTTTTGGAAATTTTTTGACCTCTGTTAATGGCAGGCATAATTTAGCCTTAAAGCCGGAAGTATATTAAACGGTTATGATAAAAATTATTAGGGGACATATGTAGGTATGCTAATGTTAGGTCAAATATCGCTGCGCTATAGTGTGCTACCAGCTCCTTTATTAGACGTCCTTGAGATTTCATACCATGGACTATGGCAGGATCCATGCATAATTTATTAAATCAGGCCCGCAGATAGGAGGGGGGGGGCTGGTCAGAAATTCTCTCAAAAACGTGCATGATTTTTTGCCAAAACAACAGATGCCAGCCAGATCATATTTATAGTAGAAGGCTAGGCTCAAATAAACCTCAAATTGAGTATTATCATTGAGATACTGATACTATACATACGATCGTGCTATCAAAACTGTCAAAAAGCCCCCCCCCCCCCCTTGGCAAAAACTCCACCCTTGGTAAAACCGCTCCCAAATTGTGAATCCTGGATACAGGCCTGTAAATGGTCATCTTGGTTGTACCAGACAGCAATGCAATGTTTTGATTTGCACACATTTTTTATTTTTAAAAATCTAATTGAGAGCATCCTAATCATGTGAAAAGTTCAATTTTTTTAATAGTTATATTCCTTCTATAAAGTGGGTACACTTTTTGGGACACCCTGTATTTGCAGTTCAATGCCAATGTGGAAATCAATATACAGGGAAAATCGATCTTGAATTTGTAAAATAATAACAAGAAAGGTAGCACCAAATTAGCTTGATGTATTCATGAATGGATTCTCAAAAGTATACAAAATATATATAATCTTATTCTGTAGCTTCGGGACAATGACTATTCCTATTCGGTAGAATGGAATATATCTTTCAACGACTTCTATGACGCTTATGAAAGATAATAGGTTGGATTCAAACATAGCACAAGTTGAGACATACTAATAAGGTATATTTTACAGTTATACAATGCTCAGAGTATCCATCATTACTTACAGAAGGCAAAGAACGACTCGCTGATATCATTTTCTGCGAGCTTTTCGAATTGGGTCATGTTGGTTTCATGCTTCGATTTGCATTAATAGCCTACACATATGGATAATCGTTTAGGAACATGTTGAAAACATATTCCAGCACCGAATGCATTACTCTATATTCATTCTTACCTTATGCTATCTGATTTGTTTGACACATTTTCGTCACCTGGCTCGTCCAATGGCGAACGAGACGCCATATTTATCGGGATTCAGTAAAAACACAACTCGGGTCACTGACTTGCTGGAACGAAATTCGGAACACAGGATATTGATCACCCGGGGTGGTGTTGATTTCTTAGCTCGAACTTTTGTATAATTTGGTTCGAGCATTTTATCATTTTGGTTTGAACTATTGGATCGAAATTTGAAGGAAGTATATTTGGAATTTTTAGTTTAATCTTTTTGAATCCTAAAAATTGAACATCAAAGCTATTATCGATCTTTCAATGAACGATTTTTTCAGTGTTTGACATCTTGATTTTTGGTGTTTGGTGTTTGATTTTTTCTTTCGTAGCTGTTTTTTTGCAGTTTGATAGATGTGTTAAAATATCAGTTAAAATATCAAACACTGGAGATTTATTTTTAAAAAGTATTACTAAAATTGAATGGAAACTTTTAAAGTTTGAATTAAAAAGTGTAATACCAAACAAAAAATTTGGATTATCAAACATAGAATTGAAAATATTGGACAAAACTTAAAAAGTTTGAATTGATAAATGAAAATTCAAACAAGAAAATTGAAATTTCGAACATGAAATTGAAAATGTCGAATAAAGACGCTAAAATAATGCCATATAAGTTAGGACACAACACCTGAGTGGGATGAATCAGCCAAAATGCGTCTTGGACTTCTTTCACCATTGGCTAATTTCCCACGAAGTCACCTAAAAGATACGAAAGAACATATTTTCAATGAAACTTTTTGCAAGAGTCAAGTTGGAAAAGTATCAATATCAAGCTAAAGAGTCAAGTTGTCAGGATTGTTTGTTATAATATAAAGCAGTACAGTTAGATGAAAGCAAATTCCTCTGAACAGAACATGTTTTGATAAATGGCGGACATCATGAAATTTTTTTCTCAGCAGAGCTCTCTTGTCCCTGGGTATCAGCATATAGAATTTGAACCAAATCCGTCAACTGGGATTTCGGGGGTTAAATAAGATAACATTTTATAACG